GTTGCTTGGTCCTTTCGACTCTTTTGGAGCTATAGTTGTTTTCGTAAGTGTCGTGTCGTCTTCAACCAATATCTGGTTGCCGCTTTTCCTTCAAACTGTGTGGTATGTCCTTCATACTACACAGTGATTTGTTTGCCTGTTTTCTAGTATAAAACTTCCAGTCGTTCGTGTGGCGTTATGTTTTCTTGATCTATTATATTGACACTTTTTCCATCTATTCATCCTAAGTATTTGTCGATGTGTACCAGACACTCCTTGTCTATACAATACCTCCAGTGGATGTTCTTGCTGTCTCTGCATAATAGACATTTCATATAGTTTTCATAATGAAATCTTCGTCCTGATTTCCATGTCTCTTTAAAGATATGGTATTCGCAGTGGCAGTCCCACCCATATTCGTTGTGGCATAAGTGCCTGGGGTCTCTGACTTCCGTTTGTTTTTCCTCATTATGTCTAAAACATAGTCCTTTTTCTTTGCACACTGTCCAGTGTTCATCAAGTATCTGGTTATCACATTTCTCTCTTTGTTCCCATAGTAGTTCATGACTGTCTTTGAACGTTATCCGTGGTGCTTCGTTTTCCCAATTGTTCGTTTTCTGCGTATCTTCGTATTCTGATTCGGTTTCTCCTTCCGAGTCTGTTTGTCCTGGTGTCACAATTCCTTGGTTGGGCCCTATCATTAAGTCGTGTTCGACGTCTGTTGGTAGTTCTGATCTTTCCATGACGGTTCGTCTGTGTTTTTCTAGTGTTCATAATTCTTGTTGTAATAGATCGTTGTGCTGTTCTATTGTGATTCCGTCAGTTTGGCATCTTAGGAGTCTTTAGTATTCTTCCTTCGTGAGTCCGTTAGAACTTGATCCATACCCTACGACTGTGTTCTGTCGTATCAGAGTAGGTCTCTTGCCGGTTGCCCTAAGGTATTATCTGACGTTCTGTGAGTCTTGATAGCCTCCTCTACCTTGCTCCTTCTCGTTGCTACTAGTCTTAGACGTAGTGGTAGCGTTGAGGTGTTTCTTGGTATCCCCTTGTTTCTTCCTGCAGTCTTTTGCAATATGTCCTGGTTTCTCGCAGTAGAAACACAACTTCTTATCCCTGCATCTTTTGCTTTTCTCAGTGTTGTAAGGTCGTTTTTCAGTAGTATCCAATTCCATAGGTGTGGTGCCGTAATCATTGCGTTTGTTCAATCCTTTGTAACTGTTTCCTTTCCAAAAAGTGTTTTTCCCTTGTCTTATGTTTCGTAGGTTGTAGAGTTGATTGTCGATGCGTACTGCCATTTCAACCATTTGTTCAAAACTGTTGTATGGTCCCATCTTAATGGTTTCATATTGGGTTTCTGATTTGAGTCCTTGTTCGAATATAGCTATTTTCTGTTCGTCGTCGTGGATTCCTAGTTCTTGATAGATCTGCTGTAGTTGCGCTGCGTACTGCGCTGCGTCCCTGGTTTGTCTGAGTCCCTGTAGTTTGCGTTGTAGGGTCCTCTTTCTGTCAGTGTCTCTAAAGAATTATCTGAGTACTTATTTGAATCGTGCGTAGCTGTTGAGTACATCCGCGTATAGTATGAGTCGTCCTCTGGTGTTAGTCTAGTCCTCAAGATATGGTTTGAACCATGTTGCCGCTGCCTCTCACATATAGGATCCTGCGAAGATAACTTTTTCTATATTAGTGACTCCTGGTTTAGTTGCCAGATAGATATCGCATTCCCCTAGGAAGTGTTCCAGTTTGGCGCAGTCTCCTTTATAAGTATTGGGTTTGTGGATCTTGATAGTAGTTCTCTTATCTCTGGTTCTGACTCTGAGTACATCAATGGCGTCTTTGTGACTTTTAACTTGTTCTAAAGTCTATTCGACAATGTCTTTGTATTTATTAAGTAATCTTCGTTGTTCTTCCACTTATTTGTTAGTTTTATCCAGCTGCTCATCATTGGGTTACTCTTCGACTCTTTTTTCCAACTCGATGATTTTCTGTCACATTTGCCCTAACAAGGCGTTGGTGTTGGTGGTTGGTCCACTTGCTAATGACATATTGGCTCGTCTTACTTTGGTATATTCCTGTAGTTAGTATGCTCTCAGGGGTAGGGTGATACGTACCTAGTTTTATCCTTCTTGATATATAATTGTAAGTCACTCGGGTCGGAGTGTCTATGACAGTATGGTGGCTCTAGTAAGTCGGAATTACTTTTGCCTCTTTATAACCGTGAAGTCGGGGCGATCAATGTCATAAGCTGACGGCGCTCCTTGATTACCTAAAGGTGATTAGAGGTTCACACCTATTGTAAGACAGAAGGTACGAAGGTCTTAAGGAAAGCTTAGGTTAAAAGTAAGTCGTTATAGGAGATAGCTTGGTACCAGGGTAAGATAGAATACTATAGTAAGACTATCCCTTAGTTCTAAGTATGACTTCAGTTAGTGCCTGGGTCAGATAAAGGCTAAAGGTCCTTATAAGTAGTAAAGACAAAGTTGACCTGCGTTAATAGGCAAAGGGGTATTTAGTGAATATAGTATAAAATAACTAGAATGGTGCTTTGTATTGAGTAGTATAGTAAAACTGTAGCTGGTTTGATCGCGAGTATAAGACTCTTGATTCTAAGGAAATAAGTGTCTTTATATATATGGTATATCCGGTCCCTTCCTCCTGATTCTTCTCAGGTCCTGTCGTAGACCTGATGTCCCGGTCCCTTCGTGGACCTTTCATGTTTGGTCCCATAGGGACCTGTCCCTGGTCTTGGCATCTGGGACCTGTCCTTATGGTCACGTGATGTGTAGTTATTCCGTCCCGGAATCTTGTTGTCCAATGAGTGTATATCCTGTGGCTGCGCCGCAGGTGGTCTGTAACACTTTGGCCTAGTTAGATAAAGAAGGTGCATAATTATAAATATAAGGATAATCTATATAGATATACTTTAAACACTTTGTGGAATAAGATAATATAATATAAAGGTTGCCATTCTCTAAATAATAAATATAATAGAAAGGCATCGCGATACTAGTTTTCGCAATATTTTCTTTTAGTATATAAGCATAGATAGAGGAAGAATCTTTAGAAGACTTTAGAACATCAGTAACACCCTTAGAACAAGCCATAGTGAGGCATACTCAAGGAAAACACAATAATGAACCAGAGAGAGGGAAACCAACCAGGTTTATATATGCGCGCGTCAGGACGACTTGTTAAGAAAGAAAGGGATGATGTTACAGACCACCTGCGGCACAGCCCCAGGATATACACTCATTGGACAAGAGGATCACAGGCCAGACCTTGAGGGCACTAGTCACGTGACCAATAGCGATAGGACTAATAGGACGGGCTTGGCAACTTCCTATTAATATTATCACAATAACTAATAGAAGTGATAGAAACCTCTTGGCGGAGAACTATTATACCTATTACTAGATATATACTATATATATAAAGATACTTATTACCTTAAGATTAAGAGTCTTATACTCATGATCAAACCAGCTATAGTTTTACTATACTACTCAATATAAAGCACTATTCTAGTTATCTTATACTATATTTACTAAATACCCCTTTGCCCATTAATGTAGGTCAACTTTGTCTTTACTACTTATAAGGACCTTTAGCCTTTATCTGACCCAGACACTAACTAAAGCCACACTTAGAACTAAGGGATAGTCTCGCTATAGTATTCTATCTCACCCTAGTACTAAGCTATCTTCTATAATAACTCACTTCTAACCCAAGCTTTCTCTAAGACCTTTATACCTTCTGTCTTACGGCAGGCGTGAACCTTTGATCACCTTTAGGTAATCAAGGAGCGCCGTCAGCTTGTGACATCCTTATACCTTTTATAGCCTTTAGATATAAGTATTTTTACTATCCTAAAGTGAGCGTACGGAGGTTTAGTTAAATAATAAATATAACTTGGATTTAATACTATTAAGAAGCTCAATTTCTTAAATATATATTCTATAGTAAGAATAGAGGCTTTTAAACCTAAGAATATTTAAAATAGCTTTACTATAACTAGAATTAGTCTATTTAATCTAGATAGAGTAGTCTAAAAGCTTGATATTTAATTTTATATATCTACCCCTCTAGAAAGCTAATTAAGCAACTCTTAATTATCTTAGAGTCTATAAATATTTAGTAACCCTTACTAGTTATATAGATAAGCAAATAAGATTAAGAACCTTTTTAAATAAGACTATACGGAACCGTCTAAGTAATTTAAGGAAGGCTTTAATTAAATTATTAAGGCCTATAAGTATAGGATAGTTACTATAATAATAATAAAGAAGTAATATTAGGATATATTTACTATAAATAAAAAAGAGAAGTAAAAATATATAAGATCTAATCACAGAATTTAATAACTAGGAGATATTATAAGAGAAGAAGCTTAAAGCCTTGTTACCCCCCCTAATTTATCTATCAAACATATAATTGATTAGCCTACTAAAGCTAAACTACCAGCCTTATAACTATAATTATAAGCTTAACCACAATATAGTAATTATAATATTCTTAGATATAGAAGAATAAGATATCCTAATCCTAGTATTATTTAATTTTTAATTTAATACTTTTTTTTTAATATTAATTATCATATAAAAAGTTGACTAATCTATATATAATCAATTTGGTGGCCGGCTCGCTTGGGTGGCCGGCTCGCATGTGGATTACGTTAGTCCGCATACGATGACTAAGAGTATAGCTGACTAAGCTGGATCTGGACTTAAACTGCAGGCAACTATCATATAACAGTAACATATATCATTAAGACATCATGGTATGAACTACTGGATAAGTTTAGGAAGTAGACGAAGGCTACGGATAGTATATATGCAACAGCAAAAGCCCAACTGCCTATACAGCATCGAGTGATCTCGTGTCCATAATGTTCATGATTGATGCTTCCATTTCAGGAAGCACTGCTTGCTAGCTATAAGATCAGGGGTATATAAAATAGGAAAACGAGGTCGTTACTGCATCGATGACAAAAAGGAAGTGGATAGAAATATAGTTCCTGATCCCATTCACGAGCCACCTGGTTTCTGGCCGTGGACCACATAACTATCGGAATCCAATGGTTAGTAACAGACAGACGTCAATACAAGCTGGGTATAGACGTACAAGTTGAAGTATGCGTGGATGCTTCGATTCCTCAGATCCTCCCGCGCCTTGGCTAGCAGGACCTGAATTTCCTCTGGTGACCAGCCCTTTTTGATCAACGGTAAGTTGGCAATCCCTCCCAACCCCTCAGTGTGCTGGAGTACGTTATACGCGCCAACGACCTTCAAGTGTTTGTCTTTCGGCCACGTTCCAAGGGGTACTTTGAATTTCTGATAAGATAACTATGTTAGTATTCCATGAAATGAAGACGGGAATGGCGAGAATGAATGGAAGGATTAAAACCTCAGTGGTGACGTTAATGAATCCAGCATCTTTTAGCCAGCCACCGCACTCTGCACCTGGATTGGAGGTGATTCCCATCTCCACAAATGCATTTTTAACTGCCTCTTGAAGCATGAACAGATGGGTCCCTTTCAAAGTACCATCGTCGCTGCGAATCGTGCCATCCCAATCCTGGAACTCAACCCATCCTCCGGGCTTGGTGCAACTGATTTATGTCTGATCAGCTAGGGGAGACTTGACGTGGTATGAATGCGACAAAGCATGGGGTAACGAGTACCTGAATGCCTGGCGTATTAACTTTTGCCAGTCTCTGATGGACGCAATTAAAAAACGGCCGTGAATGTAGTCGAAGGGGGAATCCTCGTAACCCCATTCATCCTCAACGTCGTCAACGATAAATTTCAAATTCGGGGGTACCCTATGGCATATTAGCATGAGATATAATGCTGGCGGCTTCCGTATCGTATCCCTTACAAGGAAGGTTGAGTTGGACTCAAATCGTTTCCAATAACCTATAAAGTATAGATGTTAACATTGACACGAGTATAATCTTACTATAGGATTGAAGTACCTCAGCAGACGGATATTCATCCGCTTGAAAGAGTATGTTAGCCAACGGTCACGTATGCTTCTAGAACATATTCACCAAAAGAAATTGCCCACTATAATTAACCGTTAGCAAAATTAAGAGTAAACGAAGAGAGACAACTTACAATTCCCGTTCCGGTGCATAAATCTAGCACACGTTGAGGGTTGTCGCCAATGGGCGCCTTATGAAGCCGCCCATGCAGAAGAGCGTCAATCAACGCATGATGAATATCGAGTCTCTCGCTTTCTTGTTCATCGTTGGGGAACAGGTATCCTATAACCGGTTAGACTTGGGTGGATAAGTGGCAAGAGGCCGTTGCGCTCTGTATACTTACTGCCTTGACGATATGCATGATATCTCTGGCCGTGTACAACGGGGTAATCCACAACACTAGACGTTAAGGAGGCGGAGTATCTCGACCTGCAGGCTAGTTAACGTTGCACCGCATGGGAAACGGGTATATATACACACAGCTCGTCGCCATAGTCGCTTTCATGCTAAATAGCCATCGACTTGTTAGTTCGATAGTCGTAACCAGAGAGTGGAGGTTCGCTACAGACGCACATCATCGTCGACTTCCAACGGCACAGGGCTATTTGTATGCCCCGCTACATCCGCAGCAGCCGCCAGGCTTGTTACATTGCTGGTCTCTCCATGTTCATCTTTCGACGCCATAATCCTGGCGATGTTGAGGTTGGAGGTGAGATCTTTGCTCCCAAACTGGAGACATCGCAGAGCGGACAAAGAGTGCGAACTCCAACGAAATAGAACTTTAAGGGTCTGGCTAGTTGCTCCGTATTGAGCACTTACACTTCGGACTCCGTATCTGTGGCTGTTTTGCAGAATGATGGAGCTGAAGATCGCATTGAACCCCCGCTAGGATGCCGGAAGACGAGTTCCTAGCGGCTTGTTCGACCAGCTTTGGCGCCACATTGTGAAGTGCAGCATATCCAGCATCGAGGGAATGGTACTTCGTAGTAAAGGGGCCTCGATGATTCAAGGCTGCCATCTTGCTATTGTTCATCTTCTTTGTTTGAAGATTGAACCTTGGTGTTTAAAGCTTAGTCCCAGTCCATTCAGAGTATATAGCTGATATACCAAGTAGATGTGTATGGAATACGTAAATAGGAGTCGTATGGATAGATTGTCTGTCGATTGATACTCCGTAGAGTAACCATATGTGAAGTTACTGGAGTCTGCGTGTATGCCATGTCTCATTCAGGGGCAAGGATACGACCCCGGCCTTGAAAAATGAAGGCCCGCAAAAAGAAACGAGAGACGAAGGATTTCGGCATTACATCATCGTTACATTGTCGTCCATAACACGGCCAATATAACTAGTTGAGAGTTCGCCAGGAGGTTTTGTTTTGTAGGGCGTAATATACCCCTCTCTGGCTGACCGATACTCTGTATACTCTGTACCGAGTAGGGATTGTGATCTTTCCATGGCCGTCTTCTCTCGTCAATGAACGCGCCACACGTATCATTGGGCCGTCCTTGGTGTCCATGTCTAGCTTGATCGTTATGGCGCAGCCAGCACGCCGGCAAGCCCTCATCACCCTAGCACCGTTCCAGCATCAGGCGCCAGACGGACTAGTCTCGCTTGTAGCAGCTGCTTGAGCCGCTTCGTATCGTTCCCGACGTCCTGGGCCAGCAGGTGAGCGAGAAGGGGACGGTTCTCACAGCCCGGGTTCGACCTGATAGGGCGTTTTAAGAGCTGGGTTAGCGAAGAGCATTCTCTATTTATAGTTAAGGCGGGTTTATCCTTTTGTTTTGGCGAGATGAAGAGCTCCGTAACCAGTTGAATCGAGTCTCAGAGCTGCAGCCTGACTCTAGGGCCGCAATACTTCATCGAGGCACCGCGATGCATCGGCGGGTGTAGACTTGATATTCACCCTTCCCGGCGTCAATCCTCCACGCAATCCCCCTCCACCCCCCCCTATATCACTCCGTAGAGGCTGACTGAGTTTCCCTTCAGGGCGATCGGCCAGGGACAGAGAGCATCGGTCAACAAGCAGCGTAATTCGTAGTAGTCGGCTGGTTCCTGGGGGCTCATATCTCGACTCCCCTGCATCGCCGCAATGCTTGTTTTTTCCCATATATCTGCGACCCGGGCTGTAACAGCGGCTCAGACTGACGGCCAGCACAGTTCGTACCTTGCCACTACATCCCAGGTCGCCAAAGAAGGTTTCGACTATGTGGTCGGTGGCGTCCGCTGCAAATATAATTGGTATGCGGATGGTCAAAAGTCAAGAGCTTCAACCCGCCAACGCCAGTGTGCATCTCAGGAGCTGTCAATGGTCATAAGCATATCTCTCCTCATCGTCGTTAGATATATATATATATCGTTTATCGTCGCCGTCGTCGTTGTCGTCGCGTTGTAGATTTCTTCGCGCTGTAGCCGCCCGTTCCAATCGGCCCATTTTTCTTCTTCCGCCGGCCATCTTGCTTCTTCCTCCTCGATCGCGAACATTACGATCTCAACCACTTCGGCCTCACGCTGCATCGCTGACAGCTCAGTGGCAAATCTGTCGACGACTGTAGCAGAGGAGCTGATCGTCTGGCAGCTCTGTCTTTGCACGTCTCGTATTTTCGCCCTTTGACCAGCCTGTTGATCAACCCCTTCCCGCCCGTCGTCGGACAAGCACAACGCAGCAGAGACGAGAAAAGTAGGAAGAAGAAATACAGAACGGCCCCACGGAAACGAACGAGGATGGCAGACTATCGCTCGCCCGTATACAAGGCGCCTCCCCGCAAGCCGGTGCCAGGCAATGCCGGATTCCAGTTTCACACCCTCGAGAGCAACCTAAACACTGCTCCGTCGCACCAGGCCAGAGGCAGCAGCATCGCCAGACCTCCCAGCGGCCAGTATCGTCCTCGATCCACGAGCTCTTCCTACTTGCCGGCAGACATGCAGCCCTTGAGAGAGTCGACGGTCGGTTACCCGCAGCAGCAGCATCCTCACCGTCAGTTCCAGCAACAACACCAGCAGCTACCCCAGCAGTTCCATCACCACCAGCAGCAGCAGCAACACCAGCAACAATATGTCCAACAGCAGCAGCCGCAGCAGCAGCAGCAACTCCGAGCACAGTATGGTGCGCCGCCGTCTCGCAGAGCCTCGAATGCTACGACATGCACTACATCTACAGGTGGCGGGAACGCGCCTCCAGCCCGCAAGATGAGCCAGATGAGCGCCGATATCAGATACAGCACTTCCTCTCAGCGGCCATCGGTCAGCTATGTTGCTCTCATGCGCAAACAGAAAGCCACCGTATGGTGTGATCGCGCCCAATCCGAGGATCCCCGCCTCGTCGCCCAACGCCGTGCAGCCAAACAGAGGGCCCTGCTGGATGTTCACGGCGGCTCGTCCACACGCAGCAGCACCCTCATCAGCGGAGGAAAGATCCGACACAGCGGTACCGGCCGGTCTATAAGTTACAATACAAGCACAATGGTTGGGGCTGGTGTTCCCTTGCGATTGAGCGCAAACGAGGTTGGAGGGGCAGACGACGAATTCGACGATCGCATAGACACAGCTGGAGGACAGCCGATACATCGACGTACGGGGAGCGGGCGGAGCTCGACGGCCAGTAATCGCGTGTCTGCTGCCTACCAGCGGGCCCAACAGACTCGGCTGAGCAGTAGTAGCAGTGCAAATAATACCCCTCCCAACGCTGATATACCCGACATCATCGAAACGCCTGCGGCGCCGTTGGAGAATATCAAAGATGAAGACTTTCTAAAGACACCCAACCGGTCTGGGGTCAACGCTTCAGATCAACGCCCGACCACGTCACATAGTGAGGAAGAAGACGAGTTTGGGAAGATTACCGAAATGGCTGCTCCCACTGGTATGTCGACAGCCATGCAGAAACGCAAGATCTCGGATGATCTGAAACGACGGGGCAGCGTCGATGAGAGGACTTCGAGTATGACGGGCGTGAGGCTTTTCGTTGCCAATCCTGATTTAAGCGACTGATACCCAGATGCTACACTTTTATTAGACAGCCAACCATGGTGTCTGGACTGGAGAACCTGGAGTTATCCACGCCCTGTTGATTGTCTTTTACCTCTTTCATTCTACTTCCCCTTCTACTTCCTCTTCTACTTCTTTGCCGTGAATATTTTTGCCCCCCTTTATGCGCTTGCTCTTACAATTCTTTCTACGGGATACAGCTGTACCTTGCATGACCTTAGTTACTTTTTTTTGTCTCGATAAAAGGTTAATATCCTGAAAGACTGTTGAATTCAGGCGTTATCGTTCTGCCCCCAAAAAAATCAGTTAACTAATGCCTAATCGATGTTTATAGCGCTGTTAGCTCAGTAATACAAAACTTGTATACTTGCAAAAAGAAAAGAAGAAGGCGAACTCAGAGCTTCGCCCCATCAACCTTAACTTTAACAAGAGCTCCGTTGTGCACGTCAAAGTCCTTTCCTCGATGCCATCCAAGCCAATTCTTTAGTGTCTCTTCGCCTCCACTGCCTGGATGTATCCCGCCGCCAGACCATCCGCCGTTATCAGAAGCAATGCCCAGCCCGGGTGTGCCAGATAACCCAACAACAGGTCTCTGATCATACCCTTCCTTCTCGAGCTCGTCCATTGTCAACACAGGCGTGGCACACGCATCAGTCCCATCGAAGACTGCAGCCCATTCATTCCTAGTTTTCTCTTTGAACCTCTTCTCAAAAACCGAACGCATATACGGCCAATTGTCCGGATCTTGCCTCGCCTGGTTCGAGCCGGGGGGAAACAAATCTTTGTCTTCCAGGTTCAGCCCACGCAATAGCTCAGCGTAAAATTGAGGCTCTAATGCCCCAACTGCGAAATAATTCCCTTTATCCTTGGTCTCGTATGTATCGTAATAAGGACAACCACCATCAAGCACATTGGTTCCCCTCGGCCTATCCCACATGGGAGTCTGCCTCGCAAGGCGGGGGAATGTAGCTAGATAGGCCGACCCATCAACCATATTGGCATTGACAACCTGGCCTTTGCCCGTAGTCTGGCGTGCTAGAAGCGCAAGCAATATACCTTGGAAGCAAACCGCTCCGCCTCCAGCGAAATCCCCAAGTATGTTTCCGGGCGGGTATGGCTTCTCCCCTTCCCGTCCCAGAAGAGATAGAACTCCCGAAACGGCAATGTAATTTATATCATGGCCTGCCATGTCTTTATATTTCCCATCGCGGCGAAACCCAGTCATGCGCGCGACGATTAGTCGAGGGTTATGCTTTAAGAGCACGGTTGTAGGACATAATCCTAGCTTCTCCAGGACACCAGGGCGGTAAGGGTCTATCAAGACGTCGGCTTTTGATAGTAGAGAAAGCAGAACAGCCTTGGAAGCGGGGTTCTTAAGATCTAGGCTGATGGACGTTTTATGTCGTGTCAGCGCATCGAGTGTGGGGGCCGGAGGTGCTTTGGACTGCGAATGGGCTCTCGGATGAGGCCGATCGATCCTTACGACTGATGCGCCATAGTCACTAAGCATAAGACCGGCAAAGGGGCCTATTTCAAGGATGTTAGACGGCCAATGAAATTGGGCAATTGTCATAATCCAGGTTGTAAACTGACCTGGAGCTAAACCGGCGAGCTCGACAACGCGTATTCCCTGCAATGGGGTCAAAGGGGCGGCCATTTTCGATCGACGCCAGTAGGCGGTAAGTTATATATATCGAGAACCGGAGGAACAGCTCCAAGTATGAGAAATAAGCCCGCCATGGGGACAGACAGCTCATCTTCTACTTTACCTGCGCTGGAGATCGCAATCAGATAACGAAAAGAGCCGAACTCGGCCCGGAGTTTAAGCCGAGGTAAATCACGTGCCTATCCCAGTTGCCCTTGACAAAATATCCATACAGAAGCATTTGGGAAGTAGCAGTGAATAGACAAGGCAGAGAGAGAAGAAAGGGAGGAATGGGGAGGGAGAGAGAGGGAGAGAGGGAGGGAGGGAGGGAGAGAACATCCATCGAGCTACCAAAGAGTAAGGAATAATGGCAGTTAACGCTAAATATCCAAAACTCGCTAGTATGCGATATCCTGAATCCTGATAACAACATTAATCATACATATAGGAAAGAGAACAGATCCAGACGGCTGGATAACCCCAAAGCAAGATATCTAAAGCCTTGGATTCCATGCCATAGACACCGGATCAAGAAGCAGGCTCTCCCAAGAGAGCATCCCAAATCTCCCCAATCTCAACATCCTGCGCCTTTCTCACGTACTTATATTTATACCCCTGTTTATCCCCCATTTCGTTCCCCTTAATTTTAGAACTATCGCCGACCTCCTGTTTCCCCCACATGGTCATTAATACTTTGCCCAATTTGTCGTTATCCTTGGTCAGCTCGTCAACTCGTGCTTTCCAAACATCTTCTCTCTCACGCATGATATCGATAATCTTGCCATCGATCTTCTTTGCGGCCGAAGTGTTGGCCTTGATGATAGCCTCGAGTCTCTTTTGCGTCATATGGTGATGTGCTATTTCTGTTTCCATGCGCACTAGCTCCTCCTCGAGACTCTCTCTACCTTCTTGCTCGGCCTTGAGCTCCGCCGTTAGGACGCTCTCTCTATTCATAGAGGCAGCTAAGCGAGCCTGTAGCTCACTACTTGGGCCTTGCTTGTTGTTTCGATGCTTGGCCAGCTGCTCTGAATGGGTCGATTTGAGTCTTGCGATCTGTGACTTGTGTGATTCTTCAGCTTCAGCTCGAAGTTTACGCAATGCATTGATAGCCTGATCGTGCTCCTGGGTGGTTTCTGTGGCCCGTTTCTTCAGCTTTGCATTATCGCACGTAAGAACGGCCATTCTTCCGAGAAGCTCTGCATTTTCGTTCTTAATAGAATCAAGTTTGGAAGATGCTTCACTGAGTCGATCGCGATACAGTTCCGCCTTGCGGGCTTCAAGTCGCGCCACGCCATTGGACTTTTTGAGTTGCTTTTGTAACTCCCGCTGGGTCTCTTCTGCCTCCTTTGAATGTTCCTTTCGTTGCTCCGAGGATTTCTCCCCAATGCCTTTGAAATGCTCTCTGAGAAGGTCGATAATTTCGAAGAACGGCTTTCCTAGGGCAGGGAGAGCCAACTCCCCTGCGAATTTTTGAACCTCTCTGAGCCTTGCTAAGCTTTCCGCAGCTTCTTCTGCTTTCTGAGACTCTGCCGTTGTCAACCGTGTTTTTAGGTCTTGAACGGTATGCTCTAGTTCCTCTACTCGTTTTTGGAACGAATCTCGTTCTCGAGTAGTGGAAGTCAACTGATACCTTAGGCTATAAACCCCGCCCAGTTTCTTTTCACATTCCTGTTTTACTTGCTTGATCTCTGCAGTCGTTTCCTCAGCGTGGCGTTGATGTTTTGCGCGGGCTTCCTCTAGTGCCTTCTCGGCCTCCTTAAGTAGCCTTCCTTTTTCCTTGAGACTGCTCTTGAGGGCAGATTCCTTCGAAGACTGACTAGCAGCTCCGCTCCGCACCTGTTCCAATTCAACTTTGGCCGCACGTAAATCCTTGAGTTCAGTCTCGCTCAGCTTGGTTCGTTCGTCACGCCTCTGCAGTTGTTGTTTTAACTTGCTCACTTGCTGGAGTAATGAACTTCCCTCTGCTAGTTTCGCTTCCATTTCCCTGATGCGTCGAGTTTTCGCCTCAAGGTCCATCTCGAGTTGGCATATTTGCTGAGCTGCACACAAGGTTTGGTCCTCTTGCGGGATAGTGCTTGTGTCTTCCATCCTAGAAAGCTCGGCTGTTGGCGTCGCTGGAACGGATTTTCGGCCTGGAGTATAAATAACTGAGCTTTCTTTCAGGTTGCTAGCATTGTTGTCCTCAGCGGCTAGGGCAGGTTGGTTTTTTGATGACGAATCTTGCTTTGCTGGTGCATTTACATCTCGCCAGAGGAAATGGGCGGGGGTAGAGGTCTCCATAGTGTGATCTAACTGGGTGTAGTCCTGTAATCCCGTAGCTCTTGTTGGGCCGTCGAGATCCTGTCCATCGTCCTGTTCGCCTTCAACTTTCCTTTCCCCTTCCACTTCACCCTCGCCATCTTTGTCTTTATCCCCTCCGCCGTCAACTTGCACTTGAGTGCGCTGAGTATTGTCCAGGTCCACGTTTTTCAGAAGCTCGACCATGTTCAGCGTAAAATCTTCTGGGCCTTCAATATCGGACAGGATACCAGTCCTTTCATCTTGAATATTGTGTTTCTTTCCCCCTTCTTCCTTTCCAATGCCCACCGTCTCCCCGGGAAGCTTGTTCAGGTCAAAGGTATATTCGGTGAGGTCGGCTTCGGAGCCACTCTGGTCACCTTCAACAGGTTTCTTAGGCGATTCACGAACTGGAATTCTGCTCTTCCATACGGGATGAGGTGTGGATATTTCTTTGCCCAAGGAGCTTTTGCTCCAAGACCTGACGTGTGGGAGCGATTTTCGACGGGGCAAAGCTGAGCCTACTGGCGAGACGAGGAACCCGGACTGGCCTGGGGTGTCGTGGGAGGTCGGACACGGCGAGGAGAAACGGTTCGCCATGGTTGGTGAGATCGTAGGAGTAGAGATATTCCTGTTATGCAAACTCTTGACCCAACACAGCTCACCGCCGTATTTTCCAGCTGAGTTGGCCTTCAAACCATCAGTTTTGCAGTGAATGTTTACATATTGCCGTTTTGGGTTACCGTGATATTTTTACACGTGACCTCGAACGTCATACGTGGATTTTTCGCATCTCGAAAGCAATTTAAGACCAGCATCAAGGAAACAACATCAACAACGTCAACAAGCAGCCATTTAATCCTGATATGGCTGCAGTGGAGCTCCTATATACTAGATATCTTGACTCGACGTCTTCCCCGCCATTGACATGATGAAATCTAATCCTTTTTCTAGCTATCTAAGTACCGATCGACGCTGGGACGCGTCAAACCATGGTAGCAACTTGTCCTATGACGTCGTGGTTTACTTATGAGGCGGGCAGTTCTGAGTGCCATTTAAAATGCTTATAGTTGATGGCCTACCTTCTCCAGACTTTATAGCTGCTTCAATTTAGCTGCCTGGTGGTTAAACCAATCTATAACCCATAAATTGTAAGTCTCTTCGTACCGTCCCGTTCAAGATGCCGAGCGAGCCCACGCCAAAGTACCACCAAAAGGTGTACCCCAATTTCAGTTTGAAAGACAAAGTATACATTGTTACAGGAGGAGGGAGGGGGTTGGGCCTTGTGATGGCAGAAGCAATGACAGAAGCAGGAGCTGAAGGTTTGTTGAAATGAAATTCTGACCATCATATATAATATATTAATGTATTTCTTAGTACATTGCTTTGACCGGCTAAAGGAGCCTGATCCCGAGTTCGCTGTTTCGCAGGAGATTGCGAACAGAGACCACATTGGGTCTTTACATTACCATCATGTTGATGTCCGCGACTCGAAGCACCTGGATGATTCAGTTTCTAAAGTTACAGCTCACTCAGGCCGAATTGACGGCCTTGTAGCCGCCGCTGGAATACAGCAGCTCAAGGACGCAGTCGATTTTACCCCAGAAGAGGTTACCAGGATGTTTGACATAAACTACACTGGACTTTTCATGACAGTCCAGGCAGTCGCGCGGCATATGCTGGATTTTGGGACCCACGGCTCCATAGTTCTGATAGCTAGTATGAGTGGCTTTGTTGCAAACAAAGGTATGCATTCGGCTACTTATAACTCTTCGAAAGCGGCGGTGATCCAGCTAGGTCGCAATCTTGCGATGGAATGGGGACCGAAGGGCATACGGGTCAATTCTCTCTGCCCAGGGCATGTCATTACACCAATGGTGGAGAAAAATTTCGAAGAAGTCCCTGATCTCAAAACAGTTTGGACAAAGGAGAGTATGCTGGGTCGCTTAGCTCAGCCTGAGGAGTTTACCGGGGCCGTTATTTTTATGCTAAGCGATGCGAGCAGTTATATGACTGGCAGTTCACTTCTCATTGATGGCGGCCACACTGCGTGGTAGTGCCACCCGCGCGTCACTTGAAGCTTTACCCTTGCTACGCTTCTACATCCTTCCAATTATTTCTATCGGAGCAACCCTTTCCTGTGTGTCTCCACGGTTAATCGTCTTTGGTTAGGTTCAAATTTGCAGTGCTTGTCCTCAGGTTGAGTGTATATTAATAGCATAAACCTCCCAGGTGAATTACTTCCTCGCGTATGTATATACTGACCTATAACATTAGCTGCTGTCTCATTTACCATGCTATCCAGAGATTTATATCTTGGGCAGTCTCTATCCTCCACTTCTTTCAAGGGCTCATACCAAGTACTACGCTATCCTACATTACAGTAAGTAGCAAGAGTAAGTGGCGAATGCATCAAACGCTGTCCCAAGCATGCTCTATGGTGATTAAGCTGATAGGAGGGTCTATGGCTCGTTCCGAAATACCGATGATACCCTTATACCTTTTAACCATGGCTCAGGGCTTCATTCCAATAGTGACTGCCTTTTGTCCATCATATCATCCACAGAGACTACCTCCAACGAAAATTATTTGAGGGTGCCCCCTTTCCAGCTCCTCCTTTTCATCCACCGCCGCCTTCCTCTTTCGTCGCTATACAAACAACTATCTTTCACTAGGGCCTCATATTATTCAGAGGCTGTATACAATTATCCCTTTACTACCTACCGAAGCTTGTCTCTATACTTAGCCCTATCATCACTCTTATAATTACCTTTATATACCCCATGCAAACTCGGCCATCACTAAGGCTTGCTCTGGTTTGAACCGGTAGCCCCTTTACTTGATAAGCCATAGGGGTCCTTAAGCAGAGCGTTTTTTTTTTCTCGAAATTAGCTGTTTTACCGAATCAAATTCTGGTCGAACAAAGACAATATGCCCAAAATACACTACTCCACGGCTGCAGTTTCGTATGCCGGACCGATTCCACTGGTACCGTCAACGCAAAGCACCCAGTCCCCTCCACCACTCAAACGGAAGAGAAAGACACAAGGCTCCACTGAAGGAGACGATGGCCTGCCAATACTAGGAGATGATGAAATCTCAAACGAAGATTACCGTTGTGGTGGGCCAGGCCTTGTGAGGTACCCTGTAGTAAAGCAGGATTTGGATAACGACCATCCTCTACAGGCGGTCTTTATCACACAGTTAAAGGGGTCGATGGTAAAGATATTACAGAAATGGGGTGTTGATTTCTCAACGATAACCCTTGGCCGGCAAGCCCATGACAACGGTCGTTTAAACCCTGATGTCGACACTATTACTGTACACGCAACGAAGCATGCACTGGACGATTCGTGGTTTAACGCTTGCAAGGAGATTCGTCGACATTTCGTCCAGAAAGAGCAGTCGCACCTATGTATCGAGATTATTGATAAAACAGCATTTTGCAACACGCTTCTATACGCAATTACGGTAAGTGATTCGTTTGCGCGCACCTGGAAAGTCTTACGCCCCCTGGTTTTAGACGTGCTGGGAGACACTGACTGGACTGTGCTCTCCACGATGACTCGCGACACTATGAATGAGCCCGACCCCACCACGATACTTGTCGTCGTTAGAGAAGAGTCGACCCATGATTGGACTGCTGTCAGAGAGGCCATCGTTGACATTCTGGACTTGCACAAACTCGGGCATGTGGCGGTTGAAATACGTCGTGGTTCAATCGAACCTTATGGACAGAAACCTTCCCTCCGTGGTTTACGAGACTGGGATATGTTTGCCCACCCTGGTGGAAGTATTGGGGTTCATGGATCGGACCAGGCTTCATCCACCTTCGGCGGGTTTTTGGAGCTACAGCTTCCGTCGGGGGAATGGAAATTATACGGGGTTGCGAGTTACAGCGGTATAATGACTGGGAAAGCTGACGACATGTGGGATAAACACGGAATTCGACCTGACGATATAAGGAACGACCTTTACCTTGATCATCCAAGCCTTGGGGATCATATCTCATCGATTAAGCAGTACCGACACGAGCTATCGGTTAATGCGGGACGGGAGTCGTATATTGCGTTGGAGAAACGCATTCTTGAAGGCGCTTGCCTTTCACGAAGTGACATGTACAGCTTTGATTGTGCTCAGCAACGGATTACGGACTTACGACTCTTCACTGCGAAGGGGCGTAGTCTTTACAACAGGACACAGCTGCTTCTAGGGAAGGTCTATGCGGCCTCCGGGCATCGTCGTAGCCCAGAGTCAAGACTGCTGGATTGGGCATTAATAGATGTGATGAGTGATCGCCTCTCGCCTAACGAAATACCTCAGTTGAATGTTACCGGTGAAGCCCAGAATTCGATTTACGTATCTTCGTCCGTTTATGTGGAGGGTGTAGCATACCCACAGTACGATATCTTTATATGCAAGACCGGCCGGTCCGGGTTTACTGACGGGGAGATGGGTAAACTTCTAGAAGCTGATGTCCAGAACTGGTTTCAGGATTCCCATGGTGACTGGAAAAGTGTCAAAGGGACAGCTTACCAGATCTTCTCTGCCGTATCGGAATTCGGTAGCCCGGGAGACTCTGGTTCGTTTGTGACTTATGTGACCGGAGCATTTATTGGACTCCTTATCGGAGGTGTTTCAGACGTCGGGGTCGGTTTGTTTATGAGAGCCAGTGACCTTTTTGAGGATATTAAACTCATTACAGGTGCTCAGGACATTCGTATCCCTGAGGAATTTTAGTTGGTGTCCCACTTGACTCCGCTTCACTTGCTCCTTTCACGCGTTTTCTCGATCTGTTTACTCCAAAGCCTTTTATGTAGGCTAACCCCTAGGAATGCTCCCTCAAAATATATGTTTATACGTAATACGGCGAATTAAACGACGCGAGTTTATACCTTAACTGAAGCCATAAATGCTTCATGGGGCCAGGTCGTAGTATTTGCAATCGAAGCCCGTAGAGGATGTACTCAAAAATTTCAACGAAGAGATCCTGCATTTTTGAGCAGAATAGCTCGTTTTATTTCAGGTGCCTGCAACATGCATCCTAACGGCTGAGTCGAGAATTTGCAACCCGCCACAAAATTACCATTATTTCTACAACATTGTACAAGGTTGAGGAAAGCCCATGTTCGTATGATCCAGGAATATAGTATGTAATGGCCACTGTGGGATAGACTAGAAATTTGGATAGATTTTATCAAATTTCAACCCTCAGCTTCCTATAGTATTATATTACGGTAATGCATAATGTAAAAGGAAAGAATAGAGGGCACTGACGTATGAAAGCTGATGTGGTAGCCCATTGTTCGACGCATTAACAGGACATTCACACGAGCCAGCAATCATTACAGTTAAGACACCTACTCAAGAGAAGTCTATTGCAGTAGGAATAAGATAGCTATCCAGTAATTCTGGTCTGGCCACAAATTTATACACGTACTCTTAGTGTCATTGTATTTCGAAAATATTGGGCCATTTAATTTGTAGCCGTCAAAGCCCATCGTATTTTTGAAGATGAATAAGTAGACCAAGCCCAAGATCAAGGTATTTCTTTAATCATGGAGGCGCTGCCAACCAAGCAGCCAGCAAGCGCACTGGTTAACTATTAATTGGATGTCTAATAATCTACCTACCCAGTGCTCGGCGCGGCCGGCCGGATACCAAAGCTCAAAAATCAGTGACTTCAGCCGAGAACGACCATCTCCATCACTAAACTCTAACTAATTAAAGTGGACGGCACAAACCGCTCAGCGGGACAAACTCTAAAGTTTAAGTAGTGATCTGGTGCGTGCGCTTATTCTACACAAACCAGCGCTGTAGAGCTCGATTCATCGTTGGATTCGACGCTTTTTTTTCGTTTTATTATTTTTATTTTGAAGAGCCATATAAATCTACACTAGATATTGTAAGTAGAGGCCGCATCTGTCTCGGCTGAGAGAAATGAAGCTCGCCCGTCACTATTGCCAACGAGGCACTGTCTGAAAAATTCCTAGCAATGATTGGAAAACATACCATATCCAATGTTAGTCAAGAAAGCCTTACTGTTCTATACTTCTAGGCAATGGATTGTCTAAACAACGATGAATTTCATTTGGTAACAAAATACTATTTGATAATCTTGATACTACCTAATATTTCTCAAGCTTGGAATAACCGTAAACAGAGCGCCGGAAGAACATAGAAACTCTCCGTATATATCTCCTTCCTATGTTTTTTCCTACCAATAGCTTTCAGGGAGCACAAACCCCCCTAACTAATGCAAACATTTATCTCTCAAGGACGAATATATCCGTTCGATCAGTAATCTATCTGACCCATTAGTTACTGATAACTATCACAGTCTCATCAGACTTCGGTTTGGATTTATGTACTCACGAGCAGAACAATAGCATGAGCCTAGTTGAGTCGACCTGCCGCAACCGAGGCGGTAACATCTATATCCGCTACCAAGACGATCCACGAGACTCCGCCTAGGGTTGCGCATGGTGAACATCGCACTTGACGACAAGGACGGAGGATAAAGCAGCCTGTCGTAGTCGCTGGAGTAGATTCGATGTGATCTACGGGCGGGTGCCGAATAATATGATCTGCTTGGGATCGGTTCCCTTAGCTCTAGTATAAAAGGTTGGGACTGCTCAAAGTCGTCCCATAGGCGTCGTCTGGACGATTCGATCTGAAACTTTGGCCGGGGTTGCCTATCTCTCATCATCGTAGAAGTCCACATCTTTCAGCACTTTCCGCAATATAACAGGGACACAGCTTGGATGTATTTGAGTATTGTCGCAATAATAGCGCGCAGATGTCAATGTTATCAGAGTCAAGCTGTGATACCGAGAGAGGATGGGGTATTTGAAAGAGAGGATTTCAGCTACCCCCCCTCCTTCATATATAGTTTCTTCTCATGCTGGGCGTTATTAGCGCCTAGATATGTACGGCGCAGCGGTTAACGGGCTACTAGCGTAGAGTGTTTCATTGCAGGTGACACTCGGGAACGAAAAGCACTGCCCAGATGCGGCTGTCTGACGCATAGAACTTTTCCGACAGACCTGTCACAGATGCGAATGACCGTTCGAACGTTTGCAGGAGAGATCCAGCCGTTTGGTTGACGTCACGAATGTGTTTCTTGATGCGCCAGGCTTAAGTGATTGGATGTATTTTAACGAGAATGTTTCGCCCCAACTAACTATATATTTGCCAGGGTCCCTGCTAGCCCATCTTGAGGCTATACTTGTGTGTGTGTGTGTGTGTGTATCGCCGCTGGAGTTGTTTGTTACCGCCCATCACATCAATAGGCATGAACTTTTACTTACTGGACTTGGTTTCAACAGCGACTGTTAGCAAACTAGAATTTTTCAGCCTACTCTATCTCCCGCTAAGGATTTGAAGAATGGTAAGTTGAGCGCCGTTGTGCAAATATGCGGCAGGGCGCTCGATGATGCAAGAATAGATTTAAGTGTGCTTGTACCGAAAAGTGGGATATCACACCTGGTGCGGTGCCCATTTAAAATGAACGTATTATGGTAGCATTGCTCGTCACCATTCGCATATCAAGGCTGCTAAATATCAGAGATCAGGATCCAGTGACTCAGACAGCCTCGTTAGCTGTTTAATTCTGGGAGACAATGCAGTCATAGGTAGCCTTGTTTTCATCTATTAAAGCTTGGTGACAGATATCCATGTCAAGCAAGGCTGATTCTAGACCTGCTCCATCGCGACTATCACCCAAAGCCTGCGGATAATGAATGCAGGGAATTGTAAAAGAAACTGCAGTGACCAGATGACCAAGTGAGCTGGTATACGCCCGAGTTATAGGAGTAGATGGGCGTATAATCTTCTGTGCTCAAGTTTGCATCGCGGCGTACCATGGCGGCTGTGCATGACTGAGTTAGAATGGGAGACATCCAGCTTGAGCAGAGTGTAGATTCATGGATACTACTTAACTGTCGCCTTATGAAGGCGTCAATCTTCCTTGTCCAGCAATATACACTCCTTAACAGACTGTATCCGCCATAGAAAGGGCGGATTTGGCAGTAGAAACCGTATACTACAAGAGTAGTATAATAAAATTAGAGGTCGAAATGATCAAGTGCTATATCTTGCATCGAACGGATGGTGTTGGTGTTTAGTTAAGTAACTATCAAAGCCACCTTGCATCTCCAAAGATCCCGGCAACAGACACATAACACATATCTGACATTTCCAGAGCAAGAACTCCAGACATACCAGATCACCAGTAACGGTGCCTCCGAAGACGCCGTTTATATACCCAGATGCCACCAATTCTATCGAATCGACGCGATAGCCTGCGGCCTCGAGTGATATGCTATTATCAGACTTACTTCCCCGACAACGGGACCAACTATGTCTCCATGCTCCCGCTCTGCACAAACTATAGCGGCGTATCGCATGTAATACTGGCGGCGTTTCATATCAACGAGGACGCAGAGAGCATCACTCTGAACGACGACTCTCCCGATGACCCTCGCTATCTGCCTCTCTGGGAAGAAGTTCGCGTGTTGAAAGCAGCTGGAATCAAAATCATGGGAATGCTTGGAGGCGCCGCGAAAGGGAGTTTCCAGCGACTCGACGGGGAGATCCATGACTTTTATAATTATTACACTCCTCTCCGTAACATGATTAGGGCCCATGGGCTTGATGGACTTGATCTGGATGTCGAGGAGGAAATGTCTCTCCCAGGAATCGTTCGACTAATCAACAGCCTAAAGTCGGATTTTGGAAACGACTTCATTATTACTCTTGCACCTGTCGCGACAGCATTGATACAGGGGCTACGGCATCTCTCTGGGTTTGACTACTTCGCCCTGGAAGAACAGATGGGATCGAAGATATCGTGGTACCACGCTCAGTTTTATAACGGCTGGGGTGGGATTACTGATCCGTCGATGTACCACACGATCATAGCTAATGGCTGGAATCCCGAGAAGGTCGTCGTGGGAGTGCTATCGAACCCTCGAAACGGAACCCAGGGCTACGTTCCCATGGAGACACTGAATAGGGTTCTCCCGACGCTGCTTCAGAATTATCCTTCATTCGGCGGTGTCTCGGGCTGGGAATATTTCAACGCTCTGCCCGGAGGTAGGCAAGAGCCGTGGCAATGGGCAGCTCTTATGTCTTTGATCCTCGGGATGAAGTCTCTCTACGAAGCTGGGCTGGTAGGAGTCTTCTTGCAAAGCACTTTGGCTGGCCGGGATGGCAGATGATATACCAACCCCCTTTTTTTGCCCATAGGCCCATTTATATCTTAGTATAGAAATGAGCAAAGAAATGGAGTCTTGTCTTAACTCAGGTGGAGTAGAAATAGTAGAAAAGTGGTAAAGACAGCTGAAACCGTCCCTTTTATTTACCTTGTTACCCATGTCGTCATAGACCGTTGCCTTAAAATAAATACGCAGCCTCCCAAACACTTTACAACTGGACACGAAACTTCATCTCGACACTCCCTGACAGCTCCGTCGAGCGGACAATCGCTGGACGATGAGATAGCAGACATGCAAAAGTACCAGGAAATACTTATAACTGCCTGTTCGGTGGTTATCAGGCTCATCTCGTTCATTTTCTTGCGTTGGGTACGTGGCGGCGCGTTGCTGGTATGAACATACTCCGTACTGACATTGAGCATAGATTCCCGCCCATCATGCACCTCCAATCGCCGTCTCAACCCTCTGCGTCTATCTGAGTCTAATATGGGCTTCATCGACGACCTCGCCGTCCGACCGACCTTTGGAAGATAGCCGGGATAAGCAACGTACAGCTACGGCTGGGACCAGACAACCGGCCGCAAAGGGTGCACCACAAAAGAGACAAAGGAGAGGAGTGTCAGCGTTATGGTCTCTTATCTCGGGCGTGCCTTGCACCAACTCGAAGCTGGTTTCGTGGATTACAGTCGGTGTCAACGTGCTACTCAATATCTTCGTACTCGATTTCGTCTTCCGAGGTTCCGTTTTGCATGATCCAGCAAACCTTTCGTTCTCTCGCGTTGGGTACGTCTCGCAAGACAGCGCAAAGATTCTTATTCGAGAGCCGGACGAGGGAAACCTGCCGTTACATGTTTATCACCGAATGAAACATGACCCAGAAAACGAGCTGTGGACGGTGACCGCAACGATACACACCTTAAACGACACAACAGACTATACGTTCCCTCTTCTGATAGACGAGCTGGAGCCTGCTACAAGATATCAGTACTTGATATCTAATAATCTATCTGGGGAATTCACCACGGCCCCTGCACCCGGCTCGCTGGAATCGACTCGGCTCAATTTCTGGACTACTAGCTGCATCAAGGCTGGCTTCCCTTACAACCCACTCTCACACCCGCTTAGGATTCCTGGGATTGAAACGCTCTCCCAGGTGTATTCTAAGATAGACCAATTGGCAATCCCTTCATTCATGCTTTTCCTGGGAGATTTCATCTACGTTGACGTTCCCGTCCGATTTGGTTCTGCCATCAAGCATTATAGAGATGAGTATCAAAAAGTTTACGCATCTCCAAGCTGGCATGTTGGGGAACATCCCCCAATTGACCTGCCTTGGATTCATATGCTTGATGACCACGAGATTGCCAACGACTGGCATGACGGCAACGTTACCGAACCATACCCTGCGGCCATCGACCCGTATCTTCATTACCATGTGAGCGTCAACCCTCCAAAGGCTCAATCCCCTCACGCAATCCATGAAAACACGACATATTTCTCGTTTACTCGTGGGCCAGCATCATTTTTCATCTTGGATGCAAGGACGTATCGATCTGCTCCAGGTTCAACGAACTCAACAATGCTTGGATACGCTCAGCTCCAGTCACTACTTGATTACATCTCCTGTCCCGAACCTGCTGGCGTTAAATGGAAGATAATCAGCAGTAGTGTCCCTTTCACCAAGAATTGGCACATCGGAACCTCTGACACATGGGGAGGCTATTTGAACGAACGACAAGTTCTGCTGGAAGCTATGTGGCGAGCTGAACGTACATTGGGAATTAGAATTGTCCTTCTCAGCGGCGACAGACACGAATTTGCTGCCACGAAATTCCCTAATCCGCATACCAGGTCGATAGACCCCACTGTTGAATCTCCTGCGATGGACGTCGGCCAGGGTATTTATGAATTCTGCGCTGGTCCTCTGAGCCAGTTCTACCTACCCAGCCGTCCTTATTACCAAACTGATGATGAAGATATACCCATTAAATATATACCGAATGGGAACTTCAAGTTCGGTGCTGTCGATATCGAGACTCGGCCAGATGGGGAGTCCGTTCTTATATATACTTTATATGTGAGTGCTGAAGCTGTATGGCAGTACAAGCTTTCTGTGCCGCAGAATACAGAGAAGGGAGAAGTGGAATTTCCAGACGGAGAAGTGTTACTTGATATTGTCGACCTTCCGAATGGACAGCTGTCTGAGGTATCTCGGCTTTTCTGGGTAGGATTAGGTTGGGGGAGTATGCAGTTCAAGGCTCTTTTGAGGGGATTGGGAGGTTTTATTTTAAAAGGTGAAAGGTTAGACGAGTGAAATCGGCGATTGGATTATTCACTTTCTTTACCAAAGTTATCTTTTTTTGGGCTTATTCTTGTTTTCGTCTGCTACAGCCCTAGTTCTGTAGATAGATTCGGTCTTGAGATCAAAGGGGCGTAATAACTCATTGAAAGAGATCAGGGGTAAAAATGACTTTTTCATCATCCAATACATGTAAAATATGATCAAACGGGGCTCGCTCCAAAACGCCATTCTATGGTATGTTTCCCTTGAGCCATAAAATGCAATAAAATAATCAACATATCATAATTCAGCAGGGAGAAGTTTATCGGCCTCGCCCCCTGCTGCCTCCACGACCACCTCCCATACCGCCCATACCACCCATGCCACCCATGCCTCCCATGAGTCCGCTCATCTGGCTCATCATACTTTGCAAGTCCATACCACCTAGACCTGGCATCCCACCACCACCTGCACCACCACCTCCTTGTAACATTTGCATCATCTGTTGCATATCTCCCATTCCAGGCATGCCAGGCATTCCAGCTCCGCCGCCCATAGCAGCCATCCTCTTCTGCATAGCAGCCATTTGCTGTTCTTTGTTGCCGCCCTTCAGCATATTTTGAGCACGTTGCATCTGCTTCTTCTGTCCGCCAACCTTCTTGGCCATACCTGCCATCATCTTATGTTGCGAAAGTAGATCTTCAACTTCCCTAACGGTCGTTCCGCTTCCACAAGCAAGGCGAACGATTCTGGTAGGTTGGTCAATGAAAACTTTCCCATCGCCGTCTAGCTCTGAGGCGGTCATGCTGTCAAAAACATAAATCATGCGCCTGAGCTTCAGTGAGCCATCCTCATCATCAAGGCCTGACGTTATATTAGAAAGTCCGGGTATCATGCTTGATATTTTCGAAAGGGGTCCCATTTTCATAATTGAAGTAATGTTTTCGCGGAAATCACGTAGAGTGAATATTCCCTCGGAGATATGTTTATATGTCTCCTTTGCGCCAGCAGAGTCCTTCGTTACCGCTTGAACGTGCTCGACCAAGCTAGCCATATCACCCATTCCAAGAAGTTTTTGAACGAATGGTCGGGGTGCGAATTTCTCCAGGTCTAGCATGTGTTCACCTGTTCCCAAGAAGATAATAGGCGTGTGAGTCGCAGCAACGGCAGAAATGGCACCACCACCAGCAGCGTGTCCGTCAGTTTTAGTAATGATGATTGCTCCAAAGTCTGCCGCTGATTTGAAGGCGGCTGACTGTGACTCGGCCGCCTGACCAATTGTACTATCAAGAACCATGATAGTTTGATCCGGCCGTATAGCTGTTTGAATTTGGGTCATTTCAGCAAACAAATCTTCCTCCTGCCTATGTCTTCCACTGGTATCGACTATAATAATATCAAACCGCTCTTTCTTAAACTTCGCCACACCCTCGGAGGACACCACGACAGGATCCGTCTGTGTTAAGCTACCGTAATACGGAATTTTCGCCTTCGTCGCATTCTGTTTAAGTTGATCGAAGGCACCGGCACGGAAGGTATCCGCGCAGACAAGGGCCGCCCTGAATCCTTTGGTCTGATAATGTCTTGCCAGTTTTGTACATGTGGTCGTTTTACCCGCCCCCTGTAAACCAACCATCATAATGACGTTGGATTTTCCCTTCTTTGGCTTGAACGGTTCCGCATGTGGATCGACGAGCGCAACCAGTTGATCGAAGACGGCTTTCTGAATCAGACGCTTCTTATTGACTGCCGGGGGAACGGAGGAGAGCTGTACGGCGGCCTTTATGGATTTGCGCAGCTGTTGCACTAGCCGGACATTCACGTCGGCGGATAGGAGGGCAGCGCAGATTTCCTTTATCATAGAATCCAACACCTAGGGCGAGCAAGTTAGAATAAATAAATATGGTAGCAGTCGGCAGTACATACCTTCTCGTCAACGGCATTTGACCTGGTCAGGTCGCTGACGGCTGCGTTGATACGTCGCCCCAAGTCTTGGAGAACCATCTTGTATATGTATATTCAGTCGACCGGCCACAGGAGAAGGCTTCTCTATAGATCTTGTATTCTTGTTGACCGGAGTTGTCGCTGTGTGGGTTGTAACTGCGAGTTTGAACCATCGATAAGGGAGGGGGCACGTGACCATGGAATTTATCTTTTATCAAGATAAAGCAAAGAAAAAAAGATAGAAGAAGCAGATCAAAACACACAACGAGGACAATGGCGCCGTCAATAATGAAAAAGAGAAAGGTCGACGAGGGGATGAGGGGCAAGACCTCGAGGCCGAAGAAGAAATTCAGAAAACAGGAATACTACAACAGCAGCTCGTCCGAAGACGAGGAGGACGGGGGAGCTCCAACTGATTTCGCGGCGATAAATCTAAACGACTCGGACAGCGACGCCGAAAAGTCGATACATAGCGATGTCTCTTCACAAAACGATGAAGCCGAGCTACAACTGGAAGAGAAGGAGGAATTGGCCGCTACGGGAGAGTCGGAGATGGACGACGACGAAAACTCGGACGCATCTTCAGTTACCTCGTCGCATGCTGGATCCTCGACGGTAACAGGCAGAAAACATGTGTCCAAGAGAAACGATCCCACTGCCTTTTCCACCTCTATATCGAAGATTCTTTCCACCAAGCTTCCCACCTCCGCTCGCTCAGATCCGCTTCTTTCTCGAAGTAAAGTGGCAGCCCAGACCAGCGCAGACATAGCAAACGAGCGGCTAGAGAATCGCGCGCGGGCGAAGCTACGAGCGGAGAAGAGGGAAGAGCTGGACCGTGGCCGTGTTAGGGACGTGCTGGGTGCTGACAGGGGTGAAGCTGGAGAAACTGCGGAGCTAGAGAAGAGACTACGCAAAGTTGCGCAGAGAGGTGTTGTCAAACTGTTCAATGCGGTCAGGGCAGCGCAGGTACGAGGTGAAGAGGTTGCCAGGGAAGAAAAGAAGAACCGGTTGACGGTGGGGATGGGCGAGAGAGAAAAGGCTGTCAACGAGGTCAGCAAGCAAGGGTTTTTGGATTTGATAAACGACTTGGGCTCGAAGCCAATTGAGGAAGCTTGAGACAAAAAAAAATGAGAGTCATGTATGGGAGTTCTGGGCGTTTTTAACATGATATAAACGAGTTATTCCCTTCAAGTCGGGAGTACTTTTTGCTGGTCTATAAGGCTATTGTACAAATGCTAAACATATCAACCGCATTATTAAACACTGGGCGACCATGTCCAAAGAGGAGAATATAATTACAGCACCCAACCCATAAAAGTCTTCTGTTCAACGGGATAATGTCTACCATGTTCATCCATAAGGTAGAGGTACGGCATATCGCATTTATTTCTTCTCCGCAAAATCGCTGGCTTGCAGGTTTCGAGTCATGCTGGGCAGGGTGATAACGAGGCCGTCTAGTTCTTTGGTCATCTTGACCTGGCATCCCAATCGCGATGTTTCAGTCAAGCCAAAGGCCAGATCCAACATATCGTTCTCATCGTCATCAGGCTCCGGCATCTTATCGTACATGTCCGGGTTTTCCACGATTACATGGCAGGTAGAGCAGGCGCATGAACCTCCGCAAGCACCTAGTTAAAATATACTATTAGCAGTTGGTAAATGATATATAGAATGAAGTAACCGACCTTCCATTTCAAGATCGTTTGCCTGCGCTATATCAAGCAGATTATCCCCCTCGGCGACTTGAAAGTCATGTCGGTCTCCGTCTTTATCAATAAAAGTGACGTTGATCCTGTTGACAATTAGCAATGCACCCATATAAATCTCCAGACCGAAGACTCACTCTTCACCCGGCTTCGGCGGCGTAATATGTCCATGCAGTAATTTCGAGGACGAAGAGAACGCCCGTCTAGGTATCGAGGCGCCGTGTGAAGGATGAGCTCTCGATGCCCGCGGGACTGGTCGGAAAGGTCGATGCGAGCCCTCTGGCATGGTGGACAACAGCCTGCTCTGCCTCGATATGCTCTTCAAATGCGCATATTGGCCGGTCGAGAGTCTCTGGCCTGTACTCTGTGGTAGCGATTGTATAGCATGGCGGCATAGCCCTCTCCATGCGGCCATGGCTGCTGGTCTCTGCTTCTGCTTCTGCTTCTCGCAATTGATCGCGCTGCTCCGTAGGGTAAAAGAGAGGACAGCAAGGCCAGCTCAGGCGCCAGAGACTGACGTGCGATATATCAGTTGCCAAACCGTGAAAGGTTTGTCTTTTTTTGAATTGTTTCTAAGAGACTAAAAAAGCAATCCAGGTGGACGTCGGGATTATTAAGAACCAAACACGCTTCTATCTCCGAGACCGTCAAAAAAATAGTTTTACAGCAAGCAAACAACTACAACCTACACATCGAGGGAATCGCGGCCTCGTCCCGGATGAGCGAGAGATCGATCACTTGCGCCTCTGCCATCGTCTACGGATAAGCAATGAATTCGTCTACGGAAGGGCCAAATCCGCTGAGGCCGTACTATGTCCCGCCTCCCATTGGACTCCCTGATAGCCAGGCCACATCCAAGGTCGTTTCGAGCGCGGCGGCGGAGAATATAAGCAGCTTCGGGACCTCTGCTCGCGATATACTGTCTGACTTTGACTATGCGGATTATCTTGGAGAGTCCTCGCCGTCGATCGCAGACTCCATCAAGCAGCTGCTCGAGAACGCAGCATGGCGGTACTCGCGGGTGTTGATATCCCAGCCATTCGAGGTTGCAAAGACGATACTCCAGGTATACGTTGCGGAGGATGCAGCTGCTGAAGCGGAGGAGGAGAGGAGAAGGCTGGAAAGACATCGGATGGAACACTATGAAGAAGAGGTCGGAATCCCTGCACAAGGAGAGATTCTTATAGACGCATGCTAACTTGCTATTGTGGATGGATTATAGGTCTCATACGGCTCTGATGACGAAAATAACTACTTCACATCAAGTGCGACTGCACCTCCTCCTTCGTCGAGGAATTACGAGAGAAGCTCCCAGCGGATAACTGAACGGGGTGGCTACATTCCACAGGGCGTGCAGCCGAAGTACATGCTGAAAATCAAGGACTCTTCGTCTATGCTGGACGTCCTATCTCAGCTTTGGGCAACTAGCGGACCTACATCTATATGGAAAGCGTCCAATACTACGTTTATATACTCCATACTCCTGCCAACACTAAACACCTTTGTACGAAGTCTGCTATCTGCGATATTGGGCTATCCTGAAGATTCCTTCTCCTCCTTTCCGGCTGGCGATATTATCACATCGTCTGCCCCAGGCACAGCTTTGGTTCTGTCCTGTCTCTCCTCGGCTCTTTCGGCCATCATACTATCCCCCATCGACACAGCACGCACATACCTGATCCTCACACCACACGGCCATGGCCCTCGTTCTCTACTTCATTCAACCCGGCTACTTCCAAGCCCGAGCTACATGATCTCCCCACATCTCCTACCCATCACTATTCTCACCTCAACGTTACCAAACTTGATCGCCACCAGCACTCCCCTTTTTCTCAAGTCATATCTATCTCTTGACCCGGTACTAAACCCGTCCACCTGGAGTCTCTTCAGTCTCATGGCCCAGGGCCTCGAGTTAACCGTACGGGTCCCTCTCGAAACTGTTCTCAGACGAGCACAGATAGCAACATTTACATCTCCTGCCCTCCGACAGCTTAGTTCAACACACACACCGCCAGCTATCCAGTCACCGACCTCCGAGAGATCTTCAAGCGTATCAGCAGGACCTAACTCCAATACCCCTCTACCGACCATTGTCCCTGCTCCTCAGATCTACCGAGGAATTGTCGGGACAATGTGGAGTATTATTTATGAAGAAGGCACAAATCCAAACCCCACCGAGCTAGACCACGCAGAGGAAGCAATTGGGCATACTCTTCAGGTAAACAGGAATGCGAGACGACAAATGCAGAAACGTCGCAAGGGCCAAGGCCTACAAGGCCTGTATAGGAGCTGGAGGTTGGAGATGTGGGGTATAGTTGGCATATGGGGATCAGGATTTTTAGGAGCCTTGATGAGTGGTGGAGATGATGAAATCGTCTCGGACTCGATGGGAAGGATGGCTCTAGGGTCAACCGGTAGCCATGTAGGGACAGGGAAGGGTGCATTTTAAACCACCCTGACATCAGCTTGACAAAAGTCCTCCCCCTTTCTTGAATTTCCTCCCTGATATCATCTGAATAAATCTCACTATTCCCCAGCAATGGCGTTATTCCACTATTATTTTATATATGTAATATCCCCAGTTCTTCTCTAGAGCAACCAATCCCGCTTTAATGTACGATACCTCTCCCTTGTGTCTATATAGCTTCAAAAATGTGCCTACCGTGAATATATAACCAGATTCAATGCTATAGTTTAGATTCATTCTCAATTAAGTGAAGATTTTGGCCACCTAACTCATAATGTATGCATACATGTCGCACCACCTCTATATAATCCATTATGTCACCCAGGCTGTCAAACGTATTCTCATCAAGAGGAGTTTCTTCTCGCCTTGTTCTAGGATATTAGCAAAGATGAGACCGAGTGCTACTAGTACAAAAAAAAAGGACAGAATATCAAAGCATCACTGGAAAGCGGGATATCAAAGAAACATAGAGATGAAGGAAACAAGTTGACTCCGTGACGCCGTTCCTCTAATATTGATACCCGTGACGTTATCATGGTCATTACGAGTCAAGAGAAGAGTGCTGGCGCAAAGATATCTATCCAAGTTCTCCAGGCATAATATGTCCATCCAGGAAATATGAGAAGAAAATAAAAGCAAAAGTATAAACAAGAAAGGGGTCATGGGTTATAGAACAAAGGAGGAAAAGGCCCTAGCTTCGCCCTCACTTCGAATCCGCGAATCTTCTATCAAAGTATCGTAGGACTCCCATGACGCTAGCTGCCTCGACTTCCAAAGCAGGCCGGTTGGTGAGATTTTGGTCCCGGCGGCGATCTGGAGTCAGGTCTTGAGGGTTAGGAAGTGTATGTAGCTGGGGTATCCAATTGCTCAAATCATCTGTTGCAGAAGAGAATTTTGGATGGCGTGAGAGAGTGGTAAATGTATCAGCACAGCTTAGCGTGATGGCAGGAGATGAAGTAGCCTGTCTGGTCGTGTCTGAGCTAGAAGATCGGGTTTTACAGCATCCACCCTGTGCGCTGCCACCTCCGCAGCAGCCACCTGTCTGACCACGAGACGCACGGGATGCGGCAAGGCTCTTACAGAAGACGGAACTGCGAGGGTCGGCCATACACTGGGCGCATGTACCGGGGCCATTGGCGCAAGGGTTGCTCTTTTTGCTCGACGCTATTATAGCAGACTTGGAGAGAACATCTCCTTCGGAGGGAGGGGGTGTGAACTGTGATAGATTTTGGATGGGTGGTAGTTTATTAGATTCGGAGGGCTGGTTATTTCTTTCGCCCTCTGCGGCCATTTCTGCACAAATGCACGGTGAGCCATCCTGACAGAAGCCACACGGGTCTATCAGGATAGGCGTGGTGGCATCATTTCCACCTCTTGGGTGACGTCGGATAGTGAAAGAAGAAGTGAAATCGGTCTCCAATTCTTCAGGCTCTGTTTTGATTTCAGGATTGGATCTATAACGTTTTTGCGTAGCTCCTTGGGATGGTGACCTGGCTCGTTTGTTGTGTGTATCATCTGCTTGCATCTGAGTGATATTTGATATATTAAACGCATCATCAATGCATTGACACCGCGTGGAGGAGCACCTTTCACATCCGCCAATGACCGAGTGACCCTTGGCTGTCGTTCTCTCTGAGTTGCTGGACCTCTGCAGCTGTTTGATGGCGTCCTCCTTGGCAACCTTCTCCGTTATAACTTCATCCTCCAGTGTTTTGCACCGGTTTTTCCACCATAGTATCTGGTTCTTGTACTCTTCTATCTCTTGCAATTGGCTCTGGATGGTATCGTTGAGCGCAGCCTCGTCTCGCTCATTCTCCTCCTCGATTTTCTTGATATGTTCCTCTAGTTCTCCCACTCTCGCAGCCCGACGTTCTCGAAAGGCCCGCTGTGCTGCACGATTCTGTGCTTTCCGTTTCGTGGGCGGTGTATCTGTGGCGGGCTTCCGGCCGGGCTTTGGCCGTGGAGGAACGATCCATTCCTTTGAAGTAATGGAGCACTGGGCGAGCGGTGCTGGCGACGGGGCGGCGGCTAGGGGTTTGACTGAGAGTGATCTTTGATGTGTAACAGCTGCAGGAGCAATTGGTAGTGGCAGGGGAGCCGGCGTGGATGTTCCGGCTTTGGTCGTCATCATCAACGGCTTCTCCCGAGCTCGAGCTCGGGCCGTTTGAGAGAGAAAAAAAACTGTGTGGTTTATGAAACAGGAGTCAACAACTCCAGACAGACACAACCAGAGCACCGGTGAGACTGTATTCCGTCAGCAATTGGCCTCTGTCATGGTGAGGATGCGTGGAGAGCAGACGTCGACGTGATGCAAGAAGCAACGATGGTTGTATTTTCAGCCCGCGGGGGGAACTCGGATGATCAGATTAGATTATCGTGCGATGGAACATGTGACTAAGCGGAATATCACGTGGTGAGGGCTTATCAGATCGCCAAGACTTCTTATCTCTTGAACGCCAAAAGCGGTAAAAAGGAACAACAACTTCCGAGTTGCATGCATGCATCAAGAGGTAACTAAATCTCAACGATACGAAGTCCATTTCACAAGCCTCCGACGCAAGGTGTTAAGTGGTGAACCCTGGCTAGTTTAATTACTAACGATCGACAGTCGCACGTCAATCACCGGTGACCGCAACTGGCTTAACACTGCGCCCTTCCAGCATCGCAAGAAGCTATGATGCCACCTCGGTTAACATTTAGCCCGGCTTTTTTACGGATATTTTGACTCATTGATTGCTATATTATTGTGCTATAGGTAGTATATTACTTGGCTTTGGATCAACAGGAAAACTACAACCATCACTATCTCTTTATTCTGCACAGTTCGTTTTCATAATCGCAGCAGCCATGGCCACTTCTAGCCCAGTGGTTTCAAGTCCAAAAGTCGCGGCTGTCCTCCAGAAACTCCATGGCGAGTCTGACTCACAGGAGTCTTCATACTCGGTTCTTTCGTTCTGGCTTCGCAAGCAGATCACAGCTATACTATTCGGTAGCCGTGGATGGAATTCCAGGGATGACGACTTCATGAGGGACAAATACATTTGCCTTGAAGCTGACAAGGCCCAATTGCTATATCTTCTGGCAAGGTCTACTGGTGCTCTGAACATTGTCGAAGCTGGTACAAGCTTCGGCGTTTCCACGATATACCTTGCCCTTGCGGCTGGGCAGAACGCTGCTGCGAAGGCGTCTGGTTCAGCCACGCCGGGACAAGGAGCTCAGGTCTTTGCCACCGAGAATGAACCGACCAAGGCAAAGAAAGCAAGGGAGAACTGGAAGGAGGCTGGAGAGGAAGTCGAGCCATGGATTACCTTGCTAGAAGGTGACCTACGTGAAACCCTGCCGGAGCAGATGAAGAAGGTTGATCAAGTCGACCTTCTGCTGCTAGATAGTATGTTAGCCTGCTTTCTTAATCTTCTGGAATTATACATGTCTCTCTTCTTTGTATGATTCTTGATTAACCTATATCTAGTTTGGACACCGTTGGCTCTGCCAGCGGTCAAAGCCGTCCTACCGAATCTCCGCACCGGTGCCCTAATCGTCGCAGACAACACTGTCATGGCACGAAGAGATTACAAGGACTTGTTTGCTTTCCTCGATGACCCCACGAACGGATTCAAGCACATGACGACTCCATTCAAAGGTGGTTTAGGAGTCATTGTCTACCTTCCGTAGGCTACCACTTGTGGATGCAGATCTGGTCATCCCGGATCCATACAACATGCACAGCTTTACCTGACCGACAGGCTGCAGCTCCATTGATACAACTTAGCCTTGGTCGTTCAGTGTCAAATGCGTTTCATGCGTTCATAATTATACCTCTCCTGCTTCTTTACCAAGGCCAAATTTGATTCTATACCCATAGTCTATACTGTGGAATGCTCGCATTAATTTCCATTGATTTCCATTGATGAACAATTTTCCGTCATGGTAGATAAAGTATTGTACAGGTCTAATAGACAACACGCTCCCTTGAGATAAAAGACAGGAAATGAAGGTAATACAGGATATGCAATGATATATATTGCAATTGTGGAAGTAAGGACCACATGTATGTAATGTGTCCGTACGTGAAGGTTCGGGTAGAGTTGTAGTCAGAGGCGCGAAATAAGTATAATAGCTTATCTTCTGCGAGATCCTTGAGAGCTTCCTCTGATAGATATACGTTTCGTTCGGAGGTAGTTGCGAACAATGTTCTCCACGCTTCCCATGTCGTGAGCGGGTTGCCTAAAGCATTTATATTAGCCGCAATCCTCGCATGTAAAGATATAAGTGCTCAACGATGGAAATCATCTTGTTGCTTCCTATTTTCCGTAATAAGGACGGTAGAAGGATATCGTACCTCATATATGTCAACTTCGCGCGTCTCTTCCTCTTCTCTGTGCGTTGAACGATCTCCACACCAGCCACATTAGGACTGTATGCTTTCACCCACATTTCACAGCTGATTCTAGTCAACTTATTCCGTAGCAAAAAGGCGGTATCGACCCCCCTCTGTCGAATATTCAAGCACACACCCGCAAACGGATCGCCATTCTTGAACATCACACGGAGAACATCGCCCACTTTCGCACCGTGTCGATTCTTCGGGTCGAAAAGTGCCTTCCTCTCGCCGGTCGGGTCAAGTACGGCCAATTGCTCGGATGTGATGGCGCCAATGGGATCTTTACATGTATCGTATGCGAAAGCTGGAGGTGGATAGACTTTTAATGCTTTCTCGCCTGTGCATCAAAGATGGGTCAGCAACGAGATATTTTAGGTAGGATCGGAACAAATGGATAGAAGATACCTCTTCCGGGTCTGCAGAACTTGGGAATCTGTGACAAGAATTGTTCTGGGATATTGGGAGGAAACGCGATCTTTTCCTTCTTCGGGGAATGGATGGTATGAAGAAATTGACGACGGGGGATCTGGTGCCTCAGCTCCTTGAACGCATTTGCACAGCAGCCCAATGGCCGTATTGACGACTGCAGAAAGGCCATCGTGGGGGGTTTCAGTTGCGCAACGCCCTCTGTTCGGTCTTGTCTTGTCGTTCTTCCTGTCTTTTCTGTCCTTCTGGTGAAGTTCGAATTGGAAATTTGAACCATCATCAAAAAGTGGCCCGTGCCATGCCAAGACCAGCATTTTATCTTCGACTTTTTTTGATGAATCCATCGAAAGACAGAACCACCTACCATTCACACGCAGTAACTTGTGATATTTGCGTGCCAATTCAAGCTATTTCAGCACTTATATACCCTAGATTTTGTGGCATTGCCCCAATGGCACACCAAAGGTTGGGGAGGGCGTTTTTGTCCGGCTGCTCATCCCAAACATTCCTCCGTCCATACAGAGCTTTCGCTACCTCTACAAAGCACTTCAAAAGTATACAAAAATATGCCTGTTGCTATGATCTTTGCTAATATGTGGTATTGTAGAACCAATTCCAAAGTTTACTCCTACTTCTTCTCCTGAGCTCGATCAACTCTTCCAAAAATTTCGAGAAACGCTCTTTATACCGTCATGGCTTCCCGCGGAAGACTCCTCGGTGATGCTTAAACAATCAAAAGCGCGAGAATTAGAGAATAATCCCATCGTCGTCAATGTCGGCACTGAGGAGGCTCCGGAGGACTACATGCTCAAACCCAGGAAAATTAGTGATGGGCCCACCAACACCGATTTATCCAAATTAATTCGATTGTTAAAAACGGACGATGACTGGCACAATCTCATTTCGTTTTTCACTGGGCTCCATTCTTCGAAGCGCACGATTAGCGCGGCTAACTTGGAGATCATCATGCGCAAGTCGGGCGAGCTAGGAATGGAATCATATTGTCTGTTCGCCGCGACACAGTCACAGCAGACCGGCGTCTTCCTGCGCAACCCAGATGTGGCTTGGTCCCTCCTATTCGCATTACGACAGAAAGCAGAAAAGGCCGGTTTCAAGGGTCCCGATGCTCACCTCGCGCTTCAGCAGGTAGAGGTTGTTGCACGACTACTGAACTCCCCAGAGCATACGAACGAATACGCCAAACGGGACCCAAAGAGGCAGCCGAACGTTATCGGTATACTACTCGAGCTCAAGGCGACTCACGCACTTGACGCCTTCAATGGGCGTGACGAGGACAAGGGAGTTTGGTCTTATGCGGATAAGCTAGTTCGGACTTGGCCTCTGGAGGAAGTCGGCGTCTCACCGCTGTGGACAAAGGCAAACTGGCGACTACGCAAATATGTCCCTATGTGGAACGGAATCAACATGGCACTGCAGGTGGAAGGGATAAAATCTGCCCCCGCCTTCCGAGAAGCTTTGGAGAAATGTAGGGACGAATTGGCGGAAACCATTGACGGGAACATGGAAGTGGTAGGAAAATATCGAGACCAAGTTACGAAGACGGTTGCGTGGACCAAGACGCTGTATAAATAGAGCTTTCCTTCTTGTTTCATTTGGAGAGTGTATGTATTCGATCACGGCGTTTTGATTATTTTGGCCCATAAACCACAACATGTACTACTTGTATAATAGGAAATTTGATGTGTCTGTCACCACGGCCCCTGAAGCCTTGAACTTCTTTTTCGTCTCAATATGAGTCCACATTGACGTAGATACTCGTATTGGCATTCAAATAGCTCTGGAATATTTCCCTAAATTGAAAAATTATAGCCGGATATGTCCGGCGCTATCTAGATCGACGATGTCCGTTCATGAGAGATGTCAACCTAACTGAATAATCAGATCTCATAAACAATGGCGCCTCAAGCCAGGAGAACAACCGTATTGTCATCCTGGAATTGACCGTCTACCGCGAGTTTGCATTCATCCGAGACTACCGCAGGCCCAGATACTTGAATCTGCAAGAAATAGTTAACAGGGCTGCTCAAGGAAGGGACTATCAATGACTATAGAGTAATGGGTATTCTTACCTTTCCTTCTATCGGTTTGTCATTTCCGGACTTTTCGTCATAGTCGGCTAATTTAAGCTCGACGCTGTTCAATGGAGGCCCAAAATGGCTGAACCCGCGCTGCCTTCTGTAATCATATGGGTTTGTCTGGCAAACGGCTCCAGCTACTTTAGCGGTGGTAAGAGCATATGCGATTCGAACGCCGGTCATAATCCTAAAGTCTGTGAGTTGGTCGCAAGTGAGCTGGTTATTGCGATCTCCTTCCGCCCTATGCGAGATGAAGAGTAATCTTAATTTCTGCAGAGTCTGTTCAGAGACGGGGCCACTGCCTCCTAGCGCCGAGAAAAAGTTGCCAGATGGCATTCTTCCAGAATCCAAGGTTCGTGTTTGGAAGAATCGGCCAACGTTCACCAAGGGATTTAGCTGTGGGCCCATGTATTGGGCGTGATAATCGGATATGGTATGCGATGACGCGATGATAATTGTAGGGGAGACACCAGTGGTTGCAAGCGCAAAATCGACAATCTCTCCGGCAACAGAGTTCAATGCAACTGATGCATTGGCGTATAAGGCAGCTAGAACTAAACATAGCGTATAGGAATGTGAAAGCGAATCGATCGAAAGAACCAGATCCGATGCTGTTAGGCGTTCATTGCGTGGCAAGGACGATCCCAATGCAGCAATAGCAGATATTAGGTTCTATTCTCAGGCGTTAGTTTATTAGATTCCTCAACAAGGGGAGATGGCATCTTACCCCGGAAGTATATTCTACAAAAGACCCCAAGCTATCCTTCGTGGGACATAATGTGGTAAGTGATGGAGTTGGTGATTTGACGTCCCATTCGGGCACTTCGGAACCAATGGATCCTTCCTTCTCGTTGATTAATTCGTGCCATACGGCTACCTCGATCTTGCTCCCGGCCCCTTCTGGGACTTGGTTCCAGTCCATATGTCGGCTACCTTCCTGGGCAATCCAAATTCCATGCTTCAACGCAGGACACAATTTCAGCAGTGTGGTAACATCCACAGCACCAGCTTCGGCAATCAGGAGATCTGCGTTTGTCTTTTGTAGATAAGTTGCAAGTGTCTGAGGAGGCAGATTGTGAGGAATGATGACTGTCTGGAAGCCGTAGAAAGCGCTTGCTGTTGTCGGTTGTTAGCTAAAAACATGTTGCACATAGAGGAGTATCGAATCATACCAAAAATGGTAGCAAGCATCTCTACTGAGTCGGTAAGGCAGATAGCAACTTTCTCAGCCCCGGTGTCACGAATATACTGGCCGATGATGTTGATTTCCTGGCTGATCTCATCAACCTTGCGTTCCTGAGTAGTTTTCCCCAAGACAGTATAGATAGATCCTCGTTTCCCCGATGACGTGCCATCCGCATTCAATTCCCCGCGGACAACAGTTTTCCATATATCACGGAGGTCTCCCCGCCTCCCCGCAGTCCATCTAGGAGTATCAGCGTCTCGGACTCCAAGTCCGGCCTTCAGCGGATAGCCATGAGGGACGTCCATGGCTCGTAAGGAAGCCGATTCACCGGGCTGCCTAACCGGCGCGACCACAGCCTGGCGGGCAAGTATAAAGGGATGGGCATCGGGATCCTTGGTGAAGAAGAGCGTATATCCAAGGTACGAAACGAGGACGGTTGCGAGCAGAGTTGAGTAGATATTCCAATCAGCGACGAGAGCTTCGAGGAACGCATCCGCCCTCGCTAGGATTGAGGCATCTGCCGCCATGATGAAGATGTATACACTTGGTCTTGTTGAAGCTGAGCCAACATTCGCAGCCTGCTGAGTACGAGCTGGAAGCGCTTACAAAGTGACGTCGTTTAGGCGATCTGACAATACACATACACATACGAGATCATACACAACCATCTCTCCTCTTTTGAATACATATTATAACCTAAGGGCTGGTTCATATAGTTATAGAGTACCTAGTTTACCAGTATTAGACCTCCACCCATGTTTTAAGGAAGATGTGCTGCTTGTCGATGGGGGTGAAACCTGGATACGCCCACAGCCGCCGGTTTCTACGGTAGCGCGGTAATTATGGCGCTTATCAAGCCAGATCCAAACAAAAACATCAAGCTGATTCTCGCAGTGACAAAAGGACAAGAAACACCACAGGGACGAGGGGAGTGTCATGCTATGATCGAGGCAGGACAAATCTCCATGCTTCTTCGAAACTAACTGTAACAGCATAATAAAAGGTAAGTGAGGTAAGTCTTCTTCGCCAGGTGAGTTATATCCGTACCCCCTCCCACTGCCACTGCTCTTGGAACACACCAGCTTATAGACTGCAATAGGTATTTATCGTCTTACATCCCCGCGTACGACTGGCTGCTGTATCAATGGCTCCCTCGGCCATTCCATCGACTCCACGGATTTTGGATGTCCATGGCCCTTCAACAGCTTCCCCCGGAAAATGGCGCCATCCACACCTGAAGGAGATCATCCGTCGACAGAATGCTTCCAGTATCAATGAGAAGACCATTCGACGAGTATTATGGAACGCAGGAACTTTGATTTTTACGGGGTTTATCGGAAATACCTACAAACAATAGTACGATGAATCGAATTCCCAAGACAGGAGGAGGAAACCGAGATGCTGACGCTCTGGAATCAGTTCCAATGCCATAGGATCGTTTTTGCAGATTTCCACCTACCCTGATATGGTGCTACTTGTCATCCGCCTTGTCCTCTTCATCAACATCGCCATGACGCTGTACCCTATCTACCGCGCACCAGACCAGGTTTCCGACATCCCATTGACTCCATCGCAAAGAGCACTGCTGGGACTCAACCCTAACGGCACCCCTCCCCCGACGCCGGGAACAGAATACATCACGCCTCCTAGATACCGTGTGTCGTCTGGCTCACGCAGAAGAAGCTCGGGATCGTACAGTGGCTCGCCCCGATCGGCAGCTGAAGACTCGCCAAGCAGACACCATCCAGACAGCCCTCCGTTCTCACCATCAGGCAGCCCTCTGTTTCAAAAGGCTCTTCGAACTGGCAGTCGGGACAGCGGCCGCAGACACAGCTTCGGCTCGCCTTCACCGCTTGGACGCACTAGCATTGGCGCACGAGATGGAAGCTCTCTGCGCGCGCCTTCATCGCCAACTCACTTTGGGAAGATGGCGTCACCCGTCTTGACGAATAAATGGCTGTTTGAGAAAAGCCGGATGTCTTCTCCTAGCGGCAGCGTGTTCGGCTAAGTCATTACGTTGTACGATAACTTGGATCTACTGGTGGTAGCATCTAGAGCGCGGCTCGTTATGGTGTCCTGGCGTTGAGGAACGTGTATTTATTATCATCTTCTTCTTCTTTTTCTTCTTCTTCTTTTCTTTTCTTTTTTCGACTCGCAGCGAGCATCCGGAATACAGGGCAGCTAGCTTGGATTCTCTCCTGCTGTAGGTCGATACAAGTCGGATACTGCATATTTCTAAAGAATAAAATTGGCCACTCCGGTTGACAGATCTGTTTCCTTGGACAAACAGCCATAGATTCGCCGTGCCTGGTTCAGCAAGCGGGATTAAGTGTGTTTTATGCGCGTACAAGGATATTCGCTGGGCGTTGCGGGAAGTTCGACCTTGTTCTTCCTCCTCCCTCTCCTCGGCCTGCCTCCCGCTTCCTTTCTTCCCAGTATAGCTGAACGGTGAGATCCTGCCGGTAGAGACGACGCAACAGTTTCGTCCTCTTCACCATCGTCTTCATAACTTCATATCTTCTACCTGGGACTATCTTCTACCCGGACTAGCAGCAAGCTTACTGCTAATCTTGTGCGGGCCTCAACAAAGCTTCCAACTTCGCTGAGACATAAATATAGCGCCACCCCCAGCCTGCTGCTTTCTGCAGGGGATTTACTATTTAATCTAACTTCTCGCGCCTTTCTTTCGCCTTTCTCTCTCTGCGGACTCGTTCTTCGCTTTCGTCTCATCTTCTTGATTTGTGGTGGCTCGGACAGCCGGCGCTGTTTACATACGTCATGGCGTCTCCTCCTCGCCGGGATGCCGCAGAACAGCCGAAGAGAGATGTGAAGAACCATGTCCTGTTCGAGATCGCAACGGAGGTTGCCAATCGAGGTTCGTCCTAGCTTCCTGTTCTGCTTGCGACAACAGCTAACCAGAGCTTGCGCCGGCTACAGTTGGAGGGATCTACTCGGTTCTCAAGTCCAAAGCTGCTGTGACAACGGCAGAGTATGGCGAGCGATATACGCTGATAGGTCCCTTGAATCGGGCTTCGGTATGGCGTTAATCATTGCTGCCTTTCCTTGAGACTTGAGACTCGCGCTGACTATTTTCGTTGGTAGGCGGTGGTTGAGGTGGAAGCTCTCACTCCGACGAACCCCCATATAATCGGGGCCATCGAGGCTATGACCGAACGTGGGATAGAGATCGTATACGGCCGATGGCTGATAGAAGGTGCCCCACGGGTGCTCTTGATCGACACTGGCGCGGGATACAAGTACCTCGACGAGTGGAAGGGCGATCTCTGGAGTGCAGCTGGCATTCCATCGCCCTCGGCGGACAGCGAAACCAATGAAGCAATTGCGTTTGGCTATCTCGTGGCATGGTTCTTGGGAGAGGTCAGTTACGCAGCTTATAAGTCCTGGAATGAGAACTGACGTTTAGCTTAGTATATATGCAGAGACACGGAGAGAGCTGTGATAGCTCATTTCCACGAATGGCTAGCTGGAGTTGCGCTTCCTCTCACCAAGAAAAGACGCATGGATGTGACGACCATTTTTACCACGCACGCAACTCTCCTGGGAAGATACCTTTGCGCAGGCTCGGTTGACTTCTACAACAACCTGAAGAACTTCGATGTAGATGCAGAGGCGGGTAAGAGAGGTATATATCATCGCTACTGCATCGAGCGTGCCGCTGCGCACTCCGCCGACGTTTTTACCACCGTTTCCCACATCACTGCATACGAGAGTGAACATCTTCTCAAGCGCAAACCGGATGGTGTCTTGCCCAACGGACTGAACGTTAAGAAATTCTCGGCCGTCCACGAGTTCCAAAACTTGCATTCTCACTCCAAGGATAAGATAAACGACTTTGTTCGTGGCCATTTCTACGGACACAATGACTTTGACCTGGAAAACACCCTATATTTCTTTACCTCCGGGCGATATGAATACCGCAACAAGGGTGTGGATATGTTCATCGAAAGTTTGGCCAGACTCAACCACCGGCTAAAGACATCTGGATCCAAGACCACCGTTGTGGCATTTATAATCATGCCCTCTCAGACTTCCTCTCTCACAGTCGAGGCACTTAAAGGACAGGCCGTTGTCAAGTCGTTGCGAGATACTCTGGAAAGTGTAGAGAAGAGTATTGGAAAACGCCTGTTTGAACGCTGTCTTAGCTGGAAGGAAGGTGACAACATGCCAGACGAAAAGGATCTAATGACGAACCAGGATCGTGTACTCATACGACGACGTCTGTTCGCTATGAAACGGCACAACCTTCCTCCAATCGTCACCCATAACATGTTGAACGACTCGGAGGATCCAATTCTCAGCCAACTCCGCCGAGTGCAGCTCTTTAACTACCCAACGGACCGTGTCAAGGTGGTATTCCACCCGGAATTCCTTAATTCCGCTAATCCCGTGCTCCCCCTGGACTACGATGACTTCGTTCGAGGAACTAACCTTGGGGTTTTCCCTTCATACTATGAGCCATGGGGATATACACCTGCAGAATGCACAGTTATGGGAATCCCGAGCATAACAACCAACCTCGCTGGTTTCGGATGCTACATGGAAGAATTGATTGAGAACTCTGCTGATTATGGAATCTACGTTGTTGACCGAAGACTCAAGGGCGTGGACGACTCGGTAAATCAGCTCACGAGTTACATGTATGACTTCTGCCAGAAGAGTCGAAGGCAACGTATCAACCAGCGCAACAGGACTGAGCGATTGAGTGATCTCCTTGATTGGAAACGCATGGGGCTAGAGTATGTGAAAGCTCGCCAGCTTGCCTTGCGACGTGGTACGTATCTCCTTCCGTATTAACTTGATTTCCCCTTATCTAACATTTGATTCCTCTACTACAGCGTATCCAGCTTCCTTTGACGCAAGCGACGATTTCCACGAGGCAATTGGCCACACAGAACAAAAGATTTCTCGCCCATTATCCGTTCCAGGCTCGCCTCGCGACCGAACCGGCACCATGACTCCCGGAGACTTTGCGTCTATCCAAGAAGGCCGCGAAGGTCTTGATACCGAGGACTATATTTCGTATAAGGTTCCGTAAGTAGCCAGAGAGGTTTATTACCATAGACCTCATCCATCCCCCATAAAAGCTGCAATAGTTGCTAACTGTATTGATAGGGGTGGTAGTAGCGACGATGAAGAAGATGATTCGGTCCCGGTCCCCATCCGTCCAAAGCGACAATCTATCTCTCTCACGCTAGACCCTATTCCGAACACTGCTCCAAATGGAAATTAAGCAAAACCGCTAGTTTCAGTGATTCAAGCATCGGAAATGTTGGTGGATGCTGGTGTTGGTGTCGGTGTTAGCGCGATACATCCATTTTGTTCATCGGCATATCAATGAGTTGAATGCGAGAAATGCTCGCTCATGTGGATAGCTGTACTGAGCTATTGAATACATTCTTGCTTCATTTGTTTGATGTGTTAATGTGATTTTGCATCCCTCCCCGTAGATAGACCTACGTGTAAGCAGGCCTGATGTCATGTCAATGCTGTATATTATAATATCCAGTCTTTCGCCTTTTGTTTTTTGTTGTCATCTTTTGGGGAATTATATTTTGCTTTGTTTTGAGTTTGGTGAACATTGTTATATCCAGTCAACCTCAACCTACATTACTCTAAGATAGGACATCCGCCATGAAGTGAAGAAGTAAAAAGCTTAGTTATAATTCCTTTTTCATTAATTATTAAACCTGCCTTCTAGTACGCTGTTTTTCCTGTTTTTCTCCCTTTATGCTATTTATTCGTCTGTAACTTCAAATGAAGATGAATTGATATTTACAGAAAAGTTCCACGGTGTAAGCTTAGGCTCGACTTTCCAAACTAGAAAACATAGGACATTGTCCGTAGCGAGGTCACATCTATTTGTCACGCTTGTAGATCTTAGCTAGGAAGATTTCAAAGACGCTTCCCTTGAGTCCCTCGGAGCCGTCAATGGTAGAAATCATAGTTTTCAGCTTTGAAACTTGGTCTTCCTCGAATTCCTGGTAGACTTTCTGGATGTTCAACTCGTTAAAAATCGCCTTCACCTTGGCTTCCATAGCAGCATCTTTCCTGCCGTAGCATTCGTCGAGGACCTTGCGTTGCTCAGGGGAACAGCGGGTTAGGGCCTGGTTAACAACCCAAGAGCACTTGTTATCCTGGATATCAGTACCGATCTTTCCAATCTGCTCTGGCTTTCCGAATACGTCAAGGAAATCATCCTGGGCCTGGAAGTATTGGCCCAAGGGGATAAGAATATCATGGGCCTGGCGGAGGTTCTTGGGAGTAGCAAGCTGTAGATAGTGTAGGGCTAGCGCCACGGGCAGGTAGAAGCTGTAATAAGCCGTCTTGTAGATCACGATGAAGTTGAACTTGTCCATGTTGAAGTTGTTTAGGTCAACATGGTCCTCAGGGGCGGTGATGAGATCACATAGCTGACCCAGCTCGGTTTGGAAGGTGATTTCGTGGAAGAGTTCGACAAGGTCGATATATGCCGGGTGAGAACGGAAATGTTTCTTGAGTAGGACGTAAATGGAAGACTCCAGCATGAACGCATCATTGATTGCGATCATTCCAACGCCGGAACGACGGTACCAGCATGGCTCGCCACGACGGGTGATCGAGCTGTCCATTATATCATCGGAGACGAGGAAAAATGCCTGCAGGAGTTCGGTCATCCATCCGAGCATGCCGAGATGCTTGAATTGTTCCTCTGTCAGGGGCTTCTCGAGGAGAGCAAGGGCAGTATCGGGGACTGATAGACCGCGGTTAAGCTTCCCTCCAGGGGTGTTGGTATTCAGGTTCTATTGCGCGCGTTAGCTACCTATGAAGGAGACATTTTGAGGGGGAGAACTAACGTTCTGAAGCCATTCTAAAGCTGGAGCAGGAATGTTATATTGCTTCGAGTGCTCGCTAATGTCCTTGACGATTGCGGGGAAGACCGCGTTAAAGTCATCTCGGCTGGTGTTGGGAGCCATTGTCAAGGCGGCGGGAATATCTCAAGGATATACGAGGCAGAAGACGATAAGGCGAACAAGATCCAGCTGCGACGCTCAATGGCAGAGAGGAAGAAGGCTTTTATGTATCACGGAGCAAAGGGGGTGAACTGGGCGGATTTGTTTAATCCCTCCGAGATGCCATCCCACCTTGTTTGCGCTGTTTGCATCGGACCCCCAGAGCTTCAACTTGTATCGCGAGATGTAAATAAAGAGAACGACGACGAGTTCAAGCAAGGTCGCGCGTTTCAAGGTAATGTCACGATGCAGTGATGTGTTTTTATATGCAAGGTTGTACTGATATGCTGACTATTACTTTATAGACAACTACAATCGGCCTTTTCCGTTCGCTGCAACCTGCATCGCCATGGTGGCATAACATTACTATCATTCGCGTTAACCGTTACTTTCAAGCGCAATCATGAATTTCAGTGCAGATAATGTCAGAGAGCTGAGGCATAGGCTGGAAGATGCTGCTATTAAATGTTCCGAACGGTGTTTGTATCACTCGGCGAAATGGTATGGCATAGGATATGAGCTTGCGCATTATTCGAGTCGTTTCGCTGGTCAGCTAACGAGGGTTGATATCTATATGAAGGGCGGCTGAGATGTTAGATTCCTTGATCCCCGCAGATCAGGATGTAGGCACAGATACAGAGCCAAATTCTCCCATGGACGTTTCGCCAACGTCGATCCTCAATCCATTTCTCGGACCCCAAGACCCAGAAGAAGCCGTCCTAGAGGCTAGAGAAGCTCACAGATACCTTCTCGCCAAATCATACTTTGATACTCGCGAATATGACCGTTGCGCTGCTGTTTTTCTCCCTCCATCCATGTCATCAATTCCGTTAGCACCTCGTGCTCCATCTACCTCGAAACCAAAGACTGCTCTCCAACCGCAAAAAGGCAAAGAGACAACTGCATTATTTGGCAATAAGAAAGGCGGCGGTTCAACATCACAAAACCCATTTCCGAAGCTGAGCCAGAAATCGTTATTTCTCTCCCTATACGCAAAGTATTTAGCTGGCGAGAAGCGGAAAGATGAAGAGACAGAAATGGTACTTGGGCCCGCGGATGGGGGGATGACCGTGAACCGGGAGCTCCCTGGACTTGCCCAAGGGCTAGAAGGTTGGTTTTCCGACCGACAAGAAAAGGGTCTTGAGGATAGGGGACAGGGATGGCTAGAGTATCTCTATGGAGTGGTGCTCCTGAAGGCCAAAAACGAAGAAGAAGCAAAGAGGTGGCTAATAAAGAGTGTTCATCTTTATCCGTTCCATTGGGGTGCATGGCAAGAACTGAATGACTTGCTAGCTAGTACAGACGACGTATGTTTCCCATTTGAAGTTATTCGCAAATCCATGTGCTACTACTGACAAATACTTTCAATTATAGCTCAAACGTGTGGTTGATGAACTACCCCAGAATATCATGACTTTAGTATTCCACCTATACTCCAGTCAAGAACTGTATCAGGCAACGGAAAACACACACCAGATTCTCACGGAGCTAGAAAGTATATTTCCATCAAGCTCATTCCTGAAAACTCAGCGGGCATTGTTGTATTATCACTCAAAAGGTATGATATCAGTCAATGTCTTTTGAAATTGTGTTTGGAGGTAAAATTGCTTGTCTGCTAACGTATGATCTAGATTTCGAAGAAGCATCCCACCTCTTTTCTGAACTTCTTATTAATTCTCCCCATCGTCTCGACTCTCTAGATCATTATTCAAACATTTTATACGTCATGGGTGCAAGGCCGCAGCTCGCTTTTATTGCTCAGCTTGCCACTGCAACAGACAAGTTCCGTCCAGAGACATGCTGTGTCGTGGGCAACTACTACTCCTTAAAATCAGAACACGAGAAAGCGGTCATGTACTTTCGACGTGCACTAACCCTGGACAGAAACTTTTTATCCGCATGGACCCTTATGGGCCATGAATATATTGAAATGAAGAATACCCATGCAGCTATCGAGTCGTACCGAAGAGCTGTGGATGTTAACCGCAAGGACTACCGTGCGTGGTATGGTCTTGGTCAAGCTTATGAAGTGCTTGACATGTCATTCTATGCACTTTTCTATTATCAGCGTGCTGCAGCCCTCCGGCCCTATGATCCGAAGATGTGGCAGGCAGTTGGGTCTTGCTATGCCAAAATGGGCCGTACGGAACAGAGTATTCGTGCACTTAAACGTGCCCTTGCCGCCGGGTCTTATTATGACGGTGGAGGTACTGGGTTGAACTCATTCTCTAGCGCGGGAGGTGGTACGAGGCTAAATTCTAAAGGTTCTGGGAACCCCAAAAGAATACTCGATCCAGAGACGCTGCATCATATTGCTACTTTATATGAAAAGTTAGGAGACGAGGATGAGACTGCTGCGTATATGGAACTTACTCTACAGCAAGAAACTGGCCAGACTAATCACGACGATTCTGACCTTGAAGGTGGAGAAGGGGGAGGCCCCGCTGAATCGCGACGTACCTCTTCGTTCACTCACCGCGATGATGTCGAAGATGAAGCAGGTGGAACGGGCGTCACAGCAACGACCTCAAAAGCTCGCTTGTGGCTTGCAAGGTGGTCTTTGAAACATGACGACTTGGATCGGGCCGACCAGCTGGCTAGTGAACTTTGCCAGGACGGAATTGAGGTTGAAGAGGCAAAGGCCTTAATGAGGGACGTCAGGTCTAGAAGGGAGGCGGACGGACTTCAGACCTAAGTTAATGTTGATTATGCTTGATGGCTGGAGTACTCTCGACGGAGACAGCAAGATTTCGATGAAAACTCACAGGTTTAACTATTATGAATGGCCGGAAAACTCTAGGTGCTCTAAGATATCCCTCATGGAGTTAATGGTAGAGGAATCCTCGATACAGTAGCAATCATGAATACCATCCAGTGTTAAATGATATATATTAATGGAGAAATATTATACAGAATATTGCGCGCACATTAGCAAGCGGAACTCGCTATACGCGGCGTTCGAAGTAATGGGAGTATTTCCGTCCAATCTTTGCAATAAGAGACCTCATGGGAACTCTTATTTTGTGCCTTGGTGGAGTTGGCATGGTCGTTTTGGCTCCCTTGGCTCCCGCATTCAGGGGCAGCCTGATGGCCCCATTTAATACATACGTCAATGACATCTTTGCCGAATATCTTCCATCGCTCGTCCAAATCTTCGCCTGCCTTTGACGCATGGAACTCGCGTCCGACAACTTTCCAATGCATGAATAATATTTTGCCAGTGCCTGGCATCTTTCCACTTTGCTGTAGTGACGTAAGAGTTTTGCCTACTTGCCATATTTCAGCCGCCACTTTAGTTGAATGCCGACTATTAGAGTCCACAAGCACGATGCCATAAAGGGACGGCACCTGGGAAGTCTCTTGCGTGGCCACCAGTGAAGTCAACCAGCGAGAGACTGAAGAAGGCGCAATTGACGATCTACACGATGGTATATAGCGGCGTAGGAGGCTTGTCGTTGCGTCGGACAGTGACGAACCTAAAAAAACAGGAAATTTCATAAGTGGAGAGTTGTCCATGGGACTTGGCCTTCGACTGCGTGCGGATAAATTAGAGGAGGACCTAGTCAATGATACATCCGGGGGTTGCTTTTCATTGCTAGTGTGAGAATGGTATGACTGGAAGGAGTGCGACCGCTGAAAGGTAGGATTCAAAGGAAGTAGATCTGATAGACAGCTAGCGGAGGGTTTCCCATTCTTAGAGAAGGGGATTTTTGTGGCGAGGCCCATCTCGCCATGGCAGGGTTCATTGGTAGAGGATTGTGAATGCTTGCTCTGGGAAAGGTTAGCTATATTAGCTAAGTGTCGGCTTGATGACTGCTTTTCATCCGACGAGATACTGTTAATGTAGCCGGTTTCTGTGTCGTCGGGAAGAATGGACACCGGGATTGGCGTGGTTCTGATTGCCCTTTGCCTGTTTGGTTCAAGGGATGTATATGAAACCCCGTCTCGAGTTGCAAGCTCCCGTTTCTGCTCCGAGATAGGAGGAATTTATTGAACGTCAGTGCCTTGACTAGACTCATGACCCCCAAAAGGACTATTGCCAGCCATTGGAGCCTGCGATGAAGTGGCGGCGCTTGAAACTGTCATAGCAGTAGCTGAATTCTCAGAATGGTCCACGATGTATTGGGGTTTTTTATCTGTGGGATCTAGCCGTTCCGTTAAATCTGCAACATCTTGCGATAGCTCTTCCACAGGAGCGGAATTGGCAATGCGTGCCAGTTCTTGTAGGTCTTTAAAGGAGGTGGCAGCTTCATACTTCCTATCAGAGTGGATTTTCACGACCCGAGGAAATCGAAGGGAATAGTACCGAACACCCTGGGGCTTGTCGAAGCCAAAACCAGTCATTTCTACGATGAATGGGGTTCTGAACATGACTTGAATTTTCGTGAGGCGGACTTGGTCGACCCGTAATGAAAATGGAGCATCATCAGAATCAACATCGCATGCTTGGAACTGCCCTAATTGGTTTAGGGTTTGCATCAAAGGCGTGTTTATGTTGTGTCGGTTTAGAATATCGATGATGCGGAATGTTGGTTTGGATGAGAGAGAGACCGCATCATCATCCAGACAGCCGATAAAGAAGGATGTCCATGATAGCCCCTTAATGTTGTGGAGGGAAGCTGCTTCCCGGGAATCGTATCTGGCCCCAATAAGGACGAAATCAGCAGTATCCCCTAGGCCAGGAATGGATTCTTTCTTGAATTTGATCCAACAACACGAGAATTCGCTTGTATCTTGAGAGAAGGTTCGAAAATATGGTTCATCTGCGCCCTTTAGAACAAGGCCTTCCCATTTTTGGGCCGAAACCAAAGAGAATTCTTCTTTCAGCCTTTCGTATGCACTTGGAAAAGAGAAATCTATATTAAACTGGGGTGTAATATCCGCCAGGCCATGAATTGGGTTTACCACCTCATGGAGGAGTGCCCTTCGCTCTTTATATGGCTTGGCCAACGCGAGATTATCGTCTAATAGCAATAGGTCGAAGAATACGATAAATAAACGTTCTTGGGGATCCGGCCTAAGGAGCATGAGTAAAATCAAAATGACGAAGGAAAAAGAGGTATACGCACGGAGAATCATTTTCGGTTCCAATGAAAGTGCCCGCCCTCGGGATATGTTTCCGTAAATGATGAAATGGGAGGATTTCACGCTTAATGTCACTCCATACTAATAGTTCACCTTCCACAATACATCTCTTCGAAAATCGACAGCTGGGCTTACGGACCCTTAGTGAGTCTCTAATAGCCCCGTGAATACCTTTCCTATCCAATGTTGAGTCTTTACCGCTTTTGGAGAAGATACGGATGCAATCCCACCCCCGCCCAAGATCAATATGTACTTGACAATACTCCCCATCATATTTCCTCTCGATGCTCATTAGTCGTTGGCCAGCCATCCTGCAACAATGCTTGAGGTTTCTTCCCTTGTAATACTCCGCCCTCCCAACTTTGATGCCAACCTGAGGAGCAAGATGCGGGATTGAAAGCTCCATGAGAGCCCGAGCATACTCAGGGTCAGGGCATGGTGGAAATTTCTTCATTGGGCCGTGATCCATTGCCTCCAAGGCTCCTTTCGAGTGCTCTGGACGGAAAGAAAGGTAGGAAGCAGAAAATGGAACTTGCGTAGAGCCAACCGCTGTGGGATAATGACGGGAGTATACTCTCTGAGAAGCAGTCTCGTAAGCCATTTTGCGTCACGGCTACTCAATCGGCGGAAAATTGGGGCTAAAGTTTCATCCACCTGAGCAGCGGAACGTTGACGGCGCACGTCTGGCCCAGAAAAACGGCATCTCGCGGCAATTTGATTCAGTGCAGCATCTATTTCCTCCACAGTGACATTTGAGTAAGCATCCACTTGGTTTTCAGCCTGACACATCACATTTTCGACACATTGGCCAAGGTCACCACGTCCGGCAGTTGTCCAGAGTTCTAGTTCCTGTATCCGTGAAGTTCCAAGTAGTAGGCAACGCCCTATAATTTTCACCAAGGATGGCTCCTTGAAGCCGTGAACGCGATCTGGCCGTAATCCTGGAAAAAGGCAGGATAGCAACGCCAGGTAGTCAGTATTACCACCATGTATTCTCTTCTCGTGGAGGCGAAACCAGTTCGTGACGGTAGCAAAATCAGGGTCGTTGCTTCTCCCTGCAGTCGTAGCCTTTAAAGTAGTGCGGTTGGTATCCAAGCTCGAAAGCAGGTCGCATATATAAGAGAAATTGAACCCCATATTCAGTCTAGCAGCGCAACCCTGGGTATGACTCGATTCTCTGCATTACGCAGGTAACCGGCTGTTTTATACGCACAAAGGAAGCAAACGCATTACCGATGTAACGCACATATTGACCGTATAACCACCATTGTATAAAAAGCGGTAGAAATGGTCCAGTGGCTATTATCTTATAGATCGCGTTCCAGCGTCTCGTCGCTTGTTGATGACTTGACGTTGATTAATCGAAAAGCGCGACTTAAACGAGCGTCAAAACACGTGCTAGGCGCCAAAGCACGTGACACAAGCGGCCAGTACTTCCATCAACGTCCTCAAGCCATAGAGACGAACATGACACGGATATTATCAAGCAAACATCCCCGACACTGGCAAGATCCAGCAGGATTCAGGGATGTAGATCATCTCATTCCTTGATTGAAGCAAAAATGATGTTATTTGTGAGAACTTGAATTCGGATGAACCTGTATTTGTGACGTCATTTATATACTCTTCAATAAGTATAAATGAGGGTATAAATGAGTGCTAGATGGAGGTTCATGTCTGGCAATCTTCGCACTGATAACACATCAGAAACTGCTCCATTTTGCCTAAATTACCCTAACACAGTCTATAACAACAATGTCTTCTGAAACTTCACGTGGATTTACAACCGAAGCCAACCAGGGCGTGGGAGGTAGAGGAGGAAGCGCTGGGGTTGGAGCTACCGCCCCCACTGGACGTGGAGTTGGAGGAGCTGCGAAAGAATCAGCACACGGAGTGGGCCATGGAGTGAAGTCTGCCGTTGCGGGCGTCCATGTAAGTCAAATTTGACTTAATAGGAGCATAGATTCAAAGCCTGACCACTATATATAGGGAATGGGCGAGAAAATCCGAGGTGCCGCTGGTGCAACTATTGACCGCGCGATGGATCACCCAGAGGGTGTTGCAAAGAATGATCAAACTATTAGAGAAGGTGAAAGAGAAATGAAAACCGGTGACTTTAATGGGACTACCAGAGAAAGAGAGGGACTGCCTCATAGTGAACGAGCGTCTCATAATGAACAAATGCTTCATAGTGAACAAGCGCCTCATGGTGAACGAGCAATGCATACGCAGAATACTGCTAATGCTCAGCCACCCGCGGACTATTGAGAGGCTCTGGATATGCTCAACAGGGTTCAGCGGAATCTGGTGAATATTTGGCTGCGCAATTTATTCTTTGACACTTTCGTTAAAGTATGAAATTTCAAAATCAAATTGACTCCAAGTACATAAATGCCTGCTTATATTTTGGCAAACAACAAGTTACCGGCACCAGCCCAAATCTTTCTCTACTCCCGTTTTGCTGCATATGTAGTTGGGTATATTGATATAGCATTTATATAGGTTTGTATAGCTAAGTCAATGTGGGTTGAGAACCAAGCACCGAGTATACCTCAGTAAAGAAGCCGGGGCCTATTATTGATTGTATTAGTTAGTAACCTAAAACATAATCTCAGTATCTAGCACCAGTCTACCTACACATGTCCATTTATCAACTCATGTTTCGAATAACAAAATGTGTTGGAGTGGCCAACCCGTCTTCATAGTCCTCGGATGCCAAAGCGTACATCTTGTTGATAATGCCAGGCAGAGCATTGCCATCAATCCTATAATAGGTGACAAGCAGCAAATACTCCTTAGGAAAGAGCAAGGTATAGTATCACGCCCTCAGCGTACTGCAATGGGCAGAAACGGGATACAGTGCAGATGAGAGTGGCATGAGTCCGCTCATAAGATGCCTTGTTTTTGCAAGCTATTCATTATTCACATTAGCAACGTTAGGAAAATTAAAGGTATACGGCAAGGAGTGAGTAGGAATCGACAGGGTACTAACTCAAGGTAAATTCGTTCAGGCATAACGTTGCCTTCTGCATCTTCCATTTGAACCACATTCTCTTTGGCATCCCTTTCATGCTTTCGTTCCTTTTCGAGTGACTCCCATAGCCTCAGTGCCTCATCAATCTTGATAATTTCTCTAAACAAGCTTGTTTGTTGTGTAATTCCAAGGCACCTTAGACCATAAATATGTCGCGCCTCTGAAAAATGCTTGTCGAAAGCACGACGGCCCATATAAACGAAGTTTCCGCATATCTCACAGGGAAACTCCACCCCGAGGCCGTGTAGCTTGTAGAGCCAGTAAGGTATGGGTTTCCCGTCCCATGCGAGTGGTAGTTTCAGTGGGTTGTAAACCTTTTCATCACTGTCGCTCTCAGAATCAGAGTCCCGACGTTGTCCCGCGGTGTTATCCCCAGTATCAGCGAAAAGCGCATCAAGCTCCATTTGGCGTTCACGCTCCGTCATTCCTTGCTTCCTCTCCACATTGACACGAGTGGCCTGTCGTTCTTCTTTGAGAGCCTTCGCTAGAGCGGTAACGCGATGTTCCCGCTCCGCAACTGCACGCTCTTTAAGGCCGCGAACTATCGCATCGTTATCTCCACCAGCCTTCGGCTGTTGAGTTTCTGGGTTGCCGTTTGCTTTCTTCGCTTCAACAGCTCGGATATGTTTCTTGCCCTTTAAATGATTTTTGTATACGTTCTCGTTTGTGAATTCTTTCTCACAATCAGGACACCATATTCCTTTCCCAGAGCCTTCAGTCTTTGGCGCGGCACCGTTCTTTCCTTGTGTTTCTTCCTCCCAGCCAGGAAGTTTCTTCGCTTCCCAGAGCTCCGCGAACTCGGTATCAAAGCTTGCAAAAAGCTCGTCAAGTGGTTCTAATGGATTGGACCGTTTGATAAAACTCTCGAGATAAGAGGCAAGTTCGCCGACATAGTTGAAGTATTGATCGGTGAGCTTGTTGGCACGTTTCACAGGTAGCTCCGGGTGGGTGAACACGTCGAATAAGTCCAGATATTGTAGATACGTGAGCCTTTTCACTCCGGGTAAATTTAGGTAACCCTCGTGAAGTTTTGTGAGATCGAAGAACTGGCCGAGCGACTCCTCTCCGGTGAACATATTCTCTATCTCCTGGAGTGCTGCATCGTTCTCGCCGGAGCCCTGCCTGTATGCCCTTTCGAGGTTTTCCACGGGTTCGTTTGGGTATCGGCGGTGAAAATCCTTTATCTCTTCTAGCTGCTTATAGAACTCTTCCATCGGGTCGCCAACGGACAGAGACTGGATCTCTTTGGCGCGAAGTCCGTTTGCATCTTGATATATGTCCAGCAATCGTTGAGACTGTTCTTGAATGCGATTGAGGAAGCCGGCAACCTGATGGTCACGAACTAATCGTTCTCGAATCTTTTAGATAAAATTTGCCATAGTTAACAACACGATTTCCCAATGATTTCTACATAACCGGTATAACTCACATTGCGAGGTTCCTCAGCAACGCGATCGCTGATTCCTTGCTCAAGCCTCTCTAGGTCTTCATGGATAAATCTCTGGTCTTCTAGTAACATGCCGGCGTTCGGGATGGGCTGCGCAGTAGTTGATTACACTGTCAAGGATAGAAGAATATTGTTTGTCGCGTTTTGTATTGTTGTCTGGAGTAATTAATGTCTTGTTCTCCGTATAAAATTTGGCTTCAGGACTCAAGCTGGAGATTTGCACGTGACTAACGACTGCTAAAACTTTCCAACAAAGATCAAGTTCAGCTTCTTTCGCGTCGCCGCAATTACGAACTTCAAGGTTGAGAAGGAGGATTACTATTTCCACTCAGAGCTTCATTCAGAGGAGACCGAACTTGCGCATATACCTCAATATGGCGGAGGGCATTGATAGACAGGCCGATGGTAGGTTCTTTACCCCAACCCTAAAAGATGCGCAGCTAATCGAGGATCTGTAGAGCGGATGGAATTCGCAACATCGAAAGAGGTGACGGTGGCGCCTACTTTTGATGATATGCACCTGAAGGAAAATCTCTTACGCGGAATATATGCATACGGATATGAATCACCGTCAGCTGTCCAGTCCCGCGCGATTGTTCAGATTTGCAAAGGCCGTGATACCATCGCGCAGGCACAGTCAGGAACAGGAAAAACGGCGACTTTCTCCATCAGTATTCTTCAAGTCATAGATACTGTACTTCGTGAATCACAGGGTACGTTACATGATATTTGAACGGAGACAGAATGTTTTCAGAAAGCTGATTGAAGATGTGCAACGCAGCCCTCGTCCTTTCTCCAACTCGAGAACTCGCAACCCAGATTCAATCCGTTGTTATGGCCCTAGGAGATTATATGAATGTACAGTGTCATGCGTGCATTGGTGGGACAAATGTTGGAGAGGATATTCGAAAGCTAGAACATGGACAGCATGTTGTTTCCGGAACCCCTGGTCGAGTGGCAGACATGATCCGCCGTCGTCACTTGCGTACACGCAACATCAAGATGCTAGTCCTTGATGAAGCCGATGAACTTCTTAACCGCGGTTTCCGGGAACAAATCTACGATGTATACCGCTACTTACCTCCAGCCACCCAAGTCGTTGTCGTTTCCGCCACGCTGCCCTACGATGTCCTTGATATGACGACCAAGTTTATGACTGATCCAGTTCGTATTCTTGTCAAGCGTGATGAATTGACCCTTGAAGGATTAAAACAGTACTTTATTGCGGTGGAGAAAGAGGAATGGAAATTCGACACGCTTTGCGATCTTTACGATACCCTAACTATCACACAGGCAGTCATCTTCTGCAACACGAGGCGCAAGGTTGACTGGTTGACGGATAAGATGAGAGAGGCCAACTTCACAGTATCTAGTATGCATGGTGAAATGCCTCAAAAGGAACGAGACAGCATTATGCAGGATTTCAGACAGGGAAACTCTCGTGTCCTTATCTCTACTGATGTGTGGGCTCGTGGTATTGATGTTCAGCAAGTGTCCTTGGTGATTAACTACGATCTACCAAGCAACCGTGAAAATTACATCCACAGAATCGGTCGAAGTGGACGATTCGGCCGTAAAGGTGTTGCGATCAACTTCGTGACAAGCGAAGATGTTCGGATCTTGAGAGATATCGAACTTTACTACTCTACTCAGATCGATGAGATGCCCATGAACGGTATGCGATACCCTATTATTAAACCGATTTATTGTCGTTGCCCGATCCATTTACTAACTTACCTGAACAGTTGCCGATCTTCTTGCTTAATTAATCTCATCCATGGCTTACCCGCTTAGCACCTTCGGGGCCTGGCAGGAGTTGGAATTTGCCTAGATAAACGATAATCACGATTTTGCGGTCGATATACCATGCGTACTTTGCGTTCCCGCGCACTTTATCAATACGGAGCCAAACCGTAACCTAATACCAACGACGAGCATTTTTTTAAAATTTGTTCGGCGTGAAGAGGGACATGTCTCGAAAGAGCACTCGTGGAGGAATAGGGGTTATTATCAAACTAAGTAAGTTTCTACTCTATTACCCACCTACTCTAATCCATTTGAGGTATTTTGCAGCTAACACCGTGCTCTTGTGATGTTTAGGATTGCTCTCTTTTCTTAAATCTTCATAAGCACTTTATTGATTTGCTGCCAAAATGTATTCTAATCTCTAAACCATGGTGGCTATAAGTCTCCTTGGACTGTTGCCCTGAGAATTAGGAAATGTCCTTCAAAATGAATAGGATACCCTTTGTGATAACTAAAAATATCTATCAGTTGGTCTTTCTTAAATTCCACCTTTATCGTATTATTAAAAGTACTACCGGCTCGAAAGGTACCATAAAAGGAAAAGGACCAAGACATGGAGATAATATTACGATAATCAAACGATTGGTCATGTATAATTTAACCTATAATGAGGCATAATTATTTCGTGCAGAATGAAAAAAAGAAGGAAATGTATTATGCAGGATACGCCAAAAAGAGGGAGACAGCAAGGCCGAGAAAGCAACATATATATGGGTAAGTCCAGTTAATTAGGCGTGAGGAAAAGAACCGTGAGAAAATCGCTGCATTGTCAACCTCCCCCCTTGGGACACCACACCACCTCCGCCCCCACCCCGTCCATGGATAGATTATTGGGGGTAGAAAATATAAAGCAAACCAAACGAATGAATGAGCGGTCGTGAATTGAATCCAAACACATAATAACCCCTTGATAATGCAATCAATACTTGAAGGTGTAAAACGGGGTACGGCGAGTATCAAGAATAAAAAATATATAATAAAAATAAAAAACAGAATGACGTTGGGGAACCAAAGAGCTCCATGAGTAATGGATATGTGCAATCCGCGGCGTTCGAGAGATAGCGCAAGTGGGTATTTGTTCATATGGATTAATAGAATGTCAGCGTTTTTCTTCTATGGGTATGGGCGTTGGCTGACTGTATTGGCTGCGTCTTTCTAGTTGGTCCGCTTCAGAGAGACAGCGCTGGAAGATGCATTGCTTCTGATTGACCTCCTAGATTTATTTCCGGAGGCAACGCCTAATGAAGGTTGTTTCATCCATCTATCAAAAAGATTAGTGAATGAACGGCGGTTAAGGGCGTGGTGAGCGATAGCCCAAGATATCCGGGACATGTACTTACATTCGAACTTTGCGATCATCTCCAGCGGATGCAAACATCCCTGGCTCAGTGGGGTTCCAAGCTACCGCATTAACGCAGCCGGAAACATGGCCTTCAAGAGATTCAACAAGTTGGCTGTTCTCTTTATGCCATATGTAGATTTTTGCATCTATCGAATGTTCGTCAGTACGCCCTTCTCCAGCTTCTAGGCTCAGCAAGTAAAAAAACATACCTTCACTACCACTGACAACGAAATTCTCAGCCGCTCCACCAAATGCACTGCGAATAAGGAAATTTCCTTGCTTTTGGCCCAAAAATCGCCGAACAACGTCTGCCGTGTCGATGTCTAGTAACTGAACTTCGTTTTCGGACATATTCACGAGCATATATCGTGAATCAGCGCTGATACTAAGACAAGTGAGATCGAGTTTTAGAAGAACGCTGTATTCCTCTTCGCGCGTTATGAAGTTGTAGACATATATCTTCTTCTGCAGGGATATTGCTATCAATCGTCGGCCGTCGGGCGTTATTGCACAGTCGCGGACTCGGTATTGTCCAGGCCAGGTATATAAAGCCTCGCCATGGACACTCCAATGGCATAGTTGCGATTGGCCATCGAGGGAGCCTGTGACGAAAGATTCTCCATCTGGTGCCCATGAAGCGGAAGTAATGGGTGCATGGTGGTGGTCTATTGTTAAAATGCAATTTCCGGTCTAATATCCATTAGTATATGGAACCGTAACCGAATGAGAGGCAATGTACAAACATACCTGAACATTCCACATTTTTGCCTTGAAGTCTTGAGAACAAGTGATTAACTTGCTATCATCCGGACTCCATGTGGCGTAAGCAACAGGTTCACTGTGATCGGTAAGTCGATGTATTATTTCAAACGTCGTAGAGTCGTATATTAGAACAGTGCAATCTCTGCTTGTGGTTGCAAGCTTGGTTCCATCATGGGAGAACTCCAAATACCAAACTTCATTGGTGTGGTGGCTGAGCTCGAACGCTGTACGAAGTGGGAAATCGTTTTTGTCGCACAAGTGGTCCGAATACAGGGATGGTGGCTGTGCCGTGTTGTGATATAGACAGTTATTTATTTGGGTATGCTTTACTTGATCAAGAAGCACTGCTAAGCGATGATCGGGTATCATGACGGAAGGGGAGATAGACTCTGATCATTTATGGTTAGAATTATGAACTGGTGTCTAATAAAGCTTCGAGGACACATACTGGTGAGTTCAGAGAGGAGATGCTGCCTGGATTCGCTGATGGAGTGGCCCCAGCCAGCTCGAGCCCGAATATTCTCAGGTGTGGACATTAATAGACTATATGACGTTAGCAGACGTTACATGCGAAATAAGGGGGCTTGCGCTTGGAGATGAACGAGCCTTGAAAGAGCATGAAGCTGCGTTATGTCATGGTTTAACGGTGTCAGCTCTTGTCGTAGAACCATTAGAGCTGTTGAAAGGTCCTGTCGATCAAGCAACTCCAAGAATTTCTGTTGCCTTATACAAAATAGCATTTCGTTCTCATTCGCGCCGCTTGCCAGAACCAACCCGTCTCGTTTTGACAGCTGTTTGCCATTCACTCCGTCCATCTCGCCTGCGTCACCGTCAGGGCAAAAGGAGCTTAGAAGTATTCTCTCTGCCTCGTTCCAATTCCCATCCAATATTGCAGCTCTAAAGGCGGCTACTCCAGGGCTTTCTAGCTCATATCTGCTCTCACTCGTCAGCGTAGACGCAGCCTGATGGTAACCCAGCTCGTATAGACTTTGTATTAATATCCTCGTCACCTCTTCCCTGCTATGGCCGAGGTATGTGGGTGATAGTGCAGAGGAGCCGTTGGCTATGGGACTATCCTGGTATCCGGCTTGTGACTGTTTGGAGTTCGAGAACGAAGACTTTTGAAGAGAGTTGGAAGCACCGTTCGAAACCGGCGCAACGCCATTTGAATTGGACGGAGAAGGTCCACCGTCAGGCCTCATGTTGTCTAGAGTATATCGAGGGCGTTTATTGGGGAGAATTTCGTTCTCTCGCCTAGATGCAGCTGCGGCAATCTCACTGCTATCCTCAGCTCCGCCGGTACTAATCACCTGTCCTGACTCGGAGCTCTCTGGCCGTTCTGGAGATAGGTCTTGACGGCGGCGGCGGCGACTGCGGCGAGGCCCGGCCTCCGTGGGTGCGCTCGTCAGTTGCTGAGAGGGACTATCAAGCTGTCCTGGGGGAGATTGACTCTGCTGAGCGGCGTCTGTCCTTAGAATGCCGCTATCCTGGGGGATTAGCAACAGGTCAAGAGAGCGGCAGTAGTAGCAGGTGGTGGTCTTGCAGGTTGAACTCACTCGGAGCTCGAAGAGGGAACAGGGAGGCCGGGTCCAGCTGAGACGGGTGTAGGTGAGGGAAGTTCGTCTGCCAGGTCGAAGACAGCGTCCGAGCCCTTCAGTCTGGTTCAACAAAGAACCAGCTGAGTAGGCTTTATCGTCAGAAGGGAGGTGAAGGGGATATGCCTTGGAGCCAGGTCCAGGACAGCACTGTTTGGATAAATAGTAGTTCTAAGAGTGAAGAGAAATAGAAGCTGGTTAGAAAGTGGTCCTCCTTGCACTCCAGGATCAGCTCGCGGGCAGTTTTGGTCTTGGGAGGAGCGGTTGAACGTACTGAAGCAGTTGCTCTGGAAGTAGACGAAGGCGCTGAAATGCAGAACCGAGAAGCAGCGAGGCTATGGCAACCAGCGAGAAGTGAGTGTGAGAGACGATAGTGTATTTGGTTTGCGTGGTGAAGAAGAAGTGGAAGAAGCTGTTGTTGAAAAAGGGAGCAACTAATATTTAAGAAGCATCCGACGGTCAAGCTTTCATGAGGCAGCGAGGATATATCAGCCACAACGCTCGACAGGTTTACAGGCTCTTCTACAGGTTTCACGGCCTAGCTGGCAGATACGACTTAGACTGCGACTGGCAGCTGGATGTATGGTTATTCTATCTACTCGCAGTGCTCTAGCTAACAGTTTATAGCCCTTCACATTACGATAAACAACGGCACAGTCCTACCTTACGGCTACGATGCCCAAGGTAATCCATGAGAAAGCAAGTCCAGTCCAAGTCAACGCAGTGATGCCTCTGTCCGTCATGCGTAAGGTACCTCCACATAAGTTCTTCTGGCGCCGCCGGTGCAAGTGATGAAGTCTGTTTCTCAGCACCATCCATGTACTCTGGCATGGGTTTCCAGGCGGGGAGTGACTTGTCCGTCTTTCCCTGGCTCCTTTATCATGCTATCATGCTGTTGCAGTACGTGTGATTGGCTACGTGCCGCCTATCATGCGTTGGCCCTACGATGCCCTCAGACTCCCGGATAGCGATGTTGCGCAGCTTAAAAGAGGTGTACGGTGTGGCAGGGCTTGGGGGACACCTGCAGCGCGGGAGTTACAGATCCGATATATCCTCAGGCACCCTCGAAACAGCCATGATAGACGGACGGTTGTGATAGACGGACGACTATGATATCCTCCGCTTCCACAGAGCTCACCCTTAGAGCAGGCTAAACCGTCAGATGATCGTTCCTTGGGCTATGACGGTTGGTGCGTGGAGCATGGTTTAGCTAGTCGAAGCCGGTCCTAGCTTGTCAACAGAGTCCCTGGATGAGGAACAGCTTGGAGATAGCTTCGACGGGATACTCCATGGACCAGACCTGCTACACAAGACCGTATTGACGGATAGAATGATATGTGAAAGATGGATATCTCAAAAATCAGAGAACACCGTATCTTGGCAGGTCGTATTAGTATAGTTCCTTGAGACGGACAACAGAGTAGATGCCATCAAAGCAACGCAGCGTAAACCAGCCGGCCTCACCTCATCTGTATGTTAGGACTGGGACGACCGTCTTTGAGATCGCGGCCTTCTCTGCTCGACCTCATCCATCCCAACAGCTCGAGTGCGTCTGTTGATGTCTGCGAGGAGCGAAGTCCCAGGCTAAAGCAGCACCAAGATCCGGTGGCTCCAACTCCACCACGCATCACCAACAACGTCAACTGCACCAACTCCGACTTCGACGACGACGACGAGGAAGACGACGAAGGAGACGATATCTACAGCATCGACAGCTCGGACAACGAGAGTCTATCGTCACGGTCTTCTGCACTCTTCGAAACGAGGTCACCGCCCGCGCCTGTCATGGCATCCACGGACGCAAAGCCCAAGCCGGAGGCTGGGGACGAGCAGAAGGGTGTCGTCTTCTCGATCTCCGGACCCGTCATTGTTGCCGAGAACATGATAGGATGTGCTATGTACGAGCTGGTGGGTGGCCCTTGAGCTCGATGGACTCGTCTTGGGGGGGGGAAGCATGCTGATTACATTCTACAGTGCCGAGTTGGAAAGGACCAAATCGTCGGAGAAGTCATTCGACTCGATGGAGATCAAGCTACTATCCAGGTCTACGAAGAAACAGGTGCGTGGGGCCAGCAATTCCTCTATCCAATTCAGCTTCAACAGCTTTTATGTTTATGCTCCTGTCTGACAACTGCCTACAGCTGGTGTCACTGTCGGTGACCCTGTCTTCGGAACCGGTAAACCCTTGTCCGTCGAGCTGGGGCCTGGGTTGATGGAAACCATCTACGACGGAATTCAGCGTCCTCTCAAGTCCATCGCCGAGGTCTCAAACAGCATCTACATCCCCCGTGGTGTGGCCCTACCTGCCCTCGACCGCAAGAAGAAATGGGACTTCAAGCCCGCCAGCCTGAAGGTCGGCGACCACATCACCGGCGGTGATATCTGGGGTACCGTGTTTGAGAACAGTCTTCTTCACGACCACAAGATCCTCCTACCTCCACGTGCCCGAGGAACAATCACACGTATGTCCGAGGCCGGCAGCTTCACCGTCGAAGAGAAGCTCTTGGAGGTCGAGTTCAATGGAAAGCGAACCGAGTACAGCATGATGCACGTATGGCCAGTGCGTGTTCCTCGTCCTGTCAACGAGAAACTGGCCTCCGATTCTCCCTTCATTGTCGGCCAGCGAGTCTTGGACTCTCTCTTCCCCAGTGTCCAGGGTGGTACCGTCTGCATTCCCGGTGCCTTTGGCTGTGGAAAGACCGTCATCAGTCAGAGTGTTTCCAAATTCTCCAACAGTGATATCATCGTTTACGTCGGTTGTGGCGAGCGTGGAAACGAGATGGCTGAAGTCTTGATGGATTTCCCAGAGGTATATTACATTCTACACCCCCACAGTTCTACAGCTTATAACTAATCCATCATACCAGCTTACAATTAACATTGAAGGACGCAAAGAGCCAATTATGAAGCGTACCTGCCTGATTGCCAACACCTCCAATATGCCAGTCGCTGCCCGTGAGGCATCTATCTACACTGGTATCACCGTTGCGGAATACTTCAGAGACCAGGGTAAACACGTTGCCATGATGGCTGACTCCAGTTCTCGCTGGGCAGAGGCTCTGCGTGAAATTTCCGGTCGTCTGGGAGAGATGCCTGCTGATCAGGGTTTCCCTGCATACCTCGGTGCCAAGCTTGCTTCCTTCTACGAGCGTGCCGGTCAGACCATCGCCCTGGGTAGCCCCGAGCGAAAGGGAAGTGTCAGCATCGTCGGAGCCGTCAGTCCGCCTGGTGGTGATTTCGCCGATCCAGTCACCTCGAGTACACTGAACATCGTGCAGGTCTTCTGGGGTCTCGATAAGAAGCTCGCTCAAAGAAAACATTTCCCGTCGATCAACACTTCCATATCCTACAGTAAATACACAAACATCCTCGACAAGTACTATGCCAAAGAACACCCCGAATTCCCACGACTCCGTGACAAGATCAAGGAACTGCTCAGTACCTCCGAGGAACTGGATCAGGTCGTCCAGCTTGTTGGAAAGTCTGCTCTCGGTGACGCAGATAAGATCACGCTGGACGTGGCGACCCTGCTCAAGGACGATTTCTTGCAGCAGAACGGATACTCCGATTATGACCAGTTCTGCCCCCTGTGGAAGACCGAGTACATGATGAAGGCTTTCGTATCTTTCTACGATGAGAGCCAAAAGGCCATCGCACAAGGCCAAAGCTGGGCAAAGGTCCGAGAGGCAACCAGCGAAATCCAGACCGCCCTTCGAAACATGAAGTTCGAGGTTCCGGATGATGAGGAGGAGGTCAGCGCAAAGGTAAGCAATCACCCATCGCCCCCAAGTACACATCAGTTACTAACTTATGTCTCTGTAGTATGAGAAAATCCTCCAGGAGATGTCCGAAAAGTTCGCCTCGGTGTCGGATGAGTAAATATTTCGGTTATTTTTGTTTTTCGTACAAATGTTATTCACAGATCACTGGCCTACAGGACCAAGGTGGAATTTATCATAATAATCTATCCTGTCCGTCGAGTTAATAGACTGTTTAAGTTTTGGTACAGTCGGTGGCACTTGGTGTACGTAGTCCGTAGGCAGAAGCATTATCGATATTACACTTTACAAGGCCTCCTTTTTTTCTTTATACCTTTGATATGAACAGGTACATTTGCCGCTACTTGATAACCCCCCTTACTCCTGTTAAATAGACAAATCATCCAACCTCGCCGTCGTTTGGGCATATATTGCGTGTGATGGGCGCAAACTGACCACCAAGCGGATCAGTTGCACGTGAACAAACCCGAACTCTCCTCTGGCATCAACTATCTTGCTCGCCCAAAATACACAAAAGCTAAACAAGACCGCATAATCACCGAGACAAACGAGAGAGAGCCTTGAATACCTCTTTCTTTTCGCCTGTATCTTCCCCCAGCTTGACTGCAAGTATATCGCCAGACCATGGCGGCCCAAGCTGGCTACTCGTGAGTTTGCCTACCCTGCTTCGTTGGCTCCTTTCGTCATTCAACCCAACGGTCACCGATCAACAACGATGCTAATGCAGGACACTTGCCTGGATATAGGATAAACGTTAACGACCCCGGTCTTATTTCTCTTGTCAATAAATTGCAAGATGTCTTTACGACCGTTGGAGTATGTTGTTTCCCCGAGAATACAGCTATTTGCCCAGGGAGGGATGTCTGACCAGTGGCGCACATTTCATAGGCACAAAACCCAATAGATTTACCGCAGATTGTCGTGGTGGGATCGCAATCTAGTGGAAAGAGTTCCGTGTTAGAGAATATAGTTGGAAGAGACTTGTAAGTCGAGAACCACCATTTACATGAGCACGACGCACATGGGGGGTGTTCGACGATTAACCTGTCGAATATAACAGTTTACCTCGAGGCTCTGGCATTGTAACTCGACGACCGCTTGTTCTCCAGCTTATCAACAAGCCTCGCACCGAGAAGTCTCAATCGAACGGTGTCAAAGAGGAGGACAAGCTAGATACAACCGATAGTGAGGCAAACGTTGACGAATATGGAGAGTTCCTTCATATCCCCGGCCAGAAATTCCATGATTTCAACAAAATCAGAGAAGAAATTGTCCGAGAGACCGATGCAAAGACCGGCCGCAATGCCGGAATCTCCCCCGCACCTATCAACTTGAGAATCTACTCTCCAAATGTCCTCACGCTTACGCTGGTGGATCTGCCCGGATTGACAAAAGTGCCGGTTGGAGATCAGCCAAAGGATATTGAGAAACAAATAAGGGAAATGGTGTTGAAACAGATCAGCAAGTCGAATGCGATTATTCTTGCAGTTACAGCTGCAAACCAAGATTTGGCCAACTCTGACGGTTTGAAACTTGCTCGGGAGGTCGACCCAGAGGGGCAGAGGACCATCGGAGTTTTGACCAAGGTCGATCTTATGGATGCCGGAACCGATGTTGTGGATATTCTTGCTGGTAGAGTTATTCCACTGCGACTTGGTTACGTACCCGTTGTGAACCGAGGACAGCGAGATATTGAGAATAAACGAACGATCAGTTATGCCCTTGAGCACGAGAAAAACTTTTTCGAAAACCATGCCACGTACTCTTCGAAATCTGCCTACTGCGGAACTCCATACCTGGCAAGGAAGCTCAATGTGGTACGTACGAGTCGAATTTGTGATAACCAAAGGATGTTTATGCTAACTTTACATTATTCAAGATTCTTATGATGCACATTAAGCAAACCCTCCCCGACATCAAAGCCCGCATTGCATCTTCTCTGCAGAAATACACTACTGAGTTAAATCAGCTTGGTGACTCGCTACTTGGAAACAGTGCCAACATCATCCTTAATATCATCACGGAATTCAGCAATGAGTACCGAACCATTTTGGACGGAAACAACCAGGAACTCTCATCAGTCGAGCTCTCGGGAGGTGCACGTGTCAGCTTTGTTTTCCACGAACTCTACTCAAACGGTGTCAAGGCCATCGATCCCTTCGATGTAGTGAAAGATATTGATATCAGAACGATGTTATACAACTCCTCCGGTCCTTCGCCAGCTTTGTTTGTTGGAACAGGTGCATTCGAGTCTATCGTTAAACAGCAGATTAAGAGGCTCGAAGAACCTGGTTTGAAGTGTGTCTCCTTGGTCTACGACGAGCTCGTGAGAATCCTTGCTCAGCTTTTGAACAAGCAACCTTTCAGGAGGTACCCCCAGCTGAAGGAACGATTCCACGGAGTCGTAATATCCTTTTTTAAGAAAGTCATGGATCCAACAAATAAGCTCGTTAGGGATCTCGTTGCGATGGAGGCTTGCTACATCAACACTGGACATCCCGATTTCATAACTGGACACAGGGTTAGTTTATTCCTGCATAAATTCCGTGACAAAATATGTTAATTGTTTGATATAGGCAATGGCAATCATCAACGAGCGTCAAAACGCCTCGAAGCCAACGCAAGTTGACCCAAAGACTGGAAAACCCATTCCACATTCAGCCACTGTCCCACGAGCTGCGAGCCCCAGCCTTGATCTGGGAGAAGGAAACCCAGGATTTTTCGGCAGCTTCTTTTCGTCGAAGAACAGCAAGAAGAAGATGGCTGCAATGGAAGCCCCTCCACCAATCCTGAAGGCTTCCGGAACTTTATCTGAAAGGGAAAACACCGAAGTTGAGGTGATAAGTACGTTCAAATCCCATATCTCGCTATATCAATTCTTTAGCTGACTCTTCGCGCACAGAACTCTTGATCAACTCGTATTATAACATCGTCAAAAGAACGATGATTGACATGGTTCCCAAAGCTATCATGTTAACACTTGTTCAGTAAGCTGCTTAAACCCGCCTTATACCTATCCAGCAAACCCCGCTAATGTTATTCCTACCAGGTTCACCAAGGATGAAATGCAACGGGAACTCCTAGGCAATCTCTACCGCGCAGAAGAACCAGATGACCTCCTCCGCGAAAGCGAATTCACTGTTCGTCGCCGTAAGGAATGCCAGAGAATGGTTGAGAGTCTTACCAAGGCCAGCGAAATTGTCAGTCAGGTTCAATAAGGCCCAACTTGAAGCGAGCGAGCAGGAGCAGAGGCACAAATCTGTTCCAGATTAAATAAATCGGATGGATAATCCATGGCGAAATGGAAAATAAACCGGCGAGAGAGAAACCGAGAGAGAATCGCAACTGAAATTAACTTAGCGCCACAGTCAATCTTGATAGAAATTCGGTTTGGGTGTGTTGCAATGCAATCCTTATTCTTTACATATTTACTTTTCCAGAGTGATTGATATCCCCTCTCCTTATTTTCTACATCATATACTACTAATCATTTCCCGTCTCTTTGCAATGTCTCTAGTTTTAGTCTTATGTGCCCATGATACATTTTCGTTTGCCTATGATGAAGTTTTGAGGTAACATGATTTCGTGACCATTATTTCGATTTTTTAGTCTCTTCCACCCCGTCAACATATCAGCTATCTGATCCTTCTCTCTATCACCACCTGCCAATTTAATATCAGTTAGCTTCTTCAAAACCAACCCCCTTCAAAGTAAATAGTTCATCATCCGCACCCATCACTTTGATCAAATTCTTCTATGTCTGGATTAGCTATATTATATAAGCCGTATTCTGCGGATTAATAAATATCCGATAGAGTTATGCACGGGCCATCTCCTTTCTAATATCAAACTTAAATTGTAACGCTCCTCTCTTCATGACAAATTGTAGATAACTTTGTAATTTATGAAGAAAGGTATAACATTATAGAGGAGTCTTTCCATATAAACCAGTTTCTCTTTCTAACGCATATTTATGACCTTTATATACACCGATCTAGGCTAGATCATGACAATATATACAAAAACCAAGTCACTTTAACCTCGTGCCGGGGCAAAGTTTAATCACGGTATTTATATCTGCTTTTTCGGTAGTTAGGGGTTCCATGCCAAAATTCAAAATTTAAAACCCCCCCTGGGCGTAAGACGTGTCCATACCAACCAATGGACAATCAAGATCTAACATCAACGGGGAGACAAACGTAGGACGAACTTTATTTTTAAAGGCCAGCCCCACCAGTATGTTTCCTTTTAATGTAATTAGTTGTTTGATATGGAGTATGGGGATTAGAGACAAGGGGAAGGGAGTGAAGCAAATCCTTACCTTTACCGTCCTTCTCATATTTTGGCCACCCCAACTTTGACAGGCCCCCGTGAGGGTCAGCGGCAAAGGTTGCAAGTGCGTGCATCATGTATGACGAAACCTTAGCTTCGGTGGCAGTGTTTGCCGTGTCATCACTGACATCCTCTGCCGTGCCAAAGAACTGGGAAACATCGCTGCCGTGATACGAGCCACTCCCTGGGTATAGGATGGAGTTGGGCCATTCGCCGAAGTACATATATCGCCAAACCGGAACACCACTCGCTGCACGGTAACTTGCCTCTCTAAAAGAGGAGCATGTAAACCTGGCTAGGTTAAATAGGTGCCACTCTTTATCAGTTAAAGAAATCTTCTGAGCATACGCGGCGATCTTATAGTAGCCAGCCTCAAAATTCCCATTTCCAACAAGGTATGGCTAGATAAACGAGACTAATTAGAGAAGCTTATTTTCCTATTCCCCGCACTATCGTGATTTAGAGAAGGACACTAAACTTACAACCTTGGCAAACATCCCCTTGGATGCACGTTCTTCGTAGTTAGAGAAGACGATTTCTTCGTCAACTGTGGGATGGAATACCGGCTGTGGCAGCGCCTTGCTGGTTTCCGGTGGTACTTTGGATACTGCAGCTAAAACATCCGTGGCTGTTTTAGATCTCACACAAGGGAGAGTATCCCCAGAACTGCCACACCCGAGAGCTTCAGATAGGGTATACCAGTATTTCTGGGATTGTTCCGGGGTATTAGGTGTCATGCTTAGGGCTGTCCCGGACATGGGCATAACACCGTTAACGATAGGATCATCGGCATACGTATACATATGGTAGTCGACTGCGACGCCTCCAGCAGACTGGCCAAAGATAGTGATACGACTCGGATCACCCCCAAAACCAGCAATGTTATCCCGGACCCATTCTATTCCCATCCGCTGATCAAGCAACCCCAAGTTCTGGGGTGATCCAGGTGCGCCAGGGAATCCAAAGACGGTGAGGCGGTAACTTACTACTAGTTAGAATAACTTATAAAAATGCCACGGATGGCAAGGTTGGTTACTTCATTGATACCACAATAACATCTTCCTGATCCGCGATATATTGACCCTGGTAAAAGAGGCTGTTTGTGCTCCCAACAGCAAAACCTGGAATTATCGCATATTTTGTTAATCCCACGATATCAAACGATCCTTAAAAGTATATTTTCCAAAAATCCTAAAAATCTACTTACGACCGCCGTGGATCCAAAGCAAGACCGGCTTCTTCTTGGACGACGTATTCTTGGTCCAAACATTCAATTTCAAGCAATCTTCGCTCTGGGGCTTAACATTTTGGCCGGCGAAATTCGCAATGATAGGTCGCAGTACATCAGTTGCATTAGGATACTCAATTGGCTTGCTTGGTGTCTGGAGGCAGTCGCTTAAGATTTCAGGGGAGGTTTAGCAACAAACATGGGTTCCGATAGTAGACACATCATGCAACTGGAACATACAATGACTAGCGAGAACCAGGCTTTCGTTAACTTTTTGTTTTACATCACAATAGATGTCGTTTGAAAGAATGACACAAATATTCAAGCGTACGACAAGGCTTGAGCTTACAAATTTTGCGGCATCGAAGGGCTTGTCAGAAGCGAATTTGACGGGAGCTGCAAACCGAAGTTCGCCAATCGGAGCCTTTGCGTATGGAATTCCTAAATACTCGACAACTGCTGGTCGAGAGGTTGAAGGATGGCCAGTTACTGGCCCGCTAGTTGTGTTGACCGGGCCTGCGACTGATGGAGGGACCAGCAGAAGTGCAGTCAGCAGTTTGACAACGCGCAACATACGCCCCATGTTGATAATAACGTTCTATCGACAGTTGGAGTTCAACTAGTTATGTCTTTGAGACGACCTGGGACGGAAGAGTGTCTCCAAGTCACATCGTTCGCTATTAAGTCGCCGACCCCGAGTGATCAAATTCTATTACTCGAGCCAATGCTGTAACCGCAAGGATTGTATTGCATGGTTCCGTTCATGGGTTGCTAGTCGAAAATTGGGACGCATCAGCACGACCAGCGGATCTTGGTGGGACTGATATTTATTTCCGCACCAGCCTCGACTCTCAATAACTAACTAGCGAATTAGTATCCGAGTGCTGGAAACTCCCTCCTCTTCTGTTGCTTCAAAGGCCTGGACTAGTTAGGGCGACGACATTCAATTTCGTCTGATGCAGGAAGAGTCTTCCCTGCACTTTTGCTAACTCCGCGTACTATACGATAGCGGACATATTGCCCCTAAGCTAGTGGCAGAGATCCATGTCACTGTTCTGGAAATTTTGAAGATAGTGCATCTTTAACATGTCTAGAATCTAGAATGTGCATGCACCTCCTAAACTATTGAATAACGTAGGCATCAGTGTCCAGATATCCACCAGAGAGCCCCGTCATACAGCACATCCTGTAGAAGTTACCACATCGCAGATGATTTCAACACCTTTGGCCGGGTTACCGAGCCGCATACCACGGTATATATTCATGGGCCTAACAACATTGGTCTGGGATTGTCATCTGGGGTGGTCCCTTCGCTAGTACCCTTCTGGACGTAGGCAGCATTATTAACAACAATATCTACCTGGTCAAATGTGGTTCAGAGCCAGTCTCAGTATGGAGTCTAAATAACCAAACGAGACAACAGAAACAAGGGACGCTTCCCGTTAACTTCGAGGGGAAGAAATCTTACCGATACCACTATCCAATGTATTTCCCAATCTCCAAAGGAGTTTTTGCACGGGGATAATCGCAGGCAAAATACAGAGCCGGCAGGGCTACTTCGAGGGCAGCGGAGTTCCCGCTTGAGGTCTCCAACTTGTGGAAGATGAGGTCGGCGATGGTCGACTGACTGCCTATTGATTGGTGCAATAATAGGGGTAAGTGAAGATGCACGCCGAAGGGCCTTCAAACTAGCCTTGCCTATAATATCCTGGGTGAAAGTGATAGCTGGAGTCTGCGTTGGGCCTATATGATGGCTGTCAGCCTAAACTATAGCTTTCCTTTTTACAATGGGTTCCTTCCCCTGAACATAGAACTCGCTGCCAGATGAAAGGCGCTGATATGGTACTGGCTGCTGCTATCTCCCTCCGCTTGGCCACAAGATGTTTCAGGGGCGGAATCAAAATCGACGACTGGACGATCGTGGCGGCACCGGTACGTGTTACGTGATATTCACTCATGGAGCTAATGCGTAGCGTAGATATGCTCGGTCGTGTTGACGGTGGCTGAAAATATGGGTATGTTGAGCAGGACCATCTGCATATCACTGTTCTCATACCTTTGCACACGCATATCTCGCGGTGGCAGAGAGATACGGTAAACACCCTGGAAGTGTACAGCATCGAGTAACGACGTTGAAAGTTAGTTTAAACTATTGAAGCGGAATAAGCTTAAATAACGTGGTTCACCACCGAATGACCGCCACCACCTAATGACCGGCGCTTTGGCCACCCCATCCAAATCGCTGCATATATTAAATATCAACCTATTTCAACACAACGTAAATAACAAATTAAATTAGCTATTAAATAACGATAGTAGGGTTCCAAATTACATATAAATTAGTAAGGTTAAGAAAATAAACGAGTGTTGGGCTTGATAACTCGCCCGGAACGGCTTGCCCGGGGTTGGGATAGGAAGGGTGGTATTGAAGGAATAGGATCGATTGGAGCCACCTTCGTAGGTGAAGTCTTCTTCTTTCCTAATCGGGAAGGTGAGATAGGGCTTAAGGCGTTCTTTTCAGCCTTCCTGGCCTTCTTGGCCATCCGTTCCGCTGCTTGTTCACCCGCTTTACGCTTCCGTTCAATCGCAGCCTCTGCGCGCTGCGCTGCAGCCTCTTTACGAGCCTCCTCATGGGCTTCCTTTCGCTGCTGTTGCTCTATCAACCTTTGAGCTCTCTTTTCTGCTGCTTCCTGGGCTTTAACATCCTTCTGAATTGTACGCTGAAGCTTTGATTGTTCAGCCTGCGCTATCTTATCTTGTTTTTCATGCTCTATATTAAGAGCCCGTTGCCTGGCTGCTTCAACTTTAGACGGAGAGAAGAACTGCGCCTGGCCAGCCCGTTCCTTATCAAACAAGCCCATTGCTTTACCTCTCTTCCTTTGCTTCTTCTCCATTTGTATTACTGCATGAAGAGACCTGTTCTCATGGGCTAATATCTCATTCTGGAAGACCAGTCTTTCACTAGCATGAATGACCTTTTGAATATTGATTGAGAGGCGCGATTGCCTGCGGTAAACCTTCTTAATTTGACGGCGGAGGCCTCGAACAGTAGTAGGGGTAGGAGGAGCAACCAGGTCTGGAGGGGTAATTGGTCTTCGTTTGAAATATTTTAATATCTGTTCAGGCATGAAGGGGTAGATACCCGTTGTTTGAAATGCAGCCTTAACGTTCTCAGGTGTTACTGCTTTACACCATGCTGTATAAAAGAGCCTCCAGAAATCTCTCTTCCTCATTGATGAATACCCATAGCTGCAACGGAGAAGGGTATCGATCTCTTGGGAGTATGCCTTAGCCAGTGGCCCAAAAACTCCAACATCTAATGGTTGTAATCGATGAGTTGAATGCGGAGGAAGGATTGCAAGAAGGATACGGTTTTTATCTGCGTAGTCGATAAAGCGCATATTGATATGAGAGGAGTGGCCATCAACAATAAGAAGCCTTCTTCCTCTATCAGCCTTTGCCTTCGTATGCTTATTAAATATCTCCAGCCAGCTAAGCCCGTAGTCATCACTGCTCCAGCCGTTGGGTGAGGCTGCAAAATAGGCTGTTTGCTCATGAGGGTTGAAATCATCAAGCCATGTATCTTGTAGATCTCCTTCTCCCTTATAAATCAGTGTAGGAGGAATCCTTTCACCATCTGCAGAGATGGCAGCAAGAAGAGAAATAAACTCGCGATTTCCATCATGAATAGCACCTATCTGCTTTCGTTTAAGCTGCTCAATAGGGACGATACGTTTGACTGCCTGACCTAGGCCAATAAGGAACCCTTTTTCATCGAAATTATAGGTGTTTTCTGGAGTAATATTATATTTTGAAATCATCAATTCAAGCTAGGAAGAGGTCAGTATTTAAAGATATTGATATCGATTTGATCACTAACATGCTCAAAGTAATGCGCAAAATAAGAGGAGTTATCAGCAACCTTGCGTTTTTGATCGATAGTCTTTAAATAAAGGCTCTTTATCTGGTTATGATATCTCTCGCAGAACCGCGCCACCCAGTTCAACCCAACAGGCTCTTTTGTTATCTCATATACCAAATTCCGGAGTATTTGAGGTGTAGGAGATAGGCCACGTAGAGATAGGCGATTTATATGCTTTAAAAGCTCTTTTTCTTGAGCAGTTGTAAGCTTCTTGTGATGTTGGGATATTGCTTCACTTCTTGAGGTAGTGACTCCTTGAAACCGCCGTGTGAGCGTTTTTCGATCGATTCCGTATCTTTTTGCAGTCTGGGTATAATTAGGGGCTTCTTGGGCCTTTAAATCTGCAATTGCTAAAGCAATTGCAGCTTCATTAACCATATTACGGCTGTTGCGAGTGGTTGTTGTTGATACGCATGAATCTTTGTTGGGGCGGTCATTGGGTGGTAGCGGTCATTCGGTGGTGGCTTACGTTAGTCTAATCATGTCTGGTCCCAAGTAGTTCCTCGCGCAGGTTTCTATAAACTGGTTATCATCTTCACAAGATGCTTTGTTTCTATAGCTGCGGATATTCGCTATCGAAAAGTTGTTCTGTTGGATTTGTAAGGCTCTTGTCACTCTCACTCTCTGGGATTTGCTTATTCTCGCAACCGTCTGGCAATGCCGGCCGATGAAGGCGTTTTGGGACCGAGTCATCCAAGCTATGCCTGCGTTGATCACTCTGGCATACTCAACATCACACTTCACCGTCCTGGCTCTACCAATCCAGCAGATCGCTCGGCTACAACTTCGAAAAGGGGATAAGATCGCGTTATATTTGTCTTCGGGCTTGGCGGGTTGTAGGTGTTTTGTTTTTTCACCTCCATGTTTTCTTTATACGGAGTGTATGTTTTGCTAACGCGTTGAACCAGTATCTGTCTAACGAGTCACCGCGTCATCCTCATCGGCGGACGCCACACGCGAGCGCTCTGACCTCAGGATTTAATTAAAGAAGTATTCGGAAAAACGCCGGTTCAGTGTACGGAGTAGCTGATGCCGATCCAGGGAGCCCTATACCGCCACGATATGGAGCGTTGGTTGGATGCAACACTGGAATCATCTGCGCGTGCACACCGATGATCCATCAGCCACTTCCTGCACTGTTACCCTGAGTCTCCCTGTCATTGGCACGGGGCAGTTCTCATGCTCCTATTCCACTCAAAGTCAAGTGTCAACACTCCCCCGTTCATGACTTTCTGCGAACCCCCACAACTCCAACTCCCAAGCGCTTGTGCGCCATGGAAGAGCGAAGCGCAGCTCCATACGACAAGCGTTATACGGGAAGAGTGGTGCCCAATTCCTGCGGCCCGAACCTAGATATCGGCCTCTCGCTTGGGAGATATCAAAGGCTTGGAAGATATCAAAAGGCTTGGAAGATTATCAGATTCGGATTCAAAATCCTCGAGATGAAGGCCAGAGAGCCAACGAATCTCCACGTGCATGCACCTTTTACGGACTGGGATGCTCTTCTACCCACTGCTTGGGTCGGAGCTTATTTCTTATTTTTCTTTTGGGTGTTTTAGTCTGGAGAGATGCAGGGTTTCACGTTATGGACACGCGGGTCGGGGGGCATATAAAGGCTGTCCTATTGGATAGAGGAAGCAAGGGGATGGGGGTTGGGGGTTGTTTTGGCAGGAGTCCAAAGTTATCTACTTCCATCGGCATTTCACGACTTTTCTTCTTCCCATATGTCGCACGCGGACGATGCTTCCGGTGCCGCAGCAGCTCGCCCTTTCTCGAGGAATCATGCACGTCACTCTGCATATACGCACTTATAATAAACATGGCAGAAGAACCCAAGCACTTTGCTTTTCACCGGTTCCTTTTGAGCTAACGAAAAATTATCGGAATGCCTCCATACCTGGTGGACGGACAAGTCCGCATGGGAGTACGGAGTACGGAGTAACAGGGAGGCTCGGCCAGGCTCCTCCCAGGGAGTATTGAGCGGTGTGTGAGGCCGCCGTCAGTATCAATATATTCTCCCCCTGCTATTTTTTTCTTTAGATAGGCTGGACGAGGTGAAACTATAGTAAGAAGCTTCTTTCGCCCCCTTTAACGCCACCCTTTGGCTTCCACTTACTTCCACTCCAGGGACCAGGATTATCGTGTTGCTGGGCGAGTTACGAAGTAGGCAAATGGTGAGGATGGCTATTTCCACCGGGCTCAGGCCTTGGGAAAACTTTGAATTTCTTCCGCCGCCCGCAAGCACTTTCCAACCCTCCATCTCGGCTACTTTTTGGCTTCATATTGGAGGAAGCGGTTTGTTTTTTGTTCTTTTTCCTTTTTGTTTTCTTCGTTTCTTCTTCTCTTCCGTCTGTCGTCTATCAGAATCATTGACTTTCTCGGTGTATCCCCATTATGCATATCCTAATCTCATCTACCTCACGCCCTGTTGCTATCCTCTCCGCAGCGGCATCACTGCTCCAATCGGGTCTATAGCCCAGGCGAGGACTGAATTCTCCCTCTGTTTGATACGTATATTATATAAAAAGCCCCCATTGATCCGGGTTGTGGCATTCCTCACGCAGCTTCAGCATCCCTACCTCGAAATCGCTACCAAGCCCCTCCGAACACCGTCTTAAAAGTCAGCTTCACCGAAGAAGTTGCTCCCGAACCCTGAACTGCCGATATAGCGACGCAATATCTGTACATATATCTAGTTGAGGGCTGAATAGCGGTGGGAGAAGGATGGACACCCTCAAGGCTGCGCTCGCGAGGTGCAAGCCGAGTCCTCATGTCGTCGAGAAGCTGATGACCATCAAACGAAAGACACCCGTCCTCAAAGACCTCCATTATAATTTTATCTGCCTTCACTATGCTTGGATTATCGGCGTTACGTTGGTTGGCTCCATTATCCTCTATCCCGCCGGAAATATGTCCTACATCGATGCGCTATTCTTCGCCTCTGGTTCCGCAACCCAGAGTGGCCTCAACACTATTGATGTGAATAATCTGTACACTTATCAACAAGTTTGGCTATGGATGGGTTCCATGATTGCCAACCCGATCGTCATCCACGGGGCTGTCGTCTTCGTCCGCTTATATTGGTTCGAACAACGCTTTCAACATGTGGTCCGTGAAGCGAAAGCATTACGGAGATCCCGGTCGCGGTCGAGAGCTACAACCCGCGAGCCAGAGGACAACAATGACATACACCGGGCTGAAGCTGGAGTTCGTGGTCGCGATATAGTGGTGCTTCGAAACAATGAAGGTCACGCACACGGCCGCTTCTTGGACACCCCGAAGAAAGAACAGGAATCTACCTCCGAGAGCGATTCGTCTATCCAACATCCTGATGCTCAGGGAGAGTCTACGAACGGGCAAACTAAAGATAGCCCCAAGGAAGGCAATTCCTCGCTTGCACCTTCTCACTTCCCGGGAGATGCTAGAATCCAGTGGTCTGTTCCTCCAGACAGTGAACGGCATATCACCTTCCTCGAGCACCAAAGGAGACAGACTGGTGCTCTGCGTATACCTAGTCCCAGAGAATTCGACAGAGGCGGTATGCCAGAGGCACTTGACGAAATAGTAGATGGATCTGAGCTGCACCGCAAGGCCACCGTTCAATCCGACCAAGGCCATGACCAGCTTGGGCATACTTTTTCACCTCCTTCGTCTCCTGGGCCGATCAACCAACACATTACCATTGATGAGCCTAATGTCGCCCGCACACGGAAAACTATTCAATCCAGACAAGGCGAGCAGGGCGCCAGAGATGGAGACGAAGCCTCAACTCTACGGCGAGTGGCATCCCGTAGATCAATGGTGTCAAGCTTCATACGCTCTCGAACCCAAGAACAGGCCCAAGAAGCCCCATACCTTAGCTGGGAGCCTACTATCGGGCGAAATTCTGCTTTCGTAGACTTGTCTGAAGCTCAAAGGGAAGAATTGGGTGGCATTGAATACCGGGCTCTCAAGGCGCTCGCTATCGTTCTCCTGGGATATTTCTTCTTCTTCCACCTCCTTGGTATTATTTGCTTGATACCCTGGATTCTAAACACCAGATGGGGGGCTATCGTCCAGGCTGCAGGCCAGGGAAGACCATGGTGGGCCGTATTTTCAGCCGGCTCTGCCTTTAACGACCAAGGCTTCACAATCACACCCGATTCTATGGCTTCATTCTACGATGCGATATTTCCTATGCTTCTGATGACCTTCCTTATTCTCATCGGAAATACAGGATTTCCTTGCATGTTGCGCTTTGTCATTTGGTTCTTTTCAAAAATAGTACCAACTGGAAGCAGCGTCTGGGAAGAGTTGAAATTCCTCCTAGACCACCCCAGACGTTGTTTCACGCTGCTGTTCCCAAGCTCGGCTAACTGGTGGTTGTTTTGGGTGCTTGTCCTTTTGAATGGCGTTGATTTGATCTTTTTCGTCGTCCTTGATGTAAGTTTTCAACGCTTGCATCGTCTTACAGCTAGAGATTTTATTTACTGACCATCCCTTTCCAGTTGAATGACCCAGATGTTACTCGTATTCCTGGTGGGATACGTTTTGTCGATGGTCTATTTCAGGCAGCGGCTACCCGAACTGCGGGTCTATCGGTCATCAGTCTTACAACTCTTCACCCGGCCATACAGGTGTCATATATGATCATGATGTATATATCCGTATTCCCCATCGCTATCTCCATGCGCCGAACGAACGTCTACGAGGAAAAAAGTCTGGGCATATACTCCGACCCAGATGAATACAGCGAGAACGGAAAGGAGCCAAGTTTCGTTGGCGCTCATTTGCAGAAGCAGCTTAGTTTCGATATCTGGTATATCTTCCTGGGCCTGTTCGTCATCGCAATCATTGAAGGGAACCGATTAGACAACCAGAAAGATATCGGGTTCTCTCTCTTCGCCGTTTTATTCGAAGTCGTCTCTGCCTATGGTACCGTCGGCCTTTCCCTGGGTTATCCTAACACCAACACTTCGTTCTCCGCCCAATTCCACACACTTTCAAAACTTGTCATCATTGCCATGGAGATTCGAGGCAGACACCGTGGTTTGCCGTACGCACTTGATCGCGCAGTGCTGCTACCTTCCGAAGCACTGCATCGAAAGGAAGAAGACGATGCGACTAAGCGCCTCAGGCGACGCAGTTCCAACGTCAGCACACTGTCTTCTGCAACTGGATATGGTACTGGCATTTTCCGAGATGACGGTCTGATATCGCGACAGCCTGCTGGGCCCTCGGATGTGCCTCCAAATACTGCTTCCTCCGGGCGCACAAAGTCCGCTGCACATCGCCTATCTACGCATCAGGAACGTGCTTGATTCCTGTTACTAAGTCTATCTCACATTTTGCCTTATCCCTCTAAGCATATTTCTTGCATATGGCGCAGCTAGTTGCTCTTGCATTTCGGCTTTTGGTTGGATTCTTGTTGTATTTTCCTTATATCTGTTTTAGCAAGCGATTGTACTGCAAGGTGTTTACGGAGAGAGAGAAAGAAAAACCAGGGGTGGTATATATATCTATATATTCTTCGATCGCGAACGTCTTTGATCGTATACATCTATCGCATGTTAACTGCATACAACGGCCACTCATGTACATGTGTAAGGGTACATCTCGCATAAGTCTTACCTGTCAGCCGTAACCCCTGAACCCTGCGGCCTTGATCCACTGCCTACACTTAAACCTCAACTTCTATCGTCATCGCTTCCTCTAAGAACGAGAAAAACCGGTTACTCCTTCTACTTGACATCATCGTCCGGCCGATGTCGTATACGATGTAGTTTCTTCCTTTTCTACCGAGGAAAGAGACAGGGGTACTTCGGTATGCTATGTAGATAAAAAATGCTATTTAGATATTGTAAATGGCGTGCCGTCGCCCCTCGAGCAATAAGCGGACTATACACATGAATGCAGCTCAATTGTCTCTAAATCAATTCCTCCTACTCTACTTTTCTCGTTACAGTGGAATAATTGAAGTCTGGTCGAGGTAAATAAACACCAACACATTGACTGGACTGCACACGCAAAGATGGTACGCTTCCTCTGAAGTCACATATCGATATTCAGCTAATGGTAATGGCCCTGGAATAGAGACTGCCATCTACATACATCTCCCACCTCAATCAACCTCGCCAATACATTGCTCCGGCCAACTGTCCCTCCTGTGACTGTCTGAGCGGAGGTGCCATCGCGGGCATCGTCATCGGAAGCATCGCTGGCTTTTTCCTGCTCTGGTGGCTCATCAAATTCGCTTGTCAGTCAACCACCAGCGACGGACGGTACAGCTCGTTTCAGACCACAACGTACGAGCAGCCCCGTCGTAGCAGTCGCAGCCGGTCGAGGTCGAGGTCGAGGCGTGGTTCATACTATGTTTCCCCTCCGCCTACAGTGGTTACCAAGAGGAGCCGCCGATATAAAGATTACGGGGACTATATGGAGAGACCACCAAAGGTTTATGTTAGTTAGTGGTGGATATCTGGTTATTCACAGAAGCCCCAGGCTTATATATTCCAACGGCATGAGACATAATGTGGTATGATAGGATGAACATGTATATATTTATCTCTGGTCTCTGTTTTGGGGCGCTGGAGGGTAATGATTCTCATATTCCTGCAATTGTGGCATCACTAGGTTCATTTATTTTACTTAATGTGAAGATATCAGGATAAAAGGACAAATGCGCATCTCCTGCAAACTGGAACAACCTACTGTGATCCCTGTAGTCTCTGCGTCCTGTATTTCAAAATACTGTTAACATCTAGATCAAAGAAGAAGATATATGTGAATTAGATAAATAAAACTCACCACCATGCCCTGAAATCCTGTGTGTCAGCAGATATTCCAATATCCTTCAACGATCTTGTAGACAAATGGGTATCATATGGCCGCTGGACACCTTCACCCGGCTTGCCGCCATCAGTAACCCTCACCATGCCAGGGATAGACACGCCGAGCAGCTCAGCAAACAGTTCACACATCTTATATTTTGTTGTTTGCACATCTGAAGAGAACTGAAGAACGGCAGGCAGACTTGCAGCCTGTTGCCGTTCATCGAGATACTTTACGGCAATATCACGACAAACCCGTGCAACATCCTCCGTGTGAGTAGGATAGCGCTTCGACCAGTCGTCCATCTTGACTCCCGCGTTGGCATCCTGGGCCTTCTTGACCGCGTCCAGAAGTACGTTTACAGCACTGTCGCTGTTGGTCGTTGCAGGGCCGTACAGCACGGGAATTCGCAGTACAACACCCAGTCCGGAGCCTGATGTTTCTTCCAACACGGCTGCCTCGCCATCGCGTTTCGTCACGCCGTATATGTTAGGTGGGTTGGTGGGCGAGGATACCTCATATGGAGCCTCACCCTCGACACCGGAGAAGACATAGTCGGTGGAGATGTAGATGAGCAGAATGGATCTGGACGCCGTTGCATGTACGAGGGCCCTGGTGGCCTCTACATTGATTTTACGAGCGAGAGACGGATCCGCATCGCACTTGTCTGGGAACCGATTCGCAGCACCTATACTGATCAGTGACGGACGGTACGATGGGGATACCACCTGGCCGACTTACAATGGACGACTACTTGGGGTCTGCGGACAGTGTCAGCCACGCACGCTATGTGTAAAGGACGGAGATGCACACTTCACGTCGTCGAGCAGCTTCTCGATCTCAGCGGGCACCGTGAGGTCTGCCTTGAGTATCTGTGGCGGCGATGCTCTGCTGAATCCCTGGCCGGTGACCTTCCAATTGTCGTCTTGCTGGAACGTCCTGAGAACCTGACGGCCAAGCAGGCCGCTGGCCCCTGTAACAAGCGCTGTCCGGGACATCTTATCGCTTCTCAATGCTGATGCTGATGCTGGTTGATGCTGGTTGATGTGATGTTACTGGAAGTGGGATGATGACCTCATCCCGACAGATCTCTTGGCGGCATTTCCGTATATAGACATCTCAACGTCGTCGGTTTACGCATATCGATATTCTATATTTGATATAGATGATACGATGGTATAGATGGTATAGATGATGAATAGAAGGGCACGCCAGTCGTCATAGCTGCTCAGCGGATGAGCTGTCAAGACGTGGCTTGTTGCGCGCATACGCCACGGCCTGTCACCTCGACCGCCAGGCGCCACCTCGTACCAGCCCCTATTCTCCAGCCTGATACTGGCTTTGATGCTTGATGCTTGATGCTGACTGCTCGCTCTTGATCTGCCAAGTGGCTGCGATCCCTGAGATCGGGAAATCCGCGTGACCTGTCACAGATTAACTTTGCTGGCCCGTTGTTCGCTAACTAAACGCTCGTCATAAACACGATATCAACGATAGCGAATGCAGTAGAGCGATCGCGTGCAGGATATAGAACAGATCTGGGGTCGGATATACGAATTAGAAGTCCTGCGCCGGGTCCACGCTGTACAGCAGGGCGCAATCTCGCTCCTCGTCTTCGCCTCCTCCACTGGATAGATTAACATCGCGCCTTTTTGGTGCCTGAGCCCAACTCTCACTGCCCAACCCAACGGCCTCGCCTTGGTGCAACCAGCGCCCGCCTCCCCCCAGCCATCTGTGTTGTGCGTCTCTCTGACGACTCGGTCGGCGCTTGTTTGTTGTCCTCAGGCCAGAACAATACACAACACGCCTCACTTGGGCCCCAGACCAGAGATTTCTTACCGCGGGTCTTTTTCGAGAAAGTCAATTGACCTCGATGCCACAAACCACCTGTTCCTCACTCCCCTGCTCATAAACAGGTAGCTAACCTGACACCATCCTTGTATTTCGACAAGGACCTGCTGAGGCTCGTGGTATACGGAGTACGGAGTAGATATCAATTCCCTCTACGGAGTAGCTGTCTACAGTAAGTTTGTGTGTCTTACTACACCTGTTTCATTTGTCTTGTCTCCAGCTTCCCCTGTTACCCCATACAGACACAGAGTAAGTGGATGATCTTATGAGGTGCAAGCTTCTAATATCTAATTAACCAGCTGTCTAGATAGAATCACCAAGGCTCTCCTTTTGAGTGATAAGATCTTAGTGTCGCGCAGAAGACAAGACGCAAAGTGAGTGCGACAGGAATGGTGATATATCATATCGACGCGATCAAACAGCCCAGAAGCCAGAGCCAGTGAATCCGTCCTGGCCCAGTGTCTCAAATATGGCTTCCATGGCGGACGCGCATCAGCCCTTTGCGCCACAGAAACTCTCACGCTATCGATCAGTGAGAAAAGCGGCAAACACGCTCTCCCAGCAGTCTCAGGAAGCTCCTCCTCTTCCTACCACTACAAACAGCACTCAGAATGCATCAATTAGCAGAAGCATGTCTCGATACCGAAAAACAGGGGCATCTAGAGCCAACCATGCCGTGCCACCTCCCCCTCTCCCAATGCCTACCCAGGGCGATTACCAGCATAATGACCACATAGACAGACAGCGCAGCAGCTACGATGAGCGTCAATACAACGGGTACCCGGAGTCGTTTGAACCAGAGCCCACAGCCGTCCACGCCGAGCCTCCGTCCTCATCGCGCAGAGCGTCAACGCAGAATGCTCGTCCTATCATCACGCCCCTTACCGACGAACGCTATCATTCAAGCGCGAGACACTCAGTTGATTACGGAAGACGCGCAGAAGCCTCTCCGCGAAGCTCAACCAATCGCCACTCGTACATAAACACAGGGCAATACGACAGGCAGTTTTTCGACGGCAGAGACGAGCGAGACCATCTCTGCTATGATAACGGGAACCAAGGCGGCGTTCCTCATACTTCTGCTCGCCAATATTTTGTGGATGAGCCAGGGGTTCCTGCAGCAGGCATGGGACCAAATACTTTTGATGAGCGACTCGCAAATGAAGAAGCAATGGGCAAACATACTACAAAAAAGAGCAGAGGCGGGCGATTGTTCAAGGATAAAGGTGGTGGTGGTGGTTTTTTGGGACGGCTGAAGGGGTCCTCTGATCCAGACGGACGTCCACAGAAGAAAGATAGCAAGAGAATTCTCAAGGACAAAATATCACCTCCTGTACCCGTTGAAATGAACGAGCCTTCAAGGAGGTCTGGACCTGGTGTTGACGCACCTGTGTCAGCAGTGAATGCAGGTGAAAGAAAGGTCACAGTGAAGTGTAATGAGTCTTTCATAACCCTGCCTATCACACCAACAACACAAGCTCAGGACCTGATTTATTCTGCGGCCAACTGCTTGTCAGAGAACATTGTCCCTGAGTCAGCTATTATTGTGGAGTCATTTCAGCAACTTAACCTGGAGCGCCCACTTAGGAAATATGAGCATGTCCGCGACGTTATGAACTCATGGAACACCGACGCGCAAAACTGCTTAAAGATCATCACTGATCCGGATCCTAACATCATAGACGCCCTTCTTGCCAAGTCTGCTCCTCGAAAACAGCCACCGGACATCTCATTCAACCTATACCACTGCCAACGGACTGGGAAATGGGATCGTCGGTGGATCACACTAAGAACAGATGGTCAGGTCACCGTCTCGAAGAAGCAGGGTAGCACCGACTCGACTAATATATGTCATATTTCCGACTTTGATATTTATACTCCTACCAGGAAGGAGTATAAACGGCTGAAGCCACCTAAGCCATTATGTTTTGCAGTCAAGAGTCAGCAGAAATCAGCCATGTTCCTTTCCACTGAAAACTTTGTTCATTATTTCTGTACAAAGCATGAGGATGTTGGTGGAAGCTGGCATAATGCGGTGCAGGAATGGCGCAGTTGGTACCTTGTTAATGTCCTGGGAGAGGGAACCAAGAAGAAGAAGACGGATAATTCTCAGTTCTCTCCCGGCAATGGGATGACTCTCGGGGCTGATCTAACTGAACCCCATCCACATCGACTGTCTGGCACTCCTTATCAGCTGGGAACGTTCCAGGAGCTTTCCATTGATCCCAATATGGCGGCTTTTGACAATGAAACATACCAGGAGGCTCCCGTCTATGATGTACCAACAGGCAGGAAAACAAGGCCAACCTCCTTTAATGCTCAAGCCCATGGCCAACCTACTTCATCATCTCCCCCAAGGCGGACCACCACAACAAAGGAATCCACAGGCAGCAAGCAGAAACAACGCACTAGGAGCAAATCGATCTCCAAGAAGAAAGGCAACGATGAAGGAGTTAATACAGAACAACCCTTTGCACCATCAGGCTTGCTCGGCCGAGCATATACCCAGAGACAAAAGGCAATGCTTGATCGCGAGAAAGAGCAGGCAGTGGATAACGGGCCCTTTATCTCCACTGGCTTGTTGAGTAACATCCGACCAGGCGCACCTTCATCACCGCTCTCCCAACACTTTCCCGACCATCCCGGCTTTCAGCCAACACACCAGCAACAACAGCAACAGAATTACTACCCCAACAGCCGTGAGAATACGATGACTGGCGACCCTCGACCCGTTTTATCTTCCCAGCCCCGTTCGAAATCTACCCGCCACCCTCCGAAACCACTCATTGACCTTACCCCGACTTACAAAGAACCCCCACAGCACGCTAGAAAAGGGCGAGGCGTCACTCCGATGCAGGGCGTACCTCTTGTCGAGAGCGCTACAGGACCAGACCTGCACCCAAATGCCATCGTTGTACCCCCCTCGACCACCTGGCGCAAACCAAGCCATCGGAGCGGAACTGCCACCTCAGACCCATATGCAAGGGATAACCAGTACAATAATACATCCTCGTCATCGCGACATCGCTCAAATACCGGCCACGGAGCTCCAAAGTCCTATCAGCAGCAACAGCAAGGCCCACTAGTTGACTTGAACGGCGGAGGCTATCCCGGACATGTTCCTGGCGCTTTTCCCTTCTTGCCAGGAGGTCTTGTCGCGCAATCCCAGAAAGCCGGAAACTCCCAAGGAGCTTCTACTAGAGGTCGAGGCATTGCGACAGGTCGTCGAGACAAGATTTCCCGCCCATTACTTGACATCAGCCACATCACCGAGAACATCGAGGCCCCCGTGTTGGGTTCTGAATCCAGCGGAAGTGTAAGGGGTTAGATCCTGAACCTCCAGTCAAATTTCCTTTTCTGTGCTCTGTAGCTACTTCCTAATTGTACACTTGTATGTCTATTGCCCTGATGACCTTTTTACTTTGTTACCTGTATGTGTACCTTAACGACTCTGTTTATTTTGTTTTACTCTGCGGGACTGTCGGACTATTAGCAGCTTAGCTAGTTTAAAAATTACAAATACGTCAAATCGTGGCTGAATATTGCGTGTCATGGCTAGAAGGTCCTCGTGGTTAGATTTCCACTCCTGGCAGAGGTCTAAGCCATCTACCCCTGCTTCTCATTTTGGCGAGTAAGTGTTGGTTTGTTAACATCAACAAATCCTCACAGTCCACCGAGGAATCTATGAGGTGCTTCTTTAATGAATTACTTCTGGTCATCCTAATATATTTTGTTACTTCAACCCCTACGTCACTTTGGTATCTCGCTCAAGGATTACCATTTAAATTCTCCGTGCGAGACCCAAGCTTAGACAATTGCTTGCATCCCTGTCTATCTTTTACCCTGGTGGATTATCCCTGCGAGCTGGCATTTGACCTGCCAGAGACTTGTCAGGGGCTGCTTCACTCCTTGATCCTTTCAAAAAAGTATCCGAGCCTCGCCAAGTTAACGGCAACCCTTCTTGGTATACCGTGGCGCGGCTTACTGAAATGGTATAGTCAACCCATAGGTTATCACCACCCAAGTGCGTGTGTATGTCAATAATGTCAACGATATGCTAGCAGGAAGGATCTGACAAGATTCCTATGGAACCAAATATAGTCATAATGCAGTACCTATATAGGGGAAAAGAAGGATTTATATGTATAACAACAGCCGGACACTTTCTATTTCTCTCTTAATACCCCATGAGGCTCTACCACGAGAGCTGGGTTCCATCCCAAACCCTGTACTGAGCCCCAATCGATTCTCTCGTTGAACGGTCGATATCCTTGACAATCCCACGAGCGACTTCTTCCACAGTTTGGAATGCCTTCTCAAGCTTGTAAAGCCTAGCACCGGCATTTCCCATATCACTTTGAGGGAACCTATACTTTCCATTAGTATCTCTCGCTATGACTTATACGATGCAAAGCAGTCTAGATATCACTTACCCCGGATCTGCCACAAAGCTCACAAAGTTCTTGTTTCAAAATGAATCTTCCTCACCATCCAGTGCAGCATCGCCTTACTTGGCCCGTATGCCGCACTTGAATGCGGTTGCTGTTCCATACCCCCAATAATCCCAAGAGGACTTCCGATACCAACAAAGGTTGGCTTCTCACTTTTATTGAGAAGCGGGTAAACTGCCTGGTAAAGATACATTGGGCCAAAGGCATTGACTTCAACATGCTCCCGCACCACGGACATTGGAACTGTATGCACAGTCGAAAAATCCTGGCAAATGCCGGCATTTGCGATTACCACGTCAAGGCGGTCTATGCCTTGGTCCTGCAACTCCTGGACTGCAGCTGTGGGGTCGGTGCTTGACTTCGAATCAATCTTTACCACGATAAGTCTGGATGAAGTGCCAGTAGGTAACGTCTGCAGAGATTGGGCGTTGGAGCCAGACGGGTCTCGGACCGCAGCAATTATGGTGACGTTCGGACGGGCGATGAGGTTTTCGACCAGACCCCGTCCGACGCCTCGGTTAGCACCAGTGATCAGGTAGGTAGTGTTTGACATTGTAAATGATTAGATATAGAAGAACACTTGAGTTCGGGATATTGGTGCCAGGAAAATATCAGGAGAACAAGCTCTTTATTAATTTATAGAAATATATTCCCATCGCCTTGAGCCCTCGAGTTTACATTTATTTATAATAGTTATATTTTAAATCAGATTGTAGTAGCATCAGGCTTCGTATGTGTCCGAGAATGTTTCCGAAAGATATCACTCATAGATCCCTGTATATAAAATCCTTCTACCCATATATATGGCTAGACTGATCTGCACACTTATCTATAATGCTACATAAATTTACTACCTGATAACACCTGATGTTTCTACGGAGACTTTATCCTTGCCCATCCAAAACGCCCATTCTCGGATTTCGTCATATTGTTGCTTTTCTTATACTGACCGCCAAACTGGTAAGTCGTACCCTCCTAAAAGTCTATACTGGCTCAATATACATCCGATACAATATAATTACGTATTCTCGAGCCTTTTAAAAATCTTAAGATTAGATATATATTCGTTGTCATGACTCACTCCTTTCTATGATTGGTTGCATTTATCCCTTCACCTAGTTAATTACTAATCTTTCCTATTATTCACCATTTGCCTATCAACGTTAATTCTTGTTACCAGTTTCAGAGGAAGACAAGGAAGGGTAATGACTTAGTACTTCGGTTTTCCGATATATCTATAAATTTAGTATGGATTTAGGTTTTGTTCCTGGCCCGAGACTGTGGTTCCTGGGCTCCACAAGCGCGGGAGGGTTCAGCAGGGATCAGTTAGTTAGGCTGTCACCTACTGTGGCAAGACAGAGTAAATCATTTTGCAATTCAATGGTCGTTCAGAAAGTATGAAGTAGAGGAGTCTTAAGCACATTCAGCCGACGGATTGAAGCAAGAGTATACCTAATATGGGTATGCAGTCTACAGCCTGGCATTCATTATAGTCCCAGAGTATGGCGTTAGACGTGGGATTAGAACTCCGGCCTTAAAATTCCACAAATACACCTCTAATGTTTGCGCAGACACTTAATTTCGATGAATCTGATAAAATCCTCATATCCTTCCTCAACAGCCAACCTATGTGGTCTCTGATCAAAGTGACCTCTCGCGTCGTCTCAAAGCAGGAACTCAAATAGACCCCGTTCTCTCCCTCTGCTGTGCATTGTAGCGGTGCCTGCAACCTTGCTACTCGTTAACCTCGATATTAGCACCTCTGCCCATCAACTCCTGTACCATATCTATATGTTAGTTTATCGATGCATCATGTAAAGTCACTAGGTTGCTATAATCCCTTTGGCTTAGCCCTCTCTTATAAGGAATTTGGCAGCGTAGTGTCCTAGCTCAGCATTGAATTATACCGGCTGCTGTCCAAGTTAATTAGGTATATATAGTATAGCTCGTTCGGTCGGCTCCGAGAAGGCACTGTAATTCTCCTGTAGTAGATTGCCGCGTAAAACATTAGCTTCTGCATTATGGCTTGCCCTGCGCCCTTCCCCCGCATCCTAAACGTTAGAGATAGTTGAACATCCTCCGACATATCAGTAGCGGAACATCTCACCGACTCCCTTGACTTCTATCTATATTATCCAGCGGCCGAGGCTGCACTCGGCTAACCTTAAACACCGTTTAGGCACCTTAGGCCATCTTAGGACATCTTGAAGCTGCCCTTATTGGAGGATTTCGTGTTATCCCACAAGGTATTCATTCGAGTGGCGTCCACAGGGGGGTATGCTCCATTCCTGGATTAAGCCAAGGTGACATGAGTATGGCAAAGGATGCAGCCTCATCAGATCCTTTTAGACTGGAACTGTTCCGAAATGCCTTGGAAAACTGTATATAAACATTGATTAACCTGATATTTTCCTAGGCGCAACTCCGGTCCCGCCAGACCAGACGTGGAGACTGCCATGGACAACATAGGATTTCTGAGCATCGAATGGTCAGACTCCGCACAGCTATTCTTATTCAGAACAGGCCTCGATAAGAGTTTGTTAAACTAAACTAAAATCGAGGACAATGAACCAAGGTTGGAAGCCCCAGGATATGCTGAGACGCTGGTGAAGTCGTGGTTCCATGGAACGTCCTCTCACAACTCCGGCCAGATAGCGGCGTTACCAGCCAGACGAGGTTGACTGTAAGTTATTTGCGACATAAACGAATGACTATATAATCAGGGTAAAGGCAGAGAAACCAGACATGAAGCATCGTCTATAAGCAACGAGACTACAGTTGAATAATAAAACAGCGACACGTCTCTTCCGTACAGAGTCCCGCGAGGAGACGACAGCAGTGAAAAGAGTCGAAGTTTACAAGAACAACGATCACTCCTAACGTACATATCGAAGCCAAAGTAGGATAAAGTAGCCAGTCAATCACCGTCGTAACAGGAGACACGGCCACCCATCGTCCCTCAGCCATCGATATGCGATTACAGATCCACGTAAAGCAGACGGTGTTTTTTTTCAAAAATTCCCAGCCGATCCGAAGACCAACTAGAGCGGTCACTGGTTTGTAGTTTTCAACTAGCAAAAACGTTGCCTCAGGCGAACCTTCACTGGAAACGTAAAACCCTTGCACTCGGATGGGGAAAGAAAGGAGAAAAAAAGGAGTTGAAAATGTTGGGGGGAAAGGGCGATATTTATACGCGGGCAGGAAGGATGAGTCAGCAGGTGGTTTGGCGAGGTTTACGACGCGCGTTCTGGTTGGTCAGTGTTGTTAGTCATACTTGACTAAGCGGACGGAAGGACAGACGATATAGAAGATACAGGGAAGGATATAGAGATAGATATAGAGAGATAGAGAGATAGATAGTTCATGGCTTCATATTATGATTATCATGACAGACTGTAGAGCTTAGAAAAGAAAGAAGAACGCCGCTGGAAAAAGTACATCGGTATCATAGAATAAACATCAACGCCAGAGATCTCGTTTCTCCTTCTTCCCAGACGACGAGCCCCAGGTACTCGTGCTCGTCCGTCGTTCTTCTTCAGCAGGCACAGCAAGGAACCCGCCGAACCCGTTTCCTACCAGCACGCTCCTACGCGCCTCCCCGCCCCATGCAGGACTCAGCTGGGCACCGTGTAAGCTCACCGGGCGCGTGGTGCTCATCCGCCGTCCAGCTTCAGCGTAGGGTTGGTAGGTGGTGAAGTTCCACTCCAGCTCGTCCATACCCTTGCTGTATACGGATAGCGCCTGGTTGAGGCCGGCGTGGCCCTGTGGTCCACCTTCTCCGCCGCCAAATACTCGCGGCGGCGGAGCGAGCATGAGGGTCTCTGGGAAGTTGGCGTCGCGGACATACAAGTCTATGAGATTAGGGAGAGAGCCGGTTAGGAGAGATGACATCAGGTATGTGTAGTATGAGGTCGACAGGGCTTGGACGCCGTATGAGCCTGATTCCGAGGTGATTTCGTAGTGTAAAAGGCTGAGGGTGTTGGAGGCCAGTGGTGGGACGTATTCAGGTGGGAATTCCCGGGTTACCTCCTGCATCATCGAGAGACTGGAGATATATGGTGCTTGAGCTAGAACTTCGTGCAGTCGCTGTGGCTCAACACCTGTGTTCACCACGGACAAATGACGTAGGGCGTTGCGGCTCTGCTGGCTGGATAGATACCATCCCAGACCTCGGCTGGTGATCTTCGGCGTATCTGTCAAGGTAAGGCGCTGGACGGATGGGAAGGGCGGCAATGTCGGCACAGATTTGAAGACGGTATCCTCCAGCATAGGCATATCCTCGAACCTCAGCTCGGTCAGCCGTTCAAAGTATCCAAGCACCATGCGCAGCAGGTTTGTTTCGATATTAAGTGCAGATAGCTCCAGAACTTCCAGGTTAGGCCAGGCCTTGATCTTGGGCATGCGAGAGAAACTGCTTTCAGCGCCTCGTGCGAACTTCATGCGTCGAATGTCCGGACACCGAGCGAGTAGTTCCTGTTTCAAGGTTTGCGAGGAGGCATCATCACTGAAGAACCCGGCCGGCAGGTCTACGTAGCGTAGGTTGGGGAGCACAGAGATCGTTCGTGCAAGTTCGCTCTTGCTTGCTTCACGGGTCATATACGGCATGCGTAGCGATTTGACCATGCATCCCAGCGCCCTCGAGTCACGGACCGTTCGCATAAAGAGGAGGAGACGGGTTCGAGGAGCGTCGAGGGGTTCGGCATTGTGGTTCAGGAAGGAATTCTTCTTCCGCTTTGCTGCTAGCTCGATCTCAAGCTCGCAGTAGTGTACAGCATCGATGCGGACGTTCTGGTACCTAGCAGAGAACAGCAGTCAGTACACGGCCAATATCGGGAGACGGTAGATTCCAATATCTCGAGGTAGATTCCAATATCTCGAGGTAGATTCCAGTATCTCGAGTAGAACTTACAGTATATTCTGCGCAATGCCGTACCACTGCGTGCATACCAAAGCAGCATGCGCCAGATCGCGCATATCACATAGCATGCAACCATCCTCGGTCATCGACTCCTCCGACGAGGTCAGCGAGCTATCTCGCACATGCGGACAGACCTGCGAGAAGATATTCGACAGGACATTCGGAGGCAGCACTTTCGTGTAGTCTTTGGCAGGCCTGCTACCGTAGCTTGATTGTGGCTGCCCGTAGCCATTGTGATACTGCTCCTGCTGTTGACCGAGATCCTTCTTCGACCCTCGACTCCGCGTCTTCGCTCGCAAACGCTTGAAGAACCCCATCTCAAGCACTCTGTCCGTTCCGCCTCGTTCGTTTCGTTTTCGTTTGCGAAGTCAAGCTAGATTCGCTTGTGCTTACCTCCGGTCAATCTAACACAACTGCGCGAGTGTTCGAAGGACGCCACGAGCTGAAAGTAGCCACGAGACCGAGCGAGAGACACGGCCTGATCGACGCCGCTGACGAAAAAAACAGATAACAACCTCGATAACGATCCCAGCTAGCAAAGCGAGGGGGAAATGGGCGTGGGGAAGATAAAATTAAAGCGCGCAGGGTAAAATCCTAAAACATCGCGGGCCGCTAGCGTCGACAGTTGGATATTTCCCCCTTTGTGAAAGAGAGTCAAAGAATGCTCTTTGAGTGAACAAGTGTTCACGGGAAGCGTGAATGGGAAGAAGAAAGGTTGAGAAGTAGGTACTCCGTAGCTATTATGACGATGTTACTTGATTATGGCCCCAAAAGCTGTAAGCGCCGACAAGTGAACGTTGAATCCAATTGGACCATAAACCATGTTCGTAGGGCCAAAGTCAGGAACTTTTCTCAAACAGCGTCCAGCTAATGCATCATAGATCTATTTTTTGCCTATTCTTTGCTTGGCCGAGGACTCTCTGTGCAAATCGAGAGGTTAAGTATGTCGGCCTGTTTGATGAGCGTGGATCCCCTAGCCCCTTAAATTCGGGTTCTCGCATTTTCACAGGCCTGCAAACTTGCGTGCTTGTGTAGAGGTACTTGCGCCGGTCGAATGGAAGACATAGACGTCATGTACAGTAGCTGGTTGAGATTGATCGCGGCGGCTTGAACAAACAGCGTATCACAAACTGGCAACTGGCAAACTGGACGGCGGGTGGTATAGGTTTATATCGAGCAAACGGACATGTCCGAGGCTTGTCAAGCCGGATTCCTTCATAAAGTAATATTAGCATCAAGTAAGGGTCCTGGATTTTGAGATTTGCATGGCGGATAAATCTCCGCTACATGGTTGAAGGCCCAACGGCGCAGGATGTCGGTACATGCAACGTCATAAGGATAGGCGACTCGCTAAACGGCAGCGGTGCATATCACAATCTCGGCCTTGGGTAGATATATAGTTAGCTGCTCGGTGACCTAGAATATCTCTTTGTATGGGGTACGGGGTAGCGATTTAGTAAGAGCAACGACTCGTCACGCAAGCCCTGAAATAATTTTAAACGTATAATTAGATTTAACTAATTAAATATCCAATATCCTGTAAGATTTGCCAGGACCCTGGCGGGCCTAGATCATGATCATGGCCTCTCGCGTTCCAAGCTTGTATCGGTTGTTAAATATAATCTGTGTAGGAGAGGGGGTAGGCCATCTCGCTGACGGGTGGAACAAGTCGCTATGTATATTGTAACTTGCCAGAAAGAAAAAAGGATGCAAGAAATGAAGACCAAAAAGGTGTATCAAAACAAGGAGAATGGACATGAAGCATTATAGGAGAAAGGGAAAGGGGAGTCGCATAGTTACAGAATAGCAATTAAGTAAATCATAAACCCGTGCGTTAAGAGGGGGAAGTGGATAGACAAGAAAGGTGGAAATGGCCCAAACAAGACGTATAATTTCCAAGCTCAAAATACTGTGCCATCTGATATGATCATGATGGGAGGCTGCTTTGTGTTGGGTCTAGAGACTTCGGCAATCTCTCGTCCGCCCTGTTGGATACGTTAGTTACGCTATTGCAGTAGAGTATATGGGTAATGGGTGGTGCTAACCTTCCATGAACCGGCTTCAAGCATTTGAGGCAGTGAAAGCTGTTGACCCTCCTTCAAATCAAGTAGCCTGTTCACTTCTACAAGCAGCTGATCTAGGAACCCAACCGTGAGCGCTCTCCATTCCACGATGACATCATCATCTGGGCTGAATAGTGGAACTACTTCCACATTTGGCTGGCCCTTGATCATAGCATTGGTCTTGTAAGCCTCCAAACCCCGATCGGTATCATCTTGTTTCAATGTCAGCAGACCCATGTCGATTAAGAGTCCGCCATTTCGGTATTCTGGTAGACCCGTTAGGAGTTCACGGCCGGAGAATCGGATGTTTAGTATCTTTGTCATGGGCGTCATGATGGAGTAGCATAGCCATTGTGTCAGTTTGTGGAATGGGACTATGTTCTCCCATGGCTCTGCGGGGGGCGACGCAGGCATGGCTTTACACGGCCATGCATCGCCGATAGATACTCCATCGATCTGCGTGCGGGATTGTGGCCATATTGGAGACAAGCCGTCCATGAGAACGCCCCAGAGGGTTGGGACAGGGATGATGGGTACGGACGAGGCGAGTGTTGACGAGTGGGAGAGAAGGTAATCTAGTATCAAAATTAGCAACTAGAACGGGGAAAGTAGAGAAGATAGAGAAAGTAGAGAATATGGGAAAACCGGTACTCACCAAGCATATTTCCTGGGCGCGCATCAACTCCAAATAGCTCCTGGTTGTTTAGAGCGTCTGCTAGACGTAACAGCAAGCCTGCTCGGCCCTCCAGTCCAGCCAGAGGGTTCTGCTCAGAATGCTGCATTCTCTTAGCCAGCGCTCCCACCGTCAGCCGTCTCAGCCCTGCCCCGTCGACTTGACATGGTTCGGTAGGGTCACTACTGAACATTCCGGCCTTGAACATCTCCAGACTCGCAACGGCTAAGCCCTCACTTCTCCGGTACACTTTACCGGACTCTTTCGATTTATAGCTCCAGCTATTCCCAGCGCCAGCATCCAGCAATACGGATATCAGGAAGAGATCGATAAGTCTGCGTGCTCGCTCCAGGGCGTCGATGGTACTTGGCCATGACTGGAGCAGTTGGTTCACGCGGGGCTTCCCACCCACGTCAAAGTGCTGCCAGCGTCCGTGGTCAGGAATATTATGGAAATCCGGTGCGTAGTCTCGCTAGAACCAGGCTTGCCGTTAGAATATACAGGGCCAGGATAAAGATATAGATCGACGCACCTTGATTATAGAGACAATGTACTGTGCGGTAGTCTCGAATTTGCTCATGTCGACATCGAAGTGGTTTAGCTGGTTCGTCTTCGCCTTCGCCATCACCAGATTCGACCGCTGGCGAACGGCATGGATGCTCCTGAGATAGGCCGCGGGGTCCAGGTGAGGATCTGGCGGTGGTGCCATCGGTACTTCGGGTATAGGATGTGATGTTGGACTGTTGTTGCTCGACCGGGTCGACACTGGCAGTCGTGTGGACGCACTCGAGGTTCTGGAACTGCTGCTCGACAGAATCGACTCCTGTCCGTCCAGCTCGAGGTGATGGTTGCTCGCTGACCGGCCTTCCCTGCGCTTGAAGAAACCCATGGCGAAACAAAGTGGGCGGTGGCTTGGGGTTGCCACGAATGTACAGGCAGTCTCCGGAGTCACTTGATTTGTCGATCGCGCCCTCGCATACAGAAATCTCCAGCAACGCAACGCAACGCAACGTATATAACAACACACCAGCAGAGAGAACAGATGGCAGCTCACGTTCCAGATATGCAAGTCTTCGACCACGGCCTAGGCAAAGAAAAAAAAGTAGTGGGGAGATTTAGTTGGCGGGGCGGAAAACGAGGTTGCCATCTTTCTTCCCTTCCACGCATGAACTAAATTACAACACGCCGCAATTTTATATAACTAACCTTATACCTATCTACTAGCATGGCATGGACGAGGAGAATGGTGGTACAACGGCCAGGGATCAGGGGAAAAACCGCCTTGACCTTGCCCGTTCTTAGCTTGCTCCCGTTTTAATATTACGACTGTGTACGGACTATTTGTTACTACGGAGTGTTGGACCTGCATAGATCCATGGCAGGAGAGTAGAGCTGCCGGCCAGGTTAACAATCTACCTTCTCTCTGCTATACAGTTCTCTGTTCTCTACCGGCCATATCGAGCAAAAGGGGCATGGCAAAGAAGCTCCGGCTAAATTCGCCCCTGCTCCGTACCTCTGCCAGAGTATGGAGTAGCCTTGAGCGAGGACCATACCTCCGTCCACTTAAAATGGAGCACAATCGATATGCTGGACGATAGGATGGAGAGCCGTCACGGGTATCGACAAATGAAATCACAAGCCCCGTTATTTTTGGAAGACCGGTTCTCCTCTCGAAACGACAGCAGCTGCCATCGAAAACTGGATGTTTAACTTCTCCATCGACGTGGGCTAGATGTTTTAAACCTGCATCTCCTGGGTCTACTAGCATCAGCCTATCACGAATGATACGCGGCCGTCCACCAGCCATGTGGAGCTTAGCCTGCTGGTGCCAAAGAAAAACGAAAAACGCCCTGGGAGCGCTTCGCGATAATTTGTGGGATTGTCCTCGTCTGAGTTGGCGAAGGGCGGCACAACAATCTTACCATCCTCCGGCACTACTCTCTGCGCGATGTCGTAGTACTGCGGGCGGAGCCTGGTCCGTATATACTCCGTACTCCGTGCTCCATGCTCTGCTCCGGACAGGCATTGATGCATTATCGACAGCCACGAGTGCGGGCTATGAATGGTGGATGGTTGCCAATCGGCTACAGTCGCGGGGCGCCGGGGGCTTGCGTCCCGTCCGGAATTCGGTGAGATGATATTGTGATTGGGTTTGGCAGGCTTGATAGTCCGGTTCAGCCATCGTTTCTCGAAGTAATATTGTCCATCCCCGTATGCACAGCGTTTAAGGAGCGGTGGCCATCCATAGAGGGCCTGTCCTTATCCCTGCCCTCGCCTCACCTGGATACTCCAAGACGGAGCAAGCCGGTGTGGTCACGGAGGACAAGATATCTCTTCCCATCTTCCTCTTCTCATATTCTCCCTTCTATACTCTTCTACTTCGTACTTCACTCTTCTACTTATGTCTTTTGTCTTTTTACCTCGGCTTGATGCTTATGTAAAGGTATATCACGTGTATACGGTAAAATGATTATCCGACTCCGACCAGCTTGCGGTTTTGGATGTTTGTATGAATAAAATCATCATGGCGAAGTTGGACAGCGTCAAGCAGCGTTGCGTTTTTTTCCTTTTGATAGCGAGATCTATAGGAAGCTGTTCTGCGTCCTGAGGTTTACGGCGAGATGGCTGCAGAAAGCTCATGAGTGATGTCGTTTTGTAACCAGGCGCATACCCTCTACTTCGCCCCCTTTGACCAACAACATCCGTTCTCTTATGGCATAGCAGTTGCCTAGGAGCCGATTCTCTACGTCTTTCTCTCGTTTAGTGCAACATGGACGACCTATCTGGCCTTAGCTGGTCGCAGAACTCAGCTCCCGGAAAGAATGTGCCTACAAACCCCCTCTCCAGCGTGTCTACTCTGCACCCTACGCCTCCCTTGTCAGGACGATCTAGTCCATTTCCTCCACAGTCCGCCGCGAATAATCGAACCCCTTCGTCTAAACCCACTACGTCTTCCAATGATAGCTTTGCGAATCTGCTGAATTTCCAGTCTACGAACTCTACCAAGAATCTTTCTCTAGCGGAAAGGCAGAAGCAGCTGGTGGAACAAAGGGCACGTGAGGAGCGGGAGAGGCAGGAGAAGCTGAAAGCTCAGTATGGAGGCGTCAATGATCAGATATGGGACAGCCTGGAGAAGTCAGGAGCTGGACAGAGTGCTCCTCCAGCCCAGCTTGGCGGGGTAATCAGCCAAACCTCTGGTGACGACGACGATGACGATCTACTGGCCGCTTTCAATGCATCTGCGCCAGTCGACAAGTCTACGAATTTCCCCATCCCGAGCTCCTCTCCCTCGCTGCATGACCGTACAAAGACCCAATCTCCAGCCGTGGTTACCACTACTGCAATCGAGGATGATGACGATCCATTCGGATTGGCAGAGTTTAATGCAAGCAGACGCCAAAGGGCTCAGGCACAACCTACGAAAGAGCCAGCACTAGAAGATGACGACGATGTACTAGGCCTCCTTGCAAAGCCAGTGTCAGAGTTTCCAAAGCGCGAAACAGCAAGCCCGGCCGCTTTGGAAATTCCCGAAGAGTCTGGATCGTTACCCTCACGCCACACCCCGGAAGATAGAGCTATCGCCGAATTGGTAGACATGGGGTTCCCGATTGATAAGGCCCGTGAGGCTCTTGCCGAGACTTCCTCGGGAACAGACGTTCAGCAGGCCGTCGGCTGGCTTCTGAATCAGGCGCATAGCCAGGCCAAGGAAAAGGCGCAGAGCAGGAGTCGTACCGGTCGTCAAGAGAGCAACTCGCCTGGTCCAGATATGCCTCGACGAACAAGGAGAGAAAATGGCGGTTCTAATTCCTCCCGTGACCGATCTTCCCATAATGTTAGCTCTAGAGAGAAGGATCCCGCTCAACTCGCGTCCGAATTTGGGAGTAGTCTTTTCAAATCCGCCAACTCGCTCTGGAAAACTGGATCCAAAAGGGTCCAGCAGGCCGTTCAAGAATTCAACGGTGCTCCTGATTCATCTGGACAACCTCGTTGGATGAGAGAGAGCACGCCGGATCCTCCGAGAAGTAGGGAAAGAAAGGTGGACTCCCGACGTGAACCTCCGGGAGGATCATCGGAGACGGAAACCATGACGAACGAAGCAATGATGCTGGAAACCTCCCGAGATCTACCGGCACAAACGTCACGTCCTCGGGGCGGAGAGCCCCTAGAGGCGACCCACCAGCCTAGTACACGAGGCAGACTGGCGGAACTCCCTAGCAGACCACGTTTTCAACAGGAAGACGATCTCAGAAAGCAAATACGACAGCCACTTCCTCAAAATGAAACCAAACCACCGCGGTCCCAACTTTCACGGTTTGGGGCTGATGAACAGGCTGCTCAGGCGTACGTCAGCCCTGCAAGGAGGAGAAAGGCAGCCTCCTCGGTCCCTCCTGGCGCACCTGAACCGGACCTGTTGCAAAGCCCTGCTATGCCTCCTAGACCTACTCGTCCAGCTACAACATCACCAGCCAGGCAAACCCGTACTCCTACTCCAGTACGGCCAAAGGTAGCGCCCAGGGTTGTCCCGCAGATATCACCAACATCTCTTACCTCTATTCACAGTCACCGAAAAAAGGGAACAGACGCTTACAAGCGAGGAGACTACGCTGTTGCACACGTCTCCTACTCTAGTGCCATTTCCCTAATCCCCAATGAACACCCTATCCTCATCATTCTACTCACCAACCGTGCCTTGACTGGTTTAAAGACAGGCGAACCAAAGAATGCAATAAGTGACGCGGATCGTGCTCTCTCCGTAATTGGTCCCTCGAAAGGTGACTCAGAACTTATCGACTTGGGGAATGGAGAGCCAACGAAGGACATGAGAGAGTTCTACGGTAAGGCCCTGATGAGAAAGGCTGAGGCTTTGGAACAGCTCGAGAAATGGAAAGACGCGTTAGCAGCGTGGAGGGAGGCCATCGAATCTGGTCATGGGGGTAACACCAGTATCCAAGGCCGCGACAGATGCGAAAAGGCAGCGACTATTGGACAAAACGGTGCTTCATCAACACCAGTCAAACCTACTTCAGTACCTACTCGCCCAAAGCCAGCTGCTAGGCCTGCTGTGCCCAAGTCGGTCTCAGCTAAACCAGCTGAGGCAGTGACTCGCTTGAGAGCAGCAAATGAGGAAGCTGATAGGTTGGATAATGAGAAGTTTGATCTGGCAGATGCCGTTGAAGCGAAACTTACTGCCTGGAAGGGAGGTAAACAGGATAACCTACGCGCACTACTAGCCAGTTTGGACGCGGTACTATGGCCCGAAGCTGGATGGAAGAAGATCAGCATGGCTGAGTTAATTCTTCCGAATAAAGTAAAGATTCAATATATGAAAGGGATCGCGAAAGTGCATCCTGACAAGGTACGAGGGTTCTATCCTTCTCAAGGTTACCCATGGATATATATATACTAATGAATTTCTACCCCCAACAGATTCCTGTAAACGCAACAACTGAACAGAAGATGATCTCCGGTGCGGTATTTAGCACCTTAAATGAGGCATGGGATAAATTCAAACGCGAGAATGGCTTATGAGCGGCAGAAACGAACTTTTACGATTTTGATATCCTCCATGGGTATTTCCATAGGTTTAGATACCATTTTGATTAAATACCATTACTAGACCATTACATTGGCTCCCTTCGATTTTGGCTCCCTTCGATTGTTCGTTCATTTTTGTCTTGGTGGTCTCTACAACCATGGATCAATGCGATGCAGGGTATTATTGACTCTCAAAACAGTTAAAAGCGCAGGACGATCTAGACGGCCTAGAGACGCCTCTGTCGCCCCCACGATACACCCTTCTCTTCTTCTTCTTTCGTGTCACACTCTAGAAGGACTTTGACACCCTTTCACCGCCAGTTATTCTTACTTGGCGGCGCCACGAGCCGTGTCTGTTCTTAATTATACGGATAGTGCTTCCTCCCTTCTAGCGTCTTCCCGAATTCAGCATCAAACCTAACGGCACGAAAGCCTTTGACCCTTGCCAGAATATCTGAGTTTAGATAGACCTTATCCAATTCGGCAAGGATGTGTATCGAAAAAATCCACGTATCGGAGCACATTCTTGAGGCCTCTGTGGCGTCGATAAGATCTACCATGACGGAAGGCCCTGCTGGCTGGTGATGGTGGAAATAACAGCGAGATTTAAGCCTTTTGGTGGCTGTTGTCAGACCCAGCGAGCCGCGGAGTTCCCGCTTGACTAGCCAGCACTGCCACCTTTCTTTCAATAGATGACTGGTAGCGAATATCGATGCGCCTACCTAAGACACTTCGGCATGCTCAGGAGTAGGGGTGATCGTGGTATTGCAGAGTTGGAGATGAGATCTGTTAACCGTCAAAGTTGAGCAACACCTCGAACCAAGCAGTTGACCATGTTTATATCAACACTCTTCCATCTAACCATTCGCATATGGATAGAACGGTGAAGGGGTAGTTGACTAAATCATGCATTTTCGTCACAATGTGTATAATAGTCATTTCTTGACATGTTCATTTGATCTATGTTACATCTTTGTTAAGACTTTACAAAGGCTGAGGATCGATGTTATTCGAAGCCTCCTCTTGATCCGCAGTAGATTGGGCCGCCTGAGCCCTCCTTGCCTCTCTAGCCTCCCGTTTTAGTTGTTTTTTGCTCTTTGGAGGACCATTGTTTTCAATATGAGCGCTTCTTGAAGGCCATTTCTCTCGACAACGCTTTTCGTCCTCCTCAGACCAAGCGCATGGGAGAATCGCGAATACTAAATATGATGTGTGTGTTTTGAGTTCGGGTTCTGAGCGGTGGATGAGCATTCCTTGTTTATATGCAGGAAGTGAAGGCTTTGAGCGTTCAGTATATATCCTGCTAGGTATTGGTGTTGGTTCTGTTGACTCTGCTTGCTCTGCTAGCTCTGCTTGTTCTGCTTCTTCTGCAGGCTCTGCTTGTTCTGTTTGCTGTTCGTCTCTGACAGGCTCTGAGATGTCCATATTTTCTGCTGTGGCACCGTTGACTCCCTCTTTCCCTTCTCCCTTCGCCGCTGAATTCTTTGCATGCTCTGCTGCATTTTTAACCTGCCTGTCACGGAACGCCTTTGCTCGTTCCTCGTGGGTTCTGAGTCGGCTAATCGCCTGGTCTACACACATGGGCCCCGGCATGGGACCGTTTTTGCCGTCCGGCTCCATCCCATAACGTTCTCTCCTGACTTCAATCTGCTTATGTGCAATTTCAACCATGGATATCGAGAGCCATGAATGCTGCCTGAGAGTACTGATCGTCTGCTGTGCCTGTTCTAGGCAAGGTGAAAACGTACATATATGTACTGGCGAAGATGGGTCTAGCGGCGACACTTTCCCATCGGCAGGTTCCCGTACCAGGTGCTTTAATGCTAGCCAGGGGGCTGGAAGATCAAGAAAAATCGCATTGGCTCGAGGGGACTCATTCTCGACTGAGCGGTCCGCCAGTAAAAAGCCATCTTCGCAAACGTCTCGATGGTTCAATCGAACGATTCCATCCAAACCATGCTCTCGTAGTTCCTTCCTGATGCTCTCCACTCGCTGTGAATGGAATTCGAAGCTGCATACCTTGCCTCGTTGGCTATCGTCCGTACCTAGAGGGTATCCATTGAATACCGCCCTTGCGGATGCATGCGTAAAGGAGCCACTTCCGGCACCGGCTTCTATAATCGTACTCCCCGGTCGAACGCGCAACCGGTGTAAAATATAACTGCTGTCCGGCGTGTAGACCACTTGTGTCCTATGGGGTAGCGAACTCGTCCACGATTCCGGCGTAGGCCGTAGAAGATGGATGAACCCGCTTGATGCAGAGACTGCTGCCTTGTGTGAAGGTTGACTCTCGCTCGTTGCCTCTGATATATCCGCGTCGGCTGCCTTTCGTTTGAGAGGATTCGAGCCTCTGGCGTTCTTGGGCCGGCGTCCTCGCGAGCCGGTATCGACGTTTGACGCAATGATCTGAGACCCCCATGGGCTGCCAATCAACGTACTATGAGGGAACGAGCCGAATCTCGTCGTTGTGACCTTGCCTTCGTCGTACCCAAGATTCTCGTCGTCATGGGTCTTGAGGATCGTTGCAATCAGATGGTCGCGGCGCAGATGGAGGACGGCGAGGGAGTCAGCCTCAGCGGTAGGCCCGGGCGTGAGAAAAGGAGACGCCATCGTTTCAATTGGATATATCTCGACCTTGCAGTCTTTGATATTTTTCATCGCGTTCTTCAACTTCGCGCAAAAAGATACAGAAGACAAACAGTGCAAACTATGCTCCGCGACCAAAAAAGGTCTGCAGTCAGGGCTTAGGGCCTTTTTTTATAAAGAAGCAACTTTTGTATACGCGGAGTCAACAAGTGACTCACGCCAGAGCAAGATATACATGAACTTCCTCCGCCCGAGAGCCCTTCTGCCTCGAGTTGCTTCGACACCACACCTTCGACCCGCGCTCTGCAGACGATTCACGATATCACCGCCTGTCTCTATGGCAGCACCCCGCGAGCAGCCTGCCTGGCAGCAGCCAGTACCCCGCCCTGAGCTGAAGACCGAGCTGCCGCCATTGAAGATCTGGAATTCGCTGACGAGGTCGAAGACTCCCTTTGTTCCAATCGACCCGGAAGGGAAGAAGGTTACCTGGTACGCCTGTGGTCCTACGGTCTATGACGATGCGCATCTAGGGCACGCGCGCAACTATGTCAGCGCGGATATCGTGAGACGTATCTTGCGCGACTATTTTAAATATGATGTTAAGTATATTATGAACATAACAGACGTGGACGATAAGGTAAGTAGCTGAGCCTGTCGCCATCATGTACGAACTTCACATGCTGACCCTCCGTTTAGATCATTACTAGAGGTAGACAACAGCACCTGTATAGAGAATATGTTGCAAAACACATTTCCGTTGACCGAGAGCTCGTGGACACGACCAAGGCAGCCTACGAAGCCTACCTAACGAAGAACCTACCCCTTCTACCACCATCGACGACGCCGCAAGATTTCAAAGATACCGCAGAAAAAGTATATGCAGACGTGCTTGGTGGTAAACCGCTCCCGGGCAACACCAAGGCCGGTGATCCAGAAGCCAAGGTAAAGATGTATATAAACACAGCGTCGTCCGCCGCGGAGGCGCTTACGGTTGCCTCGAGCCCCAAGGGCAGCATACCTATAGTTGCATTCTACGACAAGACGCAAGATATACTATACCCTTACCTTGACGCCTTGAAGGGATCAACAGTTCAAGGTACAGACCACTCGATATTCAGCCTGTTGACGAAGAAATATGAAGAGCGCTTTATGCAGGACGTAAGAGACCTCAACGTTCTTGACCCGGATGAGATCACCCGAGTCACGGAGTTTATGCCTGATATTGTGAGCTTTGTGGAGCGAATAGTCGAGCACAAGTTTGGATACGTTACCCCTGACGGCTCTGTTTATTTTGATATTGAAAGCTTCGAGGCAGCTGGAAATAGCTATGCCCGACTCGAACCCTGGAACCGAAATGATACTAGCTTGCAATCGGAAGGAGAAGGGGCTCTATCTAACAAACAAGCACAGAAGAAATCATCAGCAGACTTTGCCCTCTGGAAGGCCTCGAAAGAGGGTGAACCCAGCTGGCCAAGCCCATGGGGGAATGGCCGCCCGGGCTGGCATATTGAATGTTCTGCAATGGCTTCAGCCAGGCTTGGGAAGCAAATGGATATCCATTCTGGTGGTATTGATTTGGCCTTCCCCCATCACGACAATGAGATTGCTCAGAGTGAAGCGTACTGGAGTCCAACTTGCTCACATGTGCAGTGGGTTAACTACTTCCTCCACATGGGACATCTGTCCATCCAGGGATCAAAAATGTCAAAGTCTTTGAAGAATTTCACCACTATTAGAGATGCTCTTGAAAGGGGGGATTGGACACCTAGAAGCCTTCGCATCGTATTCTTGCTTGGAGGTTGGCGAGACGGGATTGAAATTACAGATGACATTGTGAAAGCGGGCAACGCCTGGGAGGAGAAGGTGAACAACTTCTTCATCAGAGTCAAGGACCCTTCCGTTAAGCTTCCAGAGACTACATCAGATGAAGATCTTGCTGCTGCTTTGAAGGCTGCTCAGGATGGCGTACACAAGCACTTGTGTGACTCGTTCAATACTGCTGGTGCAATGTATGCCATCTCAGAGCTGATAACGAAGTTTAACAACACGAGTGATGCGGCATTGAGCGTCCAAAACACACAGCCTGTAGCCAAGTGGTTGACGTCCATGGTCAACATATTTGGGCTTAATGCCAGTGCCGGTCCAGACAGCGAGGAAATAGGCTGGTATGGTGACGAGATTCACCGTGAAGCAAAGCCCTATGTTTACCCACTATCTTCGATACGTGATTCCTTGCGCCAGGCCGCGATCGCCAAGACGGGACTTACTAAAGATGCTGTGAAAACGCTTGTGGAGGAGGGACGAAAGTCTGTAAACCCAGAGCTTCTAGACACTGGATTTACCAACGCTTTCAGAGATGTTTTCAACAGCTTCTGCTCCAGCGCAACATCCATTGCAGAATCTAACACCATGTCCAAAGAGATCTTAGATCTCTGCGACAGCCTACGTAACACGAGTTTGTTCGATCTCGGCGTCTACCTCGAAGACCGAGCTGATCTACCGGCGCGTGTTCGCCCTGTCACACGAGATCTGTTGCAGGCCAGACAAGAAGCTGAAACCCGAGCGAGACAAAAGCAGCTAGAAAAGGAGGCTCGAGAGAAAGAGGCGCTTGAGAAGGCTGCGAAGGGAAAGATAAGCCCCTCGGATATGTTCAAGACGAGCGAATATAGTGCCTGGGATGAGGATGGACTGCCGTTGAAAGACGCAAAGGGTGAAGAGATTACAAAGAGCCAAAAGAAGAAACTTAAGAAAGAATGGGACAGGCAGAAAAAGGCGCACGAAACATGGCTTACTAGCCAGAAGAAGGCTTGACTTTGAGATTTATTCTTTTTTTGCTTACCTTTTTATTGTGAAGCGTTTACTTTACCCCTACATCTACACTCTGTTAATTCTCTAGATCAATTATTTTGATAGCCATCTATGGCAACATTTTTCACTAGCCCTTTGGCTACGTTACATGGCTAATGTGTATGGCTTATTTAATAGTTCTGCGTCCTTGTTTGAGATTTTATACCCAATGATCAGGATCTTAACATGACGAGGAAGCCCTGTAGTGGAGCGGCCAGGATGGAAAAGCTTAGCGAGTCCCATAACTAGGTCAAGCTCTTTTTTAAACCAGGCCATAACGTAGTGGCTTGGACAGCCATGCATGTCATGGTGTCTGTGGAGTAGAAAGCGGGGATGAACTGAAAAGAGTATAAGCTCTGAAGTCTTCTGTTATTATTTAACAGTTAAGCTTAATTAGACCTATATAGTGGTCAGCTTATCTCGATTTGATAAATGATTTCTCCGTAGATCGGGTTCGATTTGATCTCAGTAGTGCCAGGTGTAGGGAGGATGTCATGTTCTTTGCTTCTTGTGTTCTAACTTCGCCTGGCTTCGATCCATCCGCAGGGCCGCCACAGTAGACATCTACATGCTGCGCAGGAGTGTATAGTCTGTAGCATGAGTGTCCGATAGTATGAGAAACCGAGTGTCCAATGGTGAATTAAAAGATGATGTTGATGAATGTCGATTTATGGCTCTTTATTTTTTGATCTATGATGTCATCCATGGATAGTGATAACATCACGTGATAAGATAATACTTACATAATCGCCACATACAACTTCGCCAGCACAAGCAAAAGCTGGACGTCGACAAGGGCGAAGACGGCTAACTGACTCCCCTGAACAGCCTACAGATGGCTCTGCTTATCTCTGCCGGGGATGTTCCGTCATGGTGTGCTGAGAAAGCGAGGAACAGCCAATTCGACTGGCCACCATGCTCTCTGCGGGTTTTGATTTAGGTTCCATAGTGCCACCAGCACTCCCTCTGACCGGTGGACTCAAACCTGGCCGAATTACGCTGAACAGGATAGGCCCAAATTAAATCCCGCTTGCACCTCGAGATCCTTGGATCGTCCCGGACCCGCCAGATTGGGGTTGAATTATGACGAATTTTCCGAGGCTTTGCTGTGGACAGGACGATCTGGCAATGGTGGGGGACTCGACATCCCTGAAGGCCGGGCGAATACGCGTTTGAGACTCAGGCTATAAACCATTCCATACTCCCTTGGTTCCTGGTTTTGTTTTTTAGGTTCTGCCTCTTATCTCAAAACGCAAGCCCAAGAAGTCGAGCTTCTTTTCTCTCTCCGTTCATCATCCATCAAGATACGGACTGATTTTCAGATACAATGGCTCCCCGCGTCTGGTTTATCACAGGTTGCTCCTCCGGGTTTGGATGGGAGTTAACTTTGGAAGCTCTGAGAAGAGGCGATAAAGTCATCGCGACTGCTCGAAAGCCTGAAAAGATCGAGAAATTGAAGGAGGCTGGAGCTGATATTTTCGGACTCGATGTCACAAGCAGTCTTGACGATATAAGACGGCTCGTCTGGGAGGCTCACAATATCCACGGACACATTGATATTCTCGTTAACAATGCCGGATATATCCAACAAGGTGCCTTGGAGGAAGTGAGGTAAAACATTACCCTACGTTGTCGTCTGCCGCGAAAAAGAGGCTCTCTAACAATTTCACTATAGCCCCGAGGAGACATACGCACTCTTCAATACCAATGTCTTTGGTCCTCTAAACGTCATCCGTGCGGTCTTGCCTTATATGCGTTCGCAACACTCTGGTGTTATCGCCAACACATCAAGCGCTGGTTCTTGGACAAATATGGCCGGAGGTGGTCTATATTCTGCGACAAAATCGGCCTTATCAGGAGCTACAGAGACACTACGTGTGGAATTAGAGCCATTCGGCATTTCCGTCACCTCTCTTGAACCTGGAGATTTCCGGTCGAACTTACTAGCTGCCGGTCACCGATTCGCAGCTCTATATCCCATTCCGGATTACGACAATACTCCCACCAGGGCGGCAATTGAAGAAAGCAATAGCCTTGACCACAAACAGCCCGGTGACCTGGTGAAAGGCAGCAAAATTATTGTCGATGTTCTTACACAAACTGGGTGTGCCGCCGGTCGGCGAATCCCTGTCCGAGTTGCCCTGGGTGCAGAAGCTTGTGATGTCTTGAAAGACAAGTGTAAAGACACCCTAGCTCTTTTGGAGGAATGGAAGGATATTGTTAGCGACACCAACCACGACGATGTCCAGCCCACGCCACGAACCCAATCTCCAGACCCTGCTCGCACCTAACCAAATCCCCTAAAACCCCCCCGAAACAAGTGAAATCACGTGATAATGACGTCGACATTTGACATTTTTTATGGAAACCCTCAGCGAAACATATTTTCATTAGAAACCTGCATTGGATGCATTTATTTCTTTAACCAACTAAAAGCCAGAAAATAAAGACCGTTTTCTACACATGGGAGATAATTTCCTGTGATATTGATACTATTTTGTCTCCTATAGGACTGCTTTTACTGGTCTTCTGCTGTGGAGGGTAGAAATGCTTCCCTTAACCTCTGCGATAGGCATAGAAGCTTTGAGTGGAATTTGCGGGTAGGTTACATTTGCTAATGTTATTGATCGATCACTCAATCCTAGTGGAACTACCATACACCCCATATTGAAGGTGGTGTAGCTGGATGGACAAGGAGAATACCCCTCACCCTTACTTATTTCTCGAATGCTAATGAAGAAACTTCGTTTAGGTCGATATCGATCGCTTGCTGGGTTGTGGTCTTTTCTCCTCAGATAATTGAAAACTTCCGTCGAAGCTCCGCGGATGGGCTATCATTGGAGTTCCTCATTGTCTGGCTTGCCGGAGATGTCTTCAATATCGTGGGATCAGTCATGCAAGGGGTTATTCCTACAATGGTCATATTAGCGGTATACTATACTCTTGCCGATATCGTTCTCCTGGGCCAATGCCTCTATTACCGTGGCATCAATGCCTCAGACACAACCAAGACTTCGGGACCAGGGGCGGACGAGATGGCGAGCTCGTCAAGCGAACAACGGATACCAACAGCGGCACAAACGTCGGAGCATACCCCTCTTCTAACTAATAATGGGGCACTGGGACAACCTACACAAACCCAGGCCACCTCTAGGGTCAGATCAGAGCCCAAACAACGCCGAGAATCTTTCACCTCGATTGCTTCGTTACGACAACATCTCTCAGCCGTCGATGGCACCCACCTCTCCCCCGCAGTACCTCTTAGGAAAGAAACAGGTCGGACTGTCCCACACCCTTCGTCGATGGTCCAGATTGTTGCTTTCAACACTTTCAGCGTCGCCCTAGTATGCACAGCGGGAATACTGGGATGGTACGTGAGCGCCCGCTCAGGTAAACGGCACCACAGCAAACCGGATCTTCCGAAATCCGACGACGCTCTTAAATTCGACACCACGGGTCAGGTATTCGGTTATCTCTGCGCTGTATTCTATCTCGGCAGCCGAATCCCTCAGTTACTGCTCAACTGGCGTCGAAAAAGCACCGAAGGAGTGTCGTTGCTCTTCTTTCTATTTGCATGCATTGGCAATTTGACATATGTGCTTTCGATATTCGCCTATTCGCCTGTTTGCCAGGGGGAGAAAGGCAGGTGTCAGCCTGGTGAGCAGCAGAGGATATACGGTCAGCATATAGCTGTTAACGCCTCTTGGATACTCGGCAGCTTGGGCACCTTATTTATGGATTTGGCCATCTTTTCACAATTTATTCGATATCAAGGAAAGAATGGATGTAATGATGTTGAGGCGGATAGTTGATTAGGTTCTGTTCCACAGATGACATTCTGAAGGATCGACCATTGAGGAGCGCCCTTCATTATACGCTACTAAGTATTGCGCATGTTTATTCGGAAGTGGTTAACTATACCAACCACGCGGGAGAGAAAATCTAACAAATCTAGTGATTTGATGTAAATTTTCAGCAATGAGGCTGCATCTGACTTTTTGTCAGCGTTATGGGAACCATATTGTGTAAATATATAATTCATATAACACCCATGATCTTATTCATTGTGTACGACTATCACTAGTGCCTAAGTATGCAGTACCTTGTTGGTTTCTCGGATTACTACCCAAGGCACTCATATTGGCTAGCATGGATGTGATATTCATATTGCTGCCCACCACCACAGTCGTCATGTGTCATCATAAATTATCGTATACGCCATTGAATGAGGAATAAGGTCCTGGAGGAACAAACTGAACACGAGGTTCGAAGTCACAATTAATCCTTAGAGGGCGGATGCACCTTGACACGACCCTTTCCAACCTCGCTCCAATTTGTGTTCAACGCGGTACCATCGCTCTCGTAAAAGCTCTTGGTCATCGCACGTCTTGTATCCGGATCAGAGTTGGCATATAATTTTTTGAAGAAGGAATCAACTGCGTCTCCTGAGCCGTAGTCTGACATATCGGAATCAACATCATCTTCTTTCTCCTCTCCCTTTGAATCACCCTCTGCTGGCTTTTTCTTTGTCTTTTTCTCTTTTTTCGCTATATTGGACACGACTTTGTCCCAATCCTTTGGTCCTGATTTCGAGGAAGTGGGGTATGCGGGGGCCTTCTCAGCTGCAACGGGTCGTGTCGGTAAGTTAGAGGCGTCTTTCAGCACCGTGGTATCTAAAGGTAAGGGCTTAGCTTCCTGCGAAGGAGTGCCTTCTAAGGACGCCCATTTTCTGCCAGATTGTTTGCGCAAAGTAACTTCGACTTTGGTAGACATTATATTGTATTTTGAGGAGGACGGATCAATTGGAGCGAATAGAGGGTCTAAGACAAATGAGAATTCAGAGCCTGAAGGGAGGGGGAATGAAATTAAAAACTAGAACTGGTTAGCATCGCACATTCGTCGCTACTCGGGAAATGATGGGCTGAGGAATTCTAACCGAAGTTTCTTGAATATCAATATCTGCCTTGTCCTTAGGAACCCCCTTCGCATAAATGGTAATGACCACATTGTCGTTTGATTGATACCATTCATGCCTTGTCCTACTTGGGGTCGTGGACGGGGTAGCTGCAGGAGTTTGAGTAAAAGAGGCGGCAGATGCATCCGCGGATTTAGTTCCAGTAGGTATATCCTTCGTTTCCTTATTAGCCGATGGTACGTTGGAAGTTGAAGTGAGAGCGGCACCACTTTCTAGCTGCGAACGGTATATCGCTCTCAACTCGTCCTGCGATGGAACTACAATGTCTGGTGTCTCCTTAACTGTGACCTTGGCCTTCTCGTCAGTGGGATCAATCTTTGCAAGCTGGCTTTTGACCTTCATTTCCCATATCTGGAGCTGTTGCTTCGTTTTCGTGTCCTGAGAGGTTGCCGAACTTCCACGACTAGCAAATGCAGCATCAAGTGCATCTTGCTTACTGCCATTATCCTGCTGTCCCACCTTCCCACGTATCACCTGGAAGATATGCTGCGCATCGCCGTAACGCTCACACTGATAGAGCACAATGGCCCGCCTCATCTGTCCGTCAATGATCTGTTCTCGTCTTGCTCGCTGAATGCCGAGGGCAACCGCCATATCAGCATCGTGCAACGCTTCCTTTAGCTTAGAGCTTTCATCTGCTGCCTTTACTCGCGAATACGCAGTTGAGCGCTTGATATAGTAATCTGAGGCATGAGGGTTAACAGTAAGGGCTTTGGTGTAGCATTTGATTGCAGCAGAGTAGTCCGAGCTGCTCAAAGCTTTTGCTCCTTCCCGGGCGTCATCCATTTTGTAAGTAGTCTTTAGATCAACGTATTCAAGCCTGCAGTGTGCTGGTAGAAGATACGTAAATTGTTGGTTGTGATGGAAGCTCTGCGAAGGTTTAAGATATATGTCATGTTCACGTGACTCTGTTCCAACATTTACACGGCGGCAGCAAGGAAGGAAAAGAGGGCATGGGAAAGAAGGAGGATCATAATTATGAAGTGCTACATAAAGTAGCTCTATAGAAGATTACATATATTAGTTAAAAGTCGCTCTATACCGAAAGTATTTTTAAAAAGCGCTCCAGTTCATACGCCGCAAATATTGCATTTGTAGGCTTAGATCTAGAGTAGCTCCTCGTCACCGAATTGCTTCGCATAGAGTCCGAGAGCACGGATTGGGAAGTAGAACTTGTAGTTGGGATAGGTAATCATGCTATATATATGTTAGTATTATAGACGGCATAGTTCATGGGGTAGTAAATTACTTACCAAGACATATTGAATACCCCCTCGATGCCATCCTGTAACCATTCGCCGTTTGGTTGCTGTCGTGATATGAGCAGCTTCATTGCACGTTGCAACGGCTCCTTGTGAGGATAACCGGCTTCCATCAAAGCAAGACAGGCCCACGAAGTTTGCACAACCTGGGACGACTTATAGTGATGATAGACCTTCTCTGAGCAGCTAAGGTATGATTCACCCCAGCCGCCATCTTCCATTTGTTTGGATAAAAGGAACTCGCAACCACGGCGAGCGCGCTCGCTGGTAGCATAAGTTTCTCCCACGGTAGCCAAACTCTCCAGACTGAACATAGCGGCATATGTGAAGCAAATACCCCAGCTGCCGTACCAGCTGCCATCGGGACGTTGCACTCGCCGGATATAATCCACAGCAGCTTCACGTATTTTTTTGATTTCCTCAGTCCGGTAGTCGGGGAAGAATTTGCTAAAGTATGACAAGGCCGTGACGACAGCAGTGGTGCACTCGGGGAAGGCGTATCCAATCATGATTCCGCCAAAGACTTCCGCGGCATTGAGCATTTCAACATATTCAGAAGCTCGGGCAGGCTCATACTCTGGGAACCCACCGCTTGAGTTCTGCATCTTGAGAAGGCAATCTACAGCGTCTTTCAAACGTCGGTCGGATATCAGAGCCGGATATCCAAGTTGCTTTTGTAGCTGGAGAGAAGACCGTAGACCCTCAGCGGTACAATCACTAACGGTATATCCTTGAACCTTTGTGCTGAAAGGCCAACCTCCCTTCGTTTCAAATCGATAGCATTCTTCTTTTTGAGGAATGGTTTCTTGCATCTGATGATCTTCAACGAACTCGAGAGCCTTTAGTAGCATTGATTTCCATTTGGGATCGTCCGCAAGTCCCGCAACGACCACAGCTTGAATTAAGAAGGCGGTGTCCCATAGTTGGACTCCATTCGTCCCATTCATTAACATTCCCTCATCCTTTATCCATAAGAATTCATGTAAACGTTCAACGTGTCGGCGGAAAGAGTAACTGTCGGGCCCATCATGAATATAGCAACAAATCGTATTCATTGGAGCGTTGACAGGACCCAGACATGCATAATCGGTATTCTCATCCTCGCGCTTAATCAGGTACCAAGCTCTGTCCTCTGCCGTTTTGACAAGACCAGGCCATCGCAGATAAGGCCATATGTTAGCAAGAATCCAAAAGAGGACCTTCAAGAGCCACGACTTTGGGTGATAATTATCCGCGTCAGCAATGCAGCCTCTATATGTGGCAAAATTAATGGAATCGTAAGGTTGGGTATAAATTTCTTCTCGTATTTCACGTGTGAGCGAGTCAGCCGGGTGGGAAAACCGTTTGGAGTAGATGTAGGTCATTGGAAGGAAAACTTGTCGCATATGAACCCACCATCGCCATGGAGCGAATGGCACCCAATCGGGAAGTAGCCTATTCCAACAATAAGCGTCAGCACCAGACAACACATGTAGGACATTTCAATTGACGGTAATAACGCAGTTACTAACCAGAGTTCGGGCGGGACCGGATTGAGAGATTCCCATCCCATAACTCCCAAAACACAGAGCCAGAATTTAGCCCAGTGAGGCCCGTATAAAGCACCACCCAGTTCATGCAGCTTACTGCGAGCCTTCGCCATTCTAGGATCCTTCGGGCTGGCCCCGAGGAGTCGTAGAGCGACGTAGTTCATCGCGGTACCAAACACCGAGCTGTGGCCTTCGACATGGAGTCCCCAGCCGCCATCTTCTGGATGCTGTCGTGCAAAGAGATATCTCTTCATCTCGATAGCGTATTCTGGAGGAATTGGTGTGTTTGTCACATACCAGGTAACGATGAGGCCTGGTAGGAGGAACATGGGTCCGCCATACTCGCAAGCCCAATTCCCCGGCTCCAATTGAAGTTTAGAAAAGTAGCTGAGGCCATTGGATGCAGATTGTAAGGGAGTTTTAGGTGTTGGTAGCTCCGGAAGATCCTATTTACAGGAGGCATCTGCGTCAGCCTAGCTATAAAACTTTTACACAGGGAGAGAGGCGCTCCAACCGTAGGGAGATTGAGGAAGTATTTATCAGCCGCAGTCTGAGGCCACTCCTCTACCTCCTTATCTGTCCGCAGGTAGTGCCACGTCTGGGTTCCACGATCATTGCGGAGTCTCCATCTCGAGTGGTCGGTGGTCTGGTCTGTCTCGCCCAGTTTCGACATCTCTACCAGAGCTCAGCTTCGGCTTCCGCGTTGGCTTCTATGGTGTCACTCGAGATATGCGGGATTGAAGCTTTATATCTGTTATATCCAAAGAGATATATATCTATCCCAAAGCGGACAGGGGAGATGTGTTAGTCACGTGCATTAAGGTTCGTGGGGGCGGCGGATCTGTTCTTCCGTGAACCGCGTGGAAGGTTTTTGCTTCCTACTTCAACCTCAACGCTCGCTTTGTCTACTTCACGGCGAGACGGACCCTGATTGAAGTGCATATTTGAGAGCAGGGACAAGACTGGCGGGCTTCCGGTGCTGTATATCCTCGCTGGGATCACGCATTACCCTCTTATCTTGCATACTGCACCACTTCTATCACAAACGCGCGCATACGGAACTATACAACCCTAAAGGTTTGCCATTCCCTGGTTGACCGCAGGCGTAGCCAGGGTTTTGCGGCGACACCATGAGGGGGGCAAGAAACATTCTATAAAGCCGGTCTATCCTCACACGAGACTGCCTTGAAACGCAGCATTCATTTCGTTCATTATTCTATCTCTCTCCATCTTTGTGATAGATCTCTTTTTCGTGATCCAGGAGCAGAGATGTCTTCAAATGCAGCCCCAAATGGGCCCGGTAGATGGCGAGGAGGCTTTAGGGGAACCCGCCGCGGTGGCCGTAGTGTTCGAGGCCGTAGCGGCGGGACTCGCGGAGGCAGACAGCTGCTAGCTGATCGCGATCTCTCGCCCAAGGCCGGTGCTGTCGTGCATCGATTTCGACAGCGCCAAAAGGACCTCAGTCAGGTGTATCGCAAGGTAGCTGCTGTACAGAAATCTGCACTTCTCGCCCTGGCGAGCCGGTCGGAGTCTTTATTAATCAAGGACCCGAAAGCACACATATCCTCAAATCTTTACGATGAGGTGCTCCAGGGCCTTGAAAAGAAACTTCGGACGGCCGAAGACCTGATCGAGAAGGAGTATGGCTTGCGGGAGCATGCGCTGTCTGTCTGGCGGGAGACCGAGGAATTCCGGATCAGGACACATTTCGAAAACAAAATCGAAAATGTGATGAACGAGCATATTATTGCTGCTCAGGGTTCATTCATGGAAACATCAGAGAAGACCCGAATTGCCGCAGACGAGGATCATACAGAAACCGAAGAATCAGCGTCTGAACCACGGACGCCAATTAGCCCGCGATTTGCGCGTGGGTTCGATAGTTCCTTTGTCCGGGACCCGGAAGGAGCGGCTCTATATGAGCGCGTGGAGAACGGATGGGAAGATCTTGCGCAACGAGCCAAGATAGGCGAAGAAATTTGGCCACGAATCGTGGCTATGAATCAGGAAGCTGAAGTACCAGTCCCGCAGGACGGTGATGGCATAAATGGACGCTTCACTAACCCGCGCTTTTCCCGACTGATGGGTGCCTTAGTGGAGGCCTGCGATATTGCAGAAGGGAAGAAACCCAAGATAGAAGAAGTCGAGGAGCCAAGCCCATTGGATACCCTTGCAAGCGCAGCATTGGACCGTGGCGAGGTGAAAAACCTGCCGCTCATGCCATCGAAGCCACAGCAACTACCACCTGCTTCTGCTATACTCCAACCGCCGCTGAGCATGCCAGCACCACCGCAGCCAGAGCAACAATTGCAGTATGGCCAGATGCGCCATGATTCCCATAGGCCAATACTTCCACAGCCTCTGGCCTCTCCCATGTATCCTCCACCTGCAGATATGCGCAGATACTCGGCCCCGCAATATGGTCAAGGTCCACCACCTCCCCAGCTTCATCCTCCATTCCAGAGTCCACATGTACATCATCAGGACGTGCCTTCTCAACAGCAGTTACCCCCAGTGGGAGCCAGGTCACAATCCCAAATACTTCCCCGTCTCAATGAGCATCTAAGACTACCCAACATATTTTCATCAAGGAATCAACATCTTCCTCCCTTGCAAGAAATGGGATATCACCGTCCCAGCTTACCTCCACCTCCATACCAGGCCCCTCCTCCACCAAATATGCAAGGTCCCGGCCCCGGCAGGCCGATGGGGTATCCTCCTATGCACCCACAAAACGTCTACCCTCACCTACAATATCTACCGCCACCACCAAATATGCAATATCACCAACCTCCTCCTCAACCACCACCGCCGCCGCCTCAGGGCATGCACTTGGCACCAGCAGCTCATGGATCTCAAGCCTACCACCATCATCATCACCAAGGCTATCCGCCTCCACCTCCGCCTCCACCACACCAACCTCGATATCAATAGCCACCCAATTTCTAATAAGTGGTTCTCTGCTAGTTTAAATAAAGTTTATACAGGGATGGGTGGCTTGCCGTGTAGTATATGACTTTTTGTTTAATTTGGTTGCGCTTTTTTTTTGTTTTGCATGTGTGTATGATACTATCCGTTTAGCATTTTGAATCAAGGTGTCGTTTTATACTTCTGATCTATGTGAGAAAATTGTGGTTGGACATAAGCTATTTAGTCGTCGAAGAATAATGGCCCAAAGAAATATTTCCATCGATATGGTTCACAGCTTGCACAAGTCTAGTTCCTTTCAATCCCTCGCCCATCCAAATAGCTCACCCAGGGGCTACTACATCCGTCCTTCGATAATCCATTGTATGAGTAGCCATCAAAATTTCCTTGGATTAGGTAGCCCGAGAATCAAAGTTGGGACTCTACCACCCGTGGTGCTAACTACTCTTTGGCCTGATCTTTTTCTAGAGCAAGAAGCAATTCCACAATTCGACCATGGTTGTTTCGCATAGCAAAATCTAGTGCCGTCCATCCACTCGAACTCTTCGCTCGGTGGTTTACACCCTTCGTAACTAGGAGGGTTGCCACTTCAAAGCCACCATTGTCCGCCGCACAGTGTAAGGGAGTCAACTCACCATTATCCTTCGCATCAATATCAGCTCCAGCCTCAATAAGGTATCGAGCGATCGGGAAGTAGTTATGGCCCGCTGCAAAATGGAGGGCCGTCTGCCCTTCGTCCGCTTTGATGGTTGCATCTGCCCCATGATCCAAGAGCACCTTGACTGTTGAGTTGTGGCCAAACATGGCAGCTGTGTGAAGCGCCGTCATGCCGTTTTCTCCACGGCTGGAAGGGTCTGCCCCATTCTGAATGAGGACTCTGCTGATAACAGGCCGCTCAAATCCGACTATAGTGTACAGAGCCTGTGATAAGTCGTCCTTCGTGATATATTCGGCTCCGGCCTTGATAATTAGGCTAATTAATTTCTCACAGGTTCTCGGGCATCCTGCGGCCATTCTCAATGAGGGAGCAAATACCCCGGTTTGGAGAGGGCATCTATCTCCTAGTTCAATAAATGCTTTGATATAGAAATAATTGCCGGAGTGAGCAGCGTCAGTGAATATAGACGTCATATCGGGTAGCGTAATGCCATCACGCAAGTCTAATAAAACCTCATCCATCATGCTTGTTGGATGTCTCATAGCGGTATGGTATGCCAGGACCGGCATTTCAAAATGTGCACCCGAGTTCATTAGAATCTTCACCATGTTGGTATGTCTGCCGCCCACAGCTGAGAGGATTGCCCTAGAAATGGCCTCGGAGTCATCACTCATGCCAGCAGTTAGTATAATACTAGCTGCCTCATCGGCTCCTTCTTCGGCAATAGCCAGGAGCGCTCTGAGCTTCGCAGCATCACGTACGCCACATTTGAGTAACATTCGAGCTATCCCTTCGTGGCCGTTTTTGCACGCGACATAGAGATGTGCAGAGAGATCTTCATCTTCCGATGCATATTTGTTTCTCGCCTTTCGCGTCAACGTCCTCAGTTTTGTTCCTGTAAAGAAATGCTTCCCCCCTGACGTAGTAGAACACATACGTAATTTAGGTAGAGAGGATAGCAATTTCTCCACCATGATAGGGTATCCCTGTTCGCAAGCCATGAAAATGGCTAGGATAATGTCCGAGAGCTTAATTTTCCCCTTTCCACTTCGGAGTATGATTTCAACTAACTCTTCTCGGCCGTTCTGTGCTGCCCAGGCGAGAGCGGGAATATCATTGTTCACGATGAAAGATGCTGCCTTCTCGTGTAGAAGGGGCTGTAGTAATGGAACCAGGTCAGAGGTTGTTTGAATCAAGTTGTTCAGTTCGGGAGGCTCTAAAAAACTTCCTATTATGAGTTTGATCTCATTTGGTATATGTAGAAACTTCGCTGGCGAAGTATCAGGCTCGTCGGCCATTGTACCAACGGCTGGGGCGATGGATGAAAGTTCCTCGGGTAGATATTGGGCTGTATTCAAATTGAAATGCGAGTGTTGTCCTCTATACCTTTGGTATGAAATCTGCTTGGGCTTTTGGGTATTACTTATAGCATATCAAAAGGCCGGTTTGTGGCCTCCTCCGACCACAAAGACATGCCCCATCATCCCGAAATACCGAAGACATGGCGATTTACCGAAGTCTTGCAGAAATACTGGTGCGTTGCAGCGTTATTGCGTTAGATGGTTGAGTTGTGGGCGTGTTTACTGGGTGTTGTCAGAGTTGTCGCTTTAGGCAAAGCCCGCGTTCTAGTTATTCCGCAGAGGAATTTCACACAAGACAAAGGAGGAGGGAATTTGCCCTTTTTAGATTTTATTTATTTTTTTGGTATTCATTATATTTACTCACTTGCTCCTCGTGAAGTCGTTAATAATAAACGTCATTGATAAATAAAACCTCCTCTAAACCAGACCCTTATTCAAGTCCGGCGGTGGCCAGCTTCGAGAAGAAAAGAAACGAGGAGAGTGTAGAGACGGTAACTAGAAAGGGCGGAACATGTTCTAGTAGAAACTCTCCACGATGCTCTCCTTGGTAGCAGTTCCGGCACCGCTGGCACCCTCGCCGAGCTTGAACACGCTCTCCACGACACTCAGCTCCGTAGCTGTGGTATCCAGTCCAGTAATCGCTAGCCAGTCATTGACGACCATCCCAGCACCGACGACGGCGGAACCTCGGTTGACACTTCCGGCAACGAGCGGGACTTGTAGGAGGGAGGATAGTTCATCTTGATCTTGTATCGAGGTTTTTGGGTGGACGATTCCACCTTGGTTGGACAGGGACATGTAGGAGCCCGTTAGAACGTTGTCCGCGATTGTCTGGCGGAATACTTCGACACCAAGAACATCTGCTATTCTATAATTGCGAAAGGCGTCAGTGTTATAGCTTGAATCACGATTCATGGGAAATACCTACATTTCTTCCGTTTCTCGCTCTAGATCGGGATGCACGAGAGCCACATGGTCGTTACAACATATGACATTACCCAAAGCCGATAGTCTCTCTTCTGTTCTCTGGACCTTCACGCTATCCGGAATCGAGTTACGTAAATGTTGCAGTTCCTGGTCAGTTGTGGTCGTAGGGACCAAGAGTCCCTTTCGGTTTCTAAAATGCACCGTTCTGTTAGCCGTCTATATCTTGGTGTGCGCACCCATGTCAAGCACAGCGTACCCAGCGGTCAAACGTCCAACGATCCTTGTTCCTGCTATGGAAGCATGGCATATGGGTATGATATCTTGCAGCTCAGACTCGAATATGCTGTAAAAGTTCTCCGATCCTCCAATCGCAACAATCGCATAGGAATTCGTCAACGTCGCAAACACACCAACACTAAGACATTAGCACTCTTCAACTATGCAAGGCACAGCTTGGACAAGCAGAACTGTGCAGAGACTGCAAACTAACTCATTAGAATTCTCAAATTGCGCTCGAACCGCCATGATTCCTTGACTAAGCTGAGATCCGGTAACTGTAGATATGGAAATGGTCGCGGAAGAGGTGACAAGGCAGATATCAAGTCTATTTCGTTATTGCTGTGAAGATCGAGAAAGCTCTGGTCTGGAGAGTGTGAGTTTTATGGAGGGGAAGAGGAAGCGGGGTGTCAGCCAAGAGTATAAAAATGCGACAACCTTCTGAGCAGCGCTGGAGATGGGTGAGAGAGAGCAGGGAGAAGCGAGGAGAAAAGGGAGCCGGGCGAGGGAGAAAAGGGAGCCGGGCGAGGGAGAAAAGGGAGCCGGGCGAGGGAGAAAAGGGAGCCGGGCGAGGGAGAATATATAGCTGTTGGACTCCGGGAGAGCAGCGCAAAAGTTGTTCAGCGCAAACTTGAAGCCGGTGGAACTGCGACTTTGCGGTGGATGTTGTGCGTGACGCTTAGATTACCAAATATACGCTATTTTGGTGGCAAGTGATGTCATATATCTGTATCAGCCTCGTATTCCACCTCCAACTACCGAAATGAGTCAAGAATAGTCATAATGCTGATGTTTTATTGCAGGAGAGCATCGTGAGTCAGGACGTCGGATAGTCAAAATGGCCTTACTGGTGGTTTACTGGTGGTTTACTGGCCTTTGACTAGCGGTTGAAGGTTAAGGGTTATGGGTTAAGGGTTGAAGTTGTGTAGGAAGGTGAATGGAGAGACCGGAACCTGCCTCCAGACGCCATGAGTGCTGTGGAAGCTATGGAAGCTATGGAAGCTATGAGAGACGTGTCTTGTAGGCACAGCTGGTGTCTGCATAGACGATATCATATCAGTTACGGGCGACACCATGTTACGCTGGCATGAGCGCTTCTGTCGACATCCTGATGTTGTTCAGGCCTATGACGCCGCCTACTGCAAATGCTGCAAGGCAATGCCGATGGCAGAGGTCGTCCCGAAGGCTTCGTCTCCCATTTTACTACCGCCACTGGGCAGCTCGTCTCGGATGAACCTCACCTGGCCTTCTGTCACCGAGTATAGCGGTGTCAGGCTTCCGCCTAAACGGAACAGGGAGACAGGTCAGCACAGCCTAGGACAGCAACACCAGAAACTCCCCCAAACTCCCTCTCCAAACGGATTTCGACTCTTGCGGCTGAGCCCTAGGCAGCATGATGCACCGATCCATGCCGAGTTTGAAATTAGGGAGATGGGATCTGGCCAGGGCGTGTATGATGCTATTACGTACTGCTGGGAATCCTGTGAAGGCTCGATGAGATATCCCGTGTATATCGGACCTTACTGGGACGTCATTTTGTTCCCCGTAACTGTCTCGAAGCACTCCGGTTCGTTCGACGTTATAGCGCTCAGCGGGTTTGGGTGGACGCTCTGTGCATTGATCTGGCCGACGCTGAAGACAAAAACCAACAGACTGCCTTGATGCGGAATATCTACTCCAGTGCATTAAATGTCATTACATATATCGACACTCCCTCCGAATCAGCCGGTCAGGCTCTCACTTGCATGGAAAAGTTAATACGGCCAAGGCTATCCACGCCTAACGAAATTATTATGGCTGATATCGAATCCAAAAAGGAATTACATGCTCTTTTCCGCCGACCATTCTTCTATAGGTTATGGATCATGTCGGAGATGCTGTTGGCCCAGACGCTATGGATAATATATGGGAAACGTTCCATCCTATGGCCAAGATGCGCACAAACTCTTCATGTCCTCATGGCGTTTGACCCTGCCTGGCTCAACAAGGCTAATTTGTGGTCTGAAGCAAATAACAATAATGTACTTCGGATGCTACTCCACAGTTCAATTTATAAATGCTCAGATCCCCGTGACAAGGTCTTCGGGCTACTCAGTTTACTGGACAAGAAGCATATCACCCCGGACTACAGACTCTCGGTCGAGGCCGTTTATACCGGAATTTCAGCATACCTTGTCAAGAACTGCTCTGCCTTTGATACCCTTAGTCTTGCTGGAATATACAAAAAGCGCCTCGATATGCCATCATGGGTGCCAGACTGGTCCCAGAAACTGACACTACGAGTTCCCGATGAAAATTACTTTACCTCTATGGGAGGCCTGGTTGGCAACACGGCCGCACGCGTTGTATTCGAAAATATATTCGATACGGACACTGAAGCAGAGATAGATGTCAATACGGGCGCTATGACAATTCCGGCTATCAAACTTTGCGGTATACCAGAAACGATCATGTCCTTACCCTCTTACCATAAAGTCCTGGTTAAGGATATGGGAGCCCGTGGGCTTTTTCGCATAGTTGTCCTAGAGCCGGCATATGAAATTGGAAATGATTCGTTATTCTTGTTGAATGGTTGGGAATACCCCGTCATCCTAAGACATCACCCGGGGCAGTTAAACTCGTATGAACTTGTGGCTACGTGTGCCATTTTCTTGGGACCCCCGTCGTCAGGTGAAGAATGGTTGGTGCCTTGGACTAACGCAAGAATGTTCCCTCATTCGGACACCACCAATATTATTACAGCATCGGGAATGTCTCAGAAAGAGAAGTGCGCGATACGAGAATTATATCATTCATTATCCACCATATCATCTACGTCACGTCCAGAATCGACCGACTCAATTCCATTCCAGGATATGAAACGACAGGTTCTGGAATATCTTCTCCTTTCCTCGACTCGTCTACGAGGAACTGAATCAAAACTCAAAATTGCCTGGGATAGATTAAAGCAGACCCATGGATATTTATTTCAAGACCAGAGGGCTGTCTACTCTCTACTTCTAAAGGCTCTTGGGATAGAAGGGGATAATGGTAATGTTATAGGGAGTGGTATCATGAGGATAGATAACCATGACGTTCAGACCCTCAAAAGGTACGGCCAGAGCGAATTTCCATCTGCCTATAGCTGGTCCTTGGGTCAATTCTGCTGGTCTTTTCTCGATGCGCATTTTCATAACCCTCTACCGTTGGAGAATCCTCCATTGCTGAACCCAACATACATTCGGATGTGTTGCCAGATACCGGACATCATGATATGGGCCAAAATCACAGAACAACTGTTCAAAGTTTTGGAGTATTCGCAAAATACCCCTAGAGAGGGCGGGATTTATCCACCAGGTGCAGACCTCTTCGCCAAATGGCGATCCAAATGGGATAACTTCCAAGCCGTGGAAATCCGATCCGACCAGCCATCTGGAGACCCTGATAAAGACCGTTTTTGGTCCTGGGCTGATTTTGATGAAACCTGGATACAGAGACAGAAGTTCTGGAATCAAGAAGTACCCAAACTGCTAGATCCGTCTACAAACAGTAACATGGCAACACGCTTAGGTCTAACAACCATGGGGTTACAGTTTGACGATCAGCAGGTAATAAACATTATTTAATGCCCTGATTGTGACGAAAGTGCTCGTGTATTTGGTATACAGTGTATAAGTTAGCTGTTGTATGGGAATCACAGCAAAGAAATGCAGTCATATCACATGATATGGCAAGGTAGCAACTGCTCATACAAAAAAAAAACATTCCCTCCGCAGCTACCTCCTACCATAACATGTATAACTTGCTACTTCCTGGCTGACATTCGAGGTATACAGAGCATGAACTGTCTCGCAGAAAACAACAAAACAACGGCCATGTGGGAAATGCTGTCGAGAGAAATCCAAAATGGAGGCCCCCAACGAGGAACTAATTGAGGTAAGCTCGAGAATCCAGTATTTATATGACGCCGGAGTCCCCTTCTTTACGAAAGCTGTTTTGCGAGAGATTCACGAGCAACTCAGGTGGGGCCTACGAGGAGGCCAGACAATATTAGTTAGGGGGCTTAACGGGGAGCTGGTTGAGTTCGAGGTTGAGGAGGGTATAACCCGAGAAGTAGGGAATACACAGAGTGCAGTCGAATACGTTACGTACGTTTATATCCTTTCCCCGGCGCTATTAGATCCTTAATCGGTAACCTGTCGAATAGTCGAAAGCCTCGCATTTACTACCAATCAGTGCAGCACTTTCAACGGTACCTAGGAACCGGTCGTTTAGCATACTGCAACCTCAAGATATACCATGACCTCGCTTTACGTGATAAGGAAACAAAAGAGTTTATACCAATGGGTCCAGTGAGTGATTATGGTGATGCCAAAAAGGCGTTCAGGCAGAGCTTGACTCGATGGGAGGTTAGCAAAACCTGCAAGGGATTGATCAAGCTCCTGAAAAAGATAGACTTCCCTCTGGACTTTGAAATTAACAAGATAGTCGCATTTGGATGTGGCTCAATTTCCGCAAGCGACGGGGATCCGAGTGATCCTTTGGCAGAAGTTCTAAGGGAAAGGTCGTCATTTCAACATGGACTAATCCGAACACTGCGAAGGATTATGAAGAAACTAGAAGGTTGCGAATATATTAGATGCTTCGCCCAGAACCCCGCATATTCCTCTGTTGATTCCATGGTACTCTCGGATTTCGAAATCAGTACAGTTGAGGATCCTGTAGGCTTCCTCATGGTCGACAGCAGGACCGTGGTGATTTCGTGCTGCCCAGACATTCCTGTTAGACAGATAATAACTGACATTGCTCGACCGGCTATGATTTTCTGGGATGCTAATGCAAGTGAGGATGCCCACTTGTGAGTCCTCCATCCATAACCCTTCAAAAAATCTAATACTAACAATATATAGGCCTGATCCCGCGTCTTCCCGCGTTCGAAATCTCCTTGGTAATTTTTATGATCGACACACGTTCCCTGCTGATAGAACGCACTTCCATGATTTGACCATGTATACGAGGAAGGGGGGCGGTATATCATCAGGCGAACTTGTCGAGGGATCAAGAAAATTGAAGCCGGAGCGGCGGAGCGACATCGCGCCATAGGGAGCTAAAACTATTCTAAACCACGTCTTGGAATTGTTAGTTATCCCTTAAAGTTGCTCGCGATTGGTTACATGAAGTGAGCCCTGTATTACTATTATTCCAACACCACCATGCATAAATACTCTATTACGTCAACTCACCTCCTATTCAGCTAACAGGCCATGTTCCCTAAAACATGAAAATAGTAACCTGTACCCTGCAGGAACAGAGCGTTGGGAGGCTTTTTAACTGGTCAGTGTATAACCATGGTTAACTAGGTATACCACAAAATGACTCTGCGAGTTGCCACCATTCTTGATAGACTGGCAATATGGAATGCCCTTTAAGATTATTATTACTCTCAAAATGGCCTGCCTATGTTCTAACTGATGCATTCTCCATGATGGATACTCCATGATGGGTATTTCTTTATATTTTGATAGGTTTCTACACTCTATTTGGAGCTCTTTTGACCGTCAATAATACCTTGTAGAGCTGCTATATCTTCCATGGAACGCCTTCGATCTCTATCCTTGGTCCACGGCCTAATGACTTGCTCTTCCGTGACCAAAGTTGAGTTTTTCTCTTTTTCTCCAAGTTTATAAGGACATCCTCCGTCGACTGCCACCACATCGTACTCCTATCCAAAATCATACACTCCTAACACCATCAATACCTATTACGCGGCCTCTTTAAAAACAGCTTGTCAAGAGTTTCATCTACATATACTAACTTCAGTCTGAAGCAGAAAGGTATGTCAACCCCTGTTAGTTTCGTAGCACAGAATATGCCATACGAGAGCCTCACGACGGAGTTATAAAACATCACTAAAATAAGCGCAGACAACACGATGTGCTGGTCCCACGGCACATTCTATATTAAATGTGGCCATCGTATCCGGGTCGAAAGAAAATTCTGTCACAAATTCCCATTCTGCAACCTCCTCATCGTCATGGATAAAAAGATCAAATGGCGTGGGCTCTGCCCTGCCTGCACCCGCCTCCCAACGCCTCCCCAAGAGTGAAGCCCGGGGGATCTTTGAGCCTCCATAAGCACTAGCGATCAACTGGGCCCGAGGCCACGATGGTGCCAGGGTTATCTATTGTGTGGGTATTTGTAGCCTATTACGGGCTATGCGTGGGTTTAGCAAGGCGTTCCGGGGAAACGTTCGTTGAGTTTTATATGTCTGTGTTTGTATGTCTGTATACTTCCAGCCGTGTTTGCTTAGTATCAGCTTCAACCCGACATCCACTAGATATTAGGAAGTTGATCCTATGTTTTTATATCTATTAAGCTCAAATGAACCCCTGTTGCCGCCACATCCACAATAATAGCGGAATTATAGCCATCCCTCGTACCCAGATCCCCGAGCATAAGAGAGAAGATACCCTGGTCCGTTTTATGCGCGCCTGTATCCATGCTCCGTACGGCCAGTTGATATACAGTTATAGCTAGTTAGGGCCAAGAGGGCGGAAACTACTCGAGGATCCCGCTGGTTATCCGGGTCTAAATTGGCGAGATCCAAGAGGCTCGACAACCCTGTCCAGAATGCTTACCCCGACTTGCTTCTTATACCTGGATGAGGCGCGACTCGAGCTTGCATCTCAGCTAGACCCACCCTATACGATAAATAGGGAGGAGATAAGAAGGGAGGGAGGGGGAGGAGAGGCAATCAACAGCTAAGTAACTGAGACTGCACCGCAAAGGCGTATAGAGATTGACCGTTAAGCCAGGCAGCTTTCCTCGGATTCCTAAAGCCAATCCCACACGCCCTGGCTTCCATCCAATGAATGTATACCCAGAAACTCAAGAACTCGCCTGCAGGGCCCTGTTCGTACACCTCACTCCAGCCTGTACGCCACGCTCAGCATTTCTATCAAACCAAAGCACGAATCAGCCGCATCAAGCCGGTAAGAAATACCGTGTAAACATGCTGAAGGGTGTTTGCCACGTCCTCGATATACCGGCTTCAGCTCTCAGTTCTCAATTAGGCTACGAGGCTGACTATGTTTTACCGGCTACCCCCCATACCTGAAACATATTTGATATATGAGTATGGTCGATACGTGGCTAAATGAAGAGCAGGATGAGCGGTTCAAATCCGTGGGGGTTTGGGTAGGCAGAACCAAATAATTAACCATTTCCTGATGTTATTGCTTACCAGCTAATCAAGGCTAATGATGTCTCGTATAATATCTCAAAATTGTCGCAGGGACAGGGGTGAAATTGACTCTCGCGGAAGCATGGCATTTTATGCACACAGCCAGCCCATTGCTAGCAGGAAGAAAGCACCGAGACTATGGCCCTCTCCTCTCTTGGCTGCTGCGAGCCTTTCCATTTATACCATCTGGTCCTTCGCTACCGTCTTCTACTTTCGGTAGTTGCCATTAGCTCCCGTGCATGGTTCTTACGATGGTAGATTCTACGAAGTACCCGGTCATGCATTCAAGATAGAGCATAACTAAGGATGCAAGTACGGAGTATACTGCGACCCAGAAACCTTCTCACTTATATATTACTTTACCCGTCAGCAAGGAGCGTCTACTATTTCCACTGGGCTCTTTAATACCATCCTTTGACCACAATCGGCGCTCTATACAGGCTCAATTCTGTCATAGCCTCTTCGTCTAGACTCCCACCTTTCACATCGATCCACAATGCTAGAAGACGATGCCCCTACAGCAAAGGGAGCTGCTGGAGGTGTACAGGCACAGAAACGGAAGGCCTTACAAACATCGTACTCGCCTGAATCTTCTCGCCTACGGTTAGCCTGTGACAGGTGCCATGCGCACAAGCTACGGTGTCTCCGGTCAGAGAGCACAGAAGCCGGCGGTAAATGTGATCGCTGTCGTCGTGCGGCTGTTCAATGTATCTATAGCCCCCCCAATCGCCTAGGCCGACCAGCACGATCAGGAACAGGACAAAAATCTGCTACCCCGTCCGCCGCCGTGTCCAACAAAGAGGCAAGGAATAGCCCGCGAAGCAGCCCTCGTAATACCAACGTGTGGCCATCCCCCAAATCCCCGCAACCTCCCAGCTCGGTCTTGTATAATGATATATCCACACATGGACCCAACATGGATATCCTAGCAGAGGATTCGGGGACCTTTGAAGATCTTCATTTGAGCGGGTCCCAATTGAAGCTTGATATGATGCCCCTTTTTAATAGCAAAAACCCGACATTTGAAGATTCCAGTATCGACTTCAACGGACAAGTTTTTTCTCCGGAAAGTGTGGTCCAGGACAAACCCATATCGTTTGCGGGTGGTTCCAACGCACATACTTCAGGGGACATTGCAATGGCCGAGGAAAACGCAGACGACTGTGTTCGAAGGCTCACTGATCTAGGACTTGCACAATATAATCAACTTCGACAGCTTAAAAGGATGAGAAGCTGTACCAGCAGGGATAAGCAGAGCCTACTCACTCTATTGCGCAGTTACCCCATCCATGAGATAATGGAGACCGCACGACAACTCACAGAGCTGGCTGATCAGTTTATACAAACGCCAGCTCCCGGAGATGATATCTTAGGCTCCTCTTCTCCAGATTCAGCTGGCGAGCCGGTCCCGGACTTAGAATCACCCTTTTTAAGTGACCCTATGGCGATACACGATTTCTCAGACCTTTTGTCCCAGCCCTTCTTGGATATGCTAGCTACTCCGAAGAGTATTCTGAGCTCTAGTGGTAGTAATAGTCAGCATTCGCCTGGTACGACCGGTAGTGGGCCTCAGATAGATACCTCGACGATGCTGCACACCATTTCGTGTTATCTTCGCCTAGCTCGGCTTTTCGTCCTATTCTTCACCGATCTTCACGACTTCTTACTCTTCCCCAACCTTACTGACCCAATACTCAACGATAAGTCCCGGCTGTTCCCGGGACTAAAGCTCGGCTCCTTCCAGCCTTACGTGGGGATGGAACTAGAAATTTCGATTGTAGTTCAAGTTAGCGAGCACATACTGAACCGCCTATGCAACTCACTAGGGTTACCGCAAGGCCAACAGTCAGCTCAAAATAAGCTTGGATCCGAAATTATCACGCCGGCCATGATTCAGGCCGTGCAGACACAGGAGAGACTCGAGGCTCAGGATGAAAGGGGCGATACGTTCACACGACTCCCATTAGTGATAAAAAATGTCAAGAAGATGGTTAAAATGAGATCAGCCCTATAGTTAGATTGTTGTGAGTAGTTATAGATGGTTTACCTTCCCTCACCCCCTTTTGATAGTCGGATCATACACGTAATCGCATACATTAAAGTTATACAAAACATGCATAATGCCGAAAATGTGAGCTATAGATGATCATAAATCGTCATATAATTGCCAAGTCGATGTTCTCTCCCCGAGGAACTCCGCGGGCGTCGCCCCTGCTCGTGCGACCCCTGATGCATCTACCAAGATCTCGGTATATGTCGGGTAGGCAAGCCAGAATGCATATATTACTGCCTAGGCCAAGCAAGCGAGTCAAGATGCATCAGTCTAGGCCTGAGTCGAGGAATCGAGTGAGGGTGCAGATGTAGAGGACCAGGGTATCGTGTTCTATCAATGCACCCAAGAGGGCCCTCCACGTTGCAGCTTAACCAGGATAAGCCTCCATAGTCATAACCCGTATAAGAGGTTCGGGCTATCTAGTACCGACAGAGTAGCCATTCATAACACAGTCCAAGAAGGGTTCACGCAGTTGCTTAAACTTTCTTGGGTCTTTAGAAGGCTGTTTGAATCCGCCGAATATTGGCATTTCCTGGGGCTATGTCTGATTCCCTGTAAATAATACGCCGAGTATCAACTTTATAGGGGAATATGCCACGTTTGCTGAAATACGCCGAATATGGACATTCTGAGGTTGCATATGAGCTTCGTATTATTTCTTTGTGGCTGTTGAGCGTAGAAGTAAAGCACCAGATGCATTCCGGATGGGGATTTTGAGTAAGTTATCCTGCCCAGAAAGCGCCGGGCAAGTGTTTCGCCAGAATCGGGAGAGATATTAAGTGGGTGAGGGTAGAGAACCGACTTCGAGCAAATGTATGGTATATAGATCGAAAAACCCACGTACTGTCGAGAGACATCTCATGATACCTCACAGCTATACTCATCTATTATACGACCTCACTCTCACTATATATCATTGCATCGTCGATCAGACCCTTAAAAGAGAAGAGCAAAGAAGATGTCTCCTGCGGTAGCCAGTAGCACGACGGCGTCATCTCCCTTGAAGCCAATGCAACGAACTGGAGCACTCGACCAATACGAAAGAGAGGATGTAACACCCATCATTGGGACTGAATTTCCAAAAGCCAAGTTGACAGATTGGATCAAGGCACCAAACGCTGACGAGCTGCTCCGTGACCTAGCGATCCTCAGTATGTGAATACCTTTGGACTTGACCTAAGGAGATCGTAGCTAACTGTTTCGCGCCACCATATAGTCTCTGAGCGTGGAGTTGTCTTTTTCCGCGCGCAGGATGGTCTAAGTAACACCGATCAAAAAGAATTGATGCAGCGCCTGGGCGAATTGACAGGGAAGCCCCCGACGAGCCGCCTGTCGATCCATCCCATCTTCGAACAAGGAGACAACGACCCTGAAATCAACACTATCAGCGCCGCGCAGGACAACAAGCTGCGTTCAATCGACTACTCCGTCTCTATTCCAAAGAAACAGAGCTCTGCTCACTGGCACTCTGATGTTGCCTTTGAGCCAGTGCCGGCAGAGTACACTACTCTGAGGCTGACCGAAGTTCCGAAGACGGGAGGAGGTGAGACGCCACATTTTTAATAATAATAAAAGAGAATAAGCTTGGGTATAAAAGAGAAAACAAGCATGGGCTGTCGCTAACTTTCCTCTCTAGACACCCTTTGGGCATCAGGATACGAGCTGTATGACCGCATTAGCAAACCCTACCAGCGCTTCCTTGAAACCCTGACCGCCACCTGCGCACAGCCTGGCTACAACAAGGTCGCTGCTACGGGCAAGTTCAAGCTCTTCGACGGCCAGCGCGGGGCGCCAGAGAACGTTGGATCAAACTTCTCCTCGATCCACCCCGTTGTACGCACAAACCCAGTAACGGGATGGAAGAGCATCTACTCTGCAGGATTCCACGTGCAGAAGATCAACGGCGTGACTGAAAGCGAAAGCAAGGCCCTGCTTGACTGGTTTTTGAGGCTGATTAACGAGAATAACGATCTCCAGGTCCGTTTCAAGTGGAGGAATGCAAATGACATGGGTGAGTAGATTGATATCCCGTTTGTTTGGCTTTCGTATATCCCGCTGACCTGCCGTGTTTGTACAGCTATCTGGGACAACCGTTGCGTGTTCCACACTGCAACCTTCGATCTCGAGGGTAGAGAGGACAGGTATGGCGTTCGTGCTGTTGGTGTAGGGGAGAAACCATACTTTGATGCAAACAGCAAATCTCGGAGGGAAGCGTTGGGAGAGCCCGTCGAGGCCCTCTAAGATGGAAACGGCGGTGGCACAAGAATCGATACTGGCTTTGTCTTCTTGTCTCGCGCTTTTCTCGTGCATCTTCTGCCGTTTCCCGATAACAAGAGGCCATAGGGCCTTGCTGACGATCCCCCACATTATCACACGACCAATATTCACCCATGATTTGAGTTTTGAGCAAAACTGCAGAAATTATATGTCAACGGAGGCTACTCTAAGTTAGTTTCGTCTCAACACGAAGAATATATCACAGTGCCGTTTTTGTACATTCTTATAGCCTATTAGGTTATCCATGACCATAACCAGACATTGCATGGAACCCCTGACATTAGCACAGTCCAGGTATCAGTTAATGATATTTGGCGTCTAGACAGCGGTCGATTCAGGCATTCCACCCTCGAGGCAGCAAAAACCATGCAAACGATCTCGTAAAGCCAAGTACGTAAGTCGACAGCCTCTGCCAAGGGTATATCCCAGGGTCGAACGAGCATCATCGATCCGATTCCGCCTCGTCAGCATCAAACTTGTCTTGGAGACAAAGAGATAGAGCTATGACCTTGCTACTGCTAGCCGGAACGTTCGATAGCTCAGATATCGGCGTCGTTGCCGCGCACCCTCTTTTTTGCTGACCCATGTCTGCATCGGAGCAGGGTCAGACCCGTAAAAAGTAAGCCCAACGTGTCCCCAGCTCCGCACTGCATAAAGTTCGTGTGGCACCCGTCCAAATAAGTAGTTCCTCGGACCCAGGGGTGGTAAATACTTCCTCGGAGACAGACGATGACTGGCTGCCATAGAGTCGACTAGGCAAGGAAATGTTTTATTGGCGAAGGATTCTGACAATGGTTAGCGATATGCAGCTACCATCCTTGCGAGCCTTTTAACAAGCATACAACAGTGAGTGCATTTGGACGAGGTTGATATCTCGATGGATATTGCATCCCACGAACTGTGATGAACTGGTGGACCACATACTTCGATAATGGAGCATCTTATCTCCGCTCCGGATTAGATAAGCTCTCAACTGCCTCTTTACTGCCTCTTTCTCTCTCTCTCTCTCTCTCGCTCTCTCATAACCTTGGAAGATGGACGATGCTCCAGGACGACGTCCGAGCCAAGTTATGATATTGGCCGCCACCGAGGCCGAGTACGCCTTGAGGTACCATCAGGACGGCGCATGAGACGGCGCATGAGACCTTGCCATGGACTATCGAGGACAACAAAGCTAGACAAGACGAGGAGCAAGCAACAGACGGAGAGAGAGAGCGAATGAAGGGCGGAAGACGCGATGTCGCAATTTATCAAGGCCTGCGGAAAGTGGTGAAGGCCCTCTGCACGTGCGGCAGGCGCTTCACGCGTGTGGTCCCGGCGACGCGCTTGGCAGGATGACGCCAAGGCCCGCCCACGTCCTTCCGCCCGCTTGGCACATGGCTTGGCTCCGCGCTCTTGGCGGCCAAGACCTTACTCCCGGCACGTGTTGATACTATACTTAGGCCCGGGGCGGACTCCCTGGACGCTTTTTATGCCTTTTCCATGCCTTTTCTCAGGCTTTTCCTTGGGCTTGTTGCCCTGGACATCCTAGGCCCAGGATGGCGGTTAGCGAGGCAGCCCATGCTACCCCCGTATTACATATAAAGTATATACGGGAGCCCATATATATCAATCTACGGGCTATCCTGGTCCTCGCACGTATCTGAACATCTCAAGGAAGGAGACCTCTCAACACCGCAGCCATGGTTCTTCACCAGTTTGACTACGTCTTCGCCATCGGCATCATCTTCGCCTTCCTCGATGCCTGGAATATCGGTGCCAACGATGTCGCCAACTCGTTTGCGACCTCCGTCTCGTCACGGTCCCTGACCATGATGCAGGCCATGATGATCGCTACCGTCATGGAATTTGGTGGTGCCGTTCTCGTTGGGTACGTTTTTATATACTTGATAACTACGGCTATTGATCTAACGGCTGTGAAGATCCCGCGTGTCAGATACCATCCGAAATGGTATCATCTCGACCTCCAAGTTCAAGGATCAGCCGGCCGTTCTCATGTTGGGAATGATGTGTGCTCTGGTTGGATCTTCTACCTGGCTGACCGTTGCGACCAAGTTTGGTATGCCGGTCTCAACTACGTAAGTCATAGCACGACGGGCTGAACTGCATGCATATATTAACGGCTTGGATGCAGTCACTCCATCGTCGGTGCTATCATCGGTGTCGGCATCGCGACTCTGGGCACAGATGGCATCCAGTGGGCTTACAACGATGGAAAGGGTGTTGCTGGCATCGTCAGCGCCTGGTTCATTGCACCTGCCATCGCCGGTGGATTCGCCATCGTTGTCTTCCTCATCACCAAGTATGGTGTGCTCGAGCGTAAACGCCCGCTACGTGCTGGTTTCATGATGGTCCCTCTTTACTTTGCCGTCACCTCTGGTATCCTGACCATGGTCATCGTTTTCAAAGGAGGTTAGTCCTCATTCTTCTATCGTCATTCTATGACCCTAAACTAACGCATATATCAGCACCAAGCTTGAAACTCGACAAACTTAGCACTGGACAGGTCCTCGGTGCCATCTTTGGTGTTGCTGGTGGTGTCGTGCTCCTATACGGAATCTTCTTCCTGCCGTTCCTATACCGAAAACTCCAGCTCGAGGACTGGCAGCTCAAGTGGTGGGAAATCATCTACGGTCCTCTCCTATGGAAACGTGGACCCGTCCCACCTCGTCCAGAGGGCGCCTTGGTCGTCCAAGATTACTACAAGGGCCACAAGACCAAGGAGGAACTCACCACTGGTGGTGTCACTGGCGACGTTGAGCACGCAGTTCCTCAGGATGAGAAACAAAACTCAGAGGATGGCATCAAGCGCGGTTCCAGCGAGGTGTCCCCCAACGATAAGGCCGGTGAACAGTCTCTCGAGGTTCATGAGCAGGCCGCCCTTGGACCATGGTACACACCTCGCAACCTATTCCTCAAGGCCAAGTACTACTTCCTCCGTGGTGTTGACCGTGATGTCGTTTCCGAACAGCACGACTCGCCAGCTACCAACTTCCTCACCGGAGACCTGGACAAGATGCACGCTGAAGTCAAGCATTACGATAACAAGACCGAGCATCTTTATTCTTTCCTCCAGGTCTTGACTGCTGCCACTGCTTCGTTCGCTCACGGATCCAATGATGTCTCCAATGCCATCGGCCCCCTGACCACCATCTACTTGGTCTGGGATACCAACACCATCGCCAAAAAGGCCGGTGTCCCAATTTGGATTCTCGTCTTTGGAGGTGCCGCCATCTGTAAGTCACTCAACCGTCTATCTTCCTCCTTCTGCTTCTTACAACTTACTAACAACACGCACTACAGCCATCGGTCTCTGGACATACGGGTATAACATGATGCGTCAGCTCGGTAACAGACTCACCCTCCACTCTCCTAGTCGTGGTTTCTCCATGGAGCTCGGCGCCGCCATCACCGTCATTCTCGCAAGTCAGCTTGGTCTGCCCATCTCCACTACCCAGTGCATCACCGGTGCCACTGTTGGTGTTGGATTCTGCTCCGGCACCTGGAGGGCTGTCAACTGGCGTATGATTGCTTGGATTTACCTTGGCTGGTTCGTCACCATGCCTATTGCTGGTATTGTCTCTGGCTGTCTTATGGCTATCATCATCAATGCCCCCCAATGGTCTGGCATGGCTGCATAGACCATTTTTCATGATAGTTACCTCCGGGTAGCTCCCAACCCATCTCCCTACGTCATGTTAATTGTATACTGCCATTCATTTATATAACCCCTTATCCACTAGTTAATTACTCCGCTTCACTTATGTGAACATGTCTACATCTACCCTTCTTCGTCATCTCAGAATATTCGAAGACTAGCCTCTGTATATACGTTTCAAGTCAAGGATCTAGAGAATCACATTCCCGCCTCACATTTACCACAAGAGCCGCCCCCACCTCTAAACATGAGCCTCATATCTCAGAAAAGTGGTCCTTCATAAAGACCCTAAGTTGAGCCAGACCATCCTCCAAATCCTTAGTCTCACATACATATCCGATCCTCACAAATCCCTTGAACTCGGGCCCGAAACAATGCCCTCCAGGCACAAACATCACTCCAACCTTGGTATGAAGATGTTTACATAACTTCACGTCATCAACGGGGGCACCGTTTTTCGAAAACCGCACAAACGCCGTCGTACCTGCCTTGGGCTTGTACCAATCACACACCGACGAGAATTCATCCACGAACGCAGCAAGGATGTCAAGGTTATGCTTTGCCAACTTCATGTTTCGTTCAAGTAACCTTGGCGTGCATTTTTCGCTAAGTGCAAACGAGGCAACTTTATCGTCTAGCTGGCTGACGGATATGGTAGTGTAGTCACGAGCGTGGAGGCATTTTTCAATTATCTCTTTGCTCGCGACAATCCAGCCAACTCTGATTCCGGCGAGAGCATAGGCCTTTGAAGTTGATCCTGTCACGATTGCTCGTTCGTATCCTAGAGAGTAGACAGATGGGGGTCTGTCGTCTAGGGAATGAAAGAGCGGTCGATAGACCTCGTCACAGAACACGTATATGTTCTTTTCCTTGGTAATGTTGATAATCTCTTTCAGGTCCTTTTCAGGAATAGTTCTCCCAGTAGGGTTTTGAGGGTTGCTATAGTAGTGATTAGACAATTGGCACTGGACGAGTAAAAAAAAAGAGTAAGGTAATGACACGAACTTGAGAATGATGAACTTGGTGTTTTCCCTGATAAGACCTCTCAGTTCATTAACATTCAACTCCCACTCATCTTCTATCCGGGTCTTCCACGGGGTGACTTCCGCTCCCAACGACTCTGGTACAGAGTATAGCTGTTGATACGTTGGATAGTGGCAGATGACATGATCTCCCGAGTGAACCAAGGTATACAAAACGAGGAAGTTGGCGTTAATCGCGCCGGGAGTGATCAACACGTTCTCTGGTGATGGACCATTGGAATCTTCAGAATACATCCGTGCTATGTTCGAGCGTAGCTCCTCAGTGCCTCGGATAGCGCCATATCCAAGTTTAGTAGATGTGTTGAATAGGTTTTCTGGCTTGCTGCCTCCCGCGAGCGCGCATAAATCATCTAGCGAGATGGAGGCCGAGCAGGTCTCTGCAATGTTGTATTTGGCTGTTGTCTCATGCTCATCCATCCACTGGTGTGTATGTCAGCATACATGTTCTCAGCTGATATCAAAGGTAACCAACCGTACCTGCTCCACGGAAAAAGGTTGAACGACGACCATGGTTACTCTTAATATGTTTCTGCTTAGAATCTATGATTCCGTAGATCCTAGATTCCGTGTATCCCACAGAGGAGTAAACTGTATCCTTATGTACGTACATATTTCGCGGGGTATATGGAGGGAAGAACGTCATCTGACAACACCATTTGACCAAATGAGGCAAAACCTGATATCTGCTACCTGCCTCCTTATGTCAGCGTCCCGAAAGCCTGGAAGGATGCTTGTACCGGAGTAGCTTAATTCCATCGACTCTAGACTATGCATTTACATATTTATCGACGAGAATTAAACATCATTGGCGGTTTCAGACGACGATGACGCTATCAGTGCGTCGCAGAAGCGAGTGAACTCCGAAAGTCGCCCAACTTGTCTCTTCCAGCCCGAGTCACTCCTTAAAGGTTCTTCGGAGCATGGAACGACGCAAGCATGGAGTACTCTGTATATAGAATACGTGTATGAGAAACCTGCTGACACGAAGACGATTCCTATGGTGTAGAGTAGCACCAGTGACAGGTCGACATTTTTATATCTCTTTGCTTTTTCTTCCTCCCCTGCACTAAGGAGAACGAACCCCCTCCCCTGCAATAGTGCCCCTTATTATTGGCTTTGCAGATCATATGTAATTGTGAAAACGACCATTGGATTTGCTACCTCGTTTTCTGGTGACAAAACCTGTGGAACACATCACTGAAAGAGCCAGCCCCCTTGACCATGTTTCAGCTGCTTCTATTGGCAGCTACAGCTTTTTGCCATGCGTAAGTAGGTACAAATGAAACCAGCACAGGTGGTCGAAGCAAGATAAGAATGTTTGCTGGCTTGTTTTAACTGCGGTTATCCTTGTATCCGCAAAAATTTGACTTACACTTCAGCCAACTGGTGTTAGACCGGGTGTTTTGACTCGGGTAGCCCTCTGTTCGCGTGGAAATGGGGAGACAAGTAGGTCTTTGTTCGCATTTTAGGCTGTACCTAGTGGCGACCTCTTTGATTGCCCTGTGGAGATGAATATCTTTTGGCTGTCATCGAATTTCTTCACTTGACAAACTTGGATAAAAAAAGTGCTTCCTCTCTCTTTTTGATGGGCATTGGGGTCTGCCTATCATGACCACTCTTTCAGCTGGCTGTTTCAGGCCCCAGCTTGTCAAGAACAAGACCATACTGTCAATCGCGGTACTGTTCAGCTTGATTTTGGGTTACTTGTTTTATTTTTATGATGACTATACTCCTGTTGCTCCGCCTCCCAGGAAAGCTGTCACAGACATTTCCCAAGCCATGGTTGTTCCCAAGACAAAATGGGACAGGGTTGGCTGGGTGAAGAAGCTGGAACCAAAGTGAGTATTTCTTTTCCTGTGAGCTTCTCGGAGTATCTCTGGCTAATGCGTAGATCAGTTGGGTCCCTTTTATTTATTCTGTTGATAATGACTTGAGATATACCCTTCGCACACCAAAGAATGTTGGGCGTGAAGCAATGGTGTATCTAACCTTCATTATTGACTACTATGACTCGCTTCCAGACATAGTAGCATTCACACACTCTGCAAACAGACAGTGGCATAATGATGTCAAGGGCCTCAAGACGGTCACTGTCCTGTCGCAACTGCAGATTGACGCTGTCAAGAGAAAGGGATATGTGAACCTGCGGTGTCTATGGGAGCCAGGATGTCCAACTTCACTCAATCCTCTCAACCCAACAGAGATAGATATCCAGAGGCAGGATGAGCGGGCCAAGATGCCTGAGATATACATGCAACTTTTCAACGTCACGAGGAACGAGGTCCCAGAACATATCGGGGGAGTCTGCTGCGCACAGTTCGCAGTGACTCGGGAACGAATCCGGGCCCGATCTCGGGAAGACTATATTCGGATGCGGAACTGGGCGCTGGAATATGATTTGACGAGCTTCAGTATCGGCTGGGTGTTTGAGCAGCTCTGGCACATCATCTTCATGGAGGAAGCAATCCAGTAAGAACCCCAGATTCCCCAATTTAGCGCTAGAGGTTTAGTCTAACGGTATACCTGCAGCTGTCCTTCCGAGACGCAATGCCGGTGTGAACTTTATGGAATATGCACTCTATAACTGAATTTTCAGGTAACAGGGGCAAAGAAATACGCGTCACAGATGATGGGAGTCTTCGAGTGGCGGGAAATTGAGCAGGAACGCATGGGGGAAAGGAATACGAGGCGACACCGGCCTCAACCGTCGATATCGAAGGTGCAAATTGAGGTGAAGAGCCAGGAGAGTTTCGGCTGGCTGCTGGCTGGCATCCATGACCACCATGTGATGTGCCTGAAGGGAAGGTTATCCAGGGGCGCTGATTCGATAAATTACTTGATAGCCCGGAGTTAGTGGCGTTGTACAGCATTTTTGGTTATTGGCGTAGGATAGCGAGCGATGGAAGAGGAGCATAGAATAGAATTGAATCATTCTTCACATAACAAACGACTAAGTAGATATCTCTATATCTAGATGTCTTTAATGTCTTTACTATCTTGATGTCTGTCTATGTCTGGTCGCTCTGGGGAAGTTCGGTCACGTGTTTTAGTCATCATCTTACTAAGCAAAGTGGGTGATTTGCAGTGTTTGCCCGCACTAGTCCCGAAGCGACCAAGGCAGAAGCCCGCTGCGTTCAACGCTTCACCTTCCCGCCATCAAACCCTCCAGGAAACAACAACAACGACACACTGCGGCCTGTCCTGTTCTCTGTCTCTGGTGCTGGCCCTTCTGGCATCATCTGCCTGTGCTGCTGCTGATACTGCTCTCTACCTTGCTCGCCTTTGCGCGTCGGCTGTTGCTACACCTCTGTGAACGATCTCTCACTACTTAGTCAGTTGGCTAGGTCGAGGTGGCACAAAGATGAAGCTCACTTTTAGGGTATGTTATATGGCTCCTTGGATTGCATTGCAACTAGATATAGGTAAGATAATATGCTAACGTGTCTCTTATAACTACAGGATTTGAAGCAGCAAAAGTTTGTGATAGAAGCTGAGCCCTCTGAGACGGTCAGTTCCCCGCCATATTGCTTCTGGGGTACTTTTTCGATGGCGTTACTAACCCCCACCATAGATCGGACAGGTGAAGGAGAAGATAGCTCAGGAGAAAGGCTGGGATGCGGCACAGCAGAAACTAATATATTCAGGCCAGTAGCCATTTTTGCCGATTTCGCTGGTTTTATTTTTTTTTGGGTCAACTCGATTTTGGGCTCTGAGCTAACCCCGTATACATACAGGCAAAATTCTACAAGATGCCAACACTATTGAATCATACAACATCGAGGAGAAGGGGTTCATAGTGTGCATGGTGTCAAAGGTATATTCTTCAACTTATCTCTCCGGTTTTGTTTTAGTTGCTAACTCATAATCTAGCCAAAACCTGCACCCTCTGCCTCAGGCTCAGCGGCGTCCTCATCCTCTCAGACACCTGCCGCTCCACCATCTGCTCCAATCCCCGCTACGCCTTCAGCTCCAGCTCGGGCAAATGTTACCGCCTCAGAGACTCCGGCCACTCCCTCGCCTGCTGGCGGTGCTGCCTCAGGTGCGACCTTCAATGACCCCTCCGCCCTTCTTATGGGAAACCAGGGACAGGAAGCGATCACTCAGATGGAGGCCATGGGTTTCCCAAGAAGCGACATCGACCGTGCCATGAGAGCTGCTTTCTTCAACCCCGATCGTGCCATTGAATATCTTCTAAACGTACGTCTTGTGCTACAACCTCACTCTGCGTGGGCCGATTACTAATTTTTCTCAGGGTATCCCCGAAGAATCCGAGCGTGAACCCCCAAGCGCGCCACCAGCAGGGTCTTCCCAAGCTCCTCCTGTAGCTGCCGGTGGTTCAGGTGGTGCGACCGACTCTCAGGTCCAAGAATCTCTAAATCTTTTTGAACAAGCCGCTGCACAGGCTGGTGGAGGCGGCGCTGGCCGTGGTCGTGGTGCCGGTGCGGGAGAAGGTGCTGGCAGCTTAGGCAATTTGGAATTCTTGCGAAACAACCCCCATTTCCAACAGCTACGTCAGCTCGTCCAGCAGCAGCCACAGATGCTTGAACCTATCCTTCAGCAGGTCGGCGCCGGAAACCCTCAACTCGCCCAATTGATTGGCCAAAACCAAGAGCAGTTCCTACAGTTGCTTAGCGAAGATATCGATGACGAAACACAGATTCCCCCAGGGGCTCAATCCATCAGCGTAACGGAGGAGGAGAGAGATGCAATTGAGAGAGTAAGATACATCCACCTATACCCATTTTGTTCGGGCGTATATTGACTCGTTTCCTTTTAGCTTTGCCGATTAGGCTTCCCCCGCGACTCTGTCATCCAGGCCTACTTCGCATGTGACAAGAACGAAGAGCTTGCGGCCAACTTCCTATTTGACCAGCCCGACGAAGGTGAAGACCAGCAATAGTTTTTAAGGAGTCTGCACCTTTGTTTCTTGACCTATTCCACCATCCCCTAAGCGCCCGTCAAATAGTCCAGATAACCATTCATCACACATCTCTATCATATCACTCCTGACTCGACCCAAAGGCTTGAACTACATACTTTAATCTCAAAATGGCATGAAATGAATGACATGAATCCAATATTAACCCTGATATCCCAAGGGAACGAATTTCAAGGCTTCTTCACAAATGATAATAGCGCAGATATGTATTTTAACAAGATAACGCCCCATGATCGGTCACCCCCTCCGTCCGTCCACGCTGCCACATACCAATGCCATGCCAATCAAATCAGTGTATAACTCAGTATTCGGAATTTTACTTTTACCTATTTCTTCAGTTTGCATCTTAATCCTCTCGTTCTCCTTGCCATTCTTGCTAAGGTGTTGTGGAAAATTGGATCGTCCTTGTTATTCGTTCATTCCGCTCGCAAGGGCCCCCTATTGTGGCTTATTCCATCAATCTTATTTCTTATCATCGCCACAAGCTGCACTGCTGGGCATGCTGTTTCATGAATAGCCAAAATCCATTTCTCAAGTACGTAAAGAAGATTACTCGGTTTCCTACCTGTTCGGATCTCTGGCATAAGCACAAAAAACAAGACGAGTTACCACGAAACTTTTAAGGTTTTTTTTTGTACATTCAAGTGGCATGGCAAGGTCATATTCCATTAATCCCTAATATAATGTCGTAACTTTGACATTATCGCCTGTACATACATGCATATATAGTTATAGTCTCTATACTACTTAGCATGGTCGAGTAACAAGCCAAACAGCTAAACCATATCTGCCAAATACCTGCGTCAAAGCGCCGATTAACCCATCATCACCAGGGTCAAAATCGTCCATGTTAATGTGTCGATCATACTGCCACAGTTTATGTAGTCTGAGATCGCGTTTGGTATCGGCTGCTTCATCGACGCCGCCGTCAGGGACGATGAATTGATCAAGATAGGGATTCGACCTAGGCGCAACGAGGAGCGTAAGGTCGCCATCTATCTTTATCTTCGGGACACCATGCGAGAATTCAAATGGGTTCGTGTCCGCCACACACTTGGGTACTGCCCTTATAGCCTCTTGATGGAATTCTGGCCTCGGTATGCCTTTTAGATCTCGCGTTACGATCGAGAACTCACTCCCGTCATCCCCTAGTAGCCAGAGAGGCGGCGAATATGACTTCCACCATAACACCGTCACTGTTCGGTTGGCTCCGGGAGTTTCTAGTGGAGGTACTGACTCCGCGAGCAGAGCTGGGATGTGTACCTGTGCTGGAACCACGCCACCTTGATGGTATATACCCATCAGAGCGCCAAGGGTACAGTTAAATAGTATCCACGCAGCTAGGAACGTGCGTGATCTTGGAGGCCTGAAGCAGGTGAGCAGCAGAGGAACGCAAGGCATCAGGAATCGAGCTTCCTGGTGAGGGAATATAGAGATCACGGCTGCTCCGCATATGGCGGAGTATGCACGTATATTTCGCAGGTTGAAAGTAGGCGACGTCGCTCCCTTGGTGAGGACGGACCAGATGGATACGACGTACGCTGGCCCGAGGAGTAGTGGGAGGTTGACTAGGAAATGCTGATATCGGGCGTGTAGGCCATGGCTGGCCAGATTGGATGTGTCAGAGTTGTAGAGCAGGTTGTTGAGAGGAGTGATTATTGGGTGGCTGATGAAGCCGGAAAAGGTCTCGGGGGAGGTATAGAAGGTGGTATCAATTGCAACGGCGAAGAAGGAAAATAAAAGCCCAAAGAATGCAAGAGAAATGAATGAAAAAGGCCTATATTCATTAGTCTTTACATTATTATAGTTATAAAGGTAGACTTACTTGTTAATAAAATGGGGCACTAATTGAAGTGCGGGTATCATGATGAAAGCTGGAAAAGTAATCCTGTTAAAAACCCCAATGACAGCGACAAGAGAGAGGAATGCGCATGTAAAGACGGATGACCGATGCTGCCAACTGTTAGCTTAAGCCATTGGGAGAGAGAGAGTAGGAAGTACCTTATTCTCCACGATGCGCTGGATCAAGACCAAACTCCATAGAACTAGCAGCGTCTCGAGGGAGTTGGAGAACGTATGCGTCTGGTACGTCCAAGTGACATAGGACGATGCAACCAGAACCACGGCCTGTCGCCTCCGTCGCGGATTCGGGACCAGCTCATGTATCGCCCAGTCCTCCAGTATGAGACTGAGCAGGAACATGGTAAAGCGCAGGACATAGTATATCAGTTGCGGCGGCGGGTTGCCATTCCCGTTCTCTGCCCACAGCCACTTGAGCAGCGTCATCGGAAGGCCGTAGACGAGCCATAGCGGGAAGATGCTGCGTATCGGATTTTCGGAGGTGAATTCCCATGTCAACAGCGACGGATAGGAGAACAGACGGCCTACCGAGACGGCTACCAGTTAGCAACGGTGACAACGGTAATAACAGTAACAACGGTAATAACGGTGCTGGGTTAGGATATGTGGTGGGGGAACTCACCAGCAAACAGCTCCGGGCCCTGGAAGTTCTCATCTGGGTGAATATAGCTTGGAGAGAGAGCAAAGTAGACGCGCACCAGCAGGAGCAGCAGATATGTTCTTCGCCTCCACATCTTGTCCGCCAGCCTCAGAGTGCACTGCTGTTCTTGTTCTGCGACGGGCTCATCAGAGTGACCATGCCTGTAAAGCCACAGCAGCTAGTCAAAGCAGATAAAGCAGATAAAGACGATAAAGGACTCTATCTAGAGAGTAGTTTCAACTCGATAAAGACCGCGCATGGTAGAGGAGAGAAAAACCGACGCGCTGGAAGGGGAGAAAGAAGAGGAAGAAAAGAAGACGAGGGATAGAAGAAGTAATTATGACCCGGCGAAGGATTGGAGAGGAAACGTCTCTTGAATGAAGGTAGGAAAAAGTATCTCCAAGGAGAATGACAGCCAATTACAGGGGCAGCTCACATCAGATTGCAAGGAGGAAGCTTTTCAAAGGAGATCGATACAAATGGACTATCGTGAATAATCCTTGCAAGGGGATCGAGCACCGTATTTATGCTCTTGGTGGATTCCGCGGTTATATCTACAAAGTAAGGACTATGAAAGGAGTGTATGAGTGCAGTCCTGCCAGCATCCTGTCTCTGCGATGCAGCATCTAAAACCTGGCATTCAAGATGCAGCTGGATACGAAGCCTAGATATGCCCCTGGATCGCTATTGAACAGCCGAAAGGTTAACGATATCTTGGCTGTAACGAGTGCTGAATCGTCTTTATACGAAGTATTGATAATGTCATGATATCGTAATATCATAATATTGATAATATTGATAATACTGGGCAGTCTTACCGCTGTTAACTGGTAATCAGGATGACATATAACAACCAACATTTGACTGTCTGGTACCAGTTCCCATGGTTGAGCTGGCATGACCCTTGGATAGCAAGTAGCCTTCTACCTGAAGTTTTATACTCCGTAGAGAGCCAGATAATGGTTGATGGTTGATGTTTGCCTGTTCCATACAAATAACAGCAGGCTTCCATCATAACGTCATAGACTTATCCCTTATCCGCAGCCTTATACTCTATACTCTACTCTATAGTGTTATACTCTATAGTGTCATATACTGTTATACTATAGTGTTGTGTTGGGTGGTCATGTGATGCTGCCTCCCGCTTTAACTGCGGCGGGTTCTGCCTTCTCTTCTGCTTCCAGGACAACAAGTTTACCTTCACCTTCACTTCTGCCTGCTCGATATCGCTGTCAAGATCCATATCTTTTCCTGCTCCCGCTCTGCTCTGCTCTCTCGAGTTGTCTCCATAGCATCACCGCATCGCATCACTGCCACCGGCTTCTACTTGGTGGGCTACCTCCTCCGCACCCGGCATATCCTTCCGCAGCTTCCATACTGATTACCGCTGTCTTCTCGTGAATAGAACAAGCATCAGCTCAGACTCCAGAGACAGTTACAGCTCAAGTTACAGCTCCGAGACTCTGTTAAAGATGGCTGCCACGGCCACCAGCAAGATTACATTGACCAGCTCCGATGGAGTCGAGATCACTATCGGTATGTTGTCCGCCTCCCTCGGCCTGTCTAGGCATCCTTGTTATGGTGTTGTGTTTGACGGTGCTGACTCCGGAGACGATAGAACGCCAGGTAGCTGAGCGCTCCATCCTAATAAAGAACATGCTCGAAGATTTGGGTGACTCTGGAGAAGCCATTCCTATTCCTAATGTATGTCAAAGGACGCTCGATTATACCTGATACCTTGCTAATATGTATCCCCCCAGGTCAACGAGTCTGTCCTCAAGAAGGTTATCGAGTGGTGTGAGCACCACAAGGGCGACCCCCCAAGCACAGGCGACGACGACGTTGACTCTCGACGCAAGACCACCGACATCGACGAGTGGGACCAGAAGTTCATGCAGGTTGACCAGGAGATGCTCTTTGAAATCATCCTCGTACGTTCCGCCGATGTCTGCGCTACAGACACGCAATTTATTTTCTAACGTGGATGTAGGCTGCAAACTACCTTGATATCAAGGCTCTCCTTGACGTCGGATGCAAGACCGTCGCCAACATGATCAAGGGAAAGTCCCCAGAGGAGATCAGAAAGACCTTCAACATCCAAAATGACTTCACTCCAGAGGAGGAGGATCAGATCCGCCGTGAGAACGAGTGGGCCGAAGAGTGAGTTCGGAATCCAGCCAGCCTCTTTCTTCTCCAAGTCTAGTGCTAACCGTGGAAGTGGAATGGTAGTCGTTGACCGAAGGTAACACCATTATCTCCCCTTCCCCGCGGTTTGATCTGGCATAAAACGACGTCTACGCGAAACACGAGCCTCTCTTTAAAACGCCATTCCCTTACCCGGGTTGTGCTGTTTTTTTATTCCGCATCCCCATTCTTTCCAAAACATGCACTATCATCAATCTTTTACTTTTTTAAAGGACACAAGGCTCAGTTGCTTCTACTTCATGTCTTTGTTTCCTGCGATATGAGAGGCGTTTGGTTCCCCGTGGGCTGTTCTATATGAATTTACTTTCTTTCATTCGGAAGTTCCTCCTACCCCTCACTCTCCTCACCTTACCTCATCTTATGTCAACTCCGTAGAAATGGGCTGCATTCTATCTTATTAAAAAAAAACACCGGAGGGTAAAAATAACGTTTTACGACTTTTACATCATTACTCCTCGTCCAAAGTAGGCGTTTGTTTTACAGTATACTATCTACGCATGTGGTCTAATATGCTATAGGTCCAAGTAAAGAGAGCCAACCTCAGTCAAGGTAGCAGGACCAAACAAATTTTAGCCACAGAGGAAAATGTATTTTAACCTTTTTTATCTTCATAAACTATCCTCATGATACAACCAACCACATCCTCTCAGAATCTTCCCAGCATATTTATTTTCCCATGCTCATTTCCATCCGGTCTCCATCTGTAATCATTCACAAGGCGAGAGCGTGATGGACGACGTTTTGCTGCGTGGTTTTTGTTGGCTATGGTAGGCCATGATGGATCGTCGGGGGGAGGCAGGGGGAACACGGAAGAGGAGAACAAGGTGCCAACGCAGGTAGAAGGGTCGCGTGAACTTGTTGGGTTGGGTTGAGTGATGCGTTTAGATTCCGAGACGGGTCTTGCGCCAATGTCTTCGCTTAGCGTTGTATCTGTATTTGACTGGTTAGATGGTTGTTCATTAGGTAGATGGGGTATGTGGTTTCGCGGTTCATGAGGATGTGTGATGTGATCTGTGTCTGGACCTGGCCGGACCTGTATGCCGGCCCAAGTTGTTTCGAAATCTCCGGTCAAGGCCATAATATCATTTCGATAGTCGAGTGCGTGCGGCTCATTCCGTCCAGCCGATGAAAAAAAAATGCAGCCTTATCCCGTCTTGCCATGACAGCGTCGAATAATCCAGTCCTTCATCCGGTTCGAAATATCGCTCTCATACCATCCCTCGGCCAGACACATTTCACATCTTCACTCCTCGAATCACTCGAAACCACCAAGACTAAACAAACGGAGTAATATACCTGATCGTGTTGCCGGTTCTCAGCCGAATCCATTGTGGGATTGGTCTGTTCTGCTTCTGGGCTTTGGCAAGCTTCTGCTTGGTGCGGAAAGACTTCTGGCTCTGTAGACGGCAAAACAGCACTTGTCAGTATGCAGGGACAGTCATAGCTAGTAGCACGTATCCAGGAACCCTATGAGTTCTACTTACAGGCATTTTGACTGATTTCTGACTGTCGCGTCTTTGGTGTCTTGAGCGTGCGACAAGGCGAAGTTGGTGGTTCAGAGTGAAGACGAAGTTTTGTGTGGAGTGGACTCGCTTGCTGTATTCGGATGGCGAGGTCACGTGCATGCTTGAACTTAACTTTGTCGTCGTCGATATCAAAGTCGAGTTGGACGTCACCAACATCATTTCTACATGTTGGCTGCTTGTTGGATGGCTTATACGGTTACGTGGCCTCTGGAACGGATATCGTTCAGCCGTTGATCCTATTGTTCCTAATACTTCAGGTTCTAACTCCGTAACTACTCGGGACATACGGAGTATACTCCTGTAAGGCGTTTGGGATCCTTCCGATGGCACTTTCTTTCTATTCCAATGCAATCAGGATCCTCTCATCCTCGCAGTTGTCATATTCCTTGATGATCGAGCTTCACGGGTTCCTTGCGTGGGTCACGGCTGGAACCGGGCTCTCCAGGATACTCCGTATGCCAGGAGTTTTCAATAAATGAAGCATCACCAACTCCGTGAGTGTCAGAGACAACGCCAATGATAATTTACTACTCCGTACTCCCATCTTTGGCCAGAGATGACAGCGGATGAGCCGAAATGATAACAAGAAAGCTTGACCAAGCCGTATTTTTAGATTAAGGTATCGGACGCCACCAGCTTCATAAATCCTCCATCCCACGCCTCCCAACAACCAGATCGCCTCGGCTTGAAATAGGGGTTGGCCGGACACGACCCCTGAGCCTCAAGGGAGCACCACTAACGTAATAATGGTTAGGGCAAGGGGAGCATCGGCATTTTGTCAGTCTCAACCTCCGCTGCCTCCAAGCGAGCGGAGTCAAGCTTGGGTTTAGCGCAAGAGCCTCCGAGCTCAGGTTTATTCGGTTGATCGATCGGCTGCCGAAGCTCATGCGGTAAAGTGCAGACGATCGACAGCACAACACTACGACTGCTACTACTGCTGCCCTGTACTACTATAGCCACCACTCCGCTTCGGTGAACGAATTCAGAATTGAGGATCAAGCTCGCCACATGTCGTGAATATTGCCCATATGCACGCCTTCCCTCAGCAGCCGGGGATACAGATATGAAAAAATGGCTGCCTAGTCGGGATCGGATAGATTGAAGATGCGATGGGTACAAAAGTACGGGCGTACGAGCATACCATCACTAAGCAACAGGGTCCCTTCACGTTAAGCTTTCATGCGCGGTAACCAGCAACGTATTTACTTCGCTGCCTGGCGCTCCTTGCAACGTCTCGTGGCCGCCTGAAACTCACAAAACAGCCAGCCGGAATTAGCTCGACATACCTGGTCAAATACGACCCATGCCCGAAAGCAGAAATCGTTGCGGTTGAATCGTTCGCTAACCCGTATCCGAGATGACTCAACTTCGTTTTTCGGATGCATAACTTTGTGTCCGTGACGGTATTTTACGCACATCAGCACCAAGTTTGTTGGTGTAACGAGGCTGTTTGGGTAAGGGGCATACTGCCCGCCAGCGCCTTGACACCAACACTAAGGGAAAGCGAGAAGAGCTCTCGCATAAGCTCGCTCGCATGGTCAAGCAGCCAACCAACGGTGACGTAAGAATGGATTATGAACGTGTCGGAGACATAGGTCGGATACATCTACAGGGGAGGAAAAGTACTACTCCATACCGGATCTATGGGGCAGCCGAAAGGATGGGAAACCTGGCGTTTCTCGGGCTGGGCTAATTTTTGATGATATAAGGACTAGCTTGTCTCGCTCTCCCTACCCGGCTTGTCGCTTGATTCCGTTGCATATAAGCTCGGTCGGTCACATATCTCGAATTCCTTGATGGGATAGTCGTCGCTTCGAACGCTGTCCTGCTACATTGAGTAGTGGCGACGTTTATTTTTTTTTCAATCCTTGTCAACTTTTAAACTTGAACACTGCATGTTCTGACCTGCAGAACGCTTCACTCTCCCACCCCCTCCCTCTTAAAGAGGCGATATCCCCCATTTTACTTGTCATTTTCTGTCAAATAAGCCAAGATGGGTGAATTAAGCGAAAAGTCGAATACCCAAGACATCCAGGTCAACAAACAGGAAACCCAGAAATCCCCTTCAGCGGCTTCCTCTGTTACAGATAAAGGGAAACATGCGAAAAAGAAGGTCGATTCAGACGCTGCAAAGGGCAAGCCTGAAGGGGACCTGGATGCTACTCTTGCCCATCTGCCCGAACATGAACGAGAAATTCTAAAAGAGCAACTTGTTATCCCAGAGGTTAAGGCCACCTATGGCACGTTGTTACGATATGCCACAAGGAATGACATGATACTGCTTGGTCTCGTCTCGCTGGCTTCTATTGCTGCTGGTGCTGCCCTCCCGCTCTTTACGGTATGTCGTACCCAGATTCTGAAACTATTGGTTCAACATTGACAGTGTGATAGGTTCTCTTTGGTTCCCTTGCCGGGACGTTTAGAGATATTGCCCTCCACAGGATTAGCTTTGACGAATTCAATAGCATTTTGGTCAGGAATTCTCTGTACTTCGTCTATCTTGGAATTGCCCAATTCGTTCTTCTCTACCTGTCCACCGTTGGGTTTATCTATGTTGGCGAACACATCACTCAAAAAACGCGCACGAAATACCTACATGCTATTCTACGCCAGAATATCGGGTTCTTCGACAAGCTCGGAGCCGGAGAGGTTACCACCCGTATCACTGCGGATACCAATTTGATCCAAGATGGAATATCTGAAAAGGTCGGCCTGACCTTGACCGCTGTCTCAACCTTCTTTAGCGCGTTTATCATTGGTTACATCAGGTATTGGAAGCTTGCCTTGATCTGCAGTTCGACTATTGTTGCCATGGTTTTGGTTATGGGTGGCATATCTAGGTTTGTCGTCAAGGCTGGAAAGATGAGTTTGCTAAGTTACGGCGAAGGAGGCACTGTCGCGGAGGAGGTAATCAGCTCTATTAGGAACGCCACCGCTTTCGGTACACAAGACAAACTTGCCAGACAGTACGAAGTCCATTTGAAGGAAGCTAAGAAGTGGGGGACGAGACTTCAGATGATGCTCGGCATCATGTTTGGTTCCATGATGGCAATCATGTACTCAAACTACGGCTTGGGTTTCTGGATGGGCTCGCGCTTCCTCGTCGGCGGAGAAACGGACTTGTCGGCAATTGTCAACATCCTGCTCGCAATCGTCATCGGCTCTTTCAGCCTAGGCAACGTTGCTCCCAACACACAGGCCTTCGCATCCGCTATCTCTGCAGGCGCTAAGATTTTCAGTACTATTGACCGCGTATCCGCAATCGATCCCGGTTCCGATGAGGGTAAGACCCTCGACAATGTTGAGGGAACGATTGAATTCCGTGGCATCAAACATATATACCCATCTCGACCTGAGGTTGTTGTCATGGAGGATATTAATCTAATTGTGCCCAAGGGTAAAACCACTGCCCTTGTAGGCCCTTCTGGATCTGGGAAAAGTACCGTTGTCGGCTTGCTCGAGCGGTTTTACAACCCAGTGGCTGGTACTGTTCTGCTTGACGGCCATGATATCAAGACCTTGAACCTTAGGTGGCTACGCCAGCAAATTTCCCTAGTTAGCCAAGAGCCAACCCTATTTGGAACCACTATCTTTGAAAATATCCGACTAGGCCTCATCGGTTCACCTTTCGAAAATGAATCCGAGGAGCAATTAAAGGTCCGCATCGAAAACGCAGCGAAGGAGGCGAATGCCCACGACTTCATTATTGGATTACCGGAAGGCTACAAGACAGATGTTGGACAACGTGGTTTCCTCCTGTCTGGCGGACAAAAACAACGTATCGCCATTGCTCGCGCAATTGTCAGTGACCCTAAGATTTTGTTGCTTGACGAAGCAACCTCTGCTCTTGATACCAAGTCCGAGGGTGTAGTCCAGGCCGCCTTGGATGCCGCTTCACGAGGAAGGACCACTATAGTCATTGCCCATCGTTTATCCACCATCAAGACTGCCGATAACATTGTGGTCATAGTCAGCGGCCACATCGCTGAGCAGGGTACCCACGACGAGCTAGTCGATAAAAAGGGCACATATCTCCAACTCGTCGAAGCTCAAAGAATAAACGAGGAGCGTGATGAGGAATCCGAGGACGAGGCGATAATCGAAAAGGAAAAGGAAATCTCACGCCAGATTTCTGCTCCTGCCAAAAGTGTGACATCCGGAAAATACCCTGACGACGACGATGTCGAAGCCAATCTAGGGCGCATTGATACGAAAAAATCACTATCAAGCGTAATATTATCACAGAAACGTCCAGAGAAGGAAACCCAATACTCCCTCGGCACATTGATAAAGTTCATCGCCAGTTTCAATAAGCCAGAGAGATTCATAATGTTCTGTGGTCTCATCTTCGCTGTTCTTTCTGGTTCCGGACAGCCTGTGCAATCCGTCTTTTTCGCTAAAGGAATCACAACCCTTTCTCTCCCACCAACCTTGTACGACAAACTACGACATGATGCGAATTTCTGGGCTCTGATGTTTTTAATGTTGGGGCTTGTCCAGCTAGTAACCCAATCTGCTCAAGGTATAATTTTCGCGATTTGCTCTGAGAGCTTGATTTACAGAGCAAGAAGCTTGTCCTTCCGCGCTATGCTTCGACAAGATATCGCCTTTTTCGATCTTCCCGAGAACAGTACTGGTGCTTTGACTTCCTTCCTATCCACGGAAACAAAACATCTCTCTGGTGTAAGTGGTGCCACACTTGGAACAATCATGATGGTCAGCACTACATTGACTGTCGCGTTGACGGTTGCCCTCGCTTTCGGCTGGAAGCTCGCACTTGTTTGCATTTCCACCGTCCCTGTACTTCTTCTCTGCGGATTCTATAGATTTTGGATCCTTGCGCAATTCCAAACGAGGTCTAAGAAGGCATACGAGTCTTCCGCAAGTTATGCATGCGAAGCCACGTCCTCTATTCGCACCGTTGCGTCGCTTACTAGGGAGAAAGGCGTTATGGAAATCTACGAGAGTCAGCTTAACGCCCAAGCAAAGAAGAGCTTGAGGTCCGTTGCCAAATCCTCACTTCTCTACGCTGCATCACAATCATTCTCATTCTTCTGTCTTGCGCTTGGCTTCTGGTATGGTGGTGGCCTCCTTGGAAAGGGAGAGTATAACGCTTTCCAATTCTTCTTATGTATATCCTGTGTCATTTTCGGCTCACAATCAGCTGGAATCGTGTTCTCCTTCTCTCCAGATATGGGCAAGGCCAAGAGCGCGGCTGCAGATTTTAAGAAGCTTTTCGATCGAGTACCCACCATCGACATTGAGTCACCAGATGGCGAAATGCTTGATACTGTTGAGGGAACTATTGAGTTCCGTGACGTACATTTCAGATATCCCACACGCCCAGAGCAACCAGTGCTCCGAGGCCTCAACCTTACCGTCAAGCCTGGCCAATATATCGCGTTGGTAGGACCCAGCGGATGTGGAAAGAGTACTACAATTTCACTTGTGGAACGGTTCTACGACACGCTATCAGGCGGTGTTTACATTGACGGCAAAGATATCTCGCGATTAAATGTCAACTCCTACCGAAGCCATCTGGCGCTCGTCAGCCAGGAGCCAACCCTCTACCAAGGCACAATTAGGGAGAACGTCCTCCTCGGAATCGACAATGACAACATCCCTGACGAACAGGTTTTCGCAGCCTGTAAAGCCGCCAACATCTACGACTTCATCATGTCTCTACCCGATGGATTTGGCACAGTTGTCGGAAGCAAAGGAAGCATGTTGTCTGGTGGCCAAAAGCAACGTATCGCAATCGCTCGAGCTCTCATCCGGGACCCGAAAGTCCTCCTCCTCGACGAGGCTACATCGGCGCTAGACTCTGAATCCGAACAGGTCGTTCAAGCTGCTCTTGATGCTGCTGCGAAGGGCCGAACGACCATTGCAGTTGCTCATCGTCTTAGCACCATCCAGAAGGCAGACGTTATCTATGTCTTCGATCAAGGACGCATCGTCGAGAGCGGTACTCACCATGAACTCCTCCAAAACAAGGGCCGATACTACGAGCTCGTCCACATGCAAAGTCTCGAGAAGACTCATTAATACCATACCCACCACACCTTGCACATATCCTCTTTCCCATTGCATTTGCATCATAATATTTCATCTTCTTTCTTTTCTTTTAGCCAGCTGGCAGAAAAGTACTTACATCCACACTTTTCCGTATATATATTGGTGAATATTCCCACCTCACTCCTGTACATTTGTTTTAATCTCTAAATATTTTGGCCCCTTTTGTTTATATTACATGTTAGGCGTTTGGATTTGACTGGGAAGATTTTACCCATTGGGCGACAAAGTCGCCAATACCTGCATATAGATCAAAAATTAAAAATGAAATATCATATTAAATATCATGCATCCAAAACACTTGTATCACTTATATTGTTTTTAGAAATAATGAAGACCTCTTATGATTGTCTGCCATTAATCAAATCAAACTATATACGGAGTAGGCAGTTGTCAAATTGTTTAATATCGCAGAGGGCGAAGCATCATCCCAGGCCAAGCTTCCCAAGCCACGCTATGAGGCTACTCTTACTTCGCCACGAGAGCGATGTCTATACAACCAACTCCGTCGCCATCGTTAAACATGGCATCCCGACGAAATCACATCTCAATTATATATTAAAAGATGACAGCTACCAATTCCGCCACAGATTCCCAAGCTGCGGAGACCTCTCAGCCATCTCAATCAAGATGCTCGCCCTACGAACGACCCCGGGTGGAAGCTATTCCCTTAAAGAAACCAACACTCACGCCGAAAGAGGCTAAAAAGAAGAGAAAGCAAGAGGAAAAAGAAGACAAGGAGCGCTTCAAGGAATACTATGAAGCGAGAGATAAACGGCTATATGAAGGGTGTGTATATGACTGAACCGCATTTCATATATACTTGTCGCTGACTGATGGAATTAGCTCTACTGCTGGGTATCTTGCCGGCTTTTACAAAGGGAAGAAGGGATGGGCCTGGCGTTTATGAAGAGTTAACCGCTTTCGAAGAGTGAATGGCGTTGAGAAGAGTGAATGTTTCGACAGCCACAAAGTCCAGCAACTTTGGCCTATACCCTCCATGTTCGAACCACATCTTCTCCCCCATCGACCCCTTCTACTTCGACTTCCCATTTTCCCGATGAAGAGTTAATCCCAACTCTCATTGTTGATGCGTATGCATCTCCTGACGTGAAGCACGCCACAACGAGACAGATCGCCATCTATATCTTCTGACTGTGATGACCTATTCGACTCTGCCTCATCTATAAACCCCCTATTTGGAGTACGGCTATTCTTCCATATACGCAGTGTCCGGCTATCATCAGATCCGGGCAGTGACAGAAGCTAAGATACAGGTGGACTTGGTACTTATCGAAGTACCAGAGAGCAGAAGCTCCAGCCCAGTATGTTTGAGATAGTGACCATTTCTATTTAGTAATATAAATAAAGTGGATAAAAACGACTGATGTACTTACTGTAATTCTCTAAAAATATATACACACTTATGTCAATATTAATCATTAGCTGTAGGAATTCTTATATTTTACTGGGGCCGTCGTACTTAAATTATGTTAAAATGGCGGGACTCTCGGCGTTTACGGTAGTTGCTTAGGGAAATAGTTAACTCCATCTCTGTCACTCTTACTGCCATCTATCTTTACGATTTATTGATTAATTCACCTGCATGCACCTGTATAAGCAACTGCACAGTCTCGTGGCGAAACGCGAAAAATGCAGGGAGCAAGAGTGTGGCTGGGGAGATCAAGGCAGACATCTCTCACACAGCCTTCTCGTCCTATCCTTAGACGTTTAAGTATGAAGGGCAGTGAATGCCCCGAAAGACCGAGTCAACACTTTCAGTGAGCAGCATAATACTTCCTTACACTCTGATGTCTCTCAAGTGAGCAAGTCCATGTGACTGCAGCTGTTTGTCGCCTCAAGATATTCTGCACCAGCATCTTGCAATACCCTCAGAGGAATAAACAGCGTCCATATACCTCGCTATTTTAGCCATACCGTGTCGGTGACAATGTCTCATGTCCGTCATTGTCCGGAGTTCCAATTAGCCCGCGCTGATTCGAAAAATCCAGCGACTACCTGTCAAGGGCTTACAGCCGACGGGCGAAGATGTCGACGAACTGTGATACCTGCGTCGAAGAAGCCAAATAACAAGCAAGGAAACGGCAGCAGAGGAGATCCCATTATCGTTCAAATCCCGGAGGCCCTGTTCTGTTGGCAGCATCAGGGTCAAAATGGGGCGTCATCTCCTACGAAGCCCACGGCTTCAAGGCTGAAGGGTCGATCCAGTCTAGATACCCTCATCGAGAGAGTTGGTGTCTTATCTATGGACGAAGTACGACCCGTACGAGGTAGTACAGTTGCATCTACAAGGAATATCGATCGAGACCGCCGCCGCCGTTCAAATAATGAACTCCGCGACTTCTCGTCCAGGAGACGGGAGGAGGAAGAGGAGGCCGATGTAGCCTCCCTGAATATTCCAAAGGAGCCAAAGAGTAAATCAAAGCAGAGACTGAAGTTCGTTTGTTTTTTGGCCCCCGTTGAAGACGATGATGAACACCGCGCTGCCCGCGTGAAGCAGTCTCGCCGAAGCTCTCATGCCCGGGCGACCTCGAGCGTCCACCAGCCTGTCTCACGGCCTCCGCAAAACATGGGCCGTCCACCTGCAAGTTCTGGAAATGAACCAAGTTCCCGTCACAGATCTAGTATGGGAGAAATCGCTCCGTCAAGGAAAGCGAAACGCCTGTCGACATCCGAGTCGGCATCACTGCCAAACCACCAGACTTTACGCCCCACCATGTCCACCCATCGTGGATTATCCCAAACGGAATCTCTTCTTTCGTGGATTCCATCGAGCCTATCACCAGAAACCACTTCAAAGCTACTCCAGAAACTCTCGGAGCCACTCTCAGCCGCCGAAGAAGCCGGATATATCTACATCTATTGCGTGACGCCCAGCGATTTCCGGCCCCGAGCAGATGAAACCGCCTCGTTAATACCTTCATCCTCTAATCGCCGTGACGCCACTAGACGTACGAGCGACGTCATGTCCTCTGCGGGAATCGCGCCAACATCTCAGATTAAAAGACATGACCCAAACGGCAGCCATACAGCAAACACCATCATGCTAAAGATAGGGCGTGCCGTCAACGTCTGTCGGCGACTGACCCAGCAATGCTCTCATAACCTTACATTAATCCGCTACTACCCTTACCATCCGTCGTCTGGAACTGAATCCAGTCTTCCACAGAAAGCTCCAAATGTGCACAGGCTAGAGAGACTGGTACATCTTGAGTTGGCTGATATACGGGTTAAACCTGGCAAACCGTGTGACGAGTGTGGGAAGAAGCACCAGGAGTATTTCGAGATCGAGGCGAGTAGGGACCAGCTCAGGAGGGTAGATGCTTGTGTTAAGAGATGGGTTGAGTATAGCCAGCTCAACCCGACGAGCTGAATATACTGATATCTTCCATATATGCCTGTAGAGTAACATTTCGTCTATAGAACCCGGCCTTTAAATACGAGCAGGTGTGGAGGTATATTACATCAATTATTAATATTGCATTCTCGCGTATGTACCCCGGACGTACCTACGTATATATATATGCAGCAACCCCGCTGGTCTCCAGCATAACCGAGACTGCTATACAACAAGCAACATCTGTCTCAAGTCTAAACATCTCGACAGTCAAACAAGATGGAAGGCCGCTGCCAGTGCTCGCAAGTCCGGTTCACGACTCCCCTCCCGAAGCCGCTGAAAATGTACATCTGCCACTGCACTGAATGTCGACACCAGTCGTCTTCCACGTACGGGATGACTGCCATCTTCCCGACATTTGACATTCCTGCTCCCTCGCCCGGCCAGATCGGCGTGTATACTCGTCCGACGGAATCTGGACGCCAGCTCGACTGTCTCTTCTGCACAAACTGCGGCTCCCGGCTGCTGCATAGGCCGCGCGGAGGAGAAACCGTGAGCGTCAAGGCCGGCTGTCTGCTGGCGCTGGACAAGGCGATGCTGCAGGATGCGGTGCACATCTGGTGCAAGGAGGCCGTGGTTGAGATCCCGGCGGGCGTAGTGCGCTGGGACGGGGAACCTGGAGGCGGCTCGTTTAGTTTGTAGTCAACCTTAGATATCGATGACGTCGACGGCTACAGCTCAAACTTGAAATAGCAACAACTTTCTTTCACGTTTAGTATATCTTCCACCTCTGCCCTTCTTTACACTCCTCCATGCTTGTTCCTTGTAACAGAAGGTGATTCAGAGATAGCTCAAGTGAATAAACAACCATGGGTCCTCCAAACACTGCCTCGCGTCCCCAATCCAACATATCGGCCATCGTCAGGTCGATCATCAACATCAGCAAAGCACTCGTCATCAACGCTTATACGGCCCTCTATGCATCTTTCAATGCCGTTCTCCCACAGCAGAAACGGGCAGAGATCCGAGCCGATCTCACAGCCTTCGCTCGGGCGCGTCCAATCCTCGCCTCGTTCTTAGCTTCCCAGACCTTCTTCTGCGGAATTCCAATCTTCCTATTCGTTATCCAGACGATTAGCGTGTTGATATTCTCTTTCACCACCGCACTGGTCCTTGCCTCGATTTGTGCAATTACATTTACGGCCATCTGTACCGGACTGGCATTGCTGGTTCTCGTGCCTGTTTTGGCCCTCACAGCCTTCGCCGGCGTCTCGGTTTGGTGTTGGGGATGGGTGGGATGGTGGGCTCTGGTGTCCTTTGGCTTCGTGCAGACTGGGCCTCCGCCAAAGAGAGGCGGTGCCGTGAGGAGTGAGGAGAATATGCCTATCGGAAGAGAGAGGCCGGTTGACGGATTCAACGGCATCAAAGTCCAAAAGGACGCAATCCCAACTTCTTAAACAAAAAGGTGTGAAGTGGAAACCATGGAGAATCAGGGGGTTAAGGTTGATATTATAAGGTACTGAATGGCTGTGATGGTGGCTTTCTTTCCCAAAAATTCACGAAAGGGATCAAATTGATATTCCTGCTCTTACGATTTCGGTGTATTAATAAAGCATCATTCTCTGCTATCAACTACCCAAGCTGGGTAAAGATTGCAGAAAATTGTAAAAAACATACAAATAATTTATCCTTGTTGATCAACTTATGAATCTGAACATTGAACAGGTCGGGTTTCCGTACTCATTGTACAATACCCTAAGCCAATCTCTTAGTATCACGTTAATCTGACTACTTAATATTGATGCTCAGTTATGTGTCAATGCGTTGGCATATCCTAGTTCATTCACGATATGCCCAATACTAGGAGCGTAAGAGTCAACAGCTAATCTATTGGTACTCCTTTCTAACAATATGAAGGGCGGGCAGCGATATGGCTTCTGAAGAGGCAATAGGGTATGTGCAGTTTTGTATATACCGAACCCAATACATCATCCAAGAGTTCGATCGAGTAGAGTAAGAGTTTCCTCGCGAAGCTCGCAAAGTTCAATCTCCAGGGCTTCATTGCGATCTAATGTCTCCTGCAGACAGTCTGCGAGTTTCGAAGACAGCTCATCCCCCTGGCTCTGCCCTGCTAGCATGCTTATGCTATCCTTCCAGTTGTCAAGATACATCGAGCTCTGTTGACTGAGAACTTCAACCATCGACTCTTTTAGTTGTAGCTTTGCCTGACACTCTGTCAAATCCACCTCGAGTTTCTCTTTTCTCGTTGCCCATTCCTTATAGACCGTCGAAAGACGCCCCTTCAGGCGGGCTTCCCTGTCTCGTGCATCACGTAGGGATTTCTGGCAATCTGCCAAAGTGCGGTCTGTTTCCTCCAACTTGGCTCTATACTTTGCATTAGACGAACCCATGTAGTCCAGCTGATCCTCCAGCTTGGTCTTGATCGTTTCCAGCTTCTCAATTGTCGCATCTCGTTCAGCCAACTCGGCGTGTAACTGGTTCAATTCTTCCTGTTGGGCTTCGGCTCTATCCTTTAACTCCTGGTTGGTTTCTAGAGTCTGCTGAAAATCGTGATGCATGGAGAATTCGGTTAGATTTTTAGACGGCTGTCGGATTTTCATGACGATCTTGCGAAGGATAGCCAGCTCCTTGGCAGTTTTCATGTTCTCCTCCTTAGCCTGGTCAAGGTACGACTTTGTAACCTCACATGCCTGGGTAAGCTGCGTCACGGCATCAAGGCAGCTGGCTTTGATTTCCTTCACTTCCTTGAACTGCTTATCCACTATCTCCTGGATAAGGTCCATCTCACGCTTCAGTACGTTGCCGATAGCCTCGAGGCGAGAGTTGTCTTGTGTCGCAGACGAGGCGCGTGAACGTTGCTTCTCCCTCCCTTTGATCGCTGTGACGAATTTGGTCTGCCAGAACATCTTTTCTGTAAGGAGAGTGTTTCGCTCTTGGACGATGTATCGAATTTCGTCGTCGAATTCATCTTGAAGGGCAGCCAGGTCATTGAGCCGGTTTTGTTCTGCATTCTCCAGAAGGAAGTCCACTTCTCTCGATGGAATCATACCCTGTTCGTCTTCTTCCTCTTCATCTTCGTTGTCGTCTGCTTCATCGTCCGCATCATCGTCCTGTTCCTCTCCAGTGTCCTCCATGTCCTCGTCCGCCTCTGCACTAATGTCAACCTCTACCTCCACGCTGACGTCCGCATCCACATCCACCTCTACCTCTATCTCTGCTGGATCTTCGTGTTCCTGGTTGACTTCACATTCTTGTTGATCATCCTTTTCTTGCTTTTCAGCTTGTGTATTGCCTCCTCTAGCCTGTTCGCTAAGATCGGGGCATCCCTTGAGCTGTTCTACTTCGACCTGTCCAGTAGGTCGCTCTTCGCTAGGGGCTGTCGAACAAACCCTCTTTGGAGGTGAAAATTCCTCGTTCCCGCCGTTATCTTCACTTGAACTGGCAGTGGAAACACCGGGGGTAGAGATGATGTTTCCAAGACCATGACCATCCAGTAGCGTTTCAGCCGCCCTCGAATCACGCACAGGTACATTTCTTATGGGGGTATTTTGGGCCTACCAGAAAGTTAGAGCCATCACTACCTCAAATCGTACCAGGGTAGATATCATACCTGGGCACCATTCCTAGGCTCACCGGTCTTGGTAGAGTCAGGCGACAGCCTAGATTTCATACGCTTGACTAATGTTCGAACACCGCCTTTACGGGGGGATGATACCCAATGATGCCACTATCTCTGTTAGCAACCACGTATAGGCGGATATGTAGCAAATAGTCCTCGGAATGCATACCTTGTCTCGACGACCTTCAGGAGTGGAGATCGGGTTATCTGGGTCGGGTAATACCATGGCAGATAGCGGCGTGAAGCCCCTCGGAGGCTATAATATAGGTTGTTCTGTAGGTAGGAGTGAAGAGAGTATTGAAGAATACGAGTTTTATGGCCGCGAGGCAGGTATTGGTAGGGTAGCATGTACCAAAGAGTCCGAGGTTTGTTAGGGAGCGTGAGTGTATAGTTGGAAGAAAGAGAGCGAGAAGAAAAGTTGCGGCATGAAGCCTGGTCCTTAAGTATTTCTCCAGACATAGCGCTAGTATAGCTTGCTATAGAGCTGATGGAATGTTTCGAGCAGCTTGTTCCTGATTCACTTGAGGTGATTCTAGCAACATGAATGCCTTTGTTGGGAGAACCTGAGAAAGGGTATCAAACAACGGATGGCTCCAAGAGCCAAAGGGTTGGAACAGTCCAAACAAGGCGCAGCTTGCATTGTTTGGCAGTCGTCTAAGTAATGTTCTGACATTGTCCATGGGGTGTAAAGAAGGAAAACTAGACATGAGGCTCTAGAATCTAGAGTATGAGAATCCTCGCTATCATGATAAAGCATCGTATATATATCATGGCTATCTAAGTATGATGAAATGCCATGCGTAGTCCTGGATCAGCGTAGCACTTGACTTAAATCATCTCATCCTACTTAGCCATCGATATAGTAGTAGTGTCAATAGTAGAGATGTAATAATTGTAGAGTAATGTAGAGAGATGTAGTAGAGAAGTAGTAGAATAAGTGTGGTGTAGAGGTCGCGTGCCTTAGTCAGCTGTGATGCGACCAGAGTGTCCTCAAAGCGTTAGTGTCTTTTATCCACAAACATTCAAGACTTCGACTTGTCCTCACGACCTCCATCCGCCTCCTTGTCGTCTCGCCATTTCCGCTCCCTTTTCTTCTTCTTTTCTTTTACCTCCTGTCCTCGTTTCGTCGCCTGGTTTCTTTAAACCTCTTTAATTCCTCTCCCGCCCTTTCTTGTTCAATCGGGGAACAAAGACAACCGCCACCATGAGCGGCCGTAAGTCCCGGCTCCATCGCTAAACCACAATTGCACCTCTAGCAACGGTGTGATATTGCGAGATCGCATGCTAACGGATGCAGTACGCTTCCTCGATCTGATCAAACCCTTTATGCCCCTCCTCCCGGAGGTGGCAGCCCCCGAGACCAAGGTTCCATTCAACCAGAAGGCTATGTGGACAGGTGTATGTGATCGAAAATATCTAATATGGGATGAGAATGGCTGCAATTGGGCTCTGGCTGATGGTTACTTGACAGTTGACCCTCCTCATATTCTTGGTTATGAGCCAAATGCCTCTCTACGGAATTGTATCCTCCGACACCTCCGATCCGCTATATTGGCTACGTATGATGCTGGCCTCCAACAGAGGAACCTTGATGGAACTGGGTATCACCCCAATTATCTCCTCCGGCATGGTCTTCCAGGTATTTTTTGGCGCTCGTTGATACCCTACATCGCAATATGATCCTAACCCGTGTTCTAGCTTCTTGCTGGAACCCAACTCATCGACGTTAACCTTGACCTCAAAACCGATCGCGAACTGTACCAAACCGCCCAGAAGCTCTTTGCTATCATCTTGTCTTTCGGACAAGCTTGTGTCTACGTTCTCACCGGTCTTTACGGCCAGCCTAGCGACTTGGGAGCTGGTGTCTGTGTTCTGTTGATCGTTCAGCTGGTTGTCGCGGGACTGGTTGTCATTCTCCTCGACGAGCTCTTGCAGAAGGGCTACGGTCTTGGAAGTGGTATCTCCCTCTTCATTGCCACCAACATCTGCGAGTCTATCATCTGGAAAGCTTTCTCTCCCACCACCATTAACACTGGCCGTGGACCTGAGTTCGAGGGAGCCGTCATTGCCCTCTTCCACCTTTTGCTCACCTGGCCCGACAAGCAACGCGCTCTGTACGAAGCTTTCTACCGCCAGAACCTCCCCAATATCATGAACCTCATCGCAACCCTCGTCGTTTTCGCCGCTGTTATCTACCTCCAAGGTTTCCGCGTCGAAATCCCCGTCAAGTCTTCCCGTCAACGTGGTGTCCGTGGATCCTACCCCGTCCGTCTCTTCTACACTTCCAACATGCCCATCATGTTGCAATCCGCCCTCTGCTCCAACGTCTTCTTGGTCAGCCAGATGCTCTACTCTCGATTCTCTGACAACATCCTTGTCAAGCTCCTTGGTGTCTGGGAACCCCGTGATGGCGGTTCTGCCCAGCTCTATGCCTCTTCCGGTATTGCCTACTACATGTCCCCACCATTCAACTTCAAGGAAGCTCTCTTGGACCCTGTCCACACCGTTTGCTACTTTATTTTCATGTTGGTTGCCTGTGCTCTCTTCTCCAAGACCTGGATTGAAGTCTCCGGCTCTGCTCCAAGGGATGTCGCCAAGCAGCTCAAGGACCAAGGACTGGTTATGGCCGGCCACCGTGAACAAAGCATGTACAAGGAACTCAAGAGGATCATCCCTACCGCTGCCGCTTTCGGTGGTGCGTGTATCGGTGCCTTGTCCGTGGCCAGTGACCTTATGGGGGCTCTAGGAAGTGGAACCGGTATTCTCCTCGCAGTAACGTATGATATATCCTTCCCTACCAATTGTTTTTAACACACCTGCTAACCATGACTAGAATCATTTACGGCTACTTCGAAATCGCCGCACGGGAGGGCGACTTCGGCGCTGGCCTCAAAGGTCTAGTCCCCGGCAACTAAGGCTGGGCCAACTTCTTTATGGCGGCTCAGCAAGGTCTGCACGCCGCTTCGCAAGCATTTATTATTTGTATTATCAGCAATGTCGAATGGTCCACTTTCTATATTTTTTTGGGATGGGGAGATGACTAGGCGCGAATTGTCATTAACAGGCAAAATAAATCCAAGGGAGCGATGATGTGTGGGTTGACATTTGATAATTTACAAACCGTTCCTTTTTATCCTTTCTATGTTTGATCGTTGCTTGCAATTTTGCATCTACGCCCCTCTTACTCTCTCTCCCTTGCGATCAAAAAGCGGGTGTTCCGAAAAAGCCAAAATAGTAGATTCTCTAATCTGTGTATATAATAAGTAGCTCCTTGGTTTTCATCTAGCTCTAATGATAATTTCCGAACTGGTTCATCCTTTTTCAAGAGTCTAGAACACGGAACGAAATCTCCCATATACTATGTTCTGTAGTCTCCATTGATAGTAACGTATTCATGGCTGAAATCGCAGAACCAATAAACGGCTTCTTCACCACCCTTGCCAGCCTCTCCACTCGCTCCACCCCCTAGATCCACAACGATCTCTAGATCCTCTTGCTGTAAGATCGTGGAAGCGCGCTCCTCGTCTACAGATTCAGGCTCTCCGTTTACCAGTAGCTTAAGCTCAGCACTACCATCAACAGGCTTAAAGCTCACGCTTGTCTTTTCAGGCACAATAGTGCCGGAGGCAAGACCTGGTGTATAACCAACTGCACAAAGGATACGGCCCCAGTTCGCATCCTTGCCGTATAGCGCGGTCTTGACAAGAGGAGAACGAGCAATGGTCGAAGCAATGCATTTAGCGTCCTTGTAGGAAGGAGAGTTCTTGACCCGAACGGTGACGAATTTCGTAGCTCCTTCACCATCACGAACAACGAGCTGTGCTAAAGATTGCGTGAATCCTGTGAGTATCGATTGCATGGCGGTGTAATCCTTTGAATCCGTTGAGGAGATAGACGTTCCTCCTGCAGCGCCGTTGGCAAGGATGGCTACCGTATCATTGGTGCTGGTATCACCGTCAATAGATATGGAGTTAAATGATCGTGAGATGGAATGAGAGAGAAGTGATTGTAACACCGGTGCTTCAATGGGTGCATCGGTACATATTATGCCAAGAAGAGTAGCCATATTTGGGTGAATCATGCCTGCGCCCTTGGTCATCCCTGCGATGTTGTATGTACGGCCCGGTGAGGATGGCAGGTTAAAGCTTTGAGAGATGAGCTTTGGGAAGGTATCTGTTGTGCATATAGCGCGTGCGGCCCGTAGCCATGCGGCATGTGTCGATGCAAGGCTGGACTGTGCCTCTGGGACCTTGTTGAGGATTTTATCAATAGGTAATCTGCAATAGGGATGCCATTAGCTTCGTGTCTTTTTTTTCAAAACGGGATTGACCTCTTACAGTTGCCCGATTACACCAGTACTCATAACAAGAGTACTTGAATCGCCTTCTTTCACCCCATTACACTCATCTGCCTTTCTGCTCATGCTCCTGGCATCTTGCAATCCCTGTTTCCCGGTGACAGCATTCGCGCAGCCGGCATTGACAATTACCCCACGAATACCGTTTCCGTTCTTTTTCCGAATCAGTTCCGAGCTCACCTGAACCGGAGCAGCTTGGAATTTATTTGTAGTAAACACAGCAGCGGCCGAGCATGGCTCCTCAGACCATACTAATGCCAGGTCAAGAGCGGATGTGTTTGAGGCTTTAACACCCGCATGGCTGCCGGACACTTTGAACCCCTTTGGATATGTTCCTGACGATGGAACAAATTTCTGCTTTGATGCCGGAATCGACGCATCGACGGGCGATGTGAATGTGCGTATCTGGCCCGAAATCGGACTGGTTGACTTGGTCAAAAGGCATGCATATTGGGAGATCTGACCGATTGTCCTGGCCTGTTTGGGGGCCATTTTCCGCCGTAGCAGTCCTGCACGGCACCTAGCTCCCGTATAATATCCAATTGAATAAATATCCAACAGCAGGCCAAATATCAACGGTGAGTGTGACTCAAAATGGCTTGAACTCCAATTATTTAGATAACGTAAGCCACCACCGAATGACCGCTACCACCCAATGACCGCCCCAACAAAGATTCATGCGTATCAACAACAACCACTCGCAACAGCCGTAATATGGTTAATGAAGCTGCAATTGCTTTAGCAATTGCAGATTTAAAGGCCCAAGAAGCCCCTAATTATACCCAGACTGCAAAAAGATACGGAATCGATCGAAAAACGCTCACACGGCGGTTTCAAGGAGTCACTACCTCAAGAAGTGAAGCAATATCCCAACATCACAAGAAGCTTACAACTGCTCAAGAAAAAGAGCTTTTAAAGCATATAAATCGCCTATCTCTACGTGGCCTATCTCCTACACCTCAAATACTCCGGAATTTGGTATATGAGATAACAAAAGAGCCTGTTGGGTTGAACTGGGTGGCGCGGTTCTGCGAGAGATATCATAACCAGATAAAGAGCCTTTATTTAAAGACTATCGATCAAAAACGCAAGGTTGCTGATAACTCCTCTTATTTTGCGCATTACTTTGAGCATGTTAGTGATCAAATCGATATCAATATCTTTAAATACTGACCTCTTCCTAGCTTGAATTGATGATTTCAAAATATAATATTACTCCAGAAAACACCTATAATTTCGATGAAAAAGGGTTCCTTATTGGCCTAGGTCAGGCAGTCAAACGTATCGTCCCTATTGAGCAGCTTAAACGAAAGCAGATAGGTGCTATTCATGATGGAAATCGCGAGTTTATTTCTCTTCTTGCTGCCATCTCTGCAGATGGTGAAAGGATTCCTCCTACACTGATTTATAAGGGAGAAGGAGATCTACAAGATACATGGCTTGATGATTTCAACCCTCATGAGCAAACAGCCTATTTTGCAGCCTCACCCAACGGCTGGAGCAGTGATGACTACGGGCTTAGCTGGCTGGAGATATTTAATAAGCATACGAAGGCAAAGGCTGATAGAGGAAGAAGGCTTCTTATTGTTGATGGCCACTCCTCTCATATCAATATGCGCTTTATCGACTACGCAGATAAAAACCGTATCCTTCTTGCAATCCTTCCTCCGCATTCAACTCATCGATTACAACCATTAGATGTTGGAGTTTTTGGGCCACTGGCTAAGGCATACTCCCAAGAGATCGATACCCTTCTCCGTTGCAGCTATGGGTATTCATCAATGAGGAAGAGAGATTTCTGGAGGCTCTTTTATACAGCATGGTGTAAAGCAGTAACACCTGAGAACGTTAAGGCTGCATTTCAAACAACGGGTATCTACCCCTTCATGCCTGAACAGATATTAAAATATTTCAAACGAAGACCAATTACCCCTCCAGACCTGGTTGCTCCTCCTACCCCTACTACTGTTCGAGGCCTCCGCCGTCAAATTAAGAAGGTTTACCGCAGGCAATCGCGCCTCTCAATCAATATTCAAAAGGTCATTCATGCTAGTGAAAGACTGGTCTTCCAGAATGAGATATTAGCCCATGAAAACAGGTCTCTTCATGCAGTAATACAAATGGAGAAGAAGCAAAGGAAGAGAGGTAAAGCAATGGGCTTGTTTGATAAGGAACGGGCTGGCCAGGCGCAGTTCTTCTCTCCGTCTAAAGTTGAAGCAGCCAGGCAACGGGCTCTTAATATAGAGCATGAAAAACAAGATAAGATAGCGCAGGCTGAACAATCAAAGCTTCAGCGTACAATTCAGAAGGATGTTAAAGCCCAGGAAGCAGCAGAAAAGAGAGCTCAAAGGTTGATAGAGCAACAGCAGCGAAAGGAAGCCCATGAGGAGGCTCGTAAAGAGGCTGCAGCGCAGCGCGCAGAGGCTGCGATTGAACGGAAGCGTAAAGCGGGTGAACAAGCAGCGGAACGGATGGCCAAGAAGGCCAGGAAGGCTGAAAAGAACGCCTTAAGCCCTATCTCACCTTCCCGATTAGGAAAGAAGAAGACTTCACCTACGAAGGTGGCTCCAATCGATCCTATTCCTTCAATACCACCCTTCCTATCCCAACCCCGGGCAAGCCGTTCCGGGCGAGTTATCAAGCCCAACACTCGTTTATTTTCTTAACCTTACTAATTTATATGTAATTTGGAACCCTACTATCGTTATTTAATAGCTAATTTAATTCGTTATTTACGTTGTGTTGAAATAGGTTGATATTTAATATATGCAGCGATTTGGATGGGGTGGCCAAAGCGCCGGTCATTAGGTGGTGGCGGTCATTCGGTGGTGAACCACGTTAGTTTTATAGCGTCCGAACTAGAGGCATAGGCCGGGGTCACGTGGTTTCGCGTTTCCATCAAGCTTAAGCTTCACAGGGCGAAACTTCAAGATATATTTACGTCAAAAGGAGGAAAAGGGGACAAGTTTACGCAACGCTGAGAGTGCACGATGAAGCGGAAACAGGGAGACATATCCTCGGACGAAGATCCACTGCAGTCTGAAGTGTCTACACCCCAGAAACGAAGACAGACGTCTCGACAGAACGGCGCATTGAACGGAACTCCTACGAAGCACAATGCTCCAGACACGCCGTCTAGTCGACTGCGAACGCGATTTTCCAAGCAAACGCCAACAAAGAGCGTAGACTTTGCAGCGGATCTGGTTTCGCCATTAAAAACTCCAACCGCGAGAGCACTGTTTAAAACACCCACGAAGGCTAGGAAAGCTGAGCGAGGTACGCCGAATGGAACACCGTCACGAATCCAGAATGCCGACCGGTCAGCAAAGAGGAAAAGCGCCAGGATACTTGTTGACCCCAATGATGATGATATATGGGATGGTGGTGATGCTCTAGCGCGAGAAATCTGGGACGTACCATCCGATAGCAACGCGACACCGAAGGCCAAGAGTGCTGCTAGAGGCCGCGAAACAATTGTACCAGAAGAGCCAGAGCCTAAACCGGAAACCGTACCTAATGAGCCTCCTGTAACTCCCCGAAAGCGAGGACGGCCACCAAAGGTGAGGGGACCTGATGATCCGCCGCCAAAAACACCAAGGACACCGAAGACACCAAGAAAGAACGAGCGCGTTGCAACCCCGGAAGGAGAGCTACCACCACAGGAGAAATACTTTTTCCAAAGTCGAACGGGCCCGGTACAGTCATCTAATAACACGATGACCAAGTCGTCCCTATTTACGCATGAAGAATTCTTCGAACAGCTCGGGAAATACAGGGATCCATTGCAGGATGAGAAAGAATATTTATTGGAACTTCACGAGCGGTCATTCTCACAATGGAATTTTGAAATGAGCGAGGGGTTTAACGTGTGCATATATGGATATGGGTCTAAGAGGAAACTTGTCCAAAGATATGCGGATTGGTTATATGAACATTACGATGAACCGCCATCGATCGTGATTGTTAATGGGTATACGCCTAACATAACGGTTCGATCTATATTGGCAACGATCGCTACAGCTATACTGGGTCCAGAAGATACCTCGAAACTCGGGGTGCAACCAAACGATGTGCTAGAATCCATTCGTTCGGCTCTCAAAAGGAACCCGCCTGCGCAACCTATAACGGTTCTCATCAATTCGATTGATGCGCCGCCATTGCGCCGCGCGCAGCAACAATCACACCTAGCCAAACTCGCGGATATACCCCATATAAACGTTCTAGCAACTGCGGACATGCCCAATTTCCTAGTATTATGGGATATCACGCTCCACAATCAGTTCAACTTTGTCTTTCATGACTGCACCACGTTTGCTGCTTATAAGGTCGAACTTAACGTTGTGGACGAGGTGCACAGTCTGCTCGGGCGTAAGGTCCGACGTGTGGGTGGTAAACAGGGTGTTGGGTTCGTCCTGAAAAGTTTGCCAGAAAATACACGGAAGTTGTATCGCCTGTTGATTACAGAAATTCTCATGATACTAGGAGATCAACAGCTAGATATTGAGGAAGAGGAAGACATTCAGAACGAGGCTGATGGCCTAGAAGAAAATGACAGCCGTAGTAAAAAAGAGGCAGCAATTGAATGGCGAACGCTATTCCACAAGGCTTCAGAGGAGTTTATCTCTTCATCTGAGATGATGTTCAGGACGCAACTCAAGGAGTTCTATGATCATCAGATGATCGCGTCAAGGCTAGATCCGAGTGGTGTGGAGCTACTTGGTGTTCCACTCTCGCGAGAGGAGATGGAGAGCATATTAGAAGATCTTGTCATTGACGGATGAAAACGAATTACAATGAATACCTCGCAATGATTTCGATACCCTCTATTTCCATTTCGGATGTAATATAGACAATGTGTATACTAGTCATGTAGAGCCCCATGTATCCAGCCGATGGCATGGTAAATGTCCCATTCATGTTCCACAACCTTCGTGATGGTCTATATAATGATAGTCTAGAATTCAGCAAAAGCAGCCAATGCCATGGTTGTTCCAAAACTGGCTTTGAATGGAACGTTTTCGCGTGTCAGCCGTCGGAAGTCGACGGATTTGATGTGTCTCTGCAACCAGCTCAGCGGTAGGATATCGTATCCCCTTGAAGCTGCCCACTATCCATCACCGAGATCAATTAGCAACCACTCAAACAGGATAAAGGGTAGAAATCGAGAACATGACATACCTCGATAATTATAATAGCCAAACCGAAAGAAAATGCCAGTGTTCTCGAGAAGATACGCAATCCCAGCCCGGTGAGTACCCCAAGCGCACTGCCTAGGCTGATTTGACGGGCGGTCTCGGCGCTGATAAAGCCATGGGAAGTTCCTTTCTGTTGCATCACAGGGTCCCCATATTGGTGTGTGAATTCAGATATAGAAGGGTGGAGAGGTCCAGAGGCATAGTCGCAGCGTATGGGAGCGCTGAACCTGGTTTGTAGTATCGAGTAGGAAGCACAGAGCGGTATAGAGAAGAGGAGGGGCCGATGGGCGAATCGGAGGAACTGGGAGGCCATTGTGCCGTTGTTTCTTTGTTATTCCGTGAGGAAGGGCGTGCTATAAGCCGTTGCTGCAGCGCCGAGAAGTGTATTTGTCTGCCAGCGAGCTCAATGGGAAGATGTAGCTGGATGGTTGTTGTTCTTGTTCCCATCTCGCTGTTCTTGCTATGACGTCGGAGGGCGCGGGAACGGCGGATCATAGTTTACCCGGTATTCGGGTTGATCGCCCAATCAGGACATACCATATCTCAACGACAAAAAGATATCTACGACGTCTTCTAGACATTATCTTTGATATATAAGGGTTAGACTGGTGTCAATTGCTAGGTAGGTTGACTCCAATGCTTTAGATCAGTATACTGACATGGAATATCACCGAGTTATAGCTGAACGACAAGTACCTGTTGATTTCTATTTATATCAGACGACAAAGCAGCAATTCGCAAAAGACAGCAGCATGCACGAGGCCATGTGGACGTTGATCAAGGACATCTATACCATGTCACACATGTTATCAATGACAGCATAAAGAGAGAGTTACTCGCTCGGCCCATGCTCGATGTATTTCGGCGAAACAGGATGCTTTCCTAGCGCCGCCGCGGAGAAAAAAAACATGTGCAGAGAGATTGATACGAAAAAACGGCCCTCATCTGATTAGCTTCCAGCAACGCCAGCATGGAGGGGTAACATTTGAATCTCGACGAGATCATGTCTGTCATACTCACGATAAAAACAAAACATCGGATAACAAACCACTGGGGTGCTACGGCTTGCTCGCTATCGGCGGGTATACGGATATCCGCGGCGACCCTTTGTCATGATATTCAGGTGATAGCAGGCCATTTTTTCTTTAGAAGCATTCGTGCTCAGATGACTTGTGCTAGGGAGAACCGCTCGCAGGTATACGGTGCATTTATCAGCTGCGCCTACGCCCTTTGGAAGACTAGAAGCCCTCGAACATATATATATTGAAAAACGAAAGGGGTTTCGTCTGTTAATTGGTAGATTTTTTGACTCATCCTTGGACGTAAACTTTGCCTGTTCCGCCATCTCGCAAAACTCAAATTCTTTTTATCTCTCGACCGAATTTTTGACTTAATTGCGGGGGGCAAGAACTCATCTCTCCTTCTCATCGCCAATTAATAACTTCACCTTTCGTCCAGACCGTTCGTCTCTCGATCAACTTCACTATCGCTTTCCTTTGCCATTATCACTGCCAAATTCGAGCTTCGGTACCTTGAATTTACCCCTCGTTACCTTTAACAATGGCACAAGAGCACCCCGCCACCGGCGCTGCCGGCGAGAACGGAGTCACCAAGGACTACACTGTCAAGACTGGGCTGGCGCAGATGTTGAAGGGCGGTGTTATTATGGACGTTATCAATGCCGAACAGGTTCGTTTCTATACACACTCCACCCTGGGCCTCAATTGCAATCGATACAACCCAGTCGCAACGGAAAGAGGGCAGAATGCTGACTCGCCACATTACTATGCTGTAGGCAAGAATTGCTGAAGAAGCTGGCGCTTCGGCTGTTATGGCCCTTGAGCGTGTTCCAGCCGATATTCGAGCGGAGGGAGGTGTTTCCCGCATGTCTGACCCCGGGATGATCAAGGATATTATGGCCGCGGTCACAATTCCAGTCATGGCCAAGGCCCGGATAGGACATTTCGTTGAATGCCAGGTTAGTCGCAATTGCTCTCCTTTGATAATTCCTGTCCTTTGGGGCCCTTTTTATTCATAAAAAGAAAAATTGGGCGTGGAAAGTCCATGTAACCAAGACCATATCACTAACGCAAAAAACCAAAGATTCTCGAAGCCGTTGGCGTCGACTACATCGATGAGTCCGAAGTCCTCACCCCAGCCGACCACGTCTACCATGTCACCAAACACTCTTTCAATGTTCCATTTGTATGCGGATGCCGAAACCTCGGCGAAGCTCTCCGCCGTATCTCCGAAGGTGCTGCTATGATCCGTACCAAGGGAGAGGCGGGAACTGGTGATGTCGTTGAAGCAGTGAAGCACATGCGTCAAGTAAACACTGAAATCGCGCGTGCCAGGTCCATCCTGCAGTCCGCCCAAGATCCCGAGATTGAGCTCCGCGCATTTGCCCGTGAGCTAGGAGCCCCTTACGAATTGTTGCGCGAAACCGCTGAGAAGGGAAGGCTGCCTGTTGTCAACTTCGCCGCCGGTGGTGTTGCCACCCCTGCTGACGCTGCCCTCATGATGCAGCTGGGCTGTGACGGTGTTTTCGTCGGTTCTGGAATCTTCAAGTCTGGTGACCCACGCAAGAGGGCCAAGGCCATTGTCCAGGCCGTCACCCACTTCAAGGATGCTAAGATGCTGGCTGAACTGAGCCAGGGGCTTGGTGAGGCTATGGTCGGTATTAGCGTACGAGACATGAGCGAGAAGGATAAGCTGTCCGGACGCGGCTACTAAAGCTGGATCCGTTGTGTGTTGTGCAGCATCATCAATTCAACCCTCCCATGGCTAAATTCTGCGATATGAACCATTCAGATCATATCTTTTAGAGCCATTGTCCCTCCGCTATAATTTAACATTGTGGGAAGTTGGCGGGTGTATACCTTGTTTCTCTTGATACGAGTATTTTTTATGAATGGCGTGACTGGAAAATCTTATAATGATGGAATAGCGTTTTCAAAAGTTGTCCCAGGCCCAAAGCAAATTGGAAGTTCATTTTAAGGAATACATACTAGACTAGAAATAGAGTCAAGAAATAAGGACATACTCTTCTCAATTAGAAGGTTGCTAGTCCTTAAAGCATTACAATTACAGCGTAGAGTTAAAAGGTGATATCGAATATGGCTTTGGTATGCCTAATGAAGCCCGTATAAATACATCATATATGTAATCGAGCAAATTCAGTATAAAACCCCCAAGAACGCCAGACTCACGGCATGGACCTTGAATATACACGCAGCAGGTGCAAATCAGGATATATCAAAACCAACAAACATCATTGTTCAACAAACATGCCACTCAAACGTTCAGTATATCTTTCGAGTAAGTTCCCCGGCGGCAGCTCGAGGGGAGGCAGAAAGAGAGCTATATTGCCAGTGGCGGCGGAGAATTGCGTATTCTAGTGTTGTCCGATCTTCAGTTGGGCAGGGGCTTGTTTTTGTTGGGCGCCTGAATCGGAAGTCTTCGTCCCAGCAGGGTTATTAAAACCACCCGTGGTTTTAGAAGTTTGATCAGCAGGCCTGGTTCGGGCGAGATAAGCTGCACCATCTTCCATCCAGCAGCAGGCGCAAATACCGCTATTGAGGCAGCACTGGGGAGCAGCACCAATCTGACAGTAGCGGCCATCACAAGGAGCATCACAGTAGTTGTGGAAGCCTATATTAATTTCTGTTAGTTATTTGTCCACGCCTGATGTGGACGCGAGGGGGGAAGCTCAGTCACTTACCATCACCACGGGGGTGCAAGACGGGATCGGATGTATTAAATGCTTCAACGAAGCGTTGATTATCACCTTCACGAACTTGAGTAGCTATATGTAAAGCAACAAATTTAGTGATCTAAACTTCAAATTTCTCATATCAAGGGGCTTGGTTCAAATGTAGCAAATACACCCTTCTGAGAAATATATGGAAGGCTTACTGCTTAGGAGTTCTCTGAGGGCAAGGTTTGGTGTAGCAACTGCAGCGACCATGTTTGCAGTGAGCAACGAGATAATAGCGACGGCGAAACGCATTTTGAAGGTGATAAAAAGATCAAGGACTTTGAAGGTTGAAGTTATAGTTGATTATCGAAGAGTAGAGCGGATGATCTGTTCGAGTGATGGTGATGAAGTGATAGAGAGAGATTCCTTCCAAATGATGGGATAGGTGCCCCTTTTTATAAACATCTGGCTACAAGCAGTAGCAGGATACCCTCCGGTAGAGACCCCAGATTCCAAGTATCTACCCCATAATCTGGGGAGACAGGGGCCATGCAAAATTATCTCATGTCTCTCCCCAATCTCCACTGTGATGCAATATAGTAAGAATTCACACGACCACCTACCCAACTAGCCGTGTGCATCGTGATAAATCGCGCAGTAATTGATCATGGCCGTGGTTTGGAAGTAGGCGGTTCGTTGCAATTATCCACCTCTCCACGCCCATACTCTTAAAATATGGGAATCAATGGGTAGAAGCAAATTTTTCCTTGGGGTATCTTTTCATAGGGTATCAATATCGCGTAGAGAATGATAGATATCTTGGAATGATCCCTAGGGCAGAGGTTGAAATCTTCGCTATGCGCGCTCGACATGGCTAGCTCCCAGGTATGCCCGCCTCAGCCCTGTCGGTGAATCTGTCGGAAGGCTAAAGACATTCAAGAGCTTCAAAGTAGAATCTGCGATATTTATGTCGTCATATTAAGGGGCCAGAGTGGTGGTGGTATTGGGCGGTTGCAATGATGTTGGATGTGATAAAGAAATCTCGATTTAAAGCGTTGGGCTTTAAACTTGGCGATCACCCGCAGCTTAATATCAAGAAGCAGCAAGACATCACGTTGGAGATGGCTTTCATTGTGCTTCAGCCTCGCATTACCCCAGTTGATTACTTCATGAAACATGCAATAGGATAAAGAAGAGAGTTTATACTTGAGTCAAGTTGAATTGTCATCTCATAATAATTATATTTTCATTTATTCGTTCATCCATTCGTTCAGTTTTTTCTTTTCAGTTGGCCCCCTCTTTACCGAAAGCTACTTTTCCCGGCCAGAACATAAACCCAGCCGAATAGGCCCAAAGTGAGCGATTTTCCCCCAATTCCCCTTGCATCAGGCATCATTATAGCATTGATTTATGCATATGCAAACCCCTTGCCCCGATTCGACAACCAGAACTGTTTAACATTTGAATTCGTTGTTCTTGCTCCGCGGAGCGCTATGATGGTGTGGAGGAACTTTTGTATCTCCTGCTGCGAAATAGTCGGCTCTGGGGGCGACTGTACATCTCTAGCGGATGAGGCGCAGGCTGGGTCCTTGGCGGAAACGCTCAGCGATGCCAGTGCGTTTCCAAAATAGGTTCTAGCAGCTCCTTGATGTTTGAAGACAAATTTCTTAATGATTTCGCAGAAATGATCCAAGTCAGAACGAGCACAGCGGCCGGCGATTTGGTGCATAACAGTCTCTCCAAGGACGCTTAGGTATGGGTCGAGGAATCCGGGAGGTTCGTTTGCTTGTACACGACCCATAGAAGCCCCGTGTGAGATGAGACCAGCAGGCAGGTCGTTGAGGGCTAGTATTGCAGTCCAGAATGAGCAAGATGCTCGAAGCGGTAGGGGATCAGGCCTCTTGAGCACATTAAGAGTGAAGCCAAGTATTGTTGGAAGGGGCGGAGGAACACCATCCACATATTGTAATCCAAAGAACTGCATGTGATATTTTGGGATCAGGCGAGTAAGGAAGTCTATGCAGCTGTGGGCTGCCTCAGGGTCGTAGCTATCAGCCGATACAGCAAGGCTTTGGATAAGAGTTGCTGTATGAATAGTTAACTCTGTGACTTCCGGTTCAATGGCGAGAGGGTTTGATGCGTGAGATGCTAGAAACGCGGTTGCCGTGGCCATGACGTTTGAAAACCGAGGGGACAAAATGTTTGTGGCCTTCACAAAATGGGTCGTCACTTGGGATGGAAGCACGTAGGGCCCAGGGTGCTTCTCCGTATATCCAGCTTTGAGTACATCACACGTTGCTTCAATCAAATAGCTATCGTTGGGGAATTGACCGACCAATGTGTCTAGAATCCGAATCACAGTTTCGGTAACTGATATGCCCAGAGGATCACTGACCCAGAATGAGTCCGACTTGGGTTGCGATTCTTGGGTATCGAGGTCAATGACATCGTCATCGGGTGCGCGGATGCCCATTCCGATGCTTGCAGTGCATTTCATTGCTATCAAACTGCGTTCTAGCCCCTCTTCGTATTGACCGTTACTTGCTTGTTGGCAGGCTGCCTGTGCTTCCTGGAGTAAAGGATTGAGTAGCTTCAGTAGGCTCACGGCTTTCTCACTATCATGCTCCGACGCCTGGATTACCGCAGCAATACCTTCAGCAACACGCTCAAGCGTGGAGTCACTGAGGGAAGTCTTGCTGCAGAGCTGGTGAAACTTATCGATAAACCCCTGAACATGCATTGGGAGAAACCTTCGACATGTTTGGCAAAGAGAGGATATAGATCGTGAAGCTACTTGATCACAGGAGGGATAGTCAAGTGAACTAAACAAAAAGGTCAATACCGGCGGAAGCAGCTTCTCATTCCTGGCTAAATATGGCGTGTATCGATCGATCATGTCTGCAAGACTTTGCCGTGATCTCAAAGGGATCTCCTTGTGGCCATAGCATACCGATTCAAACACATCCGAGCAGAATAGAGTATCAAGGAGATGGTCTGCATGTTCGTTTTCAGCAGCAGATTCTGCAAGGGCCCCTAGGCAAAAGATGGAAACCTCAAATTCGTCCCAGTCTTGTTTTGCTATTGCTGATGATGCTTGTTCTAGGATATGGCGGATAACATCAACCCCCAGCAATGGGTATACCTCTAGAAGGTAGTCGGTAAATTCACGACGAAAGTAGTTGAAGAGTTTCAACTCGTTGTCGTCCCAGCCCTGGAGAACTGTACGGCTAGGGTACCGGAGCTTATCATAGCATTCGGTAATGACCCTTGCAAGCTTCTGCTTGACTTCTTCGGATACCACGACAATCCCGTCTAGAGCCAATTCATCTATGTCACTCGCGACTTCAGTCCAGAACTCCAACAACATGATGATGGCACAGTCATCAACTTCCGCAAAGCCTGGTGCGTGGAATAGCTTGTATAGGAGAAAAAGGACTTTCTCGCGTTTTTCGTCTGATGGCCCAGATATAATGACACTCGATTGCTCGATTGCAGCATACCGTAATAGTAGGTCCATAAATTTCATCGTATCTTCGTCATACTCTCCGTTTACTAAGGCCAGTGCATACTTCTCTCCGGGCCCAACTAGAAAATCAAGGATAGTGTTTAGATGATCGGCGTCGATGAGCTTAGCCTGGTTGGCAATTGTTTCCGTCAAGAGTTCCATCACAGACGTGGCCAAGCCTTCAACGGCAAGGAACTGTGCAGCGTAGTCCAAGGGCTTCTTCACTTTATTAACGAGGCCTGGAGGGTTGATTTTCCCACTGTGGAATGCTTGTAGCCATCCCTTTGAGACAATTTAGTGTAAAAAAAAGACAATTGAGTGGATAAAATAGGGGCACTAATACGTACGTGCAATGCCAGGATAGATTCGGCAGCTATGGTCATAGAATGTTCCGACATGTTTTGACCTATGTCACCGGCAGTGTTGTTTAAAGCCCGTATAAACCCAAAGTCAATCAACGCAAGGACGTCATTGGTATTCACTTGCAGCCGACTGCCGACCTCGGTTCTATAAACATGTTAAAAAGGCGGTTATATAGCCATTATTGTATTTCAATGCGCGCTTACCCATCTGTAGGATACCGGGTGGATTCCTCAGCCAATGCCGTACAAAATGATAAAATGGCGACTAAGCGGTCGTGACTGAGAGCTGGTAGGGCATGTAATGCTAGGACAGGTTCCTCTGACTTGTCTTCGGGAAGGTATTTCCCATTGGCCAAGGTTACGGTAACATGGCGCACGCTATACGTCCAAGGTGACCCAGGTTTGAAAAAGAAGGTGGTTAGGGTAGAAAAAAACTTTCTCATCACTAATGGGCGTTCCATGGAATCAACAAGCACCACAAAGCAGTTCATCAATTGGGCAAGGAGGCCCAATCGATTCTCTGTTGTTAAATTTTCCCTAATAGAAAAAAGGGGGTGTGAGGGTTAATTAAAGTAAAATACGAGCAAAGGGACTTCAGGTGACCGCACCACTCTTGGTTAATTTTCATGGTCAGTGTAAGAGGCCCGTAGAACCTGAGCTTGGGGTCTTCGCATCCTAGAAAGCCGTCTGCTATCATCCATCCAGCACTCGACTTTTGTAGTTCGAGTAGACGCTCTTGAATTACGCCAGCTCGGTTGGCAAGCCCAGGGGTAGTCAAGTCCGTTGCAAGCTACAAGAAATAAGTCAGTCCACCGAGGCTCCACTGGTAAAGGTAGTCAGACATACTTGTCTAGCCTCTATAATCAGGTTCTGAATATCTAGCTGCTGCTCAGCAGAGCCATTTTGCCAATCCATCTTGGATGTTACCTCTGCCAAAGCCAGAAAAAATAAGACGAGCTTCCTTGGTTATTTCCCAGCTGGAAGAAGATGAGATCTGGGTAGAGGAAAGGGCCTTCCCAGAAGCGGTCTTGGCTTGTTATCAGAAGCAGTGACACAGTATCCCCTTGTTATTTTAGAGATAGATGGGTCACGGGTAAAGATGTGAGAAAGAATGATAGTAGAAGACCTGCTCAGTTCCACAGTTAAGGGTTTGGAGGAGCAGAGAGCGATCAAAACAGTGATATAGAGATGCCCACCCGCATCGACTGGTAAGGGTGCAACACAGCAGGCAGGGTTGGCCAGGCGATACTACCAGGCGTCCAGGATATAGAGGTTCAGCAGTCCTAGCAGTAGACTAATAACCATTCCTTTCTCCAGATATGGCATGGTTTGCAAGGTAACAGGGACGCCTATAGGCAAATTTTCATATCGATCAAATCGATGCTGTGGGACAAGCTCTGGTAAATAACATTGTTTGTTCCTACTTGCTCAAAGGGAGGGGCCTCACTATTCACCAGTGGGCTTGTATGGCTAGACACGTAACGGGGAAGCCAGCTTTGAGTGTCTGATACCGGTCTATCGCATAGAATCAACCATCAGATGCAATATATAAAAACCACCGTCCAAAATATAACATGAAGTCGAAGTTGCCAAAAAAAAAAAGAGTGCTGAGAGTACTCACGTGACCACTAACTATCCACGACCTTCCTTTTTAAGTTGCACTTTTCAAGGTTGCACTCCGCGAGCAAAGAATCAACAGAGCAAAGAGAGAATCAACAAGAGAATCAACAAGAGAGAGAGAGAAGAGACAGAGATATCCGAATTGACGCCGCTCCGGGTTGCCTGTCCTTACCGTCGAAGAGTCTGCCCCCTGTATACTAACCCGCCAGAAGTAACGACGCTTCTCCGCAGTGCCCTTGCATGCCGTTGATCCCTTGGAACGAACCCCTCGCCTATAAAGAACCCCTCGTCCACCCGATAAATGAACCTTTTCCGCCCTCACTTCCGGTTTCTCTTCAAACCACGACTGCACAGTTTGCAATCTCCCACCAGACAGCCATCTCGACCGTTTTGTTCCTCTCAGATACTCCGTGCTGCCCTCGATATGCCTCCGCCACCTGTTGATACTACCCAGCGCCTCGCAAAGCTGCGAGAGCTGATGGCTCGGAACAAAGTCGATGTATATAGTATGGAATCAGATACACCAGTCCCTCAAACAATACAAAAAGTCTTATACTCATCCTTCTTCTCGCCTCAAAGTTGTGCCGTCGGAAGATAGCCATCAGTCAGAGTACATTGCTCCGTGTGACGGCCGTCGAGGTTAGACCGTTTCTCTGCGTGGTGATACAACACCGTAATCTGCTCGTGGGCGCTTATAAACTGTCACAGCTTTCATATCCAGCTTCACTGGTTCGGCGGGATGTGCCATCGTCTCCATGACCAAGGCTGCCCTGTCCACGGACGGTAGATACTTCAGCCAGGCTGCAAAGCAGCTCGATGCCAACTGGCTTCTCTTGAAGCGTGGCGTAGAGGGTGTGCCAACTTGGGAAGAATGGTATAATTGTTGCGTGTAACGATGGCTTTGGCATGAGTGATGCTGATGAGATATAGGACCGCCGAGCAGGCCGAGAACGGCAAAGTGGTTGGTGTTGACCCGTCGCTCATTACAGCGTGTAAGTTCTGTGCTTCCATCGTATAATGCTTGGTATCGCTGATTATATGTGTAGCGGACGCTCGAAAACTCTCTCAGACTTTGAAAGCAACCGGAAGCTCCCTGGTTGGAGTAGACCAGAACCTGATTGATGCCGTTTGGGGTGAAGAACGTCCAGCACGGCCTGTGACGACGATCACAGTCCAGCCTGCTGAGCTTGCAGGAAAATCATTCGAGGAGAAAGTCGAAGACCTCCGCAAGGAGCTGTCGACTAAGAAGCGATCCGCTATGGTGATTTGTACGAATTCTATATCCAATCTCTTTTTCTGATGTTATATACTGACAGCTACTTCTAGCCACTCTGGATGAGATTGCATGGCTCTTCAACCTCCGTGGAAGCGAGTACGACTTCAATGATATACCCTGGTTTATTGAACTTGCGCTGACTTTTGTAGTATTCCGTACAACCCCGTTTTCTTCTCCTATGCCATTGTAACTCCATCAGTGGCAGAGATTTATGTGGATGACAGCAGACTATCCCCAGAAGCTAGGAAGCAGCTTGAAGGCAAAGTTGTTCTAAAACCATACGATGCTATCTTCCAGGCGTCCAAGGCCCTTGCTGAATCAAAAGCATCGGCCAGCAGCGGATCCGCCTCTGGAAAATTCCTGTTGTCTAACAAGGCTTCATGGTCCTTGAGTCTTGCCCTAGGTGGCGAGCAAAACGTGGTAGAAGTCCGAAGCCCCATTACCGACTCCAAGGCCGTCAAGAATGAAGTTGAGCTGGAAGGTTTCAGAAAATGTCATATCCGCGATGGTGCAGCTTTGATCGAGTACTTCGCATGGCTGGAGAACGCCTTACTCAACGAAGGCGCCAAGCTGGATGAAGTAGATGCTGCTAACAAGCTATTTGAAATCCGCAAGAAGCAGGATCTTTTCGTCGGAAGCTCCTTTGACACTATTTCGTCTACTGGAGCCAATGGTGCCACTATTCACTACAAGCCTGAGAAGTCTACTTGCGCTGTTATAGATCCCAAGGCCATGTACCTTTGCGACTCTGGTGGCCAGTACAAGGACGGAACCACCGATACCACGAGAACTCTTCACTTCGGAGAGCCTACAGAGTTCCAGAAGAAGGCCTACGCACTTGTTCTCAAGGGACATATCAGCATAGACACTGCTATCTTCCCCAAGGGAACGACCGGATACGCCATTGATTCCTTTGCACGACAACACTTGTGGAAGGAAGGTTTGGATTACCTTCACGGCACCGGACATGGTGTTGGCTCATTCCTGGTACGGATAACCTATCTTTCTTTTGCCGTGATAGTAATAATATTAATATGGTCTCTAGAACGTCCACGAGGGCCCCATGGGTATCGGAAGCCGTGCTCAGTACGCCGAAGTCCCACTAGCTGCCAACAATGTCCTCTCCAACGGTATGTACGCTTCCATACATATACTTGACCTCCTGCTAACAATCGACTAGAACCTGGATACTACGAGGACGGCAACTTTGGTATCCGTCTTGAGAGTAAGTCTTAAAGCTACCTAATGTTTACGGAGACCCCTACTAACGATAAACTCTAGACCTTGTAATCTGCAAAGAGGTCGAGACACCATATAAGTTCGGTGGTAAGGCATTCCTTGGATTTGAATACATCACCATGGTACCGTTCTGCCAGAAGCTGCTTGATGCTTCTCTCCTCACTGAAACTGAGAGGAAGTGGGTGAACGACTACCACGCGAAAGTGTGGGAGAAGACTAGCCCCTTTTTCGAGAAGGACGAGTTGACGACAAAATGGTTGAAGCGTGAAACCCAACCAATCTAATTACCTCACAGTAATGGCATACTAAGACTTGGTTAAAGAACTGTATACCTATTAGTTACCCCGGCCGGGTAGATATAGCAAGAATTTATTAAAGATAGTCGCTGCTCATTGGTGCTAGGTATCGTAGGAATAACAATAACGTATCCTAGGCTAAGAATAATGTACTATGAAAAGACGACGAAAATAGAGCCTGCTCATGCATTCGTTTCTCATGGACAGGTCGGATGGCCTGTCGCGGTCACCAAGACCTGCTTGAGAAAGGCTGGAATATACATCACATGAATCTTATGTATCAGGTAACAAACTCCTATATCCCTGCACCACCAAAACATTTCCTACCACCCACAAGAAGCAAACGATTTAACAGCTGAAAAAATCAATGCGATGATCCTTCTTTCTCGCAGATCCAATCCAGTTAGTATGTCCCAGAACCGACTGCGGCTGGATTTCGCTTCCACTACTCCTATTGCTATCCAGTACGTCCGCAGCGGCTGAAAACTGGAGCCAAATATATTGCGATAAGAACCATGCAAGTATGGCTGACGCCGCTATGTACCCTAAGGTAGGCACAAGGGAGGTTGGTAGTATATTGAAGATATACGGATCAAGGATGATGTCGACTAGGACAGGGGGTGCGTTCGCCATTAATGATTGATTGGCGGTGAAGTAGTCGGCTGCGGTGTCGATGACAAGAAACAACGTTGCTCCAGCTGGAGAACTGCCTGTGGTTTCCCGTGAGGGTGGGTGCCTTTGACCTATGTCGTTTCCCTTGGACTCCGCAAACTGAGTCATGGAAGACATCAGTTTTGGAGACCGGGCAATCTGAGATGGTTCATAGGTTGATAGGGCGAAAGCGGTCGGTTGCTGGTGCCGAGTTAGTCTATGGACATATACTCTTTGAGTTTTGCCTGTTTATGATGGTGCTGATCGTAATAGAAGGGATGGTTGCGCATATAGGGCAGACTCACTGTCGCAACCCAGCACACCCGAACTTCATAACGTTGCCCTGGAACCAGCCCGTCCAGACGAAACCAAGACCTTCTTCCAGATGGAACTGCGGCAGTGGGAAACTCTGCTTCAAGGTGCTCCCGTATACTCGGCGCAGAGGGAGAGAGGGTCTTTAAATCAATGATATTTAGCAGCGCGGAATGTTCCTCGTCCAAATTCGGCGATATAAACATGGTCTTTTCAACGTTGGCTAGTGTAAGGCCAACGAAGAGAGTGATCAGCCACAAGAACGCCTGCATATTGGTCCGTAGCTTAGCCATGGTGTTTTATATTTGTAGGCGAGGTAGACGTATATCCAGGATATCCAGCTGTCGACCACAACCAAGACTCAACCGGAGGATGCAAAGGAGACAAGAGCAATAGCGGGGTCGATGATGCTATTATATCATTCCTGGCGGCATTCGGAATGGATGATCCCCTCTTCGAGTATCGCAGCAAGGCCGCCAGCAAACAACAACGGCCTCCAATGGCAATGTGACGATCATGCAAGTTAGAATTTGGAGAGGCCCAAGTAACTCGCCCACGGTGATACCTCCAACGCTAGCCTTCAAGCCCCAAAGCCTTATGCAGACCGTCAGCTGTCTCTGGTTCAATCGACACCTGAGGACGGTGTCCTGATGGCTGGCTGGTCGCTTGAGTATCGCTTCCTGGCAGCTGTCCCACCACACGACCGGTCTATCGTAAAGCCAGCGTTGCACCCATGTCGACGTAAGGTAGGATCACAAACCAGGCGATATATCAACCTATACGTCGTGGTCATATACTGTGTTGTATGTCGTTGTATAGAGGAAGACGCCGGAGTCCTCCCCGACCAGCTTGGCGCTTCCCCGGCGCGCTTATCCAGTCAGGTACCGCCCGAAAAAAAAGGGAGCCAATGACACACCACCAGCCATTGTTGACGAAAGGGAGAGAGAAAAAAAAAGAGAGACGAGCAACTCCCGATATTAATTTTTTTTCGTACGCTCGAGCTTGCAGAAGCTGCACGTTACTTATTCGTCCAAGGAGTAGAATCTATCCTAAGCCATCACTCGACATCCCACCTTCACACGGTTTTGCTTCCAGACGGCCGTTTCATCTTGGGCAGCAACGCTTCCCATTTATTGGAGCAGAGCCTCCATAATATCATCGACGTGGGGCAGAAGTCGCTCGTTACAAACAGCACAGTCGAGATATCGGGAGATCTCTATTCGCTATGAGAGAAGTGATTTCTTTGAATGGTATAGCATGCTGCAAGCTGCCGTGTGGATGACGCTTGATAGATCTGTTTTGCTGACATTGCCCTTTCTTTGTAGTCGGCCAGGCGGGTTGCCAGATTGCAAACGCTTCCTGGGAGGTATGAATACGGATTATTATTATATTATGTGCCTATCTTATAACACGGAACATGTTGCCTGACTGCCCTTGTCTTAATAGCTATACTGTCTCGAACACGGAATTCAGGTAATTGCCCAGCTTCACACCCGAGCCAGCCCGAAAAATCACTATTGACTGCCAGAACATATCGCCTAATACCACTGTCTTCTCCTATAGCCTGACGGTTATCTGACTGAAGAACGCAAAGCCGAAGCGCCAGATCAGGGAGCGTTCCATACGTTTTTCTCCGAAACAGGTATATATACCCCTTTCCCGTCCACCGCTTGTTACAACGCTAACTCTAACAATCGCAATAGGGAACGGCAAATATGTCCCTCGAACGATATACTGCGATCTCGAACCCAATGTTGTCGACGAAGTCCGGACCGGAACCTATCGTCAGCTCTTCCACCCGGGCCAGATGATTACCGGAAAGGAGGATGCTTCGAACAATTTTGCCCGTGGACATTACACCATTGGAAGGGAGATAATCGACAAGGTCGTGGATAGCGTTAACCGTCTTGCCGAGAATTGTGATGACCTGCAAGGGTTCTTGTTATTCCACTCCTTTGGCGGCGGTACGGGTTCTGGATTTGGAACGCTTCTGTTGGAACGTTTAGCCATGAACTACGCGAAGAAGAGCAAGCTTGAGTTTTGCGTCTACCCTGCCCCGAACCTGTCGACTTCCGTGGTTGAGCCGTATAACTCGGTGTTGGCCACGAGTTCAACAATGGAACTATCGGACTGCAGCTTTATCGTTGACAACGAAGCCATCTACGACATCTGCGCTAAACAGCTCACCATTGAACGACCTGGCTTGGAGAATCTGAACCGCCTCATTGCGCAAGGTAAGAATGTTCCTTATACACTTATTTATGCCGAAGCTAATGTAGTTATAGTCGTCTCTTCCGTTACGGCGTCTATCCGATTCGGCGGCTATCTTAATGTCGACCTCGCTGAATTCCAAACCAACCTTGTGCCTTTCCCCCGGGTCCATTTCCCCATGTTTGCCTATGCACCCATCGCCCAAGACTCGAGAGCATCCCACGAAACGAACTCCATCCAAGAAATGACGATCTCTTGTTTCGAGCCCAGCAACCAGATGGTGAAATGCAACCCCCGGAACGGCAAATACATGGCGACATGTCTGCTGTACCGTGGTGACGTCGTTCCCAAGGAGGTCCATTCGGCTGTTGCGGCAGTGAGGGCCAAGCAGACTATTCAATTTGTCGACTGGTGTCCTACCGGTTTCAAGATTGGCATCTGCGACAAACCTCCGCAGCACGTGCCAAATGGTGACATGGCGAAGGCGGACCGTGCAGTGTAAGTTGTTCTGAAACAGCCGCCAGATATATTAGTCCAGGGGGCTCAGACTAACGCGATGTAACAGATGCATGCTCTCCAACACGACTGCCATCGGGGAGGCCTGGACATCTCTCTGCGACAAGTTCGACCTCATGTACTCCAAACAAGCCTTTGTCCACTGGTTCGTCGGAGAAGGTATGGAAATGGGTGAGTTCACTGAATCTCGTGAAAATCTAGCGGCACTGGAGCGTGACTACCAAGAAATCGCCAATGATGAGGGTGACGAAGAACCCGAGCAGGAATACTAATCCAGCAGCGCTCATCAATCTCCTCCATCGTCATGCCACATTTTTGATACTAACTCTGGCTCGTTCACCCGCGCTACCTGCTCCGGTATCTGGGCTTCCAATGACAGCTAATCTCCAGACACTAACCAGTCGAAAGATGGCTTTTCTTGCAAAAAAAAGATGTGTTTGACGGGGAGCTTGGTTGTGTGTTGTCACGCTATGTTCTCGATTTAGGGAGTTCCTCTGGAATATGTTTTTGAGGTGCAAGGAGTTATTTGCATTCTTGAGTAGAATCTTCTTCACGCAGTGTCTTTAGAAATGGTAATTTGCAGCAAGCGTTTGAATATATTAATACTTTTGTATACTCTGATCTCTCTCTTTCTTCCTTCTCTTGCCGCTTTATTAGGCGATGACGTAATATTTACCTAATCGACTCCTCGGTGTGGATTTATCCGACCTCCGCCGCGTCCTGATTGGCTGCAGCGTTCGGAGTGAGCTTCCCCCCCCCAAAATAGCATCACGAACGACGACGACGAGGTTGGGAGGACGCTGTCTTCAGGACGTTTGCAAACCCTTCGTTTCAGCCCTCAGCACAGTCGAACGACTCGTCTGGCCTGTTCTCTCGGCTCGTTCTGCTTTCCCAACTTGCGACACTGTCTGACTTTCCGCGGCCTTTGGCGTCAGGGGCCCATTGTTTGGCCATCTGATATACGCTCTCTCCGTCCGCTTTTCTCAACATTGTGCACAATCGTTTCGAGCGTGAAGCTTCTCTCTCTAGCCATTCGCAACATACAGTTCTGGGGGGAGGGAATATACTGACAATATGGCTGCTGACAGTAAGCTCTCTTCGCGCGGTCTTTCTCGTTCCTGCTCTGTTTTTACTCCGCATTCCCCAGGACGTTTCTCAACCCTGCAAGATGCGCAACACACAGGCTGACGCGTGTTGGAATTGCTCCCTCTAGCTTCACAACACCCCAATCTAAACCTGACGCCCGAAGAGAAACGAGTGTTTTATCAGTTATTCCAAACGGCGGATAAGACCAATCTGGGTGTTATCACGGGAGAAACGGCGGTCACCTTCTTCGAGAAGACAAACTTGGCCCCCGAGACCTTGGGTTTGGTAAGAGTCCTGTTTTACAGCTTCGAATCTTCATTCAGGCCTGTAGAGTGATGGATCTAGCGAGGGTTGGTCGCTAATTTCAATACAGATCTGGCAAATCGCAGATACGCAGAATCGCGGGCTTTTGACGCCATCAGGTTTTGGCATTGTGATGAGATTGATCGGCCATGCGCAGGCTGGTCGACAACCGTCAGAGGAATTGGCTTTACAGCGTACATCTCTCTTCCCTTGGCGCAAGAGTGACAGCCCTCTTCTACGAGTGAATTAACTGACGTGTTTTTGATTCCGATAGCCGGCCCTTTACCTAGTTTTGCCGGTCTCAACATAGATCCGCAAACTGCCTCAAGTCCACCTCCGAATAGCGCCCCTCTCAGGGTACCACCATTAAACCCCGACGATGTCGCGAAGTTTTCCGCTCTTTTTAATAAATCAGACACGCAAAATGGGGTTATCTCTGGTGCGTACCGAAAGCGTGTGTGATAAACTAGCTGAATGCTAACTACGTGATGATAATAGGAGAGACCGCGAAGCAAATATTCGAGCGGGCACGTCTACCCAATGAAATACTGGGCAGAATATGGAATCTAGCGGATTCGACACAGCGCGGTGCTTTGGACTCTGCAGAATTTATAATCGCTATGCACCTCTTAACTGCCTATAAATCAGGTACTCTGAGGGGAATACCCCCCACGCTACCACCGGGATTATACGAAGCTGCGGCTCGGACGGCGGTGACACGGAATTCAACGGGCTCTCGATCTGACGTGCCGCCAGTGCCTGCTATCCCAAAGCAATTCAGTGGCCCTGGTGCACCCCGTGCACAGAGTCCCTTAAGCCAGATGCATACAGGAGGCGACTGGTTAATCACTCCCCAAGACAAGGCACATTTTGATAGTGTGTTTGCAACCGTAGACAAAGCAAGGAGCGGATATATCAATGGAGACCAGGCTGTTGGCTTCTTCACTAATGCACGCCTGCAAGAAGAGGTTCTGGCACACATCTGGGATCTATCAGACATTGACTCTGACGGCCAGCTAAGTAGGGATGAGTTTGCAGTAGCCATGTATCTGGTCCGCCAGCAGCGCACGACAAAGGAACCGCTACCACAGACCTTACCCCCTAATCTGATCCCGCCCAGCATGCGACGCCTAAGCGCTCGTGCAGTTCAGCCTCAGTCAACCGGAGCCAGGTCAGCGACTGAGGATCTCTTTGGTCTTGATGTGTTCACGGCGCCTACTCAGATACCACAGTCTACAGGAGGTTCAAGCTCTCACTTCCAGCCGCCGTCCTCACCAACACGCCAGATCCAGTCATCAACCTTTAAGCCCTTTGTGCCTGCGTCCTCCTTTGGCCAGAGCCTAGGTCCTATCACTGGCGGCCGCTCTACTCCTGGAATGCAACACATATCATCGGCATCTCCATCTGACGACCTGCTCGGAGACGCGGACCCCGAGGAGAGCAAGAAGTTGACTCAGGAAACTACCGATCTCGCAAACCTTTCCAACCAGGTTGGCACGCTGTCCAAGGAGATGCAAAACATACAGACCAAGCGCGGAACAGCTGAACAAGACATCGGCCAGGTTGACCATCAAAAGAAAGAGTTTGAAGCCAGACTTGCACAGGCTCGAGCAATGTACGAAAACGAAGTCAAGTCCCTAAAGGCACTTGAAGAGCGGTTAACGACCTCGCGCGCCGAGTGCAAGAAGCTTGAACAAGAATATGCCCTGATCGAAGCCTCCCGTCGCGATCTGGCTACCCAATACAGCCAAATGGCAGCTGCACTAGAAGCTGATCAGCGCGAAAACGCCTCCTTGAAAGAAAAAATCAAACAAGCGAATGCACAAACCAGTCAGCTAAAACCACAACTCGAGAAGACTCGATCCGAAGCTCGTCAGCAAAAGGGGTTGGTGGCTATAAACAAGAAGCAGCTTGCAACGGTTGAAGCGGAACGGGACCGTCTCCAAGAAGAACTTGATCAATATAGCCAACACCACGAAGGATCAGAACGAGACGTTACTGCCCCCGGTTCCCACAATTCACCATTTGAAAGCCCTACCGCTTCAACCAGCAGCGCAAAGAACCCATTCTTCAGACGAGGAACGGGTATGTCCTCTCCCGGCGCGCTTTCACCTCAGGCCACGGGTCAGAAGCAGCAGCAAGAGAACGACAACCGCAACGTCTTCGATAACATGTTCGGGCCCTCGTTTACTGCCCCATCGACCTCCACCCCTCCCCCACAAACCACGTTCAGAGCCGCATCCCCTCAGACCAGCACCGCAGCTTCGAAGGAATCGTTCACTCCCGAGGGTGGAAGAGTCGCCAGCAGCAGCGGTAATTTCACGCCATCTACCGCCTTTGATAGTCAATTCGGAGCACCTTCAGAACCACCAGCGCCTCCCCTTTCAAGGCAGATTACCCCTAACAACCTGCCTCTTGAAGGGCACATAGCATCTGTAACATCATCCAACAGACCATCTCCACCAGCCAGTCGCTTTGGCACATCAGTTATTTCAGATGCGGATGCATTCAAGAAGCAAGCATCTCCTTTTGACGAAGAACCAATCGATGAGGATGCCACGCCAGGAGGAAATGACGCGAAGCAACTTCAACAAGCCGAAGATCCAGAGCCAGATCTTCCCGGTGCCTTCCCAACAAACACTACGCCGCAGCCTGAGCAGACTAAGAAGGACGTCAGCTTTGATGAGCTGTTTGCTAATGTGGGACATGCAAGATCCCCATCGCAAAAGGCTTCGGATTTTGATGAAGCCTTCGCATCCATGAAGAAGCCAGCCAGCAAGGGCGATGGAGAAAAAACTAAATCTAACGGGTCTGCTGCCGCCGAAGGCAACGAATTTCCTCCTATTAGGGAGTTTGAAGTAGATGATGACGATGATGATTCTTCTGACGATGACCATGCTGGGTTTGATGATGATTTCGCGCCCGCCTCTCCACCAAGACAAACGTCGCCTCCTTCACAAGCATCTAAAGATGCGCCTCAAAAGTTTTCCTTCCCCCCCATAGAAGCACTTAGCAATCCTACGTCTCCCCCCTCCGGCGCTAACGCTCAGAACAACGCCCCCGGAGCCACTCAACTCGGAACTATCAGTCACCAGCCTTCCGCCAGTATCAAGAAGGCGGCAAATCCTGACTTCGAAGCTGCTTTTGCCGGCCTTGACCTGACTCCAGCAAAGGAAATCGAAGATGATGGCGACGATGACGACGATGATTTTGAGACCGCATTCAATAAAGACGCGTCTAATTTCGATATTTCTTTTGACTCCCCCTCTGGCCCTCCCAAGCATACGAGCAACTCTAGCAGTGCAGACTTCTTTTCATTCCAGTCTAACACTGGAGGAAACGCCAACCCAGCTGCAGTAGCTTCGCAAAACGGCAAATCTCCATTCTCTCAGGATACATCTCCAGCTACGGGAAATAATGCCAGCTCGAACCACGACTGGGACGCTTTATTTTCTACCCTTGACTCGACGAAGGTCGCAGCCGGCGGAGGCAAAGAGGCCGCGAAACTTCCTTCTGGAGAACAAGCTAAGCCAGGCGATGCCTCAACTATTTCGTTCCCACAGCCACCCAGCCAAAACAAGCCAGCTGGGTGGGCACTTGATTCCAACACAGGTGAAGACGATATGATACTCCAGCGATTGACGGGAATGGGTTATCCACGCGACGAAGCGCTCGCCGCCTTGGAGAAATTCGATTACAAGCTCGATGAAGTGAGTCCCATATCCTCCTTCCTTTGCTGAGAATTAACCGCTAACATCACTCTAGGCTGCCGATTTCCTTGCTTCTAAGTCATAAATCACACGGTTTTTTCCACATTCTATTAAAACAATACCCGGGGGAAAATGGCCATTAACACTTTTATCTTCTTTCCTTCCCCAATCACGACAAACACTTAAAATACGTTCCCTTTGTCCCCTCTTTGCCCTGACAGAAGGATACTTTAATTCCCATTGTCAACGTACATAAGCCTTCTTTGTTTTCTTTGTTGCCAACCCGCTGTTGCGATGCTTCCTTTCTTCACCCCTCAAACCCCTTGTAGCTTTAATTTAACGACCTTTCAGCTAAGCATATATTTCTTACTCTTCCCGCTAGCGATTGGCGTTTTTAACGCTTTTCTTTGCTGCTTGTATAACTATCTGCGCTTCGGGAATTATCTCGTAATGTAATTCAATATACGTTTTGCTAAATCCCGCGAAAGACTAGCTACCTTATCTTCAACACATGGGGAGGCTCTGGCATGTAGAGGCTCTGGCATGTACAAGTTGAACGAGTTGTAAAGCTCGATGATGTTTGGATATTTAGTTACGGCCCTGGGAAGTACTATATCCGCATGGAGCTTAAATTAAGCTGTAAATTTACCTCTAACAACAGGGTTGTTTGGTCCCGATGGCGATGTGCATGATACGGTGGCTTCATACATGAGCAAGCATTCTGGTTAGGAACAGTATATCAACCATGGGGAGCGGTCAGGGATATAAATGAAATATAACTGCGGTCAACAAGCACAGAATTAGAGAAAAGATATATGTATTAACCATCGTATTCCACTATTAGAACGGTATATGTCTGTATGCATAGACAAACAAATAAATTAATCAACTGAGGGGGTATCACATTATCAAAGCATCGTTTCCAGAAATTATTTTTTTTTTCAGTGTTTCCAGATGTTCATATTTATCCGAACGGAGAAAAGAGATTAGGAGGAAGTATGGAATCAACCGATAGATCGTTGGTTGGTCATATCGCTCAGTTTGTTCAGACCGCAGGCTGAGGTTGACCATCTGTGGCCGCCTTAGTTCGACCGGTGATTATGGGCATGATGTTAAGGCCGAAAGTAGCAGCGAAAGTAGCCCTATAAGGAAAGAAGAGTAAACCATTAGTCGCTTGAACAAGTACAAGATATGGATGAAGCGAGATAATTACCATTCAAAGGCACCAAGGGCAGCGGCAGCCTTCACGACACTGCAGACCGTGCAGTTTCCAAGGACAGAGATATCAACAGCGAGGGAGATAAAGGCCGAAAACCAGAAGACGACTGTGGCGCCTTCGACTCCGAGAAGCGCATACTGGTGCGCGAGGGCAGGGAAGAACTTTGGCGCAAAGACAAGGTATGGAAGGGCGATGAAGAGGGTCCAGATGCAGTCGAAGAGCATGAAGTTGGCGCTGTCCAGGCTGCCGCCAAAGGTATTTTGGCGGATATAGTTGACAACTAAATAAAAGTAGGCAGGTTAGTACACAGAACCAACTTGTTGATACGAAGGTATATTACACACAGTAGGCGATTAGTCCCAGAACAACGACGGCCAGGAGCGCCTGGACGCCGCGAAGGATCAGGATAATGTTAGGCATGGTGACGTTATCCCGCAAGGCAGGGAAAGCTAGGACCGGGGAGCTGGGAGAGTGCAGGGAAGATGTAGAAGCTCAGCTATGGCAGGGCGAGGTGTCTGCTTTTATATATCTCGACAGAGCCGCAAGGGAGGTGAATAGAAAGTAAAAGAAGGGAAACAAAAGTGGGAAGCGAGAGAACTATATATGTATGACGACGACATGCACGAGATATTTTAGAATATTGAGAGCAAGGAGCCCACCTTGCTATTATTATACCTCGTATTTGAGGCTGTCGATAGAAGCTTACGGAGAGGGGACTTAACGGGCTCAGACATCCACTTTTCTTAATAGAAGAGCTAGGGCGCACATCCTCAGCTCGAGAGCAAGAGTTATTGGACTGGTCGTTGGGCTCAAGCGAAATAATAGCCAGGCTTGGAGTTTATATCATATTCGCGGATCCAGAGCAGGGAATATCCCATACATCACACTCGGGTCGGACGTATATGCGGGCCTGTCACCTGAAGAAGAAAGCTGACACGGTAAATATCCGTAGTCGAGCCTCGCCGTCGTCCGGTTTGGTATATAAACCGTGTTTGCTGCCTCTCTGCTATGTAGTCATTTCTTCGTCGCAGGGATGTTGAAACGGCGGTTTATCCCTACCTCATCCTTGTCTTGGTTCCAGCTTAAGTCGTCATGTTGGCACAGGCTTGTACCTGTTCGAGCTGTGAAGAAGTACCCGTTCTCTATATGGAATACCCTGTGGTATAGAGAACTACCAAGTGGGCGCGCCTATCCACCATGACCGTCATGATTTTCTTTGCAGCGTTGAATTACGTCGACCACGTCACGGCCTGTCAACTTGCAGATAAAGTGGCTTGCTAGTGGTGGGGGAATCAGTCCCTGGCTATATCCCCGCTATATGTTGATAATATTCTGGATTTCGTCAATACCCCATCGCCGTCAATGTTTCCGCAAGCACCAAAGTGTTGACTGCAATCGAAAATGGAGTTCTATCCCAAGGCCGCCCAGGTCATCCCGCGACCAAAGCCGATGAAGGTGCTTGTTTTAGGGCTACCGCGTACAGGCACCACATGTGTGTATATATACCCCAATCATGCCATGGATAGCGTATTCGTGTCTAACTTGGAGGCACAGCCATTTGTGCGGCTTTAACGCTGCTCGGCTTGAATCCATATCACTATAACGAAGTGGTTAAAAATAATGAAAATGACCACTTCAGGCTCTGGATGAAGGCTGTACAGGCCAAGTACGACGGTATAGGCGAGCCGTTTGAGGGAGCGGATTTCGATCGTATGCTTTGGAATAATGATGTGAGCTGTTGTCTCTTTTTGAACATACCCTCGCGATGGATGGGGCTTGATAGTGAGATATAGCATCTCGACCAGCCTCAATTCTCTGCTACCTCTCCAGTAGAATATTAACGAGGTCAGATAGGCTGTCTCGGATGATCCTTGCTGTTTCTTCGTTGAAGAACTCATAGCCGCATACCCTGAGGCAAAGGTTGTCCTTACCACACGTCCAAGCGATGCATGGCTCAAGTCCATGCAGAAACTAATTCTCGAAATCCTTTCCTGGAGATCTTGGGGGGCTCTATGTTTTTTTGACCGCGAGTTCTCTGCACCCTATCAGGCACTCCTCAACCGCACCACTTCCATTCTATCCAAGGGTCTCCCGCCATGCGAACCGTCCTCCTACCCGACCCTTATTCGATCCTTCGAAGAACATAATGAGCGCGTTCGTTCTGCCGTGCCAAAGGAGCAGTTACTGGAGTTTAGGGCAGACCAGGGCTGGGGGCCACTATGCGAGTTTATCGGCGTGCCTGTTCCAGAATGCCCGTACCCCCATCTCAATTCGGGGCCTGAGGCGATGCAGCTTGAGAAGTCATTGTATTGGTCACGGTGGTATTGGGTGGCCCAGCAGCTAGGGATGAAAATGGGCATGACGGTCTTAGTATTAGTCGCTGCACTGTGGTTTGCCAGCATATCCTAGCAGCCATAACTATTTCTATAGACGTCGATAGAATAAGACGTTGTTGTATTCCGTAGATAGTCGAATATATTTCACCTAAAAGTCACTGCATGTATTGTCGCACCAAGAGCCACTCTAATTTCCTCTGTGTATGGCGTACTCTGTACCAAGAAACTAATGTGTAGTTCACCGTGCGGTACCAGATGACCTGCTGCGTAAACGAAAGGCTGTATGCATACAATGGCAAGTCATAGGTGCACGAGACAGCTGTTCTCGCTTGTCGGCCCAATTGGTTAGCTACAATTAGTGTCGGGTAGCAAGCTCGTCCACCATGAACGAAGCTAAATTAGCAGGCCAAGAGCTGTCATGGGCGCCACGAGTGGCTTAGCTGGTCCTTGCTGACGTGCTCTAGCCTGCTCTTAACATCACTATGCCGGGTATTAGTCCTCTGTAGCCGGTTGGACAAATTCCAGGATGGGGACGAGGAACTTAGGGAGATAACACCGCAAATCGGGTTATGGAAGTACCCCTGAAAGTTTCTTTTTACTTAATCTCCTTTATTAAACATTTGCTGTCATGCGATGGCTCAATCCATGCTAAATGCGGCTTTTGAGGTAAAAGAGTTGTAGAGCCTCACAGAGACATGGCATGCTGGATGGCGGCTTATCCTAGCATAATGCCATGGTATAATTGACGTAAAATGTACTATTTGAGTATTAGCCCTGATGATCTTTCTTGATAGCCTATTTGAGAAGCCTAAGTAAACCCGGTTGAATGAAAATGAACAGATCTTCCGGGCCACGCAGGCCGCTTGGGAATCAGTCTACAGGGGCCAGAATCCCTGGTGACGGAACGGACATGGTATATCCATCTATATCTTTAAGTTGGAAGAGACGGGAAGAGACGGGACGATGAAGATGGGGAGACGAGAAGACGAGAAGACGAGAAGTGAAGAGGTCTAGAGAAGAGAGAAGTGAAGATGTCTAGAGATGAAGATATATAAAATGTATGGCAGAAAGACGAGTCGTCAACTATTGCCTAAAGCGGTATCACCAACGTATCTCTTCCACGTCCATATAACATACAGAGTAACAACTTCATCCACGTCTGATACATCTGATATACTCCGTACTCTACAACTGTCAGACCAATGTCTATACAACACCACTGTGAGTAGACTACACCACTCTCCATGATGATATACTAACGGCGCTTCCCACCAGAACACCGGCCATCCCGTATACAACATCTGTCACTTCACTGCTCTACGACTTCGAAACGCAACCGTACCCACCTGCAACCCAAAATCCAGCGATAACCAACGAACCTACCGGATCACGCAATCCGCATGCGCGATGCGCGCGAGACTTCGAGGATACAAGATGACCCCGCGCTCTATACAGACGTTTATTCCCTCCCTCCAGCTCGTCCTCCTCTCCCTCACATCCGCCCTCATCTCAGCACGCCGGCTTCTTTCGCAATTGCATTTGCTTCTTCCAGATCGACTAGCGGACAAGCAGCGATATCCCTACCCCAGGCCCTGTCTACCCCGCCTCTACGTGGCTTCTGCTTTGTTTAAATACGATCTCGGGACCTGCGGTTGATCGCGATCGAGAGGGGCACCTACGATCACAACTTTTTCCTCCTCAATCACCGTTCTGTACAGTCGAGTTTGCCCGTCATGGCTGCTGAAAATCGCCGTTTCGAGACCCTCCAACTGCATGCTGGGTAAGATTGAGGCCTCATCTCTTTTAGTAGACTTAATGCTAACGGAATTCTCAAGGCAAGAGCCTGACGCGGCTACCAATGCCCGCGCAGTCCCCATCTATGCCACTACTGTTAGTGATATTCTTTACGCGAATTGTGGCCGAGACCGAACTGATAGATCGTTCCCTTCTAGTCCTTTACGTTCAAAGACTCCGGCCATGCTGCGAGACTGTTCAGTCTGAAGGAATTCGGCAACATCTACAGCCGTTTGATGAACGTATGCAACGCCTGACCTCCTATATTTCAAGTGAAGAGCCAAGCAGCTAATTCGTATTCCCTTAATTGTGGCGCATGGCTAGCCCACCGTTGATGTCTTTGAGAAACGTATTGCCGCCCTTGAAGGTGGTGTAGCGGCCGTGGCTGCATCCTCCGGAATGGCTGCGCAGTTCATGGCCATTTCCGCCCTAGCTCACGCCGGTGACAACATTGTGTCCACCACCAACCTCTACGGAGGCACATACAACCAGTTCAAGGTTTTCCTGCCTCGACTAGGAATTCAGACTAAATTCATCACCGGAGAGGACCCAGAGGGAGTTGCTGCGTTGATTGACGACAAGACCAAAGCCATTTACGTCGAGACCATTGGAAACCCAAGATACAATGTCCCAGACATCGAGGCCATTTCAAAAATTGCAAAGGAAAAGGGCGTTCCACTGATAGTAAGCCGATAACCTTGTAGAATTTGCCTTGGAACCGGAAGTATAGGGGCTGACTATTCCTAGGTTGACAACACCTTCGGCGCAGGAGGCTACTTCTGCCGTCCCATCTCCCACGGAGCCGACATCGTCGTGCACAGTGCCACGAAATGGATCGGTGGACACGGCACCACCATTGCCGGTGTGGTCGTCGATGCTGGCACATTCGACTGGGGCAAGCACGGCGCGCGATTCCCCCAATTCGTAGAGCCATCCGAGGGCTACCACGGACTTAAATTCTGGGAGACCTTTGGTAACATTGCGTTTGCTATCCGTGTCCGTGTCGAGATCCTTCGCGACCTAGGCTCAGCACTTAACCCATTCGGTGCTCAGCAGCTTCTGCTTGGTATCGAGACACTCAGTCTGCGTGCCGAGCGACATGCTTCCAACGCCATGGCGCTGGCCAAGTGGCTTGAAAAACACGACGATGTCGCATACGTATCGTACCCTGGTCTGGAGAGCCATGAGAGCCACGAGACGGCGAAGAAGTACTTGGCAAACGGGTTTGGTGGTGTTTTGTCCGTGGGAGTCAAGGGCGGCGCAGAGGCTGGAGTTAGGATCGTTGACGGATTCAAGATGATTTCCAATCTCGCCAAGTAAGTCATAGTCTTATCATCCCACTAGTACGGAGAGATAGTTGCTAGAACGTCGAGGCTAACTCTTGTGTCAATAGTGTGGGCGACTCGAAAACACTGGCCATCCACCCTTGGTCGTCAACCCACGAGCAATTGACGGAAGACGAGCGTCGCGCTGCTGGTGTCAAGGACGACGCGATCCGCATCTCAGTCGGCACAGAGCACATCGACGATATCATCGCCGACTTCGAGCAGTCGTTCGCCGCCAGCAAGACTGCCCTTGCTGACCGTTCTGCGTAGAGCGCTGTTGTATTGTAGGGACCAGGCCAGCAAAGCGATATGTAGCTGTCGTAGCTAGTTAAATGATAGACGAGCCATGATACATGTGATATACTCCGTACACTCGTAGTCCAGTAATATCACATGGAGTACTCTCTTATCCCATCTTCTCCTTCGCGTCTCTTCCGCCAGTCGGGATTTCGGGCCTCGTTCAGAAAACGGCTAGCTGGCCCAGCCGAGGCTTGCATAAACGGAGCGGAGTACCAGTACCCATTATTTTTCAAATACGCATCATAGCCTAGTGAAATACGGGTACCTCTTTGCTGGATCTAGCCGCAAAAAGGTACTTATCAGGGGGCATGTGAAGATGATACATCCTAACCGCAGAAGTACCGATACATGCTCGGCGCAAACACCACGAAAGGCATCAAGTGCGCTGGCTCCGTAAAGGGAAATATTCCTCCTCCGTCTTCTTCTCTCTCTCTCTGTCTCCCTGTTCCTCTTCTCACGGCCTTCTCTTCCCCCTGCTCCTAGATACGCCGCTGCTGGACTCTTATTCCTATATACGGCGCCCTCGTTTTCTCCTTCCTGGCTCCGAGATAGCTATAGCACATGTACGTTCATGCTGGTTCCCGTCCATCAGCTGCTCAGCTGGTGCCACGTCTGGGAGTCCCCCAGCTCTTCCCCGCGCATTTCCCCAGCATTTTTCGGTAATCTATAAGCTAACGGGTGTTTGGTCTGCTGCTGTAGTGCCGATTATATACGTATCACTCCCAGGAACCGCTTCACAGGCCAAGAGAGGCGGAAGATAGTTGGACACAACGGAATCGCCGCCTGCGTTTGCGTCTATACCGATACCTATAATATACATACACCCGTGGAAGAAGCACGATTCCTGTCACAATGCTGTTTTCGTCTGAAGATCCGCTTAAAACGGCCGCGATGGAATATAGCCAGCGGCCTCCCAAGGGCACGCCCGAGTCTGTTACGATCCCCAACTCGGAGCTACCCGGTCGAAGCAAGATATACAGACATTGGAAGGTCGGCAGCGGAGAACTGCCCCAGTCCATTGACCCAAATGTGAGCTTCGCCGTTCCTCCTTGAACTATATATAGGCTACGATAGGCGGCTAGGCGCATTTTGAGGTCGTTTCTTTATGCAAGCGCGAGAACAATGGAAGCTAATTATTCGGGTTCATTGTTGGCTTAGGTTCGCACGGGTCATGATATGTTTGAATCCGCAGGTTCGTTTACTCCTTTTCCCTTCTTTGTTACACCGTTCATATTTTTTATTTTTGGCGGAGCTGTTTGGCTAATTTCAATCCAGCCTTGAAACATCCAAAACGGCCCTGTCTGGGCTACCGTCCTTGGGTTCCCGCTACACAGAGCTATGGCCCGTATGTTTGGATTGACTACCAGACTGTCCAGAAGCGACGTGCCGCAATTGGGGTTGGTCTGGCGGAGCTTCACGAGCGCATTGGTGTTCAGGGACGAAATTATGGTGTTGGCCTCTGGTGCCAAAACCGCCCTGAGTGGCAGCTTATCGGTGAGTACGGCGCATTTCTTCTCTTGCGGTGCCCGAGGCGGAAGCTAACAAATTCAGACCTGGCATGTATGTCTCAGGGAATTTTCTCGGTTTCGCTCTATGAAACCCTCGGACCAGAAGCTACCGAGTATATCGTTCAGAATACCGAGCTTGCCTGTGTTGCTTGCTCTCTCCCCCATGTCCCAACCCTGCTCCGATTGAAGCCTCGTCTTCCTAGCTTGAAGTTCATAGTATGCCTGGAAGATCTCGACTCTGATGAGCCGCAAGGCCACTCCAAGCGTGACATCCTCAACCCCATTGCTGCGGAGCTTGGTGTTACCATCTACACGATGAAGGAGGTCGAAGAGCTCGGAGCTTCCCTCAACAAGCCTTACACCCTCCCATCTCCAGAGGACACTATCACCATCAACTATACCTCTGGAACTACTGGCATGCCCAAGGGAGTTGTCCTTACCCACTCCAACGCTGTAGCTGCCGCTTCATGCTCGCTAAGCACGATTAACCAGGGAACCGATGACGTCGCTTGCTCCTATCTACCCCTTGCCCATATTTATGGACGGCTAGTTGAGCAGACTCTTCTCTGGGCTGGTGGCCGAATCGGCTACTTCCACGGGAATATCCTCGAGCTTGTCGACGACTTCAAGCTCCTGAGGCCTACTGTCCTTGCCTCTGTTCCTCGTCTTTATAGCCGTTTCGGTGGAGCTATCCGTGCCGCAACTGTGGAACAACCTGGCTTCAAGGGTGCTCTCTCCAGACATGTCGTTGCAACCAAGACCGCGAACCTAGTTGATGCCAAGCCAAAGGATGCCATACTTACGCATTCCTTCTACGACAAGATCTGGACCAGGAAGGTCGCTGCTGGACTTGGGTTCGACCGCATGAGGTGCATGGTCTCTGGTTCTGCACCACTCGATTCTTCTCTACATCAGTTCCTCCGAATTGCATTCGGTGCCAATATTGTTCAGGGATATGGTTTGACTGAGAGCTACGCCATTGCTACCTGCCAATCCTCATATGACTTGACGGCCGGCCACTGTGGTTCTCTAGCCATTTCCCAGGAGGCATGTCTCCTATCTCTTCCAGACATGGAATACTCTGTCGACGATAAGCCATATCCCAGAGGTGAATTGCTCCTTAGAGGAAACGCCATGTTCAAGGAATACTACAAAAACCCCGAAGAAACGGCCAAAGCGATGACTGAAGATGGCTGGTTCCGTACCGGAGATGTCTGCAAGGTTGACGAATTTGGTCGCTTCCACATCATCGATCGCCGGAAGAACTTGCTCAAGCTTGCTCAGGGTGAATACGTGTCTCCTGAACGCCTTGAGGGTATCTACCAGAGTTCCTGCCCATATATTGCCCAGTCGTTCGTCCATGGCGATAGCATCCAGTCGCATCTTGTTGCCATCTTTGGCATCCAGCCTGACATATTCGCTCCCTTCGCCAGCAAGGTGCTGAGGAAGCAGATTGCCATGGATGATGTCGAGGCTCTCAAAGCCGCTGCCAATGACGAGAAGGTCATTCTCGCTGTCCTCAAGGACATGGAGCGTGCTGCTAAGACGAACAAGCTTTCGGGATACGAAAAGGTGAAGAACATTGCGCTCATGGTCGAGCCATTTTCCATAGATAATGGACTCTTAACCCCTACGTAAGTTTCTCTTATTACTCCAACTCTTGGTACTATATTCTAACATCATTAACCCATAGTCTAAAACTCAAACGTCCTCAATCCGTCAAGATGTACCGCGATGTGTTTGATAAGCTATATGCTCACACCCCCAACCTCTCGGCGGCAACCGCCCCCAAGGCTAAGCTGTAAAAAAGACGACGACTGCACAGTGACTCCTTTAGATATATTATTACCTTTCCCTTTATGTTATGAATGCCTGAGGGATATTATTATTTAGCATTTTAATGCATTCAAGAATATAGATTTTGCTTATATAATCACTCTATCCCGATAGCTCTTGTATCCCCAGTAATAAACTACGAGAGCAACGACATCACTCTTCGCTGCGATTAAGGGCGAGACGTGAACTCGGCAGTCTAGCAGCCATGCATTTCTCATATTCCTCTCTTCTGCTCTCGCTCCTCGCCCTATCTTCCGGCGCTGTCTCGTCAATACTAACCGTCACCCTCCCGGCGTCTGTCAATCCTAGCTCTCTCCCACCCTCCACCTACGCAACCCTCACCACGATCTCGCTACCTAATGGACCCTTAAAAGCGCCATTATCCCACCTCTCGACTTTCGTGTTCGACAACCTATCGCTTCCCATAGGTGCTAAGGATTTCCATGAGCCGATATCATACCTCCTTGACATCCATTCACACAATCATGTTTTTGCGCCATACAGAGTCGATGTATCTGCCGAGACGGGGAAGATCATTGGCGTCTGGGAGACATATCGTGGTCACCCATGGGATAATAAGGGAGCTGAGAAAATCCTTCCCGGCGGGGGCTATGCGCCCGGAGTAGTTGTGGTGGAGGCGAAGATGCTTGCAAAGAAGGAATTCTACGAGCAAAGAGAAAAATGTATACCCCATCCTAACCCCCCGAATTGTTAGGCTATGGTGAGCAGGGAGGCTAACTGTCGTGTCTTTGCCTAGTTTCGCCGCTGAGCTTATTGAAGAATCCAATGCTTCTTCTCGCCGTCTTCGCATTGGGTGTTACGGTTGGAATGCCTTACCTTATTGACAGCAGTAAGTCCAATTTATATAACCCTTTATCTCTTCCTCCGGCTCTGGGCTCTCTTTACTCGTATAAAGCTTGAATCTAACCGGGAATTAGTGGACCCTGAAACTCGTGAGGAATTCGAGAAACAGCGGTCGGCGAAGAAGACTGGTGCCAACCCTACTCCGGGATTCGATCTGGCCGGCTGGATGGCGGGGACAAGCCCCAATCTCATCGAAACCAACAAACCTGCTGCTTCTAGTGGGAGGGAACAGGAGCCAGCTGCAGCGTCGGTTCGGAGGAGAGGTTAGGCTGTCAGGAGGGAATTCACGTTAATATACTAAAAGTGCATGAGAAAGCGCTGTAGATAACAGTCTATTATATACAGAGCATTTACGTAAAATCTGGGATACGTATTTTATCATATACTGATTATAATTAATAATGACTATGATTAATGGTGTTTCTAAACGATCTCCGAAATGGTAAATCTAATAGTTAAGAGAAAGGGGGACTGTATTTGGGGATTAAACATAACCTGTGTCAACCATCTTTGATTTAGGCGGCTCTCGGGGGTGACCAACACTCCAGGGACCAACACTCCAGGGACAGGGTTTAGGATGGCGTATGCCACATTTACGTGAAAATCAAGGGGGTCATAGATTAGATCAGGGGTGTCTCCCAGCAAGGCTGCTGTATTTATATCCAGAGATGCCTCCGGTTAAATGCCCACTCTTCTAGTCACACACTTCACATAAACAAGCAATATCCATTTCATCATGTTTATTTTGGTATCCATTATAACTCTTATTACGGCCGCAATTGCTGCTGCCACACCTACATCCACGCATTCGCCGTTCCTCTTGCCTGTCCCTTCAGGCCCCTATAATGTCCGGCAAGAGATCCAAGAACTTACAGATTCCTCGAGAAGGGATTATAACTCGACTGGTCCACGAAGACTGATTATTTCTCGCTTTGATCCCATCCCTAAACATCACTGCATTAAAACTGAGGACGTCCCTACTTTCCCACCAGCTTCTGCTAAAATCGAGGACGACGTCCTGCAGAGGGACTATAAATTCGGAGACCTATGGATAAGAGGCCTCTTTGCAGCATCGCGGCTCAAGGTATGCAGCAAAGTTAGGAGCGCATATGCCTCCAACCTCGAGGAACAAAAGAGCAACCATGGCTTCCCTTTGCTTCTCTTTTCTCCCGGCTTCTATACGACACGGCTGCTCTATTCGTCCATGGCTCAGAATATCGCCAGTATGGGGTACACCGTCATTACCATGGACCACCCACATGATACAGATGTTGTGGAATTTCTCAACGGTGATATCATCCTGGGCGAAAGCACATTTCCCGACCCGCTGCCTCTCTGGCAAGACTTTCGAGTCAAAGATACCATCTTCGTGCTTGACGAGGCTATGAAGAGATCCCCCAATGCCCGCGTGGGTATGCTGGGCCACTCCTTTGGTGGCTCTACACTCCTCTCAGCCATGGTCAAAGACGGGCGTATTGGTACCGGAGTCAACTTTGACGGCACTCTGTTCGGTTCTGCACTTGATATAGGACTCGGAGGGAAGAACCGGCACTTCCTGCAATTCGGTGCACGCGCTCATAACAGACTGGATAATGAGCCTTCATGGAAGAAGCTATGGGAGACAATGGATCGCCTCCATCCGGACGTCTGGAAGAAAGAGATTAATCTCTGGGAAGGACGGCATAATTCATTCACTGATTTCTCAGTAATGATTGATGCTGCTGGTGTTAGAGACGATCTTGATTTTGGTGTCAGCTACAACCTGACGGGGAATATCAAGAGCTCGAGGGTATCGGGGCTGGTCACGGCATATGTTCACGACTTCTTCCAGTTTGCGTTATCGTCTAGCAAGGATGAAGGTCTTCTCAGGGGACAAAACCCGAGAATTCCAGAGATCGGTTTCATCACAGGTGAAAATGAGATGTAGCACAGCGTTGCGATTCCTAGATGTCTCCCTCGCTCATGTCGTACATATTAGGGCGTTTCGTTAGCCAGGAATTTGATATCAATTTCTCCCACCTTTCTTCATCTCGCCAGTAGACGTCGTACGAATCGTGGACAGGCGTAGAATGTGGCAGCCATAAGTCGATATTTTCAGTGCTAACGTCGGTCATGGGGGGATGTCTTCTGATCTCGAGTCGTAGCAGGCCGTGTATTTATCTTGCGGTGAACCCAGCTAACCAGCAGTTCGTCTCTGCAATAGTCGATGACCACTACTTATTTCTATCGTCTATAAGTTCTTCGTCTGTAGGTTTCTTCTTCTATAAGTTCTTCTTCTATATGTTCATGGCATATTCTCCCTGGATGGCTTGTTGCGCTTACTAAGATCTAACTAGAGAATCGACCAGGACAAGGCCAGGACAAGCCAGGACGCAGCCAGCACATCTCGGCGCCCTCTGGCTGGTGGAAGTCCGTCTTGCGTCTGTACGGATGCGCCGGATCGTCTTCCAGTGCGAGTTTCAGAGTCCACGGACAGGAAGCGCTGCGCCACCGAGGAACCAGCGTTGTCTTATGGGAAAGGTTCATCCTTCGTCACTTAAACGTCCCGGCATAACTTCTCTTCGGCGCTAATCGGGCCCAAACTACAACGACTGATCGTACCTGAAGGCCTATCTTTCTCGTTATATATCGCCATATGTGCCATTACCAGAATGCCGGACGACCATAGACCGGACGTGGAGGGGGGAGCACTGCTCTCCGGACAGCCCGCTGCCTCGATAGACGACCATGATCCCGACCGCGCAAATAACGACAACCTGCTTCCCTTTGGGCTCGCTAACGATGGCGCTTCTGTGATGCCCGTCTGGCTAGCTGAAAGCTCAAAGTCGTTCCGCTGGGGCTGGGTCCCGTTACCTTTGCGAAAGGCCGCCCGTGTAACGGTGAGATGGCTGAAAGGCCCGGAGCCGCCGCATGAACTACGATTCGAGCCGTTATTCCCTGGCATACAACAGGCGCCGGTCGTCTTTCTGGAGAGATACTTTCCGAAGAAAAAACAGAAGATCTTCTTGTTGCTGGGGCTATACTTTGCCTGGTTCCTGTCTTGGTCTCTTACTCTGCGGCATTCTGTGTCCTCGGGCCATATCGAGGGATACGGAAAACCCGGCCCTATCGCCTGCAGTGCGAATTATTGGTGAGAACCCTGTACCTAGAACTACCTCTCTTATACATATACTTACGGTACCCACTGGGTAGGTCTAACGCGCATAACTGTGGGATAAATGGCTATGACTGTCGACCTTTTGAATCATCTTCATTTGCATTCCGATGTCCGGCATTCTGCACCAGTGTACAGCTTCTCAACCCGTACATTGTCGGCAACGAAACATTAAACTACCAGCCTCTGATCGTTGGTGGGCCGGCCCCTGGAGCCCCGGGGGAAGAAGGCATATACCGCGCAGATAGCTATGTTTGTCAGGCTGCAATCCACGCTGGCGTTATTTCCGCCGCGCATGGAGGATGCGGTGTCGTTAAACTGGTCGGCTCTTCGCACGAGTACTACGGAAGCGAGGCCAACGGCTTCAACTCCACGGGATTCCCATCGACGTTCCCCAAGTCATTTTCGTTCGTGAAACTGGAGGGGAAAGAATTTGACTGTCCGCCAGATATGCGGTGGGTTCTGCTCGCCATCACGGCAACAACTCTCGCACTGCTATCAATCTTCACCACGTCGCCGGCCATCTTCTTCTTCAGTACTTTCGTCATCCTCATAATGCATGTCGGCCTCGTCTCGGACCCACCTGGCGTCTCTGGTGTGCCTGAGCTGCTTTCCCTGCTATTCTCCCGCCTCCTCCCAGCAAGCTTTGTCGCATACGTATTGTATCTATACTGCGCCGTTCCGCTGTTGAAGCCTCTCTCATCTCCGCCTGTGTACCAGATCACCAGGACGATTCTGTACCTAGGTCCTGCTTTCATCGGCGCGCTGAACAACTACACCTTCGCGACCTGGATACCGATACAACGTCTCACCCCACATGACATACAGAATCAACCTGGCGCCCCTCTCGCGCTAGCCATCGTTCTGACCATTGTTATCACCATCGTCCTTACCCAAGCTTGGCAAATTCGCCAGGGAGGACTCTTCTTCCACTTCATCAGAATCTATTTCGTCATCGCTGTCTCGATAATTATCCTTCTTGCTCTCCCAGGACTCCGCCTGCGTATCCATCACTACATACTAGCCATCCTTCTCATGCCAGGAACAGCAATACCTACACGTCCATCCATAATTTACCAAGGACTTCTCCTAGGCCTTTTTGTCCACGGTGTTGGAAGATGGGGCTTTGCATCCATCATCGAAACCCCCAACGCACTGGGAGAACTACCTAGTGCCGGCACCTGGTGGGGCGCAACGACTCCGAGCATCACAAATTCATCCGTCACCGTCTCCCTTGCCTCACCGCATGAGAGGCACTACTACCCTGGCAACGGGAACATTACATTCAAGCTCTGGGACCGCGAGGAAATGAATAAATTACAGGTCGAAGGTGTCAGCGTGCTAGTTAACGACGTAGAACGCTGGCGTGGATACGTGGACGAGACAAGAAAGGGGAAGTTCACCTGGCATCGTCGTGGCCTCAAGGGACTAAGTGCTAGAGATCTCGACAGTCTGTCCAAGCTAGGAGAGGCGCCATTGAAAGATGATGATGAGGACGATGACGATGACGATGACGACTACAATTCACCACCGCAAGATTTATTTTTCCGATTTGCGTATCTGCGTGGTTCGAGTGCTGGGCTATACAGTGGCGCCGGCGTTTGGTTACGGGATGGGACTTGGGTGCCACCACCGCCAAGGGAGTGATGATATAAAGGATTTATACGACTATATTCAAGGTACAGATACATTGGCGTGTTGGGTCTATGCTTCTTTTTATGGATATGTCTTTTTATTCTATCCATCATTTATACAGTTTGTTTCTGGAGTTATGGACGGTTGGAAAGGGGTAGACTTACGTGATAGATGATACCTCGGGGAAGACGGAGTTGCAACTATTAAAGCGCTTTTACGGCAGCGTCGTCGAAGTCTACAGACGGTTTCTTTTCGATAATGGATTTACCTAGGATAGAGAGACTAGATTCCCGGCTATACCTCAGTGCAATTACCAGCTTTCGTTTCGGGTATTTGGCCACAAGAATCCCCAGTGTATACCAGCACTCGACTTGCAAGTATAAAAGCGATTCCTGCCCCCTACAAGCTTGACCTATTATTCGTCCGTATTAACCTGATCGCGCAGAGGTTTCTATGTTATAGAAGATATACTGTGCGAAGCTATGTTTTGTTAGTAAGAAAAGAAAGAGGCGAAAATAAAGTGATTAATAAGCTAAACTTAGGGAAACTTAGTTCTGACGTCCGTGCATCCGGATATAAAAATATAAAGGAAGAACAAGGATAAGGTGCAATGTTACCTTCCCCGCTGTCAGCATTCATGCACTGTCAGCGTTCCCTCTACACCAGCCTATCCTTTGCGGCGCGATATTACAATGCGTAAAGTTTGGCCTGCATCCGTAATGCACATGGCACCCTGATCATTTTCTTAATAACAAAATGAGATCCAGTATTGTCCCCGAGAAGGGCAGTCCTTCGACCTTGTGCACTCGATATACCTTCTTTCAAGTTCTATCGAATGCAACTCAGCCATATACTCTCTACATGCTATAATTCGATGACCAAATGGCCTAAGATGGGCCAACCATTCACTTACCACGAGGTCCAAACCGACTCCGACGAAGAAAGTACAAGCCAGATGAAAAGACCAACAGGTCCAGTTCCAGACCGTCGTTGTTGGGGAACTCTTTTCGCCCTACTTCTCGTGATAGCCACTCTAAATGTGGTGATTATCTCGAAGCTATGGATCCACGACAGTTCTAAAGCTCCCCAGTTACGTGGTGTACACGAACATAACAACACAACATCTTCATCACACCAAAAGTCAGATGTGATAACAGACTGCGGCAAGACACGGTCGGAAGCAGTAGCTCGGGGGTGCATCTTTGATGTTATGGCCACTGCCTGGCTGCCGAAAGTTTGCTTTGACGAAGAAGTCTATCGAGACACAGTGTCAAACAGTACGCAGCTAGCTGAGCTCAAGGCAGCCGGGCCATTCCCGTGGTGGACCGATCATAATCATACTACTTCTATCCCCAACGATGAGCTGCAGAACCTCGATGGACTTATCGCATATACATGGGAGACATTCCATATAGTACACTGTATGTACAACTGGCGGATACTGACCAGAGCAGCAAAGCGGGTCAGATGGGGCGAGAAAGGCGTCTATGTGCATACCCAGGTCATTAATTTCAATCATGTCAACCACTGTAACGTGGTCCTGGCTACACAAAAAGGGCGAGAAAATGGAAGGACCAAAGTGGAATTCGGGCTTGGAAGATGTACCCGCCTTGATAAAAATTAAGTCTTAGAATGGGAGATTTTATTTGGTTATAATTCTAGTAAAGCAGACAAGAGGAGAAACATTATAAGACACTTGAGTTTAAATATTATCTACCCTATTTCAATGAAATTTTCCACGAGTCAAATCAATCTTGGGCGGTTTAAATAGATGAATGCACGGCGAAACATCATAAAAGAAAATATGAACCCTTTGGAGAACAGTAATAGAAACCTTTAGGTCTTGCTTATCACGTCTACCTATTGGAAATGGCATATAACAATAACTAAGGGAGTATTTTTCATCAATACCATTGGCATCAAACCTGCTCTATACGTGATACTGAGACTCAGCCGGAGTAACATAATTTCTTGTAGCACTAACAGCCCTTTAACTATACAAAATCCTCTCCGGAAGTATTTCAAGAGGAAAATGCATCAAATTTGAAAAGATATTTGAAGTCGTTAAAAGTATCGCCCCATCCAACCAACTTCGTAGGTATATACCTGTTCTGAGTCACTATCTAATTAATTAGAAATTCGGTATGTTTAACGGCTTGAAGGCTTTGTTAAATTCTTACCTTCCACCAGGGTTTCGCCAGATATGTTTACTCGTACTCTTCATCGGCTTCCGCTGGGGGAACGTCATACGCCCAGTACTGGCCTCCTTGCCAAACAGCTCTCTATAGTCTTTATTAGTGATATTCGGTAAAACTGATGGTATCAATCCTATACCTTCTCGACTTCAGACTCATCTCTCTTCTCCTTGTAGTCCTCGTCAGCTTCCGCTGGGGGAATACCATATGCCCAGTACTGGCCTCCTTGCCAGACAGCTCTCTATAACTATTTATTAGTGATATTCGATCAAAAAAAATGTTATTATTGCTATACCTTCTTGACCTCAGACTCATCTCTCTTCTCCTTGTAGTCCCCGTCAGCTTCCGCTGGTGGGATACCATACACCCAGTACCCGGCACCCTTCTGAACATTCTATACACATATTGATTAGCGATATTCAGTCAAACGAATTTTATTATTACTATACCCTCTCAACCTCGGTGTCATCTCTCTTCATCTTATAGTCCTCATCGGCTTCCGCTGGGGGAATACCATACACCCAGTACCCGGCACCTTTCTGGACAGCCCCCTATAGACATATTTATAAGCTGTGCGCAGTGAAACCATTACCATTCACGTTATACCTTATCAGTAGCCTCCTCGGCAATAGGAGCTGCATAAACAACGGCAGCGGCAATAACCACTGCGCAAGAAATGAGCAACTTCATCGTGGCTATCGTTTTAGTTCGGGTTTTCGCTAATTAAATAGCTAGGATTGGGGTTGTGTTGGATGGATAAGGCAAACTAATCCGTTATCAAAGCTGCGGGAGGTATTTCGCAGATCGCAGTGATGTTTTAAGCTCTGTTTATCTAGTAAAGAGGCGGCCAGCTTCAATTGCTGTTAAAGTCATCCTGAGAGGGAGGTATTTTCTACTAGCCATATGTGACTGCACGTCTACTGTCAGCAAGGTCAGCAACGTTACATTCTAGGATCCATGCCGCCCTATACCTTGCCATTAAATGACAGGTTTCTAAATCCTTCCTCGTTTGAACGCGGGGTTAACCCCATTCTCGTACATCTTATATCTCGGTGCAGGCATTTCCGATGTCAGCATAACTACTTAAAGTTAACAAGGTTAATGTCAGCATGGTGACTAGTAATCCTTCGCCGCAAGCTCGATTGAGGCCTCCCCCAGAGATTGCCAGAGAATAATGAAAAGGCCAACAGCGCAATTGATAAGCCTGTTGATTCTTGCGAATTGGGCCTTTTGTTAAGCATATCATCTAAAAATTAAGGGAGATGTCCAGCGTCACTAACACGGATAATACTCGGTTATCAATAGACGAAGAGGAACATGGTACCCTTTTGAAGGGGTATGAGGGCCACAATCCACTGCACAAGAGCGCCAGTCCATATCGAAGATGCAGGCCAACCATCCTCATCACCGTGCTGTTTCTTGTGTTTGGCACTTCAATCTTTTGCAACATCATATTATTATCCGAGCAATATAAGGGTTGGAATCTCGACAAGATCTGCAGTGACTATACCTCACAATACCGTATGTATTCAAGCCAAAAAATATGCATGTTCTCGCGGTAGAAATCATAGCTAACGAAGTCTTGTCTATGCATGTAGCACCACTGGCCTCCAATGACATCGATATATCATACGAGACTGTCCCCTTCAATGGTTCATTTTATGGCGATTCGGTTTATCGCAAGTTCGTCGGGCCAGAAGTTGATCAAGCCTGGGACGACCTTGGCGTGCACCGTATGATATAATCCCCTTTATCAACTTCGACGAAGTGGATGGGATAGCAGTGACCTATAGGCACGATTGCTGACAGTAAATATAGATAGGTCCATTGCTCTCCCCGAGGATGCAGGGGAGAAGTATGGAATCAAGAAAGGCCAGGTGAAAAGGGCCAGAGAACAAGGGGGTGGCTACCTCGTAAATGTTGAAGTTTTTCACCATCTTCACTGCCTTGTGAGTCAATTATTGCCACGGTGCTTCCTTTGCGTTCTCGATATGCTCTAAGCTGACCATATAAAGGATATGCTCCGCCAAGTTTCGTACTATAGCTATGACCACTACATGAAGAAAGGGGAGGGCGCATTTAAGAATACCGAAGATATTCTCAAACTTCATGCTGGTACGTGATGGTTGACATATGGGATACCCCTTCAAAGCTAATCAAACAACAATAGAACATTGCCTTGATATGTTGCGCCAGCAGATCATGTGCACTGCAGATACTGGAGTCTTCGGGCAGTGGTTCGTGCGAGGAATAGGTCCATTTGTTGACTTTAACACTAAGCACAAGTGTAAAAATTTTGAGCAAATCCGAGATTGGGCAAAGAAGGCGCAGGTACCGGTTGGTTTCAACAAAGTCGAGGAGCGGCCTGGCGACATTGTGTTGAAAGTGATACCTTGATGTCATCCATATAATTCTTAAGCATAAATGCCTGCAACGATATATGTAGCGAAGTCACCAATAGCTCGTATAGCACTTCATCTAGAATCAACTTGCTATCGTTCGTCTTGTCAGGGGCAAAAAGTTGAACTGACGTCGAAGTTTGGTTGTCTGCTTAGTCATCACTTGTTCTCCGAATAATTGTCAACAACGACGCTGGCATTCTCTTTGTCAAGGCTACAGAGGCTCCTAGTTATATTGCTTGAACTTGAATATCAACATCGATACCAACCCTTACTAGGAGCCGGACGGCCTCTTCATGCCCACTCTCGGCCGCCATATGTAGAGGTGTGCGGCCCTGCAGGTCTTTGGCGCTGCCGTCTGCGCCATTCTCTAGGAGGGTCCTCATAACATACACATACCCCATTCTAGCAGCATAGTGCAATGCTGTCGCTCCGTATATGTCCCGTTTGCTAGTATCGGATCCGCATTGGATGAGACACCACACGGTGCCGGCATGACCTCTCTCTGCGGATAGGTGGAGGGCTGTTTTCCCTTCTATCTCACTACTGCGCTCCTCAACGTTCGGCCGTCCCAAGATATCTCTAAGCCTATCAATTTTGTCGTCAATATTCTCAGCATGGGATTCTATCTTGCCAGACGGGCTAGATACACCTGCCGTCCCTCCAGAGGGCCGTCTAGAAACGCCGAGGTCGAACCCGGGTGCCATCTCCTGCAAATATTTTCCGTAGGGCTTGTGTGGCTCCGACGATGGTGTTAGAGCAAGATTTGCTTCCAAGAACTGTGGATCTGCAGATATTCTAGACACCCGAGAAAGATCACCTTCGACTGGTACAGCAGCAGGGCCTGCATCCATGATGCAAGTATCTTTGGTAATAAAGGGCTGTTCTAGGCTGATAGATGAATCGGATGGGCTCAAGCTCTGCGAGGGAGACGGGTACGACGTATGTTCCTCGTGAGGACTAGGGGTATTAACCAACGTCGACGGACTGGGAGGTACGAGCTGTTCGAGGGAAACCAGGCCCAGAGCATTGAGCCAGCATTCTAGACTCTGCTGGGCAATTTTGCTTGTAACGCAAGCCTGTAAGTCGACACCGGTCTCCTCTGTGCGGCGTTGACATGAATTTTCGTTCTGGTTTCCACCGAGTTGATATTTTCTTTTCCCTAACGAGATGGTGAGCAAGGCGAAGTCCTTGACAGCAAATTAGGTCAGGTAAGTATACGGTGGTTCCTTTGAGCAATGCGATTCTGACGACGGCGACGCTCTTTAATCTCGAGTTCTCTTTGGGTCAATCCCTCTTCACTTTGCTGTTTATCGAAATGTGGCGATTGCTCCATTATTTGTTTTACTGCCAAGTTTGAACATAAAATGCGATAATATGAGCGTGGCAATGTAGCACATAGTATAGATATCTCATTCATTGCGATGGCTCAATTTCTATATAGGTTACAGAACGGCCGGATCTTGTGTCCGCCGGATTGCCTAGATCGATCAACCAAGGCGCAAAAGCATACGTATAGTATGCATTTATCCCCGTAAATATATCAGTTGCTACCCTAATCCTCAAACCGCATCCTTCGCCAAGCGTACCAGTTGATATACCCTCGTTAGGCTATGACTGAAAGCCGCTCACGATGCTTGTGCCACCTTTAAAAACGGGTATAGAATACTCAGCAAGGTTAGGCAAACCCGTTCAGAGGCCAGTCAAGTGCTAGGAAATGGCTCTGCATGAGTTGGAATCCTTCCTCCCCACCTCCCCTCCTTTCTCTGACATGACACGATTTCTCTCCTCGTGTACAACCTGTGATATCATGCCCGAACTAATCCTTCTGTCTATAAGTAGCATGCTGGGGGCGGAGGTCATGCACCCTGGGACCCGTGGAGATAGATGTGCAGATATAAAGGGAGCATCGGGCAATGATTTCCTCCATCATGGAGTATCCCTAACCAGATATATTTCTGATTAATGAACACACAACCCGAAAATGAACGGTATATAGATCCTTCGTATGGGGTTCTGTTCATGCTCCTTACCACGTATAATCGTATCCAATAGGTAACTCACTATCGTGGATGGGATGGTACGGTGAAATGGCGGTTTTTGTCGGGATAAAACCAGAATTCCCATGCAGTACTCTGTCAAGATCCCTGCCACCAGCACATCCACAGTCCATGCAACAGCAAGGGAACGCAAATACGAGAAGAGATCCGGGAAACCTGATGCACTCTAATTAGAATTTCACGTGGCTTCATAAAGATATGAGAAGTTGGGGTATATACTATGGTGTGAGACATCCGTTAACACTATATTGGATCATAGAGTTACTAGGTTTTGATGACTTTATGTCATTAGTTATTTAGAATGGGATGTTCAATAGTACGTTTAGAAAAGAGTAAATCTTACTCTAGGACAGCAACATTATGGAATTCAAGATCCTAACTTCGGGGTATCACGATATGGACGGGCGGACGGTTAACTGACAACGCATGACAAAAGCTACATCAAGCTATCGAGGGTGGTTATAGATATGAACAAGTCAGCTTTGCTCTCTTCAAAAGGAAATGAGTTTACATCGAGGTATAGATAAACAAGCAGATAAATGGTACGAAGTTAATTAGTAGCTATGAAACCACTCTTGAGTGGCGTGGGCATGATGGCTATATATAAACAGAAGGGGAAAGTTGCCTCTAATTTTTATTTTCAGGGCAATAACATATTCTCTTATGTTGCTTTCTCCAAATCATTAGTGTTGCCATGGAAATCTGCCTCAGCAAGTTGGTTGAGATCATCTTCCTGCGCATCAATGTGGCGGTTGGTAAACCAGAAACCAACTCCACCGAGGAAGGCGAGGACGGCTGTAACACCGTAGTTCCACTCGAGAAGAGGGTCTTCCGAAAGACCAACCATGGCCTGTCCGAGGGCAGAGGAGAGTGCGTTCATGAAGAGTGCGAAAGCAGTGACCAAAGATCGCATGTTTCTTGGGGCCTTCGTGAAGGAAAATTCAAGGGAGGTGACGGATGCGAAGATTTCGGAGATACCACCGAGACAGTAGGCTGGAGCCTGAACCCAAACGCTGATGGGAGAGAACTTGTGGAATTCTTCAGCGCAGTGGTTGGCCATTTTGCCACAGGGGTTGGTCTTGTAGATATAGTACTGGGTGATCGTGGAGGTCATCATGGCCAAACTAGCGATGAAGAATCCAAAGGCGATACGTTTGACGGGAGTGAACTTAAGTCCCAGTTTTCGGATTCCGGGGTAGACGACTCTGTCCATGATGGGGATAGCGATGATCAGGGTGAGAGGGTTGAGGTTGTTGATGATGTCGTTTGGTACACCGTTACGTGCCAAAGTACCAGCTTGGACAGTAAGATTGGTGGTTCCTTGGTTGTAAGCGAGCCAGAAGAGAGGGTACCACAGGAAGACCGAACAGGCCAAGATACCACGACGAACTTCATCAACCCAAGCGTCATCGAAAGTCATCCAGGATGGCTTGTTAGCAATGTTGCTTGGCTTAGCAGCATCCCAAATGCCGGGCTGTTTGAAGTTGCGGGAACTGTTTAAATAATCGAGTTAGTAAACCACAAAGCAAAGGGGTGTAGGGCACCGAAAGTCCAAGTGTACTTACGTTTGGAAGGGGTTCAAAGACCATTTGCCCTTGGTAACAAGGCCAATCAACTTAATGGCTTTGTAGTAAATGGAGCCACCAGGCTTGGTGAGGTGGTATCTCTTGCGGCAGAAGAACAGAACTGCTGGGCAGAAGCAGAACATAACCGTTGGGAGAACGAAAGACAGCCAGAATCCAACCTTTTGCTCAGCAAATGGCGTGACAAGCTGACCAGCGAGCGAACCCACGTTGATCATGAGGTAGAACCACATGAAAATACGGGCAACTGTGGCAGCAGGGTCAACGATAACTCGTTCTCCGCTCTTTTCAGTCCTGATATACATCTGAGACTCTCTGTATTGCTCAGCAATAAGAGGGGAAATGTTGGATCTATAATAGCTTTGTTAGCGAAGGGGGTATTTTGCGATTTTTGGTACAGGATCACTGCATACTTGAAGCCACCAGTTCCCACACCCATGATAATAAGTCCGATGATGAAGCAAGCAATGGCGCCATTTGGATTCTTGATCACTGGAGGAATGGCGGAAATAATGAGGATAAGATGTCCAATAAGAGCGGCACAAAGAGAGTACATGATGGTTCTAAAGCGTCCAAAATGCTCCTCGGCAAGGTAGGCACCGACTAGGGGCATAATGTAGGCCCAGAATTGGTTGACTAAATAGACAATATTAGTATTGCCCATGTCTATGCTCTTTCTGATAGGGTAGGACACGTACAGAGAATAATGCCAGTGGATGCTCTCTGGCCCAGGCCCAGAGCACCTGGGAGAGAGCCGTCTGGAAGACCCGCAATAGAGCCTGTGGTCGAGCCTGGTGGAAGCTTCTGTTTAATGAAGTTGGCAACTATCGACCACAATGGTTAGTAAACTGCGGTATTGAGGTGCATTGAAACGGGCCGTGACCGGACTACATACAGACAACAGTGGTTCCGTAGTACGAGAATCGCTCGCACAATTCGACAAAAGCAATACTGAATGCGATCCATGGGAGGTGGTCAGCGACACGGCGCAATGTTGCTACTTCCTCGTCGGTGGGAAGTTCCTTGCGAAGGCCAGTGGCATCATCGTCACTGTCGTGGGCGCCATTGGCAGCGATGGCTTGAACGGCGGAGATCTCCTTCTCATCAAGGGCAGAAGCGTATTTGGGGCTTTCGCGACCATCCACCTCAAGGCCCGCGGGAGCAGTCATCGTCACAGATATCGGGCCGTGAATCGACCGTTGCTCTTCAATTGAGGTTTGGCTGAGGACAGGTTCGAGTGGCACAAGCAAGACCAGAACTGAAAAATCCCCGGAGCATCTGGCAATGGGGAAACGTCCCTCTCTATATGTAGGCACCACATGGTGCAAGGGACCATGAAGTCAGCGAGAGTCACACACGCGCCCCGCTTGTAACCGTGGAGAACAGAGTATGCTATGGTGTGGGATTGTTGAGTTGCTTGAGCCTGGAGGAGGGACAGGGAGGAGGCACGCTACCCCCAAAGCAGCAGCGAACGAGATAAACAAAAGCGAGGGTTGGACGTATCCCATGCTTTTTTTGCTTCTTCCGCTGGCTTGGCCCTTCCAGACTATTCGCCATATCACGGTCGCCACTAAATTGGGGGTTCAAACCCGTTGATTTGGCGAGGAGGAGCTGGGGTAGCTCGCATCAAGGACCTTGTCTTCTCATCCATGTTGGCTTGGGGGGTTGCAACGGGGGCCCCGTGTGGAGCGTGTCGGGGGAAACCTTCGAGAGAAGAGAGGAAGTCACTCCCACTTTAACGCACATATAGATCCCGAGGATAGTGGCACATTAGCGCAGGAAGCACAAGGTGCTTGTTCGATATCTGAGCACTCATTTGACAGCGGGAAAATGGCCAAACTCTGTGCCACCACCGCCATCGCTAGAGCCTCTTCGTCCTATATGCTTATTCGGAAATTGGATTGGCAGGACCGTGTCCGGAGCCTTCTTGTTAGGTTCGTTTTAATTTCTATTTTAAAACTGAGTGCTCCTTTGATGCGGCAGACACGTGAAATTGAACCTGAATAGCGGACGCAGCGGGCGTAGATGGAAAACTTTGCCCTACAGCTCCGACGCCTCCCTACGGCGTGCCCTAGAGCGCTGCGCGCGGAGCACCCCCCGGGTTGGGCTTCCAGGCGCGCATGTGAGGGTGCGACTTTTCTTGTGCCATTTCTATGTTGTAATGATATTGGCAGAAGCGAATCTCCTCCCGCTTTTGTCCTAGGGCGAATTACTTGCAGAAAAGATTGCCAACTAATCACAACCAGTCAACTTGTCTTAAGTGCATGCTGTTGGTGTCCGGAGTATTATTAAAACGTATAATATAGACACCCATGTCGCTTTGGGGTCTCCATATCCAACCCCTAGGTTGCCCCTTGCTCTCCCTTCTTTCCCCAGAGCGGACCCTGGCCTGATTGGATACGAACGGGCGAGTTGATAACCGCCAGAGTTTTGGGTGGTTACGGGGGACCCCTGGTCGACAGTAAGATAAGAGGAGCAAATCTGGACGAGATTCGACGTGGGTTCCTCTGATCGGGCGGACAGCGCAAAGTCGACCCTTGCGACATTTCGCTTATTTGACGGTCACGATTGAAGTGATAAGGGCGATTTGAAGTCGGAAATTCTCCACAAGTATATCTACAGGGGCCAATATCCTGGTCACTAAAAAGTAATGGAGCCTTTCTGGGCGTTTGCTGGGCAGCATCATGACGAAGAAAATCCGTTCCATGGCCAAGTTCGCTGTTTGTCTCTGTCCAAGAACGGCCAAGGCCTTGATATACGGATGAACCCGGACATGTAAGCTGGGCGTACAGACCACTGCACGAAAATATTGAGGGTGGCGGAATTTAAGAATGGAAAACTTCCCACCTCGTTCGTGACAGTCCAGGGCATGGTCAACTGAGGTCGTCCCAACAACTGGGAATACCGTTCATTGCCCATCATTGGCTGGCATCCTCCATCCCCAGTCGGACCAGCGTGGGCATTCTGGGGTAGCCCTGAGGAAGGTCACGCAGCCGCCAGAGACCGTTGTACCCTCCCTTGATTTGCTCCACGTGACACGGCAGCAGGAGAAAGTTGAGAGTTGAGAGTTGAGATAGGGTTCGTAGATACGACCAACCGGTTGGTTTCAATTAATTAGTGCGTGGTCCCAGTCAAGGGACAAGCCAATGCCCACAGCACTATCCTAGACTAATTTGACCCTAGCCTGACGCGAGGCGCTGACTGCCCAGAACCGGGTAAGAACGCCACGTCAAAAAATCATCTCCGGGTGACTACCGAAGCTTCGACGCATAGGCACCAGGGTGAACAGCGGGCAGAATTGGTAATAGTCTCCTGCATCTCACGTTGACAAATACCCCTCGGACTGCGTCGCGTGTCGGTTGGTTCGATATATGGCTTAGGGTGGACAAAGAGAGGTCGTGGTGCGACGTGGTGTCCCGCGGCTGAGGATCTGTCCGGGGGGCTTAGAGCAGGGCCCTTGCAACGCGATGATACCCTACCTCGCTTGGCGCCGAAGCTAGGCTAAGTATAGTGAGATCCCCGGACTCGCAAAAGCAGTTGTATGTAAGTATGGAAAACGATGCGATAGCATGGCTGGCATGCATGCACGAGAATATCTGCCTTCCGTCGAGAAGCCTTGCCAAGTCATAGCGCTGCACCATTTCAACTGGTTAAAAACTGACTCGTAATAATAAATGTGAGAGTTCAGATATCAACCAGTTACCCCGTTGTCAAATTTCCGTGTCCCTCCCATGTAAAGTTATCAGGGCCGTTATGTAATTTGAATCATCGACGCCGTGTTTGCTTTGACACCCATTCGCGCGCACATCCTGGAAGGGTGGTGTAGTCAAAGAGCATATAACCTGGCTCTAGACCAACCAACCAACAAACACTTGAGATATCGATACAGTCTCAATGTTGAGGCCCTGACCAGCTCCCGACCCGACAGCTCTTTGACCTGCTCCTTTCGCTGTTTAAGGAAGCCGCATGGAAGGTGCTTATAATTAGTATCAGCGGTTATACTCCGGAGGAGACGGCGATCGTTGCTTGGAAGATTTAAGAACCGAGTGCGAATAAAATGGCCGTATTCTAGAAACCCTCGAGGCGCACTAAGATATGTACCTCATATCAGTCCACGTGAAGGCTGCTTTCTTCTGCCTTTATTGGCCTGCTGTCTACTAAGGCATCACATCATGGCAGAGCAGGACTGCTAAAACCAAGTGTGCCAGAATTTCTCCAGCTTTGGCGCGAACTGCCTCCTTGGTTCGGACAAATGCACCACCATGATACCCTCCAGCTAGGGTTCCCCGCATCTCAGCCCGACCTGGACTCCATACCCGTGAGGAGAAAAGGAGGGAACAAGGGTTGGCTGCACCAAATACCCGGACCCCTATCGGGAGAAATGTCTTTGAAACCCATCCGACCACAACGGTGGAAACCGTCCAGGCTAATCTTTTGACTTCCCCTGCTCCGCAATCTGAGCCTACTCGATCATGGTCAGTTCAATTCTATCAGGTAATAAATTGACCTTTCAGAGGTAGCCTCCCTTCATGCGTCCCAACGCGCTATCACCCATCCTCCGGCGCCCCGGCTGTCCCAGCGAATTTTTTTCACCTCAGGCAAGCCCTTTGCTCCGCGAAATACCCTGGTTAGAGAAGGTTGGCACGGCGATACGCTTAGCGCAGGACTTATTACCACGCCTTTGTCACCATTCGATTTTCAGGGCCAAGAAGCGAAGATTTTCGAGAACAATTTGCCCGCCATATCATCAGGCTAGCGGCAGGGGTTGATGTGATCTCCACAGGAATTGTGCATACTAACCCGTCAGTGGCTGTAGTAGTTATCTCTCTGTGCTTCCGAAGTCGAAACTGAACTAGCTAGCTATCGGCCTCCAGCCCCGAACGCCCTTGTCCGCTCAGAATGAAGTGGAACGACGCCCTATCTTTGATGTTTCGCCAGTTGTCGTTCAGATTTCTTCTTTGGGACCACCCTTCCATCACATGATCAGACGTTTTTTCGGCTTTTTTCATTTATTTCGTCTATTTCGTTTATTTCGCCATGATAACGCCAGATCCTGCCATCGATCCACCGCTGCACATCGACGGAGCTCGCCTTCGGTGGCTCTTGATGTGTTGTTCGTTCTGTCTACGGGATAATGATAGGTAGTGCAATATTGGAACAAAGCAGCTCATATGATCATGTTGTACCTTTATTGCTATAACAGCTCTATTCTATTCTATTAGCATAGGAATTGGACAAGACGGTCTTACTTTTTAACGCCAACAACAACAAGATTCCTCGGACTTTGTGAATACTCAAACACAGGCTCAACCCAAGCATCCTTCACGGCCTCCTGCTCCCGAAGATACAGCCAGCGATCAGTTACGATCATCGACTCGACGACCGAAGCACTGAACGCCATAAGGCTCCAGACTACGCTTAGGTTCTTCTTCGCCGACTGATACTGAGTAACATACTCCTCCAGTGTAGCGTCAGTGAGACACTCAACGCGCTCCTTGATCGCACTGCCATGTAGAGGATCGTGCACCAATTTCGCCACTGCCGCTCGTGCATATGCCGTGAAGGACAGAAATGCAGATTTCCGCAGTGATCCCACGATGAGTGGACAGCCGGGTATCTCTGTGTCTTGGAGAACTCCGGGCTCTGGCTCGTCCCGTCCTTCTCCAGGCGTGGTGTCACCAGAGCTCGTTTTCCCTGGAACTGGAACAATTCCATAGTCGACTAGCACCCGCTGCAGCAATGCGCGGAAAAAGTGGCGCGTGAAGAATGCTTCGCTATCATCCTTGCTCCAGTTATACGGAGCTTGGACGGCCATCATCCGAGCGGTGATGTTCAGTCGGATCCCGTCACCGTTTTCATGGGTATAATTTTCGAAATGGCTCGACATTGGGAAACCGTGTGGGTCACAGGAACTGGATGTCCGTTCTAGGCGAGAATTGGGCAGCCTTAGTGAGGGTATCTTATACGTTGCAGGGCCAAGCCGTTCTGTCATCAGGTTATAGCAACACCCGATCATAGCGATGGCGACGACCGAAGGGTTCAAGACGAGTGATTTGATGCCGTGGTGCACCAGGTTGCCGCAGGAGTGAAGCGACACAACCATGACCCGTGATGGTGACAATTCCGAAGTAGGCGTAGGCGTAACCACTGAATCGGGAGGAGAGGAGCCGTTGGCAGAGATACTCTCATGTTCTGGGCTGTTTCCGGGCGTCCTGATGATGTGTTTGATGATAGGTTCTAGGTATCCATCTTGGATTTCATGCTCAACATAATCCAGCGAACCTTTAGGGCCATCCGACTTTGTAGTAGTAGCCTTTTCACCAGACTTAGTATCGGGTTCCGCATCAGCAACAAGAACTATTGTTGCCAAATCAGCCTGGCTGGCTTCTCTTCCGTCCGTTTCAGGGGCTGGTGAATCAATAATGATCTCGCTCTCAACTACGGTCGTAGACGTAGGCTCAGAGCCATTCGCTAGCGCAGCAGCTCGTTTCTTTGCTCTATGCTCCTTTTTATTCCTCATAACTATAGTCTTCTCCGTCACCTTTGCCCTGATATCCTTCCTCTTCGCGCTAGCAATGTCATTATGCCGCCGTTCAATAGCAATGACATGCTGGTTATAAGGCGGACCGACCAGAGCCCTGCCCAGATAATTCTGACCTGATCCGAAATCCACGATATGAGATACTTTCTCCTTGCCGGCGCCAGAAGCTCCTCTAATGCGATCCACGTCCTCAGTAAGGGAGGCAACGTATTTCGAAAAGTTCTCTACCTCGTGGCATTTCTTTGGCTTCATTCCAATAAAGACATGGTACGGAATGCGTTTCTTGCCGACAGGCCGATTGATATCTGGCTGTTCATCGGCTGGCGCGAAATCTCTCAGGAGAGAGTGCCGTCTGATAGTATGAATATATTCAACCAGGCTCCTGGGCGGTTGTGGACCGTCTCTCCAAGTAGAAGAATCGCTTAAATTCTCATTATCTTCTCCTCGTATATTTATATCTGCATTTAAAAACGGAGTGATATCTTCTCTCATCAATAAATCCAGTATATCTAAAATTTCATGGCGGGCAAAGAACTCGCGCCAGTCTTCGGGGATGACAGTGGTGTATAGGTCAGGATCTCGGATAAGGAAATCTAATATATGTACGCCTCCGCAGAAATTTTTAAATAATTCTGATTTTGTTGCGAATGATAGGAGCGATTCCACATAGACATCTGGCGACGTCCACTCAGGTGAGAGCGGGAGAGGCCGTCTGGAGGGCATCATGGGTTTATGTGTAGAATATTATTTGACTTGAACCGAAAAACTGGCTATTTAATGCATAAAACGGGGAGAAATATGGTATTAAAATGGGTGACATGAAGAGATGTTGGAGGTTTTTATGAGTATTTTTTGGCCATGGAAGCCAAACTTTCATCCTGGCTGAGGCCAAAAACCATCGATCGTCATCAACGCGTATAAACAATTAATACTCGACAGCCTGTTGACAGCGCATCAATAAAACCGCAATAGCACTATACCTCTCCATCGAAACCCGACATTTATAGATCGTTTATCTATCGCTTCGAGTATCCACCATGAACTCCGATACCGATCCCTTTCTCCAAGTACAAGCGTATGCCAACCCTACCTCGCGCCCAAACGGAGCATGTATTTGCGATCAAAGACGAATCTAACCAAGAATCTATCTGATGTAGAGAAATCCTATCTACTCTCTCAACAACTCGGCCGCTATTCTCCTCATACCAGCGCATCCGATCCCTCGCAACCTCGCCGTCGAACCCGGAACTCATCCAAGCCCGAGAGGAGCTCGAGGGAACGGTCGCGGATCTCAGCGCGGACTTAAAAGATCTAGTTGAGAGCGTACGAGTTATTGAATATGACCCGTACAGATTTGGCCTGGAGCTCGATGAGGTGGAGCGGCGACGAAAGCTAGTAGATGACGTGGGCAAGGAGATCGAGGAGATGAGAGAAGAGCTGCAGCGGACGGTACATGAGAATCGAGGAGCAGCTGGCAAACGAGGGAACGGTTCTGGTACTGCATCTGGCCTCCCTCCGCCATCTACGTTTGATAATTTGCTAGATGAGGAGGGAGGACAGGATCGAGGGGACGATTATTACTCTGAGATGGAGCAGCAGAGGCAGGTCGAGATGATGCAGGACCAGGACCAGCAGCTTGATGGCGTGTTTAGGACGGTGGTCAATTTACGACAACAGGCTGATGATATGGGTCGAGAATTAGAGGATCAGTCTGAGATGTTGAAGGATGTTGACACTCTTGCTGATCGGGTAGGAGGCAAGCTACAAAATGGCGTGAAGAGGGTTGGACATATAATCAAGAAGAACGAAGGTAAGGAGTCGTCATCTATTCCCCCCACGAGTAAGAAACAAAGGCTAATATGAAATAGATTCCATGTCGAGCTGCTGCATTGCGGTATTGATTATGGTCCTGATCCTCCTTTTAGTTTTGGTATTAATCCTCTAATATACAACCACATCGTCCCCTGGAGATATGAAAAGAAAGCAAAGACAAAAGACAGATATAAACGGTGTGATTAGGCCTTCTTGGCTTTCTTGCGAGGTCTGTCTTCCTTCTCTTCCTTCTCTTCTTCCTCGTCTTCTCCGATAAGGGCCTCCATCTCCTCAACGTCGAGATCCTCGAAATCGTCAAAGTCGTCCGGAACCATGTACGAATCAACTATGTCCTTCGTTAGCGGGATTGAATCTACATACCAAAGAGAAGAGAACGCGAGCTTACCATAGCATTGAAGAGCTTCGGGCCAAACCTCTTCACCGAAAGCGATGGCGATGTTTTGACCGTCAGGGAAGATTTCAGCAATAGCCAAAGAGTCCTCCTCGTCTTCATCTTCATCATCTTCTTCATCATCGTCCTCTCCTGGAATTTTTTCACCCTTGCGCATCTTCTCTGTGGTCTCCTTATCCTCTTTCCTGGCAGCCTGGGATTCTTTCTCGGAAACGTCTGCGCCACGGTATCCAAACCAGGCGAAGAAGCTCAACCCAGCAGGGCTAATGTCATCCTCATCGCCGTCTTCCTCTCCTTCGTTATCAGGGCCAGTCTCAGCCTCTACCTTGGCGGCAACTTCGACCGATTTCTCGAACTCAGGCAGGTTCATGCGCTCGTCCTCGCTCAACTTCTCCTTCTTTTCCTTCTTAAGGAAGGCCTTCTCCGCATCCGCCAAGTCGCACGCAGCATCCAACAGGCCATGAGTAGGATCCATGTCTTTCTTCCACTGGATGCGCACAGGCTCAGAGACCAATCCTTCCCAAACCCGGCGCTTACCGGAAGCGGTAAACTTGAGCTCTCTACGCCAGTGGAAGTCCTTGACGAGCTTAGCATTCTCGAACCAGACGTTATTTTCGCTCGCGTCGAATTCGAAGGTGAATCGTAGAGATCGTGGTTCGCCCTCGCCCTTCTCATTGATGCCAATGCGCTCGATGTTCAAATTCTTGAGACAGGTGTTGAAGATCTCGGAGTCGGAGGGAAGGATAAATTCGTCCACCTCAGCCGGCAAGTTGGAGAAGACACGAGGCCAGAAATCGCGATCCTGCAGCTTGGAAGCGATCATCTCGTTTCGTTTGGCGTACACCGGGCGCATGAGGTTGACGCCCACACGCACTGATCAAACCGCACACATCATTAGCCACCATAATGAATAGAATAGAATAGAAATCAAGATTAATTCTAAGCAACCGAACAACACTTACTGTGCTCGATCTGGGCATCGGCAAACTCATCCTGCAGCAGGGTTATCTCGCGCTCGAGCTCCTTGGGGAACTGAGGCTTCTCGGGCATCTCGACCCTCTCGAGCAGCGGAACCTGGTCGTCTCCGATGTCTGCCATGGTATTCTTCCTTTGCACAGCGGGTCGCGTACGTGAGCAGAGATGAACGGCGAGCTCCTTGATGGACAATGGATAGTTGGTGAGTTGCAGAGGCAAAGGGGAGGTGGAAAAGGCGGATGCTGGATGACGGTAAACAAATTTTCCTGCTGGTTATTAAGCTTAGCTTGGCCCAGCACTCCGAGCTCTATCAACAATTGGATAGCATCAATTGATACTCTGTATAGATGGGTAGATTATTAGCTAGAGACGAGGAATGGAGACAGATAAGAGATAACTTTTTATTAATATGTACTTGTATAGTGTGATTATTGCTTTTTCTCGTCCGTCATATGGCGTATTGTAGCTATTCCTGCTCCTACCTAGGAGGACCAAAGACTTCTTCATTATTAGGTATCCTCACAGCATCCAGTCCAGGCCATTGGCTTCCTCTTCTACCGGGAAGGCCTCTCTCGCATACTCCTCCATGCTCCTCCATCCTTCCCACAGGCTACGCGCCTCCTCCACCACAGGCAGCGGAACAACACCGTCCGGCCCAGGTTCGAGCGAGATCATCTTCTCGGAGCTCGACAGCTGGGGGGGATTGTTGAACTCTGGGTTCGGGAAATATGGGGCTTTCATCTGTCCAAACAGGATCTCGATGCCTTCTAGCTGTTCGCGGTAGCCGGAAGGGATGGAGACTTTGATCTCGACTTTGGGACACCATATATATCTGCACGGCCGTTGGAGGGCGCGGGTGAAGGCTGCGCATACCTGGCGCGGCGTGAGTGTTTCAAAAGCGAGCGCAATTCTAGGTAAGAGTTTGTTAGAAGAGGATGACGATGATGATAACGGGCAGTGAGAGCTAACCTGTCGCCATTCCATCTTTTCGGACCGTCCTTGAACAGCTGCAGCACTGTAGGTCCAACATCATGCTCTGCATCTAGCCACGGAAGAGGGATATCAGGCAGAAACGGAGACCGCCACTCAAACCCTCCACCCGCCGTCAGCTCCATACAAAACAGAGGATACGGCAAGCTTGTGAAGTTGTTATTATATATCCCCGCATACACAAACGTCGCCGGCAGCCCTAGCTGGCGCACATAATTCTCCACCGCAAACTTGCAGCTCCAAAGCGGCAAACTGATCCACGCAGGGTTATAGATCGAATGATCCGGCATGCTGCTGTATACATAATGCTGGACGGTGCCAGCTCGTTTAGCGGCGTCTGCCAGCGCGCGACCGATCGCCACCTCGTCGCCAGCCTGCGAGGTGGTGTTGATGAAGGCGTGTGTGGCGCCCTCGAAAAGGGTGTTCATGAGCCCGACATTGTTAAGCAGCGCACCCTGAAAGAGGGTGACGTTGGGCAGACTGCCGAGCTCTTCGGGGATTACGCCTTCGAGAGTATGCACCTGCGCGCGCACGGCGTATCCGACGGCCGCAGCGACGCGGATGAGGGACGCGGCTTGACGGCCGGTGGCATTAACGATGGCAATGGTTTTAGCCTGTGGCATTCGGATGTAGGTTGGGGATTGGCGGGAGAGCACAAAGCAAAGACGGTCTAGCCAGTACGATCGTTAGCAGTAGTTCTACTTCTTCTTCAACGGCAACAGTCAAGCTGAAGCAGGGAGTTCGGAGCGTTGTTGAAATCTGTCCGTTGCGCTCAGGCATTGAGGGGTATTCACCAGTAGATGTAATATATATATCCTCTCCTCTTTTCTCTCTGGGTCAATTAACGGTGAGATTCGGCTCCAGCAGCTGTCAATCTCGCATCCAGAGTCCCAGACACCTTCATCAATCGCTTCACGCCTCCTGATCTTCGTGGTGGCCGCGCGAATCGTATTGCGGGAGCTGGGCTAGAATCCTGGGTTATAGTGGCTGAACGGCGTTCCAGACCCCAGGATCCTCCATGTAAGCGTTCAAACCGGCGAGACGAGAGATGCGAGAGCGTATATCCAAGCTGTGGACGTAGTATATATGCGCTGCGTCTTCCTGGCTGCTGTTGATTCTTTGCGCCAGATAAAAAATATATATCGATGTGGAGGTTGGAGATTTGAGAAAAGCGGGGAGCGAACAATAAATTTATCCAATACAGCAACCAGAGAGACCTGACTAGAACCAAAGAGACCTGACTTGCGATATCAAAGACGACGAAGAGAAAGGATAGAGATGTTATCTATATCTGCTGGCTCGAGATCAGCTGCCTCGTGGGGCAAAGGGGTTCCTCGGCTAATCAAAAATATATATACTTCGACCGTTATCTTTACAGGATGCTATTAGTTGATGCTATTAGTTGGAACTATTAGTTGGAGCTATTAGTTGGAGCTATAGTTGACGCTCAGTGGCTACGGCGAGCTGGTAGACGGCATGGATGGTTCCTGATAAGCTGCCGCCGTTGCGCAAGGAGATCCCCAGGTTACAAGCGTGGGAAGCCGGTCCAGGATCTCAGCTGGTATCTGGGCTAGGGAGCAGTTAAGGACAGATAACAGCATTGTCAGGTCTATCAGCTATGTATAAGTTTGTAACTGGGCGAACAAAGTACCGTCTAAACGCCGAACCAGGCAAGAAAGGACTGCCTTTTTCTCTTTTATACATCACATCACACGCCCGCGGCAGCCGGAGAGAGGCCAGTGAGAGCCTGCTTGCAGTGTCCGTTGGGCGTGTTGGTTCCAGAACTCCGTCTACTCTCGGCCTCAGCTTCAACCCTGAGAATCTCGGCTTTCTCGCCGTTCTGCTTGGTCGAGGACTCGATCTCTACGCCAGCCAAGGCCCAGATGTCCGGCTTCTGTTTAGCGTGTAGTTCGGCTACAGGGAGCTCGTCGGCGTGTAGATGGGCTCCGGATCGGCGTAGTAGTTCTACATGGTCGACCGTGCCGGCGTTGGCCGCTAGAAACAGCGGTGTCTTGCCGGTGTTGTTTCGGATGTGCACTGAGCTACCGTGGAGAAGAAAGTAGCGTAGGATAGAGATGTTTGGAGACGTGGCGGCCAAGTGCTGAGTGATATCGGTTAGCATGGAAAGAAGCTAGTAGTGTAGAGATACATACCAATGGGGTGTTGCCGGAATAGTCGGCGTCGTTGAGGAGCCATTTCTGGTCTCCTCGCATGATATCCGTCACCTGGCCTAGATCACCGTGAGAAATGGCGTATCCTAGCGCGGTGAGACTCTTGATTCGATCGGGTAGAGCACCGTCGGGGTGTCTGAAAAGAGGATGGCCGTGGTCTGATAGCTCTCCGCGTAGGGACAGGGACATGTCTCGCGCCACAGACTCAGGAGTAGCATCGTGCATTGCAAGCAGGTAGGCGAGCTTGGTAAGAGCTGCTTCGGTCGTCATATCACCGCCAGCAACGACGCCAGCTCGGGATAGTGTCATTCCCGTTGCATATACTGGAGCCACGCTTCCAGATAGACCTATGCATGTATGTTAGCAAATTGATTAAGAATTGTATAGTAGTGAGAGGAAACATGCATTGAGTAACATTGACGATAACAATTCCTCGTTTTATCGCATCTGCGAGCACCTTGGTCATGCGATTATCCTGTCCGCCAGGCGCGTTGCCGGCACCAAAAGTCTCCAGCACCAGTCCCCGTAGTCCGGAAAGTCGAAGGACGGAATCGACCATCTCAGGCTGTATGCCAGGGAAAATGCGTAGACAGGCAACGTGCGTGGTATCCAGGTTCGTCTGGATGCTGAAATGCTCTATATTCTTAGGCTTATGCACCAGGTCCCACGAAACATTTGTCTTCATCGAGGAGGTCGTAGCCAGCGGCGGTGCATTCGGAGACGCAAAGGCCGCAAATTCACTGGCAGCCACTTTGGTCGTCCTGTTGCCCCGGAACAGCTTTCCGTTGAAATACAAGCACACTTCCGGAATCATAAAATGGCCTGCTATCACCAGCGATCCAAGCAGGTTATCAGCCGCATCGTTCTGAAGCTGCAACATTGGCGTCTGGCTACCCGTCAGAATCACCGGCTTGCCTAGGTTTTGCAGCATGAAGCTCAGCGCAGAACAGGTATATGCCAAACTATCTGTGCCATGGAGCACGACAAACGCGTCGAAGAGCGTGTAGTTCCAGGAAATCGTCCTGGCGATCTGAGCCCAGCCCTTTGCATCGATGGAGCTGCTGTCTAGCAATTCTTCGAATTCGTACACTGCATAACGCACACGAGCATTATAGCTGCTCATCGGGGTGCGGAGGGTGCGATGGCCAACTCGCTCCCCGGAAGCGTTGACCACAACGTCGAACTCGCCTGGCTCGGAGCCATCGTTGAACGTTGGGGACGGCTCCAGAGCTGCCTGCTGGAATCCACGGGCTGGTATAAATCCTGACGGCGAGGGACGCATACATATCGTTCCCCCAGTCATGATGATCAGAACCCGCGACTCGGGGCGTAGCCCGTAAGCCCGCAACTGGTCCTGCTCCTGGTCCGCGGCCATGGTCGTAGAGAGTGATGCTATATGTATCTCAAGAGATAAGCACAGCCGTCGTCCGTCGGCGATTGAAGATATGTGATGAAATGGAGAGAATACAAGGCAGACTCTGGATGATTGTCGATTTAGCCCATCCTGACACCTGCTTTTTCCTCTACCGTCGACCCAGAGAGAAAAACGAACAAGGTCAAGGAAAAAAAAGGAACCTGGAAAAAGAATCAGATGATGCAACGGATATTTCTGATAGGTTCAGGCCTTGGAAACACGATGGGAAGAACTTTCTGGCGAACGGTTTGTGGAGCAGAGCAAGCCAGCTAATTATTAATAGTTAGCCTCTGGGAACCCGCGGAACAGCTATAGGAGGAGGGTTCAGACCTCTATCATAGGGGGTTCCGGTAGCATTTCATATATTAATCCAGCTCCCTGACTGGGCGCCCTGGGAGAATTGTCCCTGGAAGCTGTCGACGCCATCTGAGCGTTTGTTGCCAGGTTCCTTGCACAGTTTCTCGCACATCGCCAAGTGGCCAGCCGCGGGATTGCCCAGGTTCAGCGTTCGTTTGACATGTTGCGGCATGGATCATTATTCATTGGAAGACTATTCTAGTGGTCTTTCAAGGGTTCCTCAGATGTACTATGACTATCAGCAGATTGGTCCGTCGGCTCCCGGCGGCTAGGGTTATGCCCATTTGATGAACATGGCGAAGAAGTAGGATCGAAAAAGTAGGATCGAAGAAGCATGAGTAATTCTAGACCTTTATAATTAGTTGCAGGATCAACTAGCTATGTTTTGCTGTCTTAGTGGAGGGTGTGTATAACGTTCTTCTCCATATCGTTGTAGTATTTTAGTAGTTTGTAATGAAGATTACCCCAGGCTATAGCTATTGGGAGAACATCCATCACTGAAACATGCCCATTATAACAGGTCTATTGATCCATAAACCCTAGTGTCTACATGAACTAAGTACAAGTGGTTTCAATATTGTTGTTCAAGTCTCTTATTAACAGCTCCACAGTTCTGGTGGCTGCTGTTGCAAAAAGCGAAAAGCTATGATATCCAGTCTTATTAATGATACAATCGGGTTTATTCGGGTAAGGTCATTTGGGGGAGGAACATTTCGGTGATAAGGGTGTGAGATATGATGATACAGTGCGAGGTGTGGCTTTCAAATTGCCCGGTAAATCCAGCAGGGTTGATGTCGACTTCCGTTTGTCTGAGGCAGCCGTAGTCAGGGGGTTATGTATAAGAGAGCGATTAGGCATACCCAAACGCTTCATATATTGGGGGCTTTTTATCCGCAATCTTAAGCCACGGATGGCGTAGTGCTTCCTTCGCTGTAGGCCTCGTCGTGTGGTCTGTATCTAGAAGATATCGAATGAACGCGATGCAATCTGGAGGAAGATCGATTTTAGCAAGCTCTTCTTCAAGAGTGCCAAGTTCGAAACTCCCATTCTCCGCTAGGGTCTCCGCAAGATCAAATTCTTCCTTATGTTTTCGTAACTCGTCTCGTTTTAGAGGGCCAAGAAGCCGGATGATTTTGCCAATACACCAGGCAGCTTCATCTACTTTAATATAAGCAAACCCACGAAGACCGACGAAGTCCAGGTTCCCAAAGAGTGGTCGGGTTGGAGGTATAAGGGCTTGTGCTAGCTATAGTATCGGTTAATAAGGGATCAAAATAGGATAACCACGTTAATCAATAATAATATTATGAAACTCACGCAAACGCCAACAGACCAAACGTCACAAGCGGGTGTGACCAACCCTCCTTTCCAAATCTCAGGAGCCCGAATCGAACGCCTCTGTACTGGGAAGGGGGCGATACTCCCAGAAGCAATCACTATAGGAAATGAGCATGGGGTGTTTTAATGGAACTGGGAAATACGCAATAAGACATACTCCTTGAAAGGTTTCCTAGTTTAATCGAGAGATTCCATGCATTGGCATCTGAGACGGTAATATTATATGGTTGGATATCTTGGGAGATGTCAGTTTGTCCAATGGTATACTGGATTAACTCTGGTGGGGGTTTACCTGTATGCACATGGGGACCCTTCCCGTCCATATCTGAAAATACCTTGACGGCTTCGAGGAGTGACTTCGCTAGAGCTGCTATAAATACAGGACCCCGTTCGTACATCTGTTCCCTCGCTGCCGGAAGGTGACAGCCCATGGAATCGAATACCATGCATCTGTCCTCCTCATTATCGATGATCTCTCGAATCGGCTGTATATAGGGGGAAGAGCGAATGCAATTTAATTTGTAAAAATCCAATTCTCGCTGGTATAGGGCGGGAGTAAGTCCTGTCTTCATAACCACCAAGCTGTAGGGATTTACACTTTTAGGTTGTGATGGAGTGGTCTGCGAGCTTTCATTTTCCTGAATTGAAGCCTGAAAGTTGTAGTCCCCCAGTGTTTTGAGGACCCGGTACGAAACATCGCTCCCTTTTATGATCACTTGCTTGTTCTTCGCAAGGAGGGCCGGAATTGAACGGTACATCGTTGAGGATGGAAGCATTGAAGCGCGATCTTGACATTTTTCGAGCTCATCCGGCCTGTTGATTATCCGGGCATACTCTCGCCTGTTTATATAAGCCAACTAATCCGGTTACATAATCCTCTCCTTTTGTCAAAACGACTCGACGACTTGATATAAAGATGTTAACATTTCCACGAGTTGGCTACAGTAGCAGGTGGCTGGTGGCTGGTTCAAGAACTAATACGCTGGAAGCTGGTAGAAATGATGTCCGGTGAGCAACGCGCAGGTTGCATCGGGTTCGTACTTGTATTATCTCTCAAGATGCCATTTACAATAGATTATCCTCAAAGGACTTCGACCAAAAAGTCACAAACTAACAGGCAGCCTCTTTGCAATCGCGTCTCTCAGTCCATCAACAGTGTCTACCATTTCAACTCCATATCTCTTGCACACAATCTGAACGTTACTCCTCTTCCAGTACCCCTCGGGACAGACAACGATGGCCTTTCCTGGCGTCCGCGCACAGAGCCCGAACTCGAGCAAGCTGACCGGTGCCTGGGTAGACGGGTGGAAGTAAACAACGACAATGTTGGCCCTCTCCTGCTTTTCGAGCTCCCACTCCACCTGTTCGCGATAGGGAGCGAAATTGATGTCCTCGCGCCACGAGCTATCCCAATCAGCGCGGTAGGGGTTATAGATTGTCACGGGCGTGTCAGAGAGTGCGGTACATATAACCTCACGCCAGTCGCGAGCGTCGACTCTGCTGGTGGTGCCGGCGAGAAAGACTGATGTAGCGTTGCGGGGAGCCTCGTCTGATGGCGCGTTGATGACCTGATTCCGGGCCTGGGTTGTCATTCTCAAGGATGCAAAGGTAGTCTTGGGCGTGCAAGTATGCAAGAGAGGTCGGAGAACGCAGGTTCGAAGCATTAAACTGAGAGGACTTTCTACTGTAGATATGGATTGGGGTCCACAGAGGAGGGTTGCGGTGCTAATAAAACGGCTAAACCCTCCTCTATCGAGGTCTTTGTCAGGTATATAGCAAACTTGGCAGGGATTTGATAGGGAAGTGCAAATAACCGTTGGGTATGTTAGACCTGGACGTTTCCCTATGGTGATGAGTTACCGAGTTATTTACTTCCAGCACCATAAGCCGAACCGCGCATCAAACTGGCCTATATCGAGCACCAAATTGGCCTAACGAACCAGATATCAAACATTCAACGGGCCTGCTATCAAGCAATTCGCCGTAAGGGTGGTTTTATCGCCAAGCCCTTGGTTCAATGGACGCATAACAATCACGGCGGCTGCAAGATGGCGCGTAAAAACACTCGGCCCATTGCTAGACCTCGAAAGACCACAATCAATGCTGTGATCACAAAATGGCCGTCCCTGCGACTGTTGGATCCGCCTCATAATGTACTGGTCTTCGCTCATCTAGGGCAGCTGCTCGACCCTAGAGAGGAGAGTGATAATGAAGATACAAATGGTCGTTCCTAAAGGACAGCAGGGCCTGCAATGTATCAGCCCCATCTTTTAACCGCCAGCCTCACATTCAACTATTACTGGCACAGAAAGATAGAAGGGACATGTCCCATTATGTGACGTTAAATACCCCGGATCCGTTCCGTGTATACGGCCTTGGATGATATTCGCGTTCACAGCCGTGACTTGAAGGGAACAACAAACATACACACTCTGTTCAGTTTGACAGCTTTGTTTTTGGAGTTATTATTTTGCTCGTGAAGAGGTCACACTGGGCGCAAGTGTCGTTTGAACGTGGACGGCTCCAAAATGCAACGACTGCTTCAGAAAATGACATTATCCCGCGAGAAATCAGAGGATTTAGAAACACAAGCGGACTCGGTTATCCGGAAATTTGCCTACAATAGACGCTTGGAATTTATCCAATTACTATTCGACGTCAAGCCGGAAATTCTCACCAGCTTCCCTGGGATCGAATCATACTGCCACTATTTAGAGCATGACGCTTTCCCGTCACTGATGGACCCAGCCTTTGGCTTGATCTGGGAATTGATATCCTGCACAAAAACCAAAGAGATTACAGATTGTTGGGACTGGAGTGTTGCAGTGTTGCGGTTGATACAGTCAGAATCACCCGAAGTCAGCATAGACGACATAGCAGAGTGCCTCGACGAGCGAAGTGGTGCCTCCAAAACGCATATAAGAGCCCAGGAGACGGCCTATCTTTACATTGCCATTTTTGGGGTTTTGTGCTGGTCAAGCCTAGCGATGCGGCCTAGGTTGATCTTCACAGATTCTGTGCCGTCGAATTTCGCATGCCTCCTGCCGAACGGCGTCAAATCGACATCAACCCCCTCTACGAACAGGCTGAACGACAGATGTAAGCGGCCACTCATGACCATCTTTCGGGCATTCAAGTCACAAAACTGGGGTGGCCAGTCCCGCGAACGCATAGTTGATAGATCGAGACCTCGAGAAACGGATAGCTTGTACGAGGCAAGCCTTAACATCTACTCTTTACGCTACTTTGGACACGTCTCGATTCAATGGACCGATACCATCAGCGAGCATCTACGGTTCAATCCAGCTAATCGTCGGCTGTCCTTGTTTCGCTTCCCCACATTCTGCGCATTGCTTGCTACCCATGGAGACAACGTTTTCCCGGTGATTCAAAGGTATAGTGCAAATCCTCGTACAGGCCCTTATTAACTTCGTTACAGCTAACCGATGATAGTGTTTATGAGCAACTCGACCCTTTGTCCCCAGAGGAGAAAGACCAGTGCTGCGTCAGTCTAGCGCAAGAAATTATCCTCTCCTACCGCCTTCTGTTTGGACAAGATGGCAAGTCCAGGAAGGTTGCACGTGAGGAAATCTGCAAGTTGAAGAACTCGTCCGCAGACCAAGTGGTGGACAGAATGCTCTCGGATCTCTGTGAATGCAAGTACGAGCGCGGCAGTAGGTGGTGGAAGACATACGACACAACTTTGCAAAGCTATCCATCCGAGATATGGCCAATCACCTGTCGGACCATGGAAGGTCAACTCCAGCAAAGTGACGTGTATAGCTCTCGAGGTGATTTCCCGAGGCTCGGACCACGGTTGATCAGGCTCCAGCAGTTCAATACACGTCAGAGACCTAGCAAGCTGACTGATTTGTGGTGCGACAGGCGTAATCCTTTACAATGGTACACTTTCTGGGCTGTGTTACTGGTTGGGGGAGCAGCGAACATCCTGGCGGCACTTCAGCTTCTGGTCTCCATTGCCGCATTGAAGTTCTAGGAGTTGGCTATTCTAGGATTGCCATCACAGCATCCATTTGAAGATAGCTACTCCGGAAGAGCAACTTCCAAGGAAGCGAACCGTGCTATAATATATATATATATATATATGGAAACCCAGGGCAGATACTGCACTGAAGGAACTTTCAAACTACGGTTAAGCACGCATAATCCACAGTGTTTCCGCAGGTTTCTTTCTCCAAGTCAGCGGTGACGGTCTCGACTCTTACCGTGGAACGCAATTTCTCTAAGCGCGCAGGAGTGTAGAAAGAACAGTCTCGATAGCAAAAGGCCCTGTATTGAAAACCTGGGCGTTGAAGGCGGAGAGAGAACATTGTTTAAGGAGCAAAGAAGAAGGATGAGCTAAGAAGGGAGGGACTAAATAAATAAAATGATATATATGCAATATTGATAGCATCATTTACACTAATGTTACCAAGAGTATATACAAGCTTGGAGATATCTGCTAGATAACTAACGCTAACAACACCAAACATTCAAAGAGCTAGGTAGCCAACATAAAACCTGTGCTGTGTAATTGAACTCATACACATAGAAATGCATAACCAGCTCAAAGAAGTCACCATTTACCAAGCCAAAAGAGACAAGCAAGGAGGTTATATGTTCCATACCCCTACAGTCGCTCTGTACTGGGTTTGTAGTCTTCGACTTTGTTGACTGGGGTAAGAGGCTTGCCATCACCGAAGAAGAACGCCTCAATGTTGCCCATGGCTATTTGTTCAAAGTTCTGTATAATTGTCCTTGTTAGCTTCGGAAGCCGTTGGCAACTAGAGACAGGAGGGAGCATCGAGCTTACTGCTTGCGTATCAATCGTTGCTCCTCCAACATGCGGTAACAATGTGACATGCCAGTTATCGAGTAATCGGGCATTAATCTTGGGTCTATGGATAGGTTGTCAGCGAAAAGTGAATATTTAGACGTGAAGAGGGAGACGTACTCGTCCTGATAAACATCTAGCCCAGCACTGCTCACTATCCCTTCGTCAATGGCATCAGCCAACGCCTCTTCATCCACACACTTCCCACGCCCAACATTGATGACTCGAACACCGCGTTTCATCAGTTTGAATGTTTCTGAATTAAGCAGATGGTGCGTTTCCGGCGTATGCGGACAAGCTAACAACAAGCAATCCGTAACCTCCAGCAACCCTTTCAACTCGGAGTGATATACTGCGCCTCCCAGCTTTGATTCCACCGCGCTAGTTTTTTTCGACCGGCCGAAATAATGTATCTTCATGCCCAGCGCCAAAGCTCGCGTGGCTACCGCCTGCCCGATCTCTCCCAGACCTACAATACCTAGGACCTTCCCGTGTGGATTGTGCGCGATCTCAGCAACCTCATCCTCGATGTCATAGTAGTTTCCTCTCCGTAAGCTACGAACCTTATGTTCGCAGAAGCTCGTTCGTCGAAACGTAGCTATGATTAGAAACAAAGCTAGGTCTGCTGTCGAATCGTTTGCTGCACCGGCACCGTTACAGTACCATATTTTATGCCGTGCTAGTTCTTCCGTATCCTGTCCGTCGTAGCCATGGTTGACCGAGGCGATTATCTTCAACGACGGAGGTAGATGAGGGATTAGCTCCTTGTTGAAGAGAGGCAGATTGTTGGTCAGGGTGTTATTCGGTCGAAGAATGCCGTCTACGGTCGAGTATTTACCTCCCTCGCTGAAGGCCTCTATGAGCTCGGAGAGGGGGAGTTTAGAGTAGTATAGCACGTTACAGCGCTTTTCAAGCTCTGCCCAGCGCTCACGGGAAAAACGTATCGGGTTTCCGACATAGAGAATGGTTGGTTTTCCCATTATTGCTCGTTATACGTATACGATGCGGCTGTCCTGCTTCCTGCTTTGAGCCAGATTAGCTATGATGCTCACACGCATTCCGAACTGGACCAGCCTTACAAATCTGCTGCCTGTCGATATATGTATACCTACTCGCAACTGTTCTTCTCCGCTTGCATAGTCTGCGAGAGAAGCGGTTACTGAGGTTCAGGGACATCAGGGACATCAGGGACATCAGGGAATGCGGAGGGACCTCCGATGCTGCCCCACATCGTAGGATTGGGATGATATCTCGGGGGAGAGAAGGGCGCATCTTCGTATCCCATGACGTACAGAGCGTTTGGCTGAATAATGATGGCATATCTTCGCTACTGACGATAAAACGACATGGACGGCGAGAGAAGTGATACATGAAGCTCTTGTGGGCCTATCAAGCTATACTACGTGTGATCTGCCACGCTCATTCTAATTTATGTTTCATCCTAAGGGGTTAGAGTAGGTTGAAGATGTAAAAGGCCTACCAAACTTCCTGGGGTTATAGATCGGGTTAACCGAGGCACCTTTACTGGTAAAGCTTTGGGGCTTTGGAGAATTTTGATAAGACATTTGTATCATATTTTCGTCCTGATATAAAAATTAACCCGAAAATAGTACTAGAATTCAAACTAAGAGTGTCATAAAACATCCTAACTAGACATGCCTTTTGTCCAGTACTAATAAAGACTGTTAGACCAGCCTATTTGAGAGGCTTATCGATGCTCCAGGCAACCGCAAAGCGCTGTGCAAACTGCTTCTTGAA